CTAAACCAATCATGATCTGGGCCAAGAGTCATAGACCGACCCCGGGACCTCCCCCCTGCCTTTCGCCGGCCCCCCCCCCCCCCCCCCCCCCCCCAAATTCCCCCAAACCCATCCTTTCTTACACGTCCTAACCGAGTTTAGATCCTCCCCTCTGTACTTCCCCTTTCGGCAACCTTCAACTTCCACCACATTCGGCCTCTTTTAGTCGATTTTTCGATCATGTCTGCTGTTGATGAAAAGCTTTCTCCTGGTCATGATGACCTTCCCGGTAATGATGGTCGGGGCACCAAGCGCAACCGTATGAGCGCCGACGATGAGGACGACGATGATGACAAGCCTGGCCGTGAGCGCCGCAAGATCGAGATCAAGTTCATCCAGGATAAGTCGCGTCGTCACATCACTTTCTCCAAGCGTAAGGCCGGTATTATGAAGAAGGTACGCGTCTTTCTCCGGTCGGCTCCTCCGAGATACTAATAATTGCAAACATTCAGGCCTACGAGCTTTCCGTCCTCACGGGAACCCAGGTTCTCCTCCTGGTCGTCTCGGAAACCGGTCTCGTCTACACCTTTACCACTCCCAAGCTTCAGCCCCTCGTGACCAAGGCCGAGGGCAAGAACCTCATCCAGGTAAGTCACTTCTAATCTAGGTCATTGCCTATGTATATTGATTCTAGTCGCTAACCTCCACCAGGCTTGTCTCAATGCTCCTGATCCCACTGCCAACGAGAACGGCGTTGACGCGCCTGATGTCGCGCCCGAGGCCCCCGAAGACGTGGCTCACAATGTCAACGCGCCCCAGGCCAACATGCGCCCTGGCCTGCACCCCGGTTACATGACCAACGAGCAGCAACAGCAGATGGCCTACTACCAGAACCTGCAGCAGCAGCAACAGCAGAGTGGCCAGTACCCCATGCCCGTCAGCGGTCGCATGCCACCCCAGCACCAACCCACCGCTTAAACTTATGACCTGATCTGAAAGGGTTTCCAAACCCAAGGTCCCAGATGCTGTGTCTTCCTTCTCTGCGTTTCCTCCCTGCGCCTCGCTCTCTTCGCGTTCATTTGATACCCGTCTTCCTCTCTGCCGATCCATCCCCCTTCTTCCCTCATGGTCGCGCTGTATCTGCGCCATTCTCCCAGGGCACTCTCTTGAAACCATTTGTATATTGTCAGGTGCTTTGGATTTTTCCCCGTCTGACGATGCGGGTTCTCCCTCGACATTCTCGGAAAACGGAACCCTTATGTGCTGAGATCCATGGCTTTCCAAGAAACCAAATTTATCCCCCCAAAAACCGACAAAAAAAATTAACCTCTAAGAAAAGAGAAAGAGCGCAAGCAACTCTGGGCTTCATCGTTAATCCCGTTGTTATTTTCCCCCCTCTACCTAGACACTGGCGGAGGATGGTGGTGTTCGTGGTGCATTGAATTTGCTGGCGAAGTGGCTTTTCCCTTTGTTCTATTCCTACTTGAAGTTTTTGTTTCCTAGGCCCTACTTTGTCTCCTCATTGTCTAATTCCAGCTGCTTTGATTTCCATCTCCTATTGGTTTTTTGTTTCCCGGTGCCCATATGGCCCTGGCTGAATATTTTGTATCGTATGGATAAATCGGATTATCTTAGGAGTTACTGTCAAGTCCTGGATTCAAATGCGTATGTCCCTAATCTATAGATTTACGTGAGACCGAGACATTCCCATTCAGGACTCCAATATTCCTGACTTCTGGGAAGTTCCACGAAAATCAGGTACCAGTTTCATACACAACCAGGTTCCTGCAGATAAATTGCACACCTGAGCATGGTCGCAATGAAGAATATGGCTGACCTGCATACCCTCGTACAAGTACCCGGTCAAAGTCAAAAAGACCCTATCAAGCCCTGGGGATTCTAGGCAGTAAGAGTAAGCCGCAGGGCATTGAGAGTCTGGATCTTTTCCAAATCGGGCACGGTGGTGCAGACCTCGTACGAGTATCGGAGTGCTTTATTGATATCTGCTGTATTGGTTCCTGGGGCTATATATTTGATATTTGGAAATTGGAAATTGTGGTATCATAGTATATTCACTGCTGGAGGAAGGTGGGTTGGGGGTTTGGAGCCAAGGGTGGAGCTTGGGGGTACTCGATATTTTCGAGGACTGGTACTGTACAGGGGAGGAAAGAGCAAGAAGGAAATATGTAGAAATGATTGGGGGTTGGGGATTGAGGCGTGAGAGGTTGTCGAGGAAAGGGAGAGCTTGGGGAGAGTGTATGTGGGGGTATCAGGGTATCAAGGTATCAAGGAAAGATATAATGAATGAGGCAGATCAGATCAGGAAATGGTGTTAGGTCAAAGATTCAGAGTCAAGTCAGCTAGAGCGCGGCAGCAAGGACGAAGAAGGTCCATCAGGGTCGACCTCGGCTTCACTGCCTGTACGCGGGCTGCTTTCTCCGAACACGAACCGTCTCCCAGACGTCCAGGCACCTGCCAAAGCTCTTCTTGAACCAGCAAGAAGACCAGGTCTGGGACTAGGGGGATGGCGGGTGATTTGTTCACCCTCATGGGCATCATCGCCGTTCTCTGGAATGGTTCCATATCCGCTGACTTCGCGGCTAGACGAGAACCAGCCACCGGTACTTTGCCATTTGCGATGCCCGGTCGATGACCCTCCCCATGGCGCCGAGATACGGCGCCGTGAATTCTGGCGAGATCCCCATCGATCTTGGCTGCCGGCGCTAATCGTCGAGTGTCGCGCCAGCCCTCGTGACGAACCGCCCAGAGCCCCACTGCCACTGTTACTGCGTGGCCGATTTGCCAAAGGCCGCTTTTGCCGACGTTCAGATTCATAATCTGAATCGTCGAGTTCGGCCCAGATAGACGCGGGGTTGAGGTCCGCAGAGTCGCGAGGATCGAAGTGCAAGTTCAGCGGCAAGCTCGGAGCTCGTCCACGCTGGTATGAGAGATGTCGCGCATTGGAATTTTTGTTTATGAGTGGTTCGCGTTCTCCAACATGAGATTCTTCATCTTGGCCGTCCAGCCATCCTGGTGATGTTGGGGTATGTTCTTCCATAACTGCCATCCCTGGTCCGAGCCCGGTTTGCGTAGGTCCCACCGTTGTGACAGCGGCATGATTGTCAATGTCTTCCAGTCGCCATGACAGACAGAGAACACCGGCTAGGAGAACGATGGTTCCCAGGGCAATGAGACCGGCGTGCAAACCTGCCAACTGCGACATCTGTCGGAAGTAGATCAAGCCATCCATGATAGCGATGATGTTATAGATGCAGAAAACGAAAGGATAGAGGACACTGGTGCTGCACAGTTTCAGCCCACGGTGCAGATAGAATAACTGTGTCAGCGCCAAAGAGATCATTCCCAATAGAATCACCCATGACTGCCAACGGTTAAATTGGTTCGAGCCATCCACGATAGTCCGAACCAAGAGTTCCACTGCCGATTTCGCCAAGAGCAGAGAATGAGCTGACAGTACACCACTGACGAATCCATAGCTCATTCCTTTCAGCAGTCTCATTCGACTTTGAAGTCGCAGGAAGTGTGGTGTAAAATGCCCGGATGCCGAGGGTTTTGCGCGCGATGACGGCACGAGGTATTTCAACAATTTAATGCCTACTAGTATTATCACCACCAGCAAAGTCGTAGATCCCATCCACAACAGGAATGGTCGTCGTTGTAGCAGCCCAAGAAGCTGATCTAGGGTATGTGCCGGTTCCCCGATGGCACCGAATGTGGCAATCAGCAATGCGCCAATGCAAACAAGCGCCGTTCCCGCGAGCGAGTATCGAGTAAAAGGTTCACCGAGGATCAAGGTGGCGAATATCGTATTGAAAACAAGTCCTGACTATAGGAAGGATCAGCAGGGTGTCTTCATGGGCGGCGCGACAATGACTGACCGCTTGCAGGGCCGAAAGAACTGGCAGAGGGAGCGTGGTTATTTGGATCGTGCTCCCCACGATATTGGAGATCACAAACATGCCCATTCCTAGTTGCCATCGTCGGCGCTTATAAGGGGGCCTGCGGAGATCGTATGGGTGTTTGTCGTCCTCGAGAAGATGCGACTTGCGCTGGAGCGTGAGACCGATTGCTTGTAGACTTGTTGAGATCAATCCGACGATCACACCGACCTGGCTGCGTTAGGTCTTGGCTGTAGTTGGAGAGTCTCCGGGTTTGTTCAGGGGATATTTACCGCCACGCTTCCTTCTGGTGACAAGTCACCTAGATTGCCCATGTTTGCGTATCGTGCATTGGCTGTGGGGGGTAAAGGTGCGCCAATTGGGGAATCCTATCGAAATGGAAATGCCATGACTTTCGATCGGGGTATTGCCTTGAGTTGATATTAATCACAAATGCCTCTAGCACCCTCAGCTGACAACGGAGAGTAAAAGAATGAAAGAAAAAACAACGGTGAAGTCGAGAGTATCAAGGGACACGATCACACGGGAAGGTCTGGATGCGGTACCGCCAAGGCAACGTAGTCCCCCGAGCTTAGTCGGACACAACACCTTCACACTCCCCCACGTCATTCTCATTCACCATCGGATACAACGCCAAAATGTCACAAAGTCATGCTCTTTCAGATGATCAGGTATGTATCTGATACATTTATCCAGAAAGCTTCGGGTTGGGACTGACGGCGATCCACTCCAGGTCGCGGGCGAGCTCCGCAAGATGACCGCGTTCATCCGACAAGAAGCCCTGGAGAAGGCCCGCGAGATCCAGCTGAAGGCCGACGAGGAATTCGCAATCGAGAAGTCTAAGCTGGTGCGCCAGGAGACTGCGGCCATCGATACCCTTTACGAGAAGAAGTTCAAGCAGGCCTCCATGTCCCAGCAGATCACCCGCTCCACACTCGCCAACAAGACTCGACTCCGTGTTCTGGGAGGCCGCCAGGAGCTTTTGGATGACATTTTCCAGAATGCTCGGGAGAAGCTGTCCAAGGTGGCTGCCAACGACAAGACGAAGTACCAGGCTACGCTCAAGGGGCTGGTCCTCGAAGGCCTGTATTATCTGAACGAGGAGAAGGTCGCTGTTCGCTCACGCAAGGCCGATCTGGATATTGTCAAGAAGGCCATTGAGGAGGCGGCCAAGGAATACAAGGAGAATGTTGGCTCCGAGGTCACTGTGACCGTGGACGAGTCGGAACCACTGCCCGAGGGATCGTAAGTTCATTATATTGCTCTACTCGACAGAATGTCAGGTCTAACAGGTTACAGTGCTGGCGGTGTTGTGATTATCGGCGGAGAAGGCAAGATCACGATCAACAACAGCTTCGAGGAACGTCTGCGACTATTGGAGATTGATGCTCTGCCTGCTGTGCGAGAGACCCTGTTTGGCAAGAACCCGAACCGGAGATTCTATGATTAAGTTGTTGATCGTATTCTATCTTGGGTTTAAGTCCGCGAATGCTGTATTGCGTGTGTTATAGTTCGGGTGATATCTACTTAAGTACTCCTCTCGACCACTTCTATAGACAGAGGGGGTTTCTTTGCACAGTTCTGGTCTGATCTGGAATATGATCAAATCTTTTAGCGACCGTTTTATCATGCACTTTTGATGGCTCTCGTAGTTTATAATAGTTTCCAAAGTTGTAACATGCCTTCAAGGTTGACAACCATGGCATCGCTTATAGACATAATCATTAAAGTCGTAACATATACTTGGGTATCAGATTCGCGCCCTGGACCATCTATCGAAGAGGGATCCCCGTATTCCCGTCACCCCTCGTAGAATATTTGCTCAGCATTCTCCGGATGTCCTGATTGTCATTCACATGGGACTCAAACAAAGTCTTCTTGGGTGGCGGTTTTGATCGAATCGAATATAGAATCCGATAGTGCAAAGCCTCCAGGTCACCCTTCGCCAGTGTGAGGGTCATATGGGAAGCACCTGAAACCTGAATGGAACAGTACATCGTTTTCAGCTGACTTGCCAGCTTGTCGATATCGGCATTAAAATCGTCCTCTGTACGGTCCCCTCGGTAATTGAGTTCCCAGGCCGAAACATCGATCGCAATGTTGAGGAGAGCGGTGAGGGCGATGAGTTCTCTCCAGTCATAGTCAGCTTTCCCTTGGAAGCGTTTCACCTGGAAGCGTCGATCGCGGGCCAGTAGTTCTGTAATGCGGTTCAGATCAAGCAATGTCTGAGGCGGCTCATGCAGAGGGCTTGGATCCTCGAGCAAGAATGAGACGGCCAGCCGACACCGTACCTCCGCGAGCCAAGGAGACGAGGGTATTATATGACCGGCGATTCGGCTCTGAAGGCAGACGTCGTCAACTGTCTCGTAGAACGTGGAACAGACTCGGTGTATCTAGTATTGTCAGCGGTGAATATACTGCGCTACACTAAGCAACGTACTGCTTCTTTGGGATCGGTTCCCTCGAAGGAGCGCGGGTCCAAAACCAATTCAATGACGCACTGCAGCTCTGAATAAACCGTGGGATCTGCCGTCAAGGAGCTGTCCACCGCCAAACGCAGTAGTAAGAGTATGATATGCTCCATCGTATCATCCGCCAGCCTATAATCCATGTAAGTCTTGACCTTTCACGCGGAGCAGTAGACGACCCACGAAGATATGATGTCGGTTCCTCGGAACAACTTGAGAACCGAAATCAACGGGGCATGATTCTTCAGCTTGGTAGCCGTAGTTATTTCTGGGCAAAAAGTCAGAGCTTGCATAATGATAAGGACCTGTACAAGACAGCCAAATCTTACCGTGGTGGCTCATGGGGGCTATTTTGTGAAGCGGGTCTAAGGCTTGCCTCCGAGCCCCCAGTCGCTGGAACAACTCGTCCACGTCAGCTGGGCGAATGATGGACCCCAGGTGTTCTGGGTCCATTCTCTAATCCCCAAGTTAGTCAAAACCCAGGCGGCTTAGCTAGGATGATCGCCACGAACCTCCATAATTCGACCAAAAGCGGCATTCAGCTCATCTCGCTCATAGGGAACTGTGACGGTGATGTTAGTCTTGCAGACCAGGGCGCAGGGCGATGTAAACAAACTGGATTGGAGCATCCACAGCACAACTTCGTCTGATAGCATCCCCTTGGACAAGGCTGTTAAAATGAAGTCGGTAGACATGAACAGACGTTCACGGGATCCGCGGTCTAAAGTAATACTTAGTATTGGGTGCAGAGAAGTCACGAAGCCGAAGAACATACCATTCAGTATTTCTAGTTTAGCTCCAGCTGCACCAACATGTGGGAATTCGGGAGCTGGGGGCAATTCTTGTGTAGGATCGAAGAACAGCCAGTTGCGGTCATAATCAAGAGCGTTGGTTCTCCTGATAGCACCCAGCACACGATGGGGTTGGGGTCCATCTTCTTTCTGGCCGATCGCTTTAAGTAGCATGCTTTCATCCAGCTTGTTGCCAAGAGGCACCGGGGTCTTTGGTTTTTCAGCTAGGTTGGCTCTGTATCGGTCAACAGTGGCTTCGATCTCATTATCATCCACTGCTTCGTGGACAAGAGAGTCTAGGTTGTATTTCCATTTCTTTGGTGAACACACTGGTTTGAGTGGAGTGGAGGCTTTATTCTTTGCAACCCGGGGAAAGAGGGACCCCGCATCTTCCAGGGAGCAGTCTGAATCTGTCTCTTCGCCATCAGAGCTTATCACGGTCTCTTTCCCATTCTTTATGATCCGCTGAGATGTACCAGTGGCTTCAGTCTCGATACTCTGGAAGCTGTTGTTGACAGATGGGGCTGGAACACTTTCCCGGGTCAACAGCTGTAGTGCTGCTTTGAGCTGCGCATCGGCATCTTGTTCAGATGCGGGCAACAAATCGTCATACACAAAGGAGGAGGGGGGTTCGCTCAGTGGCGACGATTGTGCCGCGGCGGTCTCTTTTGGTTCAGAGATATCAGGCGCACCATGTGTGAAAGATGGTTTCTTGAACCATCGGGAGATGGACATGATGAGTGATGGAGAAGAATTGAGCTCATGTCCACAGATCGCGTCACCAAACGCGCTGATGCTGGCGCGATGTCACATGACCGGCAGAATTTCTTTGTCTCGACTTCTTTGAGAGCCTCGAGTCCGTACTACTCGTACTACAGAGCAGGTACAAAGTAAAACTATGTTTTCTCGGAATCTTCTGAGATTATGATTCATGGTTGAATACATTAAGGTACATTCGATGGAAATGTTTTAAGACCAATGCAATGGCAACAGTAGTGGATACGGAGTATATGTTTTTATTTAATTTCCCGAGTGTACTTAAGTACTCGTATGAGTAGTAGGGAGCCCTTGGTACCTTTTCCCTCCGTACTTGTACATCCAACCGATGTTTGATCGACACCAAATGAAACCCAGGCATCTCTGTTTTCATCTGGGCATCAGGGGTAAAATAGTTAAGTTTGACCTATGATGCGCTATTCATATCAGAATGGGTCCACTATGGTTCGTGGGCGATCGGCTGACGACACCCTGTCATATCGTATATTTAGTATATAACCTTGGAACTAGAGTCCTTAAAGACTTCTGTACTTTGGACAATTAATATGTACACAAAATTGTGTCTCACGATGACTTGCACCTTGCGTCGTTGTCTCCACCTTTAAGCTTTGGGAGCAATGCAATGAGACGCTGTTGTACCACGTAGGGCCAGAAAGGGGGCACACGAGCCGTGAATCTTACGAGTATAATGATCATCCTGGGTCCGCTCAGGAGTGAGAGACTGAAGGGCCAGGGCCCTCGAGCGATGCCAAGGAATCCACTTGAGCACCTGGGCAGGGGACAAAATATACTCTGGATACGAGTGGGATACGAGTCCTTCTGGGACACAATGAGCATACTTGACTAAGTAAGTAAATGTGAACATAAGAGGATAACTAAAGTACTTAAGTAGGGATGTGCATATGAGCAAAATATGGGAAATGAGAGGGACACAATATAAATTGATACGAGTAAATTTGCAGTAGATCATCACATTCCCAAAAGGGAACCGACTAGGTTGCCCGGGACGCTCGTGCCGTGTCCAGTTTCAGGTTCGATGTTCCGACCCCAAACACTGGCTATATTCTACTTACTTACTTGAGTAGGTATTCCGTAGGCATATGTACATATATTTTCCTAAAAACGGGATATTCCACTGCACTGCCCATATAACTATATAATTAGACCTGCGCATGGACATCTACTTAAGTATAACATCATCACAGGGCGGGGCCAAAAAAACGATAGTTGTGGGCCAATTAGCCGCTTCTCCAGAATCTGCACAACGGATGCTGCGGATACGGATTTTGAAGCATTACGCGGTACTAACAGCATCCGAGAGGCAGTGCTCGGTATTAACGGAGTTCCAAGTTAATACAAAAGTGGTCTAAAGTTCCAATGAACCGTACTCTGTACTTGCTCGAGTAATCCGGACTACATAGGTAGTATACTTAAGTAACTACGGAGTACGGAGTCCCATAAGGCAAATCCATAGATCGAGAACCGAGAAATCCGGTTGCCACTGTCAGAAATTTAGTTTTAAGGCCGGAACGGGGTCTTATAGTTACCGGACTTTACGCGTATCTTTGCCTTACTCCGAGTACTACTTACAATACATGCACTACAATTGCATTTACGAATGATCTGAATGATCTCAAATTTAAACAGCAAGGCAAACCACTCGTACAAAGATAATAGTTATAATTGTAACAACTATAACAATTACAATGGACGCGTGTAAAAATCTCCCGCCAAGTCGGGGGGCCGGGCCCCGAGATGACAAAGCGAGCATGTCCCGTAAGGTAAGCGCGGTACGGAGTGCCGCTCGTACTATACGAGGGTAAGCTGGCCACCTCATCCCGTTGACCTCTCTTTCTACCAACTTTCTTCGGAAAATCCGCTTCCCTTTCGATTCTTGCCTGCTTCATTTCATGGCCCCCAGTGGGTGCGCCCTGTAACCCGCCCTTCGTTTTGCAACTTTACATCCGTCGGCGCCCGGAAACCCTTGTGTTCCACACCCTAGATCCGAACAGATCGAAACGCCCTTCCGACACGCGCTGCGAATCCTGACCGGAATCGACCCTGGAGATAATCGTGAATTGCGCTGTAATCACCAAACATCGTGATTACGTCCGATCCTCATCCTTTGCGCCTGCGATCGCATCTTGCCCCTGCACACCGGATGCCCGATTGTTACAAACAACAAAAAGTTCTCTTGTATTGTATGCCCCTTGTGGGTGCAGCGACAGCCTAGATGGCTCATCCGCCCTTGCCTGGGGCGAATGGGGAGGATAATCCCGACCAGGGTGGCGAGGTCCGCGAGGTCCCTAGCAACGTCTCGAAGCCGACCAAACGACAAAGATGGGCCACCACACGAGCCCCTGGAGCCGGAGGAATAAAGAAGCGAGTCTCGATCATTGATCGCTTGCATAAAAAATCGGAACTCAGAGACGAGAAACGAAAGTCAACAAATACCAGTGCCTCCACGAACGAGTCAACCGCGGGCACCGAGGCCCCAGAATCTGGCCCCAATCGCAGGGTCTACTTCAGCATTCCGATTCCCGAATCTGAGCGCGACGAAGAAGGCCATTTGAATATCACCTATCCCAGAAACAAAATCCGAACTGCCAAATACACAGCTCTGACATTTGTTCCCTACAATGTGTGGCTGCAATTCCACAATATTGCGAACATTTACTTCTTGTTCGTTATTATTCTTAATGTAAGCTACGATTTCTCGTTTCCCTGGTCACATCTCCAATGCGAATTTGCTAATTACGTTCTAGTGCTTCCCGATCTTCGGCGCCAACAACCCCGGTTTGAACGCGGTTCCTCTTATCGTGATTATCGTCGTCACCGCCATCAAAGATGCCATCGAAGATTGGGGTCGAACGGTTTCAGACAACCAGGTCAATAATTCCCCCGTTTACCGCCTGGTCGAGTGGAACAATGTCAATTCGACCGAGGATAATATCGATCTATGGCGTCGAATTAAGAAAGCTTGCACTCGAGGTGCCGTTTCAACGTACAAATGGATGGCATCTCAGACCAGAAAAAGAAAGCAGGGCGGAATGGAGGATGACGGACAAAGGAGAGAGTCTTTCCTGAGTACAGCGGATCCTCGAGCTTCCATCTACACGCAGCGTAACTCAATGGCCCCCGATGAAGTCGCGATTCCTATGACAAATGTTCCATCACCTCAACCCGAAGCCCGCGAAGACTGGCCGATCACGAGCAGCCAAGAAAACAAGTACCTCTCCCCGACCAGCCCGCCCCCTCGCGAGAGCATTATGGAACAGTCCCCGGATAAGAAACATGGAACGGTTTTGGACAGTGCAAAGCAAACGCCTGGCAAGGCTCGATTCAAGCGAGAGGCCTGGAAGAACTTGCAAGTTGGAGACTTCGTTCGTTTGTACAACGAGGACCCCATTCCTGCCGATGTCGTTATTCTTTCAACCTCTGATCCGGATGGTGCGTGCTATGTTGAAACGAAAGGTCTCGACGGAGAAACCAACCTCAAGGTTCGTCAAGCCCTGCATTGTGGTCGCCAGGTACGACATGCCAGAGACTGCGAAAAAGCCGAGTTCGTCATCGAAAGCGAAGCACCACACGCCAATCTATATGCATACAATGGCGCTGTTCGTTGGGACCAGCGCGACCCCAGTTTCCCAGAGGGCCCGCGTAAGGAGATGGTTGAGCCTATCTCTATCAACAATATCTTGCTCCGTGGTTGCAATCTCAAGAGTACCGAATGGGTTCTGGGTGTGGTTCTCTTCACCGGTGGAGAGAGTAAGATCATGCTCAATTCAGGTGCTACCCCAGCCAAACGTCCGCGCATGGCCAAGGATCTCAACTGGAACGTTATTTACAACTTCATCATCTTGTCCCTGATGTGTCTGGTTTCAGGTATTGTGAACGGAATCGCCTGGGCCACACCACACAAATCTCTCGAGTACTTTGACCTCAAATCTTACGGCGGCACACCACCTGTCACGGGTATTGTGACATTCTGGACCGCTATCATCTTGTTCCAGAACTTGGTCCCCATCTCGCTGTATATCTCCCTCGAGATTGTCCGAACCATCCAGGCTGTGTTCATTCACAGTGATCTCTACATGTACTACGAGAGATTGGGGCTTTATTGCGTTCCCAAGTCTTGGAACATTTCAGATGATGTCGGTCAGGTGGAGTACATTTTCTCGGACAAAACTGGTACATTGACTCAGAACGTGATGGAGTTCAAGAAATGTACGGTAAACGGAGTATCCTATGGCGAGGCCTACACGGAAGCGCAGATCGGTATGAGGCGCCGCGAAGGAGCTGATGCAGATGCCGAAGCCGCCGAGGCTCGACGTCAAATCGCCGCTGACGCGGAACGAATGCTGGGATTGCTGCGTGCTACCCATGACAATCCCTACCTCCACGATGATCAGCTAACTTTCGTTGCACCTGAATTTGTGGCCGATATTGGAGGAAAATCCGGGGAGCAACAGAAGAACTCTGCGGAGGATTTCATGTTGGCTCTTGCCTTGTGTCACACAGTCATCACCGAGCACACCCCGGGTGACCCCCCTCAAATCGAATTCAAAGCGCAATCTCCCGACGAGGCTGCCCTGGTTAGCACTGCTCGTGACTGCGGCTTCACTGTTCTTGGCCGAGCCGGTGATGACCTGCTCCTCAATGTCATGGGCGAGGAACGCACCTACACTGTTTTGAACACTCTTGAATTCAACTCGTCCAGAAAACGAATGAGTGCAATCATCCGGATGCCAGATGGCACCATTCGTCTCTTCTGCAAGGGCGCAGACAGCATCATCTACTCCCGTTTGGCTCGTGGCAAACAGCAGGAGCTTCGCCGGAAGACCGCTGAGCATCTGGAAGAGTTTGCCAGAGAAGGACTCCGTACTTTGTGTGTTGCTGATCGACTGCTTACTGAGCAGCAATATCAATCCTGGGTTAAAGATCACGATGTTGCCGCCGCCGCCATCACAGACCGCGAGGAAAAGCTTGAAAAGGTCTCTAGCGAGATTGAACAAGAACTCATGCTTATCGGTGGAACTGCTATCGAGGATCGACTCCAAGACGGCGTCCCGGATACGATCCAACTTCTTGCGGATGCAGGTATCAAGCTTTGGGTTCTCACCGGTGACAAAGTTGAAACCGCCATCAACATTGGTTTCTCTTGCAATCTCCTCAACAACAACATGGAGCTGATTGTGCTCAACATTCCCGAAACTGAGCATCAGCAGGCCTCTGACGAACTTGATAAACACTTGCAAACGTTCGGACTGACTGGTTCGGACGAGGAACTCATTGCTGCTCGTTCTGAGCACACTCCTCCGGAGGCTACTCACGCCGTGGTTGTGGATGGTGAAACCCTCAAGCTGATGCTTCACGACGACTTGAAACAGAAGTTCCTGCTGCTCTGCAAGCAGTGCAAGGCCGTTCTTTGCTGCCGAGTCAGCCCAGCGCAGAAAGCCGCCGTTGTTAACATGGTCAAGACCGGCCTGAACATCATGGCTCTCTCCGTTGGTGACGGTGCCAATGATGTGGCTATGATTCAAGAGGCCGACGTCGGTGTTGGTATCGCAGGTGAGGAAGGTCGACAAGCTGTCATGTCTTCGGATTACGCCATTGGTCAGTTCCGTTACCTGCAGCGCCTTCTTTTGGTGCATGGCAGATGGTCCTACCGTCGTCTCGGAGAGTGCACGGCCAACTTCTTCTACAAGGTATGTGCTTCTGACGTCAAGTTTTGATTCTCCCAACTAACCTGTCTAGAACCTTGTGTGGACGTTTGCTCTCTTCTGGTATTGTATTTACAACGACTTCGATTGTTCCTATCTCTTCGACTATACATACATTATCTTGGTCAACCTTGCCTTCACTTCTCTGCCTGTGATCTTCATGGGCATCTTTGATCAAGACGTGGATGACAAAGTTTCACTGGCCGTTCCCCAACTTTACATGAGAGGTATTGAGCGCAAGGAATGGTCGCAGACCAAGTTCTGGTACTTATACCCCATCGCCCCCTAGACGCATTCAAATACTGACTTTCAAAAAGGTTGTACATGGCCGATGGAGGATATCAATCCATCATTTGTTTCTTCATGCCCTACCTCCTTTACGCACCCGCCAACTTCGCCAACGCCAGCGGCAGGAACATCAACGACCGTGCTCGCATGGGTATTCTTGTTGCATCATGTGCTGTCATTGCTAGCAATCTCTACATCATGATGAATACCTACCGATGGGATTGGTTCACTGCTCTGATCAACGCCATCAGTAGTATCCTGATCTTCTTGTGGACCGGTATCTACACGTCGTTCGTTTCATCTGGCCAGTTCTACCACGGCGCTGCTGAAGTTTACGGATCGCTGAGCTATTGGGTTGTGCTCCTACTGACTGTCTTGATCTGCTTGCTGCCACGTTTCACGTACAACGCCATCCAGAAAGTGTTCTTCCCACTCGATGTTGACATCATTCGTGAGCAAGTCACACAAGGCAAGTTCAAGCATCTGGATGCCATTGAAGACCCTCCTATGCCTCCAAAGGAAGGAAAGGACGGCGATTTCAAGCCTGTCACTCCTAGCAATGACTCCGCCGCCTCTTCGGAATTGGCCAAGCCAGTCCAGCCAACTATGAAACAAGACCCCGGTCTTCACGATGAAGAGCGGCCTTTCTACGCAGCGTCCATGGCTCCGACTGCAAACACCCACAACCCTCGCAGTCAGAACGGGAGCAATGGTACCAATTACACTGCAAGTCTCGACCAATACCCGCGGCCACAGTCCGTGGATTATGTTCGACGATCTCACGACCGGACACGGCACTCATTCGAGCGCAGTCGACCAAGCTTTGAGCAGAGCAACGACTTCACCTCCGCAGCCATGCTCTCTCGAGTGGAGTCCTCGCAAACTCCACAGCGTCAGCGCGAAGACCCGTTCCGAACCCCCGACGATCCTCCTGTACATAATATGATATAAAGGAGCGCATCTTGCGTTGCATTGACCTTGACGACCTGTCCCTGATGACGTTTTACCCCCTCCATCGGTTCTTCTGATCTGTTCCTTGTGATTTCCCCTTGCCATCTTCCTACCGATGAGCAATATGCTTTGGTGTTTCCTTTTTTGAGTCTTTTTATATTCCCTGATAGAAAGCAGGCGTTGTTTGGTTTACTCCTTTGCTTTACCGGAGGTTTTAGCGCATTTCCATTATTTCCCACCCCTTCCCACTCATCATTCACTACTATTCACTGCCTCCAACGTTATCTCCTTGCTGTTTTCCCTTGTCTCATACCAGGACCATACTGGTCTACCTCTCTCTTCAAGGGTCTTGCCCTCACTCTGTCTCTTGTACAAAAGCGTTATAGTCTCTGCAATAGTGCACGGCATCCGCCTTTCAAGGCCCTCCTGTTGTCTCTTTTCATCTGTGATGTTGTATCTCAATTGTGGATCTTTTGGCTTATTCTATTTTCGAACTTGTTTTGTCAAAACGGACAAGGTAGCATTGCAGGGGGACATTCGTGTATTCAGTTCAATGCCCCTAGCGAGCACAGTACTTAATGTGTTTATTTAACATCTTCGTTCATATCCTTTAGAACCCTTTTAATAACCCTCTTTAGAACCCTCTGTAGAACTGTCTCTGGAGCGCATTCTGGAACCCATTTTGGAACCCTCTCTAGAAACCTCTTTCGAGCCCTCTGAATACACACTATGTGTACCATCAACCAAATGGCCCCTAAGTCAATCTGTCCAAAGCGTGATTCTGAAGTAGTTTCCCTTTTGGGTAAAATAGGGCGCGTCTACGCGTAGAAGCCAGTCTCACCGCCCGGCAGTTCGGCATCCCGCGTTTCTCTAGGGAATTTTTGTGTTTGCCATCTGATCTTGAGCTCTGCAATTTCTGAGAATATTCTCATTCTCTTGTGAGGCTGTAGCAAGTGGTGCTCGCCTGATTGTTCCCAAATTTGTGCCCTAACCAGCTCATAATAACCCGCAGCCCTCCCTTATACCTTCATTTCTCACAACAATTGTGACCTCCGTTGCTATCCTCCGCTCACTTCACCTCTGCCAGTTGAGCTCTATTTGAACTGCCTCTGTAGATAGCAGATTTCTGAACCGACTCAGAAATATGTGCTAATTGCCCTCGCTTTCGGATGAAGGAAATGCACTGCAGTCCGTCATTTGAGTCCTACGATTTCGATACTTTGAGCTAGCTGTGACAATGGAGTTTATCGATGGGATCGGGTAAGTGGTCACCAATCGTGGCAGTTGTTTGAAGCTGACCGGTTTTGATTTCTTGGACAGTGAGCTTAAGGCTGTTCCCGAAGGAGTCCACTTTTTCTGTCCCCGACAAAGCGACGATGATTATGGCCGATACGAAGACTTAGACCAGGTGGATGAATCGGGTAAGCCGATTAAGGATATTGTGGCCAAAGCCCAAACCCGCAAAGAGACCTTCCTCTCATCGATGCGCATTCTGGCATATCACAAAGATGGGGTTGAAGAGTTTCAAAACTGGATCCTGGGCAAACTCGACGATTCTCTCGAAAAATGCGATTTGTGCATCAAGCACTATTACACTGGAAGGATCTGGCTGGTGGATCGACTGAAGGAGGAAAATTACCAGGAAGACGACATTGAGGCCTTTGCCCAGAGAATCGATGAGTGGGATATCAAGAGAATCACGCGGAACTTGAAAACGGCCACGGATCAGCTGAGACAGACTCCTCTCGAGAAGATTAGTTTGGGTGTCTTGGACAGGGCTGCGTTGCTGTCGATATTCGAAACTTTGAGTTGCGAGGCCATGCTACGTAACGAGAGTCTCTTGCAGGAACACTTCGACGAACCGTTCAAACTCATTCAAACGAAACGAAGTCTCAAGGTCTCCGACTATATTCCAGCGGTCACTCGGTTTCTTTTTGATTCAAACCAGCTTCGATGTTTCTGGGCCCACAGCACATGGGCTAGATACACCAGGTCTCCCACTACCGTCGAATTTGAATGGGCAATCCGGGATGGACTTCGCTCGGCTTTACAGACTGCTTCGCTACAACCGCCTCAATTACCGGTCATTGCGCGTTTGTGGAGAGGGATGCAGCCTGTTTTACGAAAACTTGACAAGGAACAGATCACACATCAGCTGCGAGGTCTTGAGATAGATCCTTTCCGTCTATCTGTGGATCACATCGCCATTCCCTCTCCTGGTCTGCGATACCTCTTGAATACCATCCAGCTTTTCCTTGAGAAGGCACCTGCGGACTTTTGGGAGGCCATGCAAGCTATATCACCCCAAGCAATCATGGAGCAAACTTTCTATAACACGCAGTTCAATACTTATCTCATGGGAGCTACCGAGGGTGAACCGTTCGAAAACTCCCCACTGAAGGACATGCTGTCATGGATTCAACCTTTCCTGAGCTCCCTCAAAGGTGCTCACCAGCCATCTGCTTGTCGGTTTTTGACATTGCAATTACTTGGCAGACTCCAGAATCCCCAGTACCCTAATCTGGCCCGATATCACTGTTTCCACGTCGGATTGACCAGCCTCCTTCAGACCTTGCGACGTTTTACCGATAACGAGTCTTCCCGAGGCTCAGTGACGCGGGTCGTGTTGGCGGAAACAATGGGAGTCGTGAGCGATACTATCAACACGATCATCAACCCTCCGACGTTTGCTGTTGAACTGAGCCGTCAGCAGGATATTCGCAATCTTTGCATGGACGTCGTGCGCAATACCTTGGCGCTGGAGTGCCAGTCTCTCAAAACTGACTACGAGGTTATTCTCAAGCACAACACACTCTCACATGGTGTCTCTACTTACTCTGCCCAAATTTGGGATGCTGTCATCAAAAACCTTCACCAAAGCAACCTGCCGCTGTCAGGCTCCGCACTTCTGGGTATTTTGCCTCTCGTTGGGCTGGAGAAGTTCACCACAAAAGGCGAAACCAACCAGGAGAAGACCCATTTCAATATGATTTACGAACATCTGATCAATCTCTCATGTCGGATCATTGAACGTCTTGCAGACTTCCCGCCTGATCACCTAGATAAGTTGTTCCAAAGTCAGGACACTAGCAGCGCTGTGATCTCTGCCCTCTTTGCTGCCGACTTGGACACCTACACAGCTGCGGTTGACCTGATCAAGAACGCTACGGGTCAATCTGCTCGAAGAGATGCTATCTCCCACCTTCTCCAGTCCTCTTTTACCACTACTGTCTATGGTTTAAGTTGGTCTTTCCGCCGTATCTCGACGATGAAAACCTTCGCACCTGCACCAAGAATGCTGTACACTGGTACAGACATCGTTGAGACGCTATGCGATAACCAGAATGGTATTCTTCGAACTCGCAACCTTGCTGATCGTCGAGAGGTCATGGCACTGCAGAAACTCTGGGAGTATCTGTGGTCAGCACTCACCACGATCTTTGACGAGACCGAGGCATGGCACCTCCGGGGTAACGACAAGTCTGTTATGCTCGAGTTCTGTCGAGACACGATTCAATTTGCCGACTTTCTGTTCGACCAGTATGGTGTCTTCCTCGGAGCTGTAGGAAACGCGGATCCAAGCCAAACATCCGCATCCGAGAACTTCCTCAAATCTCCAACTGCCACAATGAGTGCCATGGTGAAATGGTTGAGGTTGAAGGATGAATTTTTAGCTACTACACTTGTCGGGCTAGTTTCAAAGCTTTTGCGTAGACTGGGTGTAATGGAAGTTACCACCGTTAAGCCCGATGCGTTGAGCTTCATCGAGGGGGTTGCTGTCAACGCTACCATCAAAACAATTTTGACTCCTCGCGAGAAGGCCGAGTTGGTGCGTTCCCTGGAGGCGTATTACAAGAAACCTGTCGTTACTGCCTCCACTGCTGCCCTCAAAAAGCAGTCTTCCATCACAGCTTTCGCCAAACCTTCCGATGTTTCGAGCCCCTCTCGTGTGAGTGGTGATGAGTTCGATGATGACTTGACTGATCAAACCCTTCTTGAGCTTTCCTCGTCAGTGGAGTTCAACAAGGCTCGCGTGGCTGCCGAAACGAGGAGGAAATCCGAGAAGGCGGCCAAGATGCAATTCCTTTCCTCCAGTCTCAAGGCACGCCCACCAGCACCTAAGCCAGTCGTTCCACCCCGTCCCAAAGATGACGCAAGTTCCGTCCTATCTTTCCGGGAAAAGCGTGAACGCGAGAAGGAGGCGAAGAAAAAGCGTGATGCTGAACAACTTGCTAGGCTCAAGAAGAACGCGTCGGCCAGTGGTGTTGGAGAACAGACTGCCGAACAAGGCTCCGGCTTGAAAGGTATTGGTATCAAGGGCAAGGATCACTCAATCCCTGCCGATAGTATGATGGTATCATCTGGCTCCGAATCAGATACAGAGAGCGAAGACGAACTGGACAAGGAATTGTTTGGCGCCATACCAAAGAAACCCGATGCCGTTGCGGAATATGAGCTGAGCAAAAAGAAATCACTAATCCAGCAGCCGATCAAAAAGGTCAAACGCCAGCGTTCGGTCCGGGACATGCGAGCACGTCTATCTCCCGATCTCAGCTCTCTTCACCACTCCATTCTATCCTGGGACTTCTTCGCAACCGGCGATCTTCCCCCCTCCTCCGGCCGCACTGACTACTCCCTCGTCTCGAACACATTCCGCACACCGGGTGATTATCAGAGCACATTTGAGCCTTTGTTGGTTCTTGAGGCATGGCAAGGATTCCAGGCAGCGAAAGACGAGGGCTCTTTCCGACCCTTCGAGGTCAAGGTTATGACCCGACTTGCAGTCGACACATGGATTGAATTCAGTACCCAGCCGCTTGGTATTCCTCCGAAGGACTTCAGCATGGGTGAAGGTGATCTTGTCTTGTTCTCCACATCATCGAAACCGACGAGCGACCAGAGTGCGCCTCATATACTTGCTCGTGTTTGTAATGTGAACCGGAAGAGTGGAAAGTTGGAGGTCACGTACCGGGTGAACCCCACAAACAACAAATTCCTTTCCAAATTTGGGCCTGGCACCGAGACATGGGCAGCCAAGATCACTTCCTTGACCCCCGTGGAGCGTGAGTACGGCGCATTGATGGCATTGCAATACTATGATCTGTGCGAGGAGATTGTCTTGGCTAAACCTTCGCCGCTTCTCACCTATTCGGATACAAGGCTGCAGCCCATCATGGACAACTACACTATCAATCGTGCTCAGGCGAAGGCCATCAAGTCTGCCGTTGACAATGATGCGTTCACTCTGATTCAAGGTCCTCCCGGTTCCGGAAAGACCAAAACTATCATCGCGCTTGTTGGAAGTCTCCTCAGCAACGTTCTTGGAAACAAAGCCGTGAGCATCAACAGTGGTGCGCCTGCCGCTAGGAACACAATGTCTAAGAAACTTTTGCTTTGCGCCCCCAGTAACGCTGCTGTTGATGAATTGGTCATGCGATTGAAGGATGGTGTGAAGACAACTGATGGCCGGAAGGAGAAAGTCTCTGTTCTTCGTCTGGGAAGAGGTGACGCGATTAATACTAAAGTGTTAGACGTTACTCTCGACGTCATGGTCTCTGCTCGTTTGAACCAAGATACCAGCAAAGGAGACAGCGTCGACATGCAAAAACTCTACGATGAGCACAAAAAGACCGATTCATCCTTCAAGGAGCTCCGTGGGCGTCTCGACGAAGCCAGAGCCAAAGGCCTGCCACCCCCGGAAGAGCTTGAACGTGAATTCGAGCTGATGAAGAAGAAGCGGTCTCAGCTCAGCACGTCTATCGACAAAGCTCGCGACCAGAACCATACATTTGCTCGTAACGCGGATATGCGGAAGCGACGGGTCCAAGAAGAGATCATCAATGAATCTCATGTCATCTGTACCACCCTGAGTGGTTCCGGTCACGACATCTTCCAATCGATCAATGTTGAATTCGAAACTGTCATCATTGATGAAGCAGCGCAGTGTATTGAACTCAGTGCTCTGATTCCGCTAAAATATGGTTGTTCCAAGTGTGTCCTTGTTGGAGATCCTAAGCAGTTGCCTCCAACAGTTCTGTCAAAGATGGCCTCTCAATTCCAGTACGAACAGAGCTTGTTCGTCCGCATGCAGAAGAACCATCCTCGGGACGTGCATCTCCTTGATATCCAGTATCGTATGCATCCAGACATCAGCGCTTTCCCCAGCGACACATTCTATGATGGCAAGCTGCAGGATGGTCCGGACATGGCCAAACTTCGCCGCCGTCCATGGCATCAAAGCGACCTTCTTAGTCCTTATCGATTCTTCGATGTGCAGGGCATGCATTCGGCCGCCACTAAGGGTCATTCGTTGATCAACTATGCAGAATTGCAAGTTGCCATGCAACTATACGATCGATTGATCACTGATGTGAAGGAATACAATTTCGCTGGCAAGATCGGCATCATCACACCCTACAAAGGTCAATTGAGAGAGCTGAAGAACCACTTTGCCCACCGATACGGCGAAGATATTCTCAACAAAGTCGACTTCAACACCACAGATGCTTTCCAGGGTAGGGAAAGCGAAGTCATCATCTTCTCTTGTGTGCGAGCATCCAACAAGGGTATTGGTTTCTTGGCAGACATTCGTCGTATGAACGTCGGTCTTACTCGTGCCAAGTCATCACTGTGGGTTCTTGGTAACTCCCGTTCGCTTGTCCAAGGTCAATTCTGGAACAAGTTGATCACCAATGCACGCGATCGAAATGTCTACACAGAGGGTGATATCCTCAGGATTCTGCAGAAGCCACAGTTCACCGGGTATAAAGAGGTGGATATGGTTGACGTTGATGCCGAAGCAAGCTCCGATACTCACGGCAAAGAAGGTACAGACAAGGAAGCCTCCATGCCAGCTGTTTCCCGATCTTCCTCTGAAGAATCCTATGACCCTGAATCGCAGCCCGTCTCCATTCCTGAACCCAAGCATACTGGACCACCCCTGACACGTCCAGATGGGCCCTCCGGAGGAGGCAACGGTCTAGACGAGACCAAAGTCTGTGGCATATGCGGAAGTGCCAAGCATTATACCCATAACTGCGATAATGAGGATGCAAAGCTTGATGCTCATGGGAACTGCTTCCGCTGTGGTAAAGCTGGCCACACCAAAAATGCCTGCCGGGCCGAGCGCTGTCTTGAATGCGGCCAATGCGGACATACAGCCGTAAGTTGCACAGCCCCGAGGTCTCTTTCCAAGTTCCAAAAGGCCCGTGTTGAACGAGACGAATACAATCTTCAACAACGTCAACAAGCATTCGCGGAGCGGCAGCGAGAACGTCAGCTGGGGGGGCATGACCGGAAGGTTCCTACTGTTCAAGCCACAACTTCGAACAACCCCAAGAAGAATGTTGACGAATCCGCGAAACGCAAACGCGGTGACTCCGCGTCCGAGGCGCCACAAGCACAGCGCCCTCGGACGGCGTCATCTAACGCCCCAAACAATGCCTCGAAGGGACCAAGGGGTCACACTGGTCTTTCTGGCCATCCTGGTCTATCTGCGCCTCCGCGTGGTAAGCCTCGCGGTCCAGGCAACACAAGAGTTGCAAGCCACCCTGGTCTCTCTGGGCCCCCAATCAATGCTCCCAAGGGCCCGAAAGGTGGTTCATCCAAAGTGAGTTTTGCCCCTCATGTTCGCAGTATCGATATCCACTAACAGAAAACTAGAATAATGCCCCTCCCAGCGCCCCGAATGGTCCCCCAGAAGTAAGTTTTGCTATTCGACACTAAACGCATATCATTCTTGCTGACGATATAACAGGGTCTCATCAAACCTTCTCGCGATGGACCGGCTTATCCCATTGATGGCAACTCGCCGAAGATCCCGACGGGACCCAAAGCAAATGTAAGCGCGGCTATGTCTAACTTTCTGATCCATCACTCATACTTATATCACATCAAATCAGGCTCCTAACCAAGGTCCTTCCAAGCCTCGACCACCGATGCGCACAAAGAAACCGTCCGACCCATTTATTCGCCCTAAGAAACGCCAGTGAGCGTTGGCCGTCCCACTCAACCCCCACATCCCCAGTACCCCTCCTCTTAGCCACACATTTATTTTCAGCATTACAAGGCGCTAGCGAGGTACACTTGGCTTTTTTTCTTTGTACTCCATACATATTTGATTTGCAATCAGCGGTCGCAGATATTTGTTTCTCCGGTTCACCCGAGACTCGGCGTCAAACATACGCACCGGCCGAAGAGGTGGAGATTCTATAGTATCTGTAGTGGTCTCATCCACCGGTGTAAAAGCTCAATTTTCATTTTTACGTACATCGCGACGGAGCTGGAGGTTCTAGAAAACCACAATATGCACAGAAATCCGGAATCGACATAGGCGAGCCAGAGCAATTAGAGCTCAATGTTCTAGATCAAAAACCTTGAAGCTCTCGGCACACTGGAACCTCGGAAGACATCCGTACAAGAATATGTTATACATATGTACTCGTACAGAGTACGGAGTACAGGCTCACCGGATCGAATCCGGGCCCGATGCTAAGACTGTCTCGACGTTCGGAGAGGCTTCCATCCGCACTAAGTGGATAACTCCAGTAAGCCAAGCGAAGTGGAAATCAGATTCGATGGGTCTTAGGCCTGAATACGCACAGAGTACGATGTAAAGTGAAATTGATTTTAGGAAGATCCGTAAATAAGGTGTGAAGAAGAGCGTTGTTCGGAGAAAAGCAGTGCATGCATATACTGAAACGCAGGCAAGGGGAAGTATAAAAAGGGCAGGGCTTCGGCAATAATCACTCCAGGGTTACCTTTGTCTATATTGGGACTCAACTCACTTGTTATTGCATTCTGATGTTAGTGAGGAAATAATTGCCCTGGTCTCACATACAAACTTTGCAGTAACTTTAAAAACTTTACTTTAGAAGTTGAAGGGAGTGAAGGAGGTTACAGAGTACTCCCTACACAGAGCGTATTATTATTCTTACTTAGTACTTACACCCTTTGATTAACTGGTTAATTAAGTCTAATTAAGTAGTTGTACTCGTTGACTCGTATCTTTTGAAAATCCATTAATCTACGCTGTAATAGTCTAATAATCCCGGTCAACCAAGTGGTTGGATTTGCTAGCTCCGGTGATAGTTCGAGGATCTGTGCGTGTGAGCTGTCACTCCGCAAATCCCACAATGATCGCCTCTAACCTGAAAAATAGGCAAAAGTCGGAAACTCACCTTTGAAGATCATGACGCGAACATGTTTGCCGATTGACCGCGATACCTCACATCAATTGCGGAGTACAGGGCTTGACGTTTTTTCCCCTGTCGGTACTGAATCCTCCCCCTTGCATTGGACAAAAAGGAGCAAAAGGTACGTTCACGTTCAATTCTAGATCGGCCTATGAATAAACAGCATTGTTCACGATGCGAAGATGCGATCTCATCGATGTGCGATCTTCCCGAAGATAGTGAGAGAGAGCGACGCGCTGTATCATATTCTCATCCCGACATCCACCCGTGGCGATGTACGAGTATACCAGCGTGTTTGACAGTGGCCCACTCCTTTCTAGGATCAAATCCCTTTGGTCGAACCAATTCTCAATAGATTCTCCGTATTTTAGTGTAGTATTTTAACTCCAACCGTATCTATTATGTGCCTTCCCAGGCTCCGAGGGGTACTCCTGCGCCCCGAGTCCAGGATCTCCAAGTAAGGATGCGACAGCTCAGAAATCGACGAGAGAAATTCTGAATTTCCTATTAAATTCCCCTGATCTCCCGGTTGCCTTCAAGCTTCCAGTTCGTTTCAAACGCCACCTCGCCTCTGTACATAGTGACACCCCCTGTATAAACTGTCATATGTGTCGGCATATCACATCCTCTGTTTATTAAAACGATCATTCCCATGCTGTTTGGATCTTGACAAGTAGGTGAGAGAACAATGTTTTCTCAGCCAATTTCGTTCTGACGTGGTCTCTCTCCAGGATACTACCTGGTAAACCCTAACTTGATGTCGACGCCTGCGCGCAGTCGCATTGCGAACTTGTCCATTGATGCCCCATTTACCTATGCATTATTGGGATTCATCGAATGACTACGCTGTCGCACCCAGCCCAATTGTTCGGACTTATCGACCTGACCCTCCGAAACGCAAAAGTCCCAATATGCCATCCCCAAAGACAGCCCCGCCGGTCGTTCTGTCTCCGAGGCCCGATAGTGGACCACGACCCCAGGCCCGTTCCGCTGGCACTGCTGAACGACCTGGTAGGAATGAAAGTCTGGTCGATCTGGTTCGCTTCTTTCAGACTCAGAACATGACACCGCAGATCTTGCCTCCGCCGACTCCGTCGGAACCACAACACTCTCCTAAACTTCAACATGAACCTCTGCAGCAGCCCCCAAGTCCCCCGGACACAACAACGGCACTTCCAGTTGCCATCTCTCCCAAGGAATCCAAGCCAGAAATTAAACAGGATCTCAAGCCCTTCCACCGGCGTCTCCTTCAGTTTGCCCAGCGTCCCAAGAAGGAAACCTCCGCCAGATCGAAGAAAGATGAGCAGCAGCGTCAGATCGAAGCATTGACCAGAGAAGGCTATTTGATTCCACCCCCTCTACAGAAAGGTGCCAAGACCTCGAAGGATGCCAGTCAATCCAAGGAAAGCCTGTCACTCTCTATCTCAAGATCTCTCTCGAAATCCAAGCGAGACGTGGAAAACATTGGACAGCCATGGCTGCAAGCCAAAGGCGATGGCAGGATGCGGACAATCGAGAACAGCCGCCAACTGGGATCTTTGGACCTAGGTGACTTCGGCTCAATGGTCGACGTATCAGTCTCCCTCTCCGAATTCGACGATGCCGTGCCCCCACCATACCAACCAAATGATAACGGACCGTCCTCGTCTTCTTCAATGATCCCAGTCCCAGGCTCTGTGGGAGGCTCTAGCCCAGCGAATTCTATCAAACCACCTTCGTCTATTGCGTCAACTAGCCGCTCTTACAGAAATGTCTCTATCGACGAGCAGCTCCCACGGCCAACTCTTGCAGCATCCAGTGCCGATGCCACTTCACAGGAGAAGCGCACTGCTCCAAAGTCTCGTCATGGCCCTGACAGTGTGAAAGACACAACATCTACACCCAGGACCTCGTGTGATAGCTTACGACGAGATCAGTCGGACAAAGCTTCCGTCCGCAACGTGACTCCGTCTCAACCTGCTCTGAAACTTTTCCCTGATGTTGCACCTCCTCGGAAATCGAGCAATACCTGGAGAGCCTCGGTTGTTCCCCGGAGTCAAATTGTCAACAATCTCACGGCCTCAGTCTCAACCCCAACACCGGCTCCACAGGTGAAGTCTGCGACTACTTCAGTGGACTCAGAAGCACCACGAAAGTCATCGGATGTCTTCACGGATGGTCCTACCAATGCATCCGAGCCACAGTGTGCGGGTGCTCTCGAGCCGAGCGCCACTTCTTCCCAGCCCCCGTCAGAGAAAACAGCAGAGGAGCCTGACTCGACAAACCAACCGAAGTCGCGGCGGACCTCCCTGTCCATGGGCACCCTCAAGGCGTTCCCTTTGCCTGCACCTACCAGACCGTTGCCATCATTGCCTGAGGTTGGGCGTTCTCCTAGTGCACCCCCTGACAGCTGTGCTCGCTCTATTCGGTCTACTAAATCAGGCCCCGGGCCCTCGAATCTGCAATCTTCTTCCTTGGCGGTTCCTGACACCGAAGAGACCGAATCCACCACCGGCAGCCCCAGTACTGTTGGCTCTCGCCCAGCCACTGCTGTTGGCAGCATTGGCGCCGGAGGATCCCTCGCCGACGATGAAGACAGTATGTTTACCCCATCGATCTCCGAGAATTCCAAGTCCACCCCAGGGCTCTATACCGCCAGAGGGCGTGCTTCAAGCGTGCGCATCCCGCGTATGCAAGAGCTTCCCGAAACTCCCAGTCAAGACAAGGGGCAGCCCTTGGCCGACTCGCCTGTCCTTGGACATGGTACGCCCACGAAGTCCAATGGCAAGACTGCTGCGAAGAACCTTCAAATCAACTCAAAAGTGGCTCGAACAAATCTTCCATTTGGTTTACCCTCGCCTCCCCCAACAGGCTCTTTACCATCAGCACCTCCTCAACACGCGCCGCCCGCTCCTCCAGGAAGCAAAACTGGGCAACGTAACGTCACTGCTCCCCATGGAGGCAAGTATTCATCAATGAAGAGCAAAGATGTTCCCGCCGGGCCTGGATCTTACCGGAATTCCATGATCTCCCGAAGTGACAGTTCCCGAAGTAGTCTTCGGAATGAAAGCTTCCCAGATTCCTACGAAGAGAGAGAAAGCCACCAACAGTCTCGACCCGAGTCTCCCATCGCCTCCTCAGATGACGAGGTCACTGGCTCCAAAGCGACAGCGAAACAGTCCCGTCGCGAACCCACCAAACACAAGCGCATCCAAATAGTGCGCCGCGAGCACGAAACAGCAGACAACGATCAACCATCTCGCTCACGTCTTCGCTATCCCCAGCCCACTCGCCCTGCACCCCACAGCCGCAGCAGCCACAGTCTCGACCAGACTTCATCTCAACAGTATTCCCAGCAGTCGCATCGACCAAGAGAGTCTCACAACAATCGTTCACGCGCACACTCAGACCACTACCTCGAAGACCGGGTAGCGAACCTCGAGCGCCAAAACCAAATGCTCCAGGCTGCTCTCATGGCAGCACTGAATGCCAGTGGCAAAAACCCATTAGAGGGTCTCAACATCGACCCAAACATGACACCTTCATTCCAGAACGCTCCATATGTCAACCAATATTCGAACCGGCACACCCGCCGCGACAGCTGGCTCAGTTCCTCTCAGAGCAGCAATAACAGCGCATATGACGCAAATTGCAAGGACAGCCGCGCAAATGTCAAGCAATTCGACCATATGATCGAAGATATTGAGTCTGGATGGATGTCGGACAAGTCCAGTCTCAGTGGTGCTCGCGCTGTCCACAGACACTAGAGAACGATCTCTACTCTCTCTTTCTTTTTCTTTTTTCATATTTCAAATCTCTCTGGTTCTTTTACTCTTTTTGTTTGGGTTGTGGTCCTTTTCCTTCGAGGTTTGATTTCAGCCTTGATCTTTCCCTTCTTCATGATACCATTCTGTTACGCTCTTCTTGACTCTTTCTTTTTTGGCCATTTCTGATTTTCTGGTCTTTCTCTTGTGGATGTGCATGATAGTTCAGTGAATATGATATACCCGTTGATACTCCTATAAACAAGTCTATATACACATGAGTCAATTCAGGTTTAGATCAAGATGGCAGTGTTCTACCTTGATACCCTCATATTCCTATGTATTGAACGAAGTGAGCTACATCCATCGAATGATAGTTAGGCGAACGTATCTCCTCTTGAATATAATAGCTTATGAGTATTTGACACAGAGAACAAGCTGTCGCGAACGCCGGTCTTGTTGATTATTGAAATGATTAGTAATCGTTTGTTTGGACCGAAACATCTGAACCTGAAGCTGTTCAGCTCAACCAGATCATATGCTGCAATTGTCCCTACTCTGTACAATAATCTGTCCAAGTGGTTGCATGCAAGGCAAATAGCGCATCGAAACCCAACCCCTAACCCAACCCTCCACCCACCCCTCCTCGCATTCTTCACATTCCCCACGGACACCATGGCCAACGCAACTCAAGTAAGCTCCTCCCCAAACCCAAGCAGAGCAAACTAACACCCCAAAGCGCACACAACAAGTGCCCCAGCACGTCACCGCCCTCCTCTCCCACCTCACCTCCCGACCAGGCGTGCAATCAACCCTGATCCTCTCCCGCAAAGACGGCTCCATCATCCAAAGCACAGGACAATTAGCACAGTCTGAAGAGAACCGCACTCCAGAGAACCAACTCACATCTGAATCATCCCCTGCCTCGCCCGCCCCACAACCCTACCAACCATCTCAAGCCGAGACACTCGCAGCCCACATCTTCGCATTTGTTTCCAGTGCCGCAGCACTGGGAATCTCACTTTCACGACCTGTGACAACCAACCAGAATGGCCATTGGGACGAGGCGTACGATAATGTTAATGAGGGCGAGGATCATGACCTTGATAGGGATGAAGATGGGGAAGTGAAGCTGCTCAGGATGCGCACGAAGAAACATGAGATTGTGGTTGTGCCAGATCGGAAGTATCTTCTCTGTGTGGTGCATGATGCTGCTCCTGGGCCGGTGGCTCGTCGGTAGCCCTGGGGATGGTTGATTTTGGGAATATTATTGATGGGTGTTTTGGAACTTGTCTTTGGTTCTTTTCTTTTTTTGGGTGTTGGCTCTTGATTTCATACATATACCCGATGGAAGCTGAATCTTTGCATTTGAATCTCGTTTGGATTACTGTGAGGGTCTAATTGGTTTGCTCTTGACAGATGAATCAATACTGGCCTCGGCCTTGGAGTATCTCATAAAGAGTAATGTACGAGTAGGCAAGGGAATACAGTACACCAGCATCTGCAGGTGGCAAGCTCTAGAATCGACTGAATCTAATGCTTAAAGAATGGCATCGAAACTCATATTTGGAGTAAATGCCGTCTCAACAGCTCCACCGTACCCCTCTCTTGCGGGGGAAAGCCCTGGGTCTCTTGTCACTTGACACTCTTCTACTTTACAACACATCCTATTTGTTACGGCCACTCTCGATGTAGCATCAACTTGCTTCCTTGCTTCATAGCAGGAGCAAGTTTATACGATAACACCGGTGAGAGACATGAAACCTCCACACATCTGATAGCTCCCAACGGCTAACAAGACCAAGTCACCTGGGTAGCCAAGTCTTGGACAATTTAGCCGACTCATGAGTGGACGACAGCGAATACAAAAGTCTATATTGCGTTATTGCTGACCATTCGCTGAAGCAGCAGTATTCGCTCTTAGCTTGATACGAACGTCCAGCTTGGCGCCTCATACAAAGTCTCCAGCTTCATATGCACTCGATGCACGCAAAAGCATACGAAGTGGCCGCCGGGTTCATCTGCTGAAATAAGTACTCGTACTTGTTGATCCGTCGCAAATCCAAGGTGCTAGGCCCAAACAGCTATGCTCATACCTAAACAGGTCAACATCGGCATTCCAACTACGAGTATTACACAATCTCTCAGCCCTCAAATTCCAGCATGGCAATGAGCTAGTCCTCTCCAAGCTTAATCATGAGGCTAATACCGCCCCGTGGGTCCAGGTCGCAGAACGATTGGGCTTGAATACTCGTATCAACTGGGAAGCTGTCGATCCAAAGAATCCAGTCTATGAGAGTTTGTCCTTGCTACCAGATCAGGCTGGCTCCATGCAACGGGATGAAATCACTATGGCTTGTCAAGTACCGCTTGTACTTGTACCCAGCCGGGGCTTACTTGTAGCGTCTTTATCAATGTGGATCTCGTTAGGCACTGCTGTGGACAAAGTGGTCCTTGCGCCGTCAGGTTGACGAAGACGTTAGACATAGACTTCTACGTCAGACCGGAAACACCCGTGAAATAAAAAAAGAAAAGAAAAGATGAGAGACACGAAAATCCCCGGCCTTACTCAGACATCATACCCAGTATTAGGCCCAACTGTACGCGTCGCGACCAAGCCTGTCTGCTGCCCAGGTGGCCACTTCGAACTCATCCGAGTCCTATAACGTATGCTGAGCTTCAAGCTCATCCAAGTCAGGGTATTCCCCAGGTTGTGGAGAACACTGAGTCAAGTGGGTCCACATGGACTGCTGGATGAGCTGCAGAGTGGTGAATTCCGCCGTTATCGGGGGGTAAGTAAGGAGGCCGAGTATCAGGTTCCCATGTTTGTGGTACAGGGTGTCGTGGGCGTCTGTATGTAGCAGTTGTCGATCGGCGCTGTTCCGAAGTGGTCATATGTGCAGTCACCGGTTGTTGGACTCACCGATGTGGATTGCGGATCCTGCATTATAACACCGGTGAGTGGTTCTGGGATTTTTCCGGGTCTTTCCATTAGAGACCGAGGTTGAAAAGGCGTACTCGTAGGCTACAACTACTCTGACGGAAGTACCGGTCTACTCAGGTATATGTGTGAGTATGCACTGTAGATACTGTATGCTCTTGCGTTCCAAGGTTATGTATAGATGCGGTGAAGAGATTTCTATTATGAGTCTATCCCTACTAAACTGGTGATAGCAGCACAGGACCTCGGGAGTTAACTTGAGAAGTAACTAAGTAGTGATAGCCGGTCTTTCAAGATGAATAGGACTGGTAGTGTAGGAGGTATCAAAATGAAGCCTGACAGCCTAATAAGTCATGTGCCCGAAGGTTCCCCAGGCTGCAGGCAACCCCAAGAAGACCGATCAGCCCACCAATCAGAAAGTCCACAGTGGAAATCAAGAAAGAAGCGCATCGGCATAGGCTCCCTGCACATCAGAGTGGGGCCGAATCTAAGACTCTCTTTGGGGCTGGGGATTGGCCCAGCGTGGCAAAGGTGAGTCAAGTCTGTAGAATGATCACGATCATGGAAGAATATACGGTGATATAATTATATAATTCTAGTAGAATAATAACATATTAGATATTAGCATTTAGCATAAATGATGTGACCTAAGGGTGGCACTGCATGTCGATGCCTGACATGTTGGGTTGATGCATTTATCGTCAAATAAGGAAATAGAGAACAGTATATGGAATATCAAATATCAAATATCAAATATCAAATATCAAATACATTTATAAACTGATGTATATCTACTATCTACTATCCTATATCTTTCTCTACTTAAGTGTTAAGTATTGTAGAGTTGAACGGAGTGAGTCACCGTCGTACCACTCCTATCTCGGACTTCCTCGCCGCATCCGGGTTTTTCCCCCCTCCTGAAGACTTCTCTTCTTCATCAGCGACGGAGTCATAGCCCTATCTCCTGATTCATAGTGTCTGTGATTCTGCCAGTATTAGAGTATCCGTTCGAGTATTTCATTATATTCTTTCGGCTGGTACTGCGCCTCCTCCCCGCCACCCTGTTCTCTTGCCACAGTGTGACTATTTTTTCCTGCTTCAGTTCTATTTTTTGCCTCTCTTAGTCACTCGGTGTTCTCGGGAAAAAAAAAGAGTCATAGGTATGAGATAAAACTACAACTTCCAACTCGGATCTTCAACTGACACTCCTTCTCCGCTCCAGCCCTTTCCTGCCTAGCCTCACCCTCACTCTCTCACTCTAGTCTCAACGACTGCCTTGTCCAAGCAGCCACCAACCTGGTTCTGCCTGTTCCATGGCCCGTTGAGTGACCAACTTATACCCCCCATTATACGTTCTTGTTCAAAATGTACCTTATTGATTCATCCGACCCGATCGCCCGTGTTTCTGTCAACCGCATCGTCGTCACCGGCTACTAAACTCGTCAAGAGTCATCTTTGCCACGTGCCCCTGCTTTGGTTCTTATATCAGAAGCACTTGGTTTGATCGGATCGTGAATCCCTTGTCTTTATAGCCTCTTTGCTGTCTTTTCCCGCTATTCCCGGCGGCTCCGCGTGTTCCTCTTCCCTTCTTAATCCGGTTATCAACCTGGCGATTTTCTAAAAGGTCTGCCGTCGCCTACGTCGCAAAAGACGGCCTCTGTCTCCTCGGCTCTCGTTCCCGGTTCCCTCCTAACGGTATCTTGACACTTATAACGGTTTCCAAAAATCGGCCCATCTCGCTTTCTATCCGACCCGCTTCTCCCATCTGAACCCCAGTCCATATGAACACTACAGCACCGGATATGTCAGGGATGGACGTCCTGGGTATGAACCTCTCAAACCCAGGCTCTCACTTGACTGCGTCTCATCACGCACACCCTTATGCCTCTTCGATCTCCTCCTCCGCTTCCTCCTCTTCTTCCTCCGTCTTCTCTCTCGATTGCGTCTCGAGCTCGATCTCTTCGACATCGACCAACCCGGTTGACGTGATTTGGGAGGAAGGTCAAGGAAGAAATGCCGGAGCTGTGCCCCGGACTGTGTCCAAGGCCGCTCCCAAGGCGGACGGTGTAGTGCCATCCGAGCTGCGCACGCATCCTCGGCGCACTAACAGTTATGCTTCTAGCGCCCCAAGCGCGCGCCCTCCGCCCTGTCTGCTGCGGCAGTCGGAACGGAAGGTGAACTTCGTCGATAACCTCGTCGGTGAGTCATGAAGACAACTTGATAGACATCTGACCACCTTTGCTAAACCTTGCACCCAAGACACCGCATCACAGATCGTCGAGACTATTTGGCCTCTCTCTGCCGCGGCATCCCGGAGTGATGCTGCAACTGGATCAAAAGGGGTTCTTCCCCTCCGCACTTTTATCCAGGAAACACTTCGCCGGTCGCGGACTAGCTATAGTACCTTGCAGGTGGCCTTGTATTATTTGATTAAAATCAAGCCCCACGTTCCTACCCATGATTTCACTAAGGAGCAGCCTCGGGATCAGTCGCTTTTGCGGGCGATGCAATGTGGACGTCGGATGTTCCTGGCTGCACTGATCCTCGCATCCAAGTATTTGCAGGACCGCAACTACTCTGCTCGGGCATGGAGCAAAATCTCCGGCCTTAACACCCTGGAGATCAATCAGAATGAGCTCATGTTCTTGAAGGCTGTTGGGTGGCGCTTGCACATTGATGAAGCGACCTTCCAACGCTGGACCGACCTGGTCTTGAAGCTGACCCCCGGTGCCGGTGGACCAACTGCCGAAGGTCAGTGCTGGCAGACTGTGCTTCCTCGACTCACGCCTGAATTGGAATTGGCAGAGTCGGAGCCTAGAACCCCGGTCTCGGCTATGGGTGGAATGGATCTCGGTCTGTCGGAGTCCCCCTCACCCCGGAGTATGCCAAGCAACGAATCGATTCGCTCCCGTGAGCAAACTCCCGCTGGTGCTCGGAGTCTCCCACGGGCTCTCGAGCCGACTCCTCGCATGGATTTCTCCAACCTGGCTATGCCTGGTATGCCGCGTCCTACGATGCTTCCCACGCCCCAGATGACCCCCCAGTCCCAGATGGCGTCTACTCCTGCTGCGAGTATGGCTGCCTACTGCCGTCGCCCATCCATCTGTACGGCTATGTCCCAGGCGCAAAATGCTGGCATGGCGCGATCGACTCTCGATCAGCGCCCGCCCATGTCATTCTGCCCCCGGACTCAGTCGTTCGATGGTTACCCGGCAGCGGTCCGTCGGTCCTCTTTGGCTCGGTCGACCTCCTCGGCGTCTTCACCCGACTCGATGGTGTCAGACGTTTCTACTTTGTCGTCTCGCTCTTCGCGATCGTCATCAGTTTCGTCCAATGCCTCGGGAAGCTGCGGTTCAGCCCCTGCTCGCTTGGCCGTCAAGGCCACCTTGCGGTGCACCAGCAACTCCCTAAAGGAGTCCCGTAAGACTCTGGCCATTGCCTCGCCAATCGACGAGAGCTCTCTGGTCGGTGTCTACAGTTCCCCCGAGTACCCAAGCTCCATGACATCTTCCGTCCCAGACCTTTCCAACTTCACCCTGGATTCCAGCCTGAGCGAAGCTGCCCAGAGTCTCTGTGAACTTTCCGGAGCAACCCCTGAGCGTCGCCAGTGCCGCAAACGTGGACGCACAGGATCCGACGATCTCTTGCTCCAAAACCACGTGCGCCAACTGATCAACCTCGGGGCTCCTGGCGAGTCGGTGGTGCCCGACGGGCAATTCCCCCACTCGTTTATGACTCACACGAATCCCCTTGCCCCTGTGCGGATTGGTCCCGTTTCCGGACCAGCCGGTATGAAGCGCGCCTGCTGTGGCAGTGAAGCCCGCAAGGTTGCTCTCAACCCAGGTCTCCGTGTTGCCGAGTATCTGAATTGACATGCAATATGTTAGCGGATCTTTCTATATTTCTTTTGTATGAAAAGAAAAAAGTCCGTCGTTTACTACTTATTATTTTTTGATTTGGCCAGCGACCGCACCCTGAAGTGTTGTACATACCCTTATTCTCTCGGGCACTGGGTCGTTGTTGGGCGTTTGATTCCCTCGAGTGTACGATGTGGCGCGTCTGGCATCGTGCATCGTTTCTCTCTTTACCCTTTTTCTTTTATCACGGAGCGTGGGTCGGCATGGGGATTGGTCTTTTGTTTTGATTATACCACCAGCTTTTTGGTCAGCGGTTAGGTTAATCCAATACTGAGCGAAAGCTTAAGATTTGATCGTATTCTTAATTGATATTAGTACTATGTGCGGAGTACTCCTTACATATGAAAGTCCATACTATAGGGCTGTGGAATGCCTTCACATGTCTACACCGGGTGACGTGCTTTGAGACATCATATGATCTCTGAGATCCCCAGCTATATATTCATTAGAGTGGAATAGATCTCTCTTTCTCTCCAGGGCTAATTAATTTGCTTTGAGAACCTTGGAAGGATTCTGATCATCCGATCAGATAAGATATCAGCTGATCCTCTCCGCTCTTCTCCGCACTCCCGGGATCTTTTGTCTTCTCTTCCTACACTTGAGCAACTGTACATGTTGAGAACCATGAAGCTCTACAAAGTCTCCGTTGTCCCCATGTTCACCCTTCTCACCCTCACAACCAGCTTTGTCCTCCCCCTTCCGGACAACCTCCAAGCCTTCCTGGGAGTCGAGAACGAGGCCCCTCTCAACTCCCCCGTCCAAGATGAAGGCTTCAGCCGCCCCTCATGGTTCACATCAGCTCTGATGGCCCGCCGCCTCCTGGCCCTCTCCCCCTCAGGCGTGATCACAACCACATTCCCAGACTCCCTCCCCCCCTCCGCCCACGCCCCCTCAGACGTAGCCGGCCTCTCCATAGGTCTACGTGAGTACATCGCCGACTGCGACAGCTCTCTACCAAAAGACCTCTCCCACGACGACAACGGCTCCCCAACAATCCTAGGCCTCCGCATCGGCACCACATTCAAGAACATCGCCTCCGGCTCCAACCTCAGCCTTCAACTAGACTGGTGGGACCATCTCGACGAAGCAGGCCCTGTCTACCCAGGCCTCCCTCTCAGTCCTGCCGCTCTACCTCGCGTCACTCTATTCGGATACTTGGATTCTCTCCCTTCGCCTCTTCCAGACGACGCGGCTGCCGCGCTGGAAGCTTGCTTCCTTGGTCCGCATCCTGATGCCAAGGTCTGGTTGCCTGGTGCTTCGTACTCGCCGCATGCTAGCTTTTGGGCTAGGCTGGTTGTTACGCATGTTTATTGGATTGGTGGGTTTGGGGACGTGCAGCAGATTGGTTGGATGAATTTGACGGAGTGGCAAGGGATCAGACCTTATGGTAGTGTTGCGGGTGTTGGGGATGGTAGGGGCTGGAAGGATGTTCGTCTACCGGGTGAGAAGGAGTAGGGAGTACGTACTTTGTATCCTGTACGGAGGATATACAGATATACTCAATGCTACCTACCTAGTGTAGTGTGTCTCTTGGCGTTGAGCTCATTCGCTCGCTGCTTATCATGCATCTGCCCTATCATGTCTTATCATGTCTTATCATCAGTATAAAACGGTGTGCGGAGAGTACCTAGGTAAGCTTCGCATCATTTTGGTTTGCTTCCAAGGTCGTGCTTGCTACTGTTTACACCTGCCGACTTTGTGTTGCTTGTCTTAATTGCATTGAATTCCAACTCGTCTTCGACGCAGACCTTGAGTCAAGACGTCATACATCATGCGCATCGCAAGACCTCGACTCCGAGTCTCTCAGGGCGAGTCAGCATTCGCAGTAGGGAATGCACGCTGGACAAATCTAGACCTGGACCCGATCGCCAAAGAGCGACGCAAATGGGGCGTGTCTAGCCTCGTAGGTGCGCTTATCTCCCTCTACTTCGCAGACCGAGCTCACAGCACCCTGCAGCATATTGGATCTCAGATGCCTTCAATGCCGCAACCTGGCAGTTTGCGAGTAGCATCATTGCAGTGGGACTAACCTACCGCGAGGCACTGGGCATCGTCGCCCTATCCTTCTTCATCATGTCCTTCGTGATCGCCGCCAACGGTGCCGTCGGCGCAATATACCATGTTCCATTCCCTGTGATTGCGCGAGCCAGCTGGGGCTTCTGGGGCTCATACGTTGCTATAATTTCCCGAGTCATTCTGGCAGTCTTCTGGTTCGCCATTCAGAACGTCAATGGTGGGAATGCCGTTCGCGTCATGCTAGGCGCCATCTGGCCCAGCTACCTGACTCTCTCAAACACCATCCCCGAGTCACAAGGGATAACCACCAACGGGATGATTGGATTCTTCATATTCTGGCTGATCCAAGTCCCATTCCTATGCATGCATCCCAACAAACTACGCTGGCTCTTCACCATCAAATCAATACTAGTCCCAATAGCCTGGATAGCAATCCTAATCTGGGCATTCGTCGCAGAGAAAGACGGCGGTGGAGTCTTCACTGCACAACCCTCCACCCTCCCCAGCTCAAAATACAGCTGGCTATTCCTAGCAAACATGACCTCCGTCCTAGGAAACTACGCCACCCTCTCCGTCAACCAATCCGACTTCTCTCGCTACTCCCGCGTCAGTCCCCGCTGGCAATTACTCTACATCCCCATGCTCCCAATCGTCTTCACATTCATCTCCTTCATCGGAATAGCAGCCTCATCAGCAGGCCAAGCACATTACAACCTCCCCACAATCCCATGGGACCCAACAGTCCTAATAAGCCACTGGCCCAACCGAGCCTGCAGATTCTTCGGCGCCTTCTCCTTCGCCCTAGCTTCACTGGGCGTCAACATCTCCGCAAACTCCCTCTCAGCAGCAAATGACTTCACAGCACTAGCACCACAATATATCAACATCCGCCGCGGCCAGCTCCTCTGCGCCCTCTTATCCTGGTGTCTTGTCCCATGGAAAATCCTAGAATCAGCAGGTAATTTCCTCACTTTCATGTCTGCGTATGCTGTCTTCCTCGGCCCAATCGCCTCAATCATGCTCTTCGATTTCTGGATCGTGAATCGTCGTCGATACGATACACTAGCTCTATACCAGCCTTCCAACCCGAGATATAGCTACGCATTCACGGCAGGGAAGAAAATATCTGGTGTGAATTGGCGCGCGATGGTGGCGTTTATAGTTGGTGTTGTGCCCAATTTGCCTGGTTTGATCAACTCAGTGAATCCGGGTGTTGATGTTGGGGTTGGTGTGCATCCATTTCAGTTTGGTTGGTTGTTGGGGTTTGTGGCGACGACGCTGGTTTATCTTTTTTTGTCTTGGGTTTTCCCTGCGCTGGAGACCAGGATTGAGCATGCGGTTTTGCCGGATGAGGTTTATGAGAGGGGGTTGGGATTGGATGGGGTGGATGAGTTAGGGCTGGGTGAGAAACATGCTGTTGTTGAGAAGGTTTAGGGGTTTATTGGTTTATTTGAGTATAATCTAAGGTCCGGTTAATATTATTTACTCTCGTCCGGAGTACCTGGGTATGAAGTATCTTGTCTTCGGGTTGGTACGAAGTTGTAATTAAGGGTCCACGGGTATTGGTGTCAACTTGTATTGAATGATATTGGGTATATATATGAATCAGCGTGAGATATTCTGAAGGCTGACTGGCAAGACCACCTAGGTACCTAGGTAGTACTTAAGTAATGATGCAGATACTTTGAGTCTGTCTGAGCGACAGAAACGCCCACCGACACAGCTGGTCGGTTGTGGACGAGTCGGATATAGCCGTATGCAGCCCGTTCAAATGCCAGACACCGCAGATTGAATGTACAGGACCGACTGAGCAAAAAATCCGACAGTGCCAATCCAAGCACATGCTTCAGACAATGAGATCGCTAATTGCGAATGAAAATCGTTCTCTCCATAACCATCAAAACTCACGGACCAGCTCCATACGCAATGGCCTCTTTCAAGACTTTGCTCACACCCGAAGAAGCACGACCCAACTCACCACCTTCTTCCCTAGCACTTTTCAATCCACGCTCCATAGCCAAATGGAACCTCGACGAAAACACCCGGAACCGATCCTCCCTCGTTTCATACATCTCACCTTCCTCATCACGAGGCTGACCAGCAAGATTCAAATACGCAAAAGGCGTAGACGACTCCGAGACCATATGATGCTCCGTCTGAGAAAGAGGGTAATGCCAAACAGAGACATCAGACATATCCTCATCATCCGCATCTCCATTCCCAGCAGGCTTGCCAATACCCGCATCCAAGAATCCAGAAAGTGCAGCTAGTGTCTTGACCATTGGTTTTCCCTGGCTACCTGCTTTACCGAAGGAGGCACGGTTGGAAGACCACCGTGCTGATTCGTCTGTGTGCCAGCCCAGGACTGATAGGAAGCAATTGAGAGTCTTGATCCAGCCTCCTGCGCAGGAAACTGTTGATTCACCTGCTGCTTCGACCATCCATGATAAGATGTCCACTGCTGAGCCGCGGATGTCTGCTGCGAGGTGGGTCATTCCTGCGCGGACGTATGGGAGGAGTTGGCCGACGTGGTCTTCTATGTCGCTTTCTGGGAGGGTTTTGAGGAGTTTGAGGAGTTGGGTTCTGACGTTGGCGGATGCATCGAGGATGAGGGGGAGGAGGGATGGGAGGATGATGCTGACTGGTTGGGGGAGGGGTGAGTTTACGGGTCGTGAGGAGATTGTGGTGGTGAGGTAGGCGAGGGAATCTCGTCTTTGGGTGTCGGATTTGGCGGCGAGGAGAGAGAGGTTGTGAGTGAAGGTTGCATTTGAGGTTGGGGCGGCCAAATGGAGGGATTGTTGAGTGAGAACAATTGCTGGTTTGTTTGTGAGTGAGGGTCGAAATTCAGTATGAGGAGTGTACCATACATTTGGACTTGAATGTGGTGTCTGTGTAGTTGTCGGGCTTTGCCTTGGTCTTTCCAACCTTGAGTTTAGGTTTCTGTTTGAATTAGTCGGCTGCCCAGCTGGATTAAACCCAATTGTCACTCTCACCGTGAAGTCCTTCTGCTTCTCCTTCTTTCTTTTAGCGCTGTTACCCATGGCTGTGGTGTTGACTGGTGAAGATGTCGACGGCGATTCTTTTTTTTGCGCTGGTTATCACACGTGATTTATCTATTTGTGCCTGGGGCAGCAATCTATCCCGAAAGGGAAGTATAGCAAAGGATCTACGGAGTACAACACTCCACAAGTTCAAGCACAGCAGACACGAAATAGCACTTGCACCTTCATCCCTAGAGACCCAAATACATTCAACCCGCATCTTAATGAATTATCAGCACAGCCCGAGAAATCTACCAGACCCAAATACCCACCACGAGACCCTCCCCCCAAAGCCTTAGCCACAGTCTCCTGTGCCGACTGCAAAAGAGTCTTATTACTCTCAATTCCATGATCAGGCACTTCTCTAGAGTCATCGCTCCGAAGCTGCCAAATAGAACTGGGTGTATCCGACAATCGACGAGAAGTAGCTCTTGTATCCCCTAGGCATCGCAGTCCTTAGCATAAGTCCAGTACCTGCAGAAAAGACATACCCGGTTGGAAATGACTGGCAATCCTCTCGCGTGTCTGGCTCGCTGATTCATTGACACGACCACCGGCTGTATCTGTAGTGTCTGTTTTGGTTGTGATTCCCTCGGACGCTTCTACCAAGTGTGAGCTGGACTGAAGGTATCCGTGCATGAATTGACTAACCGTCCGTAGCTGCAATGTCGCCCTGCATCCATTAGTGAACAGATGAGTATTGTAATAAGCATTGGGTGTGAGGTTACAACATACTGCCATACCAGCCATATTGATGATGGTTAGGGGTTCAGATGTAGTGAACACCGGGCGCTTCAAGATGAATTTCAAAAGCCTGGAGTATATCAAAGGTGTGCTATAGGGTTCTCTGGCTTAAAGCCTTATTGTTCCGGTCTTACTTCCGACAAGGAAAGACTGTGATGTCATTATTTCACACTATGCAGAGGTAAAAATCATAATCATATTGAAGTCCAGATCTAATAGTAATCACGCATAAAAAAAGCCCACTGGCCAAAGCCTGCTCAGCAGCGCAAAAGTTCATATAAAGTCGACAAAAGACAAAAAAAGGACGAGAGAGATGCGCACTTCTGGCCGGCTCCGAGCTGCGAAACAAAACCAAAAAAAAAGGAAACAAATAAGAAAAAACGTCAGAAAGGAAATAAGGAAAAGCAGCTCGGGTCCCGGAACAGACGCGGTTGTATCAATCAAATCAACAAAAAGCACAGATAACGTATAGAAAATCATGAGGGTAAAAAGGAGTCACGACCGCCAGGAACATTAGTCGTGTAATACGTGAAATTAGAAGCGGTGACTGGCCCCGTCATACGACAAGAATCAGCAAAAGAGCCCATTCAGACCTACAAACTCATCGTCAACCACTCCCACTCTTGGCTCGCGCCTTGTCCACCGGCAATACTGTGGTTGGCCGGGTTGGCGGCTGCGGGTGGTGCCATTGCTGGTGCCAAAGGTACAACCTTGGACCGACTGGCGGGAGCGTTTGACTTGGGGCTCTCTTCGGCGTCAGGCTCCGAGCCTGTGGGGGCCTTTTCGAGTCGGCGCTGCCGCCTAGGCGCCACTTGTACTCCGGCACGGGCCTGGGCCACGCCAGCAGGTGGACCAGATTTGGGTGGAGCAGCAGCAATCGGCACAACGCCAGGCTTCCCAGTTGCACTAGAGGCAGTGATTGAGGGGGGTGACTCTGAGGTATTGATGCGCGAGCCTATAGAGCTGGATGAAACGTGATGAATGGAGTTTTTGCGGGAAGTCTTTTTGGATGATCGAGAAGCGCCGACGGCAAGAGTGTTTGCACTGCTGCGGTTTCGCTTTTTGATGACATCGGTTTTCAGGGACAGTGGTCGAACGACACCGTGGAGTTTCAGGAATAAGCCACATGCGTTGCACAGGGGTTGGCCCTCGGGGTTGCGTCTCCACAGAGGCGTGGTCTGAGTGAAACAGTTGGTGCAGGTGGTTGGGCCTGCATTCGGGTCGCCGTTCTTCGAACCACCTGGGCTGCCAGGACGCGACGGTACAGCACTGCTAAGACCAGACTCAGGAGGTGTACTGGGTGATGGGTGGGTGGTTGGGGGTACGCTGGCAGAGCCGTTGAGATTCTGGCGAAGCAGCGCAGCGGCATTCGGAGTCGAGGCTGTACGCGGTACTTTTCCGTAACGACGTGGGTCCTGCTCACGGTTGCGCACTTCGCTGACCGAAGCGGCGGACCCATGCGTACGACCGAGAGAGCCTGTGTGGTTCCAATCGGACGGTCCATCAATCATATCTGTAGATCCGATCGTAACATGTTTCCTAGGGTGAGCACCAAAGCCTGGAAGCGACTGCACTGACCCAGAATAGCCACCATCCCAGTGCAGAGGAGGGCCCAAGTCGCCAGCATCATCGAGCGAAGTAAAGTCATTCGGCATCGCGATACCGCCGCGTTCAAAAGCGCCATCATCGTCCTCGTTGTCCGAGTCTCCGCCAAAAGTGAACATGCTGCTAGCCGGTGCTGTCGTAGAGAACTCGCCAGAGCCAAGAACCTGTGACGGGTTGACATGCTGGTGTTGCGGAACGGAAAATCCAGAAACGTGAGATGTAGACGTAGCTGCCGCTGAGTTTCCTGGCTGCGACTCGCCGTTGGAGACATTGTACATGTAGCGGTTGTGTAGGGAAGCAGACAGGTTAGATTGACGCTGTTGGATGTAATTCGGGATGCGACGCTGAGAAAGTGACTCAGAGGGCGTATCATTGAAGAACATCGACTGCTCGCCTTCATAGATCGGCTGTGGTGTTGACACAGTCGACTGGTACCCAGAAGGCGGCGGGGAGAAGAACTCGTTCGAGTTGAGAGACGATGCAAGTGGTGTCTGAGAATACAGGCTGGAGAACGGGTTTCCCGCTGTCATCGGAGAATCCGAAGGCGAGAAATGGAAATTCTGCTGATAAGGGCCGGCTGAGTGAATTCCGTGGTCTTCGCCAATGCCGAAGGTATCCAGCCCATACGGCACTCCCGAATGAGTGTGTGAGTGCTGGGGCCTGCGGGGGCCTACCGTGCCGTTGCCTGTGAGAGCGAATGTAGAGGGAGGATGGTCGAGCGAGTAATCTGGCAGTACAGTGGAGAGCCCTGAGTGCTGCGAGATCATAGCGTTGGACACTGGGGGAACTTGGGGCGAGGCCTCGGCTGGTCGCTTGCGGGTTGCCGCGCCTAAACTAGCGAAGAATTGTCGCTCATCAACGCTGGTCTTGCGGACCCTTCGGGGAACATATCCAAACTCGGAGTTTGGATCATGAGGAGGGTGGGGGAATGAAGCAGCAACGGACTGGTCCATCATCGCATGATCCTTGCGCGATTTTATGGGAATTGATCCCGCCGTGGTTGCTGTGAAGTGGTGATCGGTAGGTGGATGAGGGTGATCGGCAGGCGAGTCGAAGGGAATGATGAAGTCATCCAAGTTCATAGGGTCTGGCGTCTCCTCCATTTGCATGGGATGGGATTGGGATTCAGCGGGTGATACATTGTCAGACAAATGCATGTGTGCAATGTTCGAGGTCGGGCTTAGCGTCTCCGCTGCACTGTCAAGGCAACCAGAAATTAGTTCGAGAGCCTCCAGATCCACACACACACACAAGATACATACCGCGCCTGCTGTTCTTGCTGTTCCCGTTCCTTGCGCTTCAAATTCATCGCCATCATTCTCCACGTCAAGTTCTCCATGCGCTCTGCGTTTGGCAGTTGGGATTTCGTCCGAGTATAGAGTTTCCAAATCTGAGCAGCCAAAGGATCTTTCCTTTGCATTTCGTCTGGGCTATCGCCACGGGGTGCCCCGTGCGTCCACTCGGGAAATATGGGACTGCCGAGAACATCTTTGTTGGAGGAGTCGGGACTAAAAGGTGAGTCAAGAGAGAAGTCATCGGACATCATATGGGCGTCCGGGTCGAAGCCGGGAAAGGCCATGGGATGATTCGACCGTTCATCCCCGTGGCCATGGTGTATCCCCTCCATGATCTCCGATGGAGGTATCGAAGGGGGGGAAGGTCAGATAAAAGCGACCGCGGGGGGGGAGAGGGGAGGCAAAAGGCCAAGGGTGGGTTGGAATTCGAATTCCCCCGTACCCGCCGTAAACGAGACCCTTGCCGAAAGATGATCGAATGCAGCCAAGCGAGCGCCGATTGGCAGATAATAAGAACCAGGGTCTGCACAAAAAACGCCTATTAGCATGGATGGGTATAAGACAATAGCATATGATAGTAAGATAATTAAGCTGACGCACTGGAACTTGGGGGAGGGACTGGAGATCTGAGTCGTGGAGGGGGGGCTAGACCCTCCAGACGCTCATGCCCCGAAAAAAGATGAATGCGAGGGAGGATTGATCTCTCCCAAGGACAATTTGTGACAACGTTTGAAGATGTCCGAATTGTTCGAGATGATGGAGAAGGGAAGAAAAGATGGAGAGAGAGTGGGAAGGACGGAAACGGATTGCCACAATAAAACGGACCGTGTCAAATTGCCCGCGTAAGGCCCTTTTTCTATGGAGATATATCTACCTAGGTAGAGAGAGAGAAATATAAGAGAAACGAAGGGGAATAAGAAATAATATGATGTCGTTCTTGATGGTAATCAGTACCTGTGTAATTTATGGTAATACAGGAGTTTACGCTAAAGCCGATTCGCGGCGCTTGGAAGTATAGTCACTCTACTCAACTACAGTAGACTACAGATCCTATATCAAGTACTTAAATACGATAAAGCCGGACTGAGGCGCCACTTCCGTCTGCTTAAATGCTCCATTAATATTGGTTTTATGTACTCTTTGGCCCTTTTTGCCCCCATCATGCGTCTAGTCAGCTCTCCATAATTCGCACGGCCCCCCGGGGGGGAAGAATCGCATATCGAATTATAGGCACGTATAGTATGGAACCTTGAGAAATTCCCGGCATCTTGACCATCAGCATCGGCCCGAGTGGTCGCAAGACCCGTACTAGACTCCAAGCTAATGTCCTTGCCCGACCCTCTATTCAGAGTCGGGACCGGTCTAAACGCAGGTACTTTCACTATCCGCCCGTTCGAGGTCATTGGGTCTCAACTTAGACATATCTCCAGAGTCTGGTACGGCAGGAGATACAAGTAGTTACTGGCACTTCCAAAGATATCATGTTCACTTAGCGTCTCCGGAGCATGTCCATATGTAGGCTAAGTGGGGACTGTTCGTTACTGGTGGAGCATACTTCCCGAGTCGCATGCTCTCTTTCCTCATGGTGAACGGGGATGATTTTCAATCCCAGTGGTCCTGTATTCTCAATGTCTTTACTGCTCCAAGTTAGAACCCAGATTGAATTAATCCGGAGGGTTATAAGGTATGACTGGGCCAGAAGTGATGGGTAAAAAGGTCCAAACTTGTTGATATTGACTGTCTAACGTATAAGTATAGTCCTAGTGCAGCGGGGCGAGTGATACGTAGGCCGAGCAACGGATGGAGCCCGAGAGATAAGAAACGTTCTACGGGTCTTCTTTTCCGTCTGTTTGGATTCTCTTTTTTTCCTTTTCCTTTTTTTTTTTTTCCCACGCGTGGTCAGTACTGCAAAGGTATAATCAAAATCATACAAGTGATGATATATGCCACGTTTGACATTGATCCATGCATATCATATAGATGTTAAGCATAAATCAGTTCAACTGAATGTAGACTCACCGGACTCGAAAAGAGGTTCAGGATCCCTAAATTACCCGAGAGTATCTCCGATGTATGGAGGAAAAATACGGGGCTGTCTGTCACAGTAATTCCCGAAGTTCTTCCCCCAGGTGAGAGAGAGACAAATCACCATCTCGTATGCCCTTGAGGGCAACTGTGCCGGGGATCGGTTAATATCCCTGCATCTCCTGTTCCATATTTGCCACCCTAGTTGATCCTATATTGTGAGGGTGTATGGGCCAACTCCAATAACACTTCAAGAAGTAATCCGTCTAGACATCCCAGTTAGATCTGTGGAGAACCAAAATAACCGTGGACGGAAACAGGTCCGTGAGAGTCCAATGACGCGGTAAAGAAGTCGAAAGTAAGCAGAGAGACCCTCTTTCAGATAACCTGATAAGACAGTCGAGTACATAATTAGCCGTGGTAATGTAGATCTGCTTCTTATCAGTTATAACATGAAGTCGTATACCTAGGTACATACTCCCTTACTCCAACATCAGTCCATGACTCGTGTTGGCGATTCAATCAGGCACCCGGATCATCCCGCTGACCTTCCACCCCCATTCAGTGCAGGACATTGGCGTCCTGCACATCCAGCCCGCGACGCCAATCTGACTGGTACTTTTGGTCTCGGACTTCCCCCACGCGCAGCACAGAGAGAGGGGTTGGACTTTTTTTTTTTCCCTTTTCTTTTTTTTTTCTGTGCGGTTCTTGCGGTTACTCGAGAAATTTTTGCCTTTTGGTGTTTGCCTTTGGCGTCGAGGCAATTGACAGATTCCATATGAAGGGGGAGGCCCCAGGGCGACAAGGGGGGCTGACATTTTGCATCCCACACACGGATGTCCATTTGTGGGAAGCCGTTGAGAAGTGAAATTGGAAATTCCAACCACTGACAACCACTGAGGTCGTACAGTATGACTGAGATGCTGACATGAAGTGCCAAGGTGTGAAAGGGAAATGTGAGGGATGGTGAGTCCCTTTATATCAAAATGTTGACGCCGTGATTTTGCAATGACCCAAAGTGACCTCGATAAGACGTGACGCTACTAAGAGAAACAAGGGTTGATATCGCAACCAACAGGGTGGTCTTTAGGTATCGTGGCCCAACGAGAGCCCTGGAGGCACATTCAAGATAAGAGAATCGGGGACCCCTGGATGTTATTGGGTCTTACCTCGACTACACCGCCAATTGTGACACTGCTATCTCCAGATTTCAACCCCGGAGTTTTCTGATCGCAAATTCCACTGATCTGCCTAAAGCGGATCCCCTTTAACTGGAGATATCTCGACCTTATCTCCAGGCCTTGTCATCCTTCGAACCATTTTGTGAAATGTGATTGATCTTCTCTGCTATCACAGCAAAATCCAGATGTCACTATCTGAAATGGCTGACGCCATCTGTAGATCACCAAAGCACGCAAGGGAATTCGAATCGCCTCGGAGAAATTGACAATCTTTCTAAAGTTTTTAGTCAATGCCGTATCACATTCTCGTGTGCCCTATCAAATCCTATCCCGACATCTGGACGATCGAGGCACATACACAGCCTACCAGAAACTTTATATCTTATCACGACACTCTGTACGGACTTCAGTAGTCCTATACACCTGGGCAATTTGTTCATGTTATCTTGATAATCTACTTAAGTGTAGATCTTCAGATGTTTGTCCAGAGATTAGAGACGTAATGATTTGATAGCCCTGGACCTCGGGACGATAAAGCCCGGCTTCAAGCTTACATCATATGCTCGAGCCTCAGAGCGACATACATATATAAAGGCTTAGTGCTGTCATCGAAGATGTACCAATTGCCTTGTTTGGAACTGCGATCGGCATTTGCATATGAGCTGCGGTAGAGCTCAACTGCCCCTTGGTGCCTGGCTTGACATTGGGCTGAACATTGATCCCGACAATTAGGGTAGCATTCAGACTAGTACTCTGTACATTAGTCTGTCCCACCTTCATGTAAAGGAATCTTGGAATCCATCAACTTCCAAGGTTAAATAGGTAATCCAATGCAATCCCCAAGCAAGGGCGTGGTGGATATTAGGGCACATGTCGGAGTACTCCGTGCCACAAGCACAGCCGGAAGTATGAATCTCGTATACTTAAGTACATGGTAGATCGTGTTTGTGACGAATCCCTCGCGAGCTCAGATCTGAGAAAGGCAAAGCTGAACATGTAATGGTTATTGAGCGCTAGTATATGCAATGTGGAAAATTGATAGGTAAATTGGCACGTGTCCGCGAGTTGACGCGGACGATTTATTCAGTCCAGGCTTCAGCGCCTAAAGCCAGTTTCCGCCAAGATCTGGAAAGTATCTCGGTGAAGAACTTTGGAAATTGGAGATCTTCCGACTGCCATGACCAGATCCATTCTCCACCCTTGATGCAAGTTCCGTTTCACAGGCACGAATATCACACGCGGGTGAAAGGACCATGAAAGTCAGTCCTGCATCAATGGGTTCATGGGAGAGAAAAAAAGGAAAGGAAAAAAAAAATCTATGTAGATGACCCAAAACAGAACCTCCCAACATGTATGGGCGGATTACGCCGCATACCAGACAACCACCCGCCAAAACCCCCAAGATAAAAGAGATATAAATGCAAAAAGATGGACCCAAAAAAAAGGTGAAGAGAAAAGGGTGATCCGACAGAGTGGAAGAGCCCAATAGCATGGTCAATGAAAATCATTGAATGATCCATGCCATGACAGAAAATAGTAAAAAAAGTCCAGAAAATTATAGAAAATGCCACCCGACAGCCCTTGCGCCCGCTAATGATCAGCTGCAAAGCAGACCCACCACGGTGTATGAGGATGAGGTGAAAACGTAGAAGAGAAAAATGCCAATTTGGGGAAAAGGTGTGTATATCCCACGGGGTATTAGAAATGAAGCAAGCCGTCTAGCAATGTGATGTAACGTGATAAGAACAGAGTCCAAAGAAACACGGAGAAGTGAGGTGAGGTGAGGTGTGAGATGGCCATAAAAAAGTATCGACGATTCCTTAGTTCGGGGACCGTCCTGAAGCCCCGGGGTGTCCCATCGGATGGTTGGTAGGGTATGGATGTTGGGGAACTGCGTCGCCGGCATACATGGGGTAAGGCACGACGCCCATTCCGGACATAGCGCTCATGTCTTGCCATTGATTATAGTTCATGCCTGGTGGGTACGAGACGGAGCCGGGGGTCATTGAGGAAGTTCCTGGAGAACTGGGGGCGGCCATGGCATTTGGGGCAGACAATGACTGTGCCGGTGTGGTCATTCTGCGTTTGAGCTCGGGGGGCATTTGAGGATGGAACTGATTTGGGTAGGACTGGCCCATTTCTTGGCCCGGATAACTCATTGTTCGGGGTGGCGGTGGTGGAGGTACCTGCCAGACACTTCCATCAGGTTGCATGGCGTATGTTGGGGCTTGAGCCATGGGCTGCGCTTGGTTTCCCATGGGGGATGCTGCAGATATCGGTGAGGGCGGTGGTAGTCCAGAGGGAATGTTTCCTGCTGTCCACATATTGGGGGACATATTCATCATTGGGCCCTTTCCGTTCGTCATGGTATTCAATAATTGCGGATCTGATATTGTCGTAAATTCGTCCCATGCGACTCCAGGGTCCATTGGTTGATGCCCAGTGAAGTCTGCAGGTCCCATTGGTCGGTCTATTTCTCAAATCAGTCAGTACTAGGCCTATTGAGGGCCCCGATCCCTGGGAGAATGCCTACCAGGTGTTAAGCTCATGTTAGTTTGCACCATCCCAACATTATACGTTGACATGTCCGGAGCAGAGGGGGTATCCATGGCCATCGTTGGGTATGGATAGAAGGTCTCGGTGGTATCGGGAACCAGGTTATTTGGGGATGAAGAGATTGGTGTAGTGACTGAGCGCTCAGCTGAAGGTGTTTCTAACCGTGAGCTTGGGCGTGATTTCTTCTCAACAGGCGGTTGTTGGTCGACAGGGAAGAATTGACAGTCCTTTCGCAATCGGATGCAATTTTCGCATCGTCCTTCCGTATCATCTGGCGCGACAAGACATCGGATTTTGCGTCGTCGACAATGCACTGTGTCTCGTATAAGTCGAAATGTCACATGAATCGCATGTGAAGAACCCCACTGCGACAGGGGGGGGACTTGGCATCTCCCCGACACAGTCGGGAGGAAGAGAGAGAGAAGAGGATGGCTTAGTACTGACCGCATGCCACAGAGGTTCGATGATATCCCAGCTTGTTACGCTTCTTGTCGTTGGCGTCCATGGCGCTTTGTGAGGTTGGTGTAGATGACATGTCGAGAACAGCCGCGGGCATAGCTCCCACGAGCAAGATACTGTTATCGGATTGATCGAAAGATCATCAAATTCAACCAGGTTCACCACAGTCGAAAGGAACTTTGCGCGCGACAATGCAAAGAAGCCGGTTGAAGGCGCCTCGGGGCGGGATAGGCGAATGCGACAACTATGACCACGAGGCCATACAGACAAGGGATGACGGGGAAGTTGCGCTCTGAGGGTGACGCTCTAATTCTCACTTCCAGATCCACATGCGCCACACCGGACCAGGCCTGATATTGCGTTTCAGAGAGCGAGAACTCGGGAAGGTGGTAGGATCCGCTGTCTCAAAAAGGCACAAAACGGTGCAATGAGGTGGTCGTGGATAAATTGGGGTTCCAAAGGTCGTTCACCCAAAGCCAGTAATTGCGAATTAATCAATAATTATAGTAATTAGAGTGTTCATGGAGTGCCGGTGGTTTAGACGGGGTTAGGGCCTAGAAGGTTATCGTAGCCCAGTTTGAGATCGGAGAAGAAACACACTAGGGGGACAACTCAAACGATGATAACCAGAAAGAGATTAGTAAGGGGAAAAATTAAAAAGAGAAAAAAGAAATGGGCATCCAAAGGAGTGAATATGAAGTGAACGGTGTGGGAAGAAAGGAAGAGCAGATCGAGGATGTACTATAGTCCAACAGACAGAAGCTAATCGCGGGGTGAAACGCCCAATTGGCCTATGTTTTTTTTTTTTTTCTTAATTTTTTCTTTTTGGTTTGAAATTATGAATTAAATTTCGATTTAATACAGTAAAATCCCACTGTACGTGGACCAAGGTGGCTCTGCATCATCCCAGACTAAGACTAACACGGATGTATCGACTTGGCCCAAATCAACTGCAGGTCATTGTCAATGGATGATCACTTCAGGGGGGCCGCGGACAACTTCCCTTAACAAACATTAACCTCAACTTTAGACTAAACTTACTTTGCAAGGCAAGTTCCTGTTTGGAACGAATATACTCGTATATTGTTGGTATCCTTTTTTTTTCTTTTGGGTAACTATTTTGTACTTTTGACCTTGTTTTTTTGACCTCATTATTTTTTTCTCCCTTATACTTGATTTCTATTGGAACATAGTTGATATTTGATTATGTCAGTGGGCAAAAGCCCCTGATTGCGTACGATAGACCCGGTTCATCAAATGAGGTAGAGACAAGGAACCATGGTCTGGGAGTCCTGACAAGAGTGGGGGAGATGTGGATGTTGGACGGTGGCCGCTCGTACTGTACCCTTTGGGATTAGAGCCAGGAGGGATACCTGTCAATCATTGTTGAACTGGGGAATACTTCCTTCAAGTCCCGGCTAAGTGATTGGCGACGCGAGCTTAGGTCGGCACCTAGAACCAATAGGCTGGCTGAGTAGAGGGTCCATTTGTTCCAATTGAACCTTCTCTCTCTGGTCATTTCACAGGCTGATCCCTAGAATCATTTGAAGGCTTCTCGAAGGCGAGCTATGCAGCTTCGGTCTAATGTCCACATGGTCTTCTGGAATGGCTCGAAATTTTTGGCAATCTTAAATTCTATCATGGTAGTAACTGAAACGAACCACTGGTTAATTGGTTCTAAAAACAGTTTCAGGGTCCACGGGTGATGTGTAAGTATCAGGCTATACCCGAGAACCAGTACGAGTACTGTGGAGGTCCTACTCGTACATTTGCTGGACATTTCTCTCATCAACTGCCCTAAAAAGTATACTCTGTAGTTCTTGTTCTCTATTTGTGACTTCCCTCCGCTGTCTCTTTTTATTTTTTTAGGCTGATATTTATGAATAATGACTTACCAAGCATGATTTGCTTCACTAGTTACAAGTATTTCCCACGAACAAAATCCCTCGACATCGGGGATATGGAAAATCTGGACCAATCAGAACCCACGCAGACTCTTCGTCACGGACCCAGCCCAACGTTCCTTGGGTGAGAAGTCTCTAGCAGGACAATCAGGACAATCTTCATCGGAGTAATTAATGTTTCACCGTTCATTCTCTGAATATGGGGGGTTTGTTCCACGAACAGTACGCGACCTTTAAGATTAGATCCCAAAGATCATTTACCACTTACTGCTCTCTATACCGAAACCCTCCAAAATTAAAATCATTCAGAAACCAATAACAAAGCACAGAAGCTGAATACAATATGAAATGAATCAGCTACACAGCCCTGAGCTACACCCAAGAAGGACATCAGTCCGAAAGTCCCTTCAAGAGACATTGAGAATGCAAGCGATCTCTGTAACAGCCAGTGGGGCTGGTCAAGGTTTAATTAAGGATCGTCTCACCTCGAGTAGCGCGTTACAGAACAGAGTCTTGGCATTCGCATGGGGCTCATCGGGGCATTTCCCTCCCCCGAATACCTGTTGGAGATATGGAGATTGACTCCAAAGCACTCAAAAGGTTCTCTTAGATCCCACTTAAGGGGGAAGATCAGCGATGGGGACATCGTGCTTGATCTGGAGAGAACTGTCGTAAAGGGAGGGAGGGGAAGTGAAAAAAAAGGGGGTGGCTATAACATCACCACTATCGACTCCCACTGGCCAAGAGACCAAGCTGAAAGAGGAGAACGTGTCAAGATCAGGCTCGGGGAGGGAATAACAGTGGACTGGGAGTGGACAATGATCTTCAATTTTCTAAGTGGTATCACGTCAACAATACCCCCTCAAGACCAATAAACGCCACTGATCACCGTGCTCTCCTAAGAGATGTACTCGTACACTCGCATATGGAAGGACAGAGTAGACTGGACCATTTAGAGTCCGAGTCCTCCTACTGGAAAGTACGAAGTACCACTTACATCCTCGACTCGAAACCCAACAGAATGGCTCGACCGCCCTTTTGCCAGAGAAGACTGCTCACGCTTCGGCCCCGCCCCTCAACACGCTCTCGTCCAAGATCGACGAGCACGGGACTTGAAAGATGTGTACGGCGAATCCTATTGGGCCTCAGAAATAGAGACTCTTTGGGGTGCACCTGTACCTAAGAGATCCAGTGCATGTATCGTGACGCGGCAAATGTCAACGATAGATCTGGTACTCCGTAGCGCGATTTGAATAAACCCGCATTATACGAGTGCATCTGGGGCGGACCTCGTATGTGACTCTATACGGAGTATGGCGGAGTACTCCGTACGAGTAGAGATGTCCGCACTCTGTATTCTGATTTGCACAATTAGGCAAAGCCCCAACGGGCGTCGCGTCGTTGTCGATCAAGTAATTGTTTAAAGTGAAACAAGGGTCCAGGGCTGAGATCTTGGTTTCTGGATCTCGGCCAAGAGTTTTTTTTTTGAGACACAATTGTTCTTTCTAGAAATTCGGCTAAAGTCCGTTATCTCTCATAGTGCCTGAGGGCCTGAGGTTGAATCCAGAGGCTTCGTGGCTGTCGTGTGTGTTTCAGAAATGGTTGTGAAATCTTCCTTTCTAGGGTTAGTTAGCCAATTCTTTTTTATCCTGCCAAATCCCAACTGCCGAGCTCCGCAGTGGCGTGCATATTGTGTATACTCGTACCCTGTGAGAGCCATGCGATGATGTTGGTCCCCTAATTGGAATAGTCGCATCATTTCGGATGTAATGCTAATTTGGAGTCGACTCCGTCAACCTTGCATCGGAGGTTCAGTAAGGATCAAACTGCAATGTCCTATACGAGTACGTATGTAGTACGAGAATGTACAAAGCACTCTGTAAACTATATCCTCCGTACATCCTACCTGTCAACAGCATTATATCGTACATATTTATAGTGAACCCTGCAGACCTGCAGATGTGATCCAACGATGCATCCAAATGCAAAAAGTATTCGGAAATGCATTTCCATTGCACCTTTTGCTCAAGTGTTAAGTACAATTCAGATCGGAGATCCCCCATGTGGACCAACACGCAGGGAACCTCACTGGTTCCTTAACTTTGGTCCGGTTGTTTCACTATGTTCGGGCCCTTGACTTCATTTGGTCCCAGGTGCTCTCAAGTGGTCCTCGGCTCCTCTCAGACGGGTTTCTCCCTTTTTAACCTGCAACCTGCCTTACGCGTCCTCCTGAGAACCACATACCTCTTTTGCTCTCTGCCCCTACACTCTCGTATGCGGTGTTTTTTTTTTAGCATGGTTATTTCCTTTTTTTGTTTTCCAAGGCTCTAATTTCCTTTCTTCATTTATTATTATTTATAAAAAGAATTATCAACAATTTCCAGAGAAAAGGAAGGTGGTACTGCGATCTGACTAAAGTTGTCCCAGGGGCTCTAGGGCTTTGGACTCGGCTTTACCGACCGTTGAACCAAATCGACTCCGAATAAAGGGGCCATTACAATCGCGCAGGGCTGACGATTAGCAGCTTTAGGCGATTCGGGATTTGAAACAAATCCCCGGCTCTCAGAATTAGCCGCCGTAACGCTCCAGGGCTTGCTTGGGTGGATTTGAGACATTATCAATTTTTTTATAAAAAAAAATCATTACTCGTGGCCTTTGATCGGAATGTTGCCGGCCAATTTTAATCGCTTATGCGCACTACCACTCGTACTTCAACAGCCCTGGCCTGTCTGATACAACACGCGACACACGTCCGCCCACTCCTACCGATGATCGCATGACATCCAACAGAAGCGCACCACGCCCGAGCAAAGGTCTCTCGGTCTCGGTCGCCGCGCGCATCAATGACCATAATTTCCGGAAATGTCTCGGTGGCTTGTGATGTTGGGGGTGCCGAGGTAGTGGAGAGGGTCTCCAATGCCACATACTGGTATGGATATGACTGGTGCAAAGGATGTCCGGTCAATCTTGTATACTTCGGTCTTGTGGATGCGTGCGATTCATTCTGATCGTCGGTTCGCTTGACGCCCAGCGGCGGACAGCACTGGTGGGCGGAAACAAAGCGCACGTTGTATTTCAGGGGAAATGGAACCGTGACTGGCTCTTTTCCGGGACTTGCAATAGAGAACGACATAGATGCCTCGTTGGCAAATAGTACTCTTTTCTCGGTGGGTTTTTGTTGGTCGCTTGGTGAGAGTGTCAATGATTCCAGTGTCACCCTGGCTGTTGGGCTTGACTCCGGGTCTCTGGGGAGCGTAAAGGCTGCTGCTGTGATGTCTGCTGTGCCCAATGGAGAAGACTCCAAGGCAAGCTTTGCTCCTTGTTTGATCCGAGGTTTGCTCGAACACCCTTGGACGTCTTCGACAGCTAGCTCAAACCAACCATTCTTGATTTTTTCCAGTGTAGTCGTATGGCTAGGGACGATGTCACTGCCAATCCACCCCATGCATGTCCTAGCTCCAGAGGAACTGGATAAGACGCGCCCAACAACGCAGGATTTGCTCCACCAACTCCGTTGGTTAAGAGTGAATCCTCCATACAGACTGGCCGTTGTACCCAGCTGATCTAAGACCTCGACGTCGTTTTCCAAGATCGTTGCCATCAAAAGATGGCTAATACTCTCTCCCGGAATCACAAATCCAGAGAGCCATGTGCGAGAGATCCATCCCAGAGACTGAGGCTGCGTGTAACCCGAACCATCAAGCTTCACGCGCCGGCGACAGGGATCTCGCGTATACATATCTGCCCTGGCCAGTAATGGGTCTTTGGAAGTGTTTTCCTGACCCCACCTGTCATCGACTACTAAAGGCGGCAGAACCGGGGTCACGGAATCTCCAAGTTTGAGTTCCATGGCCGTTTTCAATTCAGCAATTCTGGGCCATCCAATGTTTTCCGCAAAAACATACAGTCCCTCGAGCTGCTGTCGTACGTGCGACGAACTCAGCTGACAGTCCCAAGCAGACTGCAAGTCCCCGACGGGGAACGAGCTCCGTCGGGTGATTGCCTCGAGGAACGCAAACCGATGACTTTTATCTGGCGATTTGGGAGTCGAAGGCTTTGGTGATGGTGGCAAGGGACAGGATATATCAAGACTGTTCAAAAACCGACGCACAACAACCAGATCCCAATTCACCTTGCCTTCTCGCAGCTTCTCGAACTGGCGGAGCTCCTGTACAGTGATGTTGCCACCATGTGGATCATGCAGCATATCAACTCGCACAAACGCATCCAAACGAAGAAGCAATTCTGCGGAAAGAAGCAGCTGGATCAAAAGCCACTTCCGCTCCATGCCAGACTTGACTAAATCCTCACTCGATCCTGTCTTGGCTGAGCTGGGCGTGAGACAATCCCCGTCTCCATGCTGTGACACCTCCCAGAGGACCTGTCCGGCCCGGAAACGCCATTCGGGTAAACTGAAATTTATCCACGCGCCGGGTGTAGCCAACACAACCGCGAGTGTCTTGATTTGCGACTTGATGCTTTCAGGGTGACCGGCCAGAATGTCGGCCGGGGGAGGATGGGGATGGAGGAAGCGAGTGTGCAATGACTCATGTAGCTGGCGGGGGCTCTCGATGTCTAGAATTGTCTTGGTCGAACCAGCACGGAGCATCTCTTCCCGGAACTGGCGCAAATATTCTAATCTTTGCACGAGAGATCGAAGATTGATGTCGCGTACACCAATGCGCTTCCAGGCTTCAGGCCCCTCGGAAATCAGTCGGTGCCGATCAAACACTGCACCACTCTGGCACTGGGAATAGGGTTTATTGTAGCCTTCCATCAGCTCGAAAGCTTCTGTGGCCCCCATGGTGGATAACTGGCGCATATATTCGGGCCGTTTGGGTTCCTCGGGTCCGGTGAATCGAACAGCGTCGGATACAGGCAGCTCCAGGAAATGTCGAAAGCCAACAGTGCCGGGCTCCTTTCCATTGTTGGATAGCATGTTGGGCACTTCGAAGATACCGATGTCGAATGTTGCTCTGTTTGTGGCGCCTGTTCGGCGCCAGTCGTTTACCTGAATGGGAACGCCCCCTTTGACGGCCCAATCGTCTGGGACCGGTAGATGAGCGTGCAGTGTGCTCAAAGTGAAAGATGCATGTGGTAATGGCTTGCGATCCCACATATGTTGGACCACTGAATTTTGTTCGTCCCATGGAAAGATCACTTGGGGATAGTATCTTTTGTGTTTGCCTCTTTCCAGAAGAAAATGAGGCGCCCCGGAGAGCATCGCCTTGACTTCGTTCTTCGTGAGTGTACAGTCCTCTGATGTTTTAGACGTATTGCCTGATGAGCTATCGTGTGGTTTGCTCGCCATGTCTAATCTGTACTCAAGAAGATCTTGTATATTTCCAGGTTGCTTTGGCTCGCAATGCTCTCCGGCTGTTGGGGACTCGCCCCGGGAAGAGCTTCGAGGAGAAGTTTTAGTCGCATCTTTTCCAGTGTGTCGTTGATCACCAGCCGTTTTCGTAGTAGGTGGTTCCTCTTTCTTCTGGTGTACTTCATCATGCGCCTAGTCCGTCATTAGCCCGTGTCCCCCAAAAATCAATCTATCGGCGTTCTGACTGGTATATTCAGCGGCGGCAAGCTACCACTGTGTCTGCGAAAGAGACCTCGTATCCCCTTCTCAGAATGATCATCTATGTGGCGACCAGAGGGAATCCGGCGTTGCACTGACGGTCTTTCGTTAGGACAGGGTGCCTCGGATTGAGCACGACGACGACCAAAGAGGAACGACATGGTCAGCAGAGCAGCTCAGATGTGTTCAAATCAACGGGATGATAGCCAAATAAGCATCATGCGGAGTGCTGATCTCGGTCTCTCGGCTCGTGGCGATAACGGCAATGCGGCAAGTGGCAGTTCCGAACTTCGACCGAGGAGGGAATTGCCCTGTTGAGATCTACTTTAAGTACCTGGATACTCAATTATTCCACAGGTGTAATCTAGAACTGTAGAAACAGGAGACTGGGGCTGAGATGAAGGTTGAAAGTGATGACGTCGGGATCGTACCATGCGTTTCCGAGAGCTACTTAATTGTACATGGGCGGTTTTTTTTTTTTCTTTTTTTAAATTCTAAAGCTCAAGTTCTTCTGACCTCAAGAAGGTAGGCACACCTTGAAATATTTTACTTAGTATCTTTGGCTTTGCAAAGGTATATGATACTTAAGTAGCATGCCCATGTGCATACTCCATCCTCGGTGAATTTCCACTGGTGTTGCAATTTTTTTTTTTTGGAAAAAAAAAACTTACTATCGTTGTTGCATTTATTTTGAACAATGAGCTTCTTCAATCTATCAAGCCGGAATTGAAACGATCGATCGTGAGCGTAAATGCGACCGAAGGTGATTCTAAAGTTTGAAATATATACTCCCGAGGTACCTGCTATACTTGGCACTTGAGTAGGTATACTTCTCAAGTTCAGGAGTGCATCCCGAGGTCCCAGGTATGGGCCTACAAGTGTTCCAACCTTGAAAGTGATCAGTTCCAAGACCTCCAGCCTTGGAAGACGTCTACTTAAGTACGCAAAAGCGAAATAGTGCTCCAGGCTAAAAGCAATCGAATGATCTCCAGAAATCGTGCGTGTGCCACACTTGAGCAGCCCTGGAGTACCTTACGTGGGAACCTTAGGAATCGCTACCGTTTGCTGCAAAGCTCGACGTTTGAAAAAAGTTTGAACCTACAGATTGAATAATCTGTTTTTCGCTGTCATCAAATTTCGTGTTCGCGATACCTCACGAGTGCTGCTGGAAGAACTGAAGAACAGTCTTGTATCCGCGCTCGTACTCCTTCTTTACCTCAGGGTTCTCCAGGTCCGATCGGGCAGCCATCCAACCATGGATCTGAGAAGAGAAAGTCTCAACATGTTTAGGGACCTTGAGGTTAGCCTCGAAGTCCTTGACATCCTGCACCGGTTCGTCCTTAGAGGCAAGCAATGCCATGGGAATGTTAACTGCCTTGGCGTCATTTGCGTCAACCATAGCGGGGTGGCATTGCACAGCAGCCTTGAACAGCTTGTTGTCGGCGCCAGATGAGAGGGAAGCAATCTTGCCACCCCAGCAGAAACCCAGGATCGACCATGACTGGAAAGAGCCGGCGGGGGCTAGTTTGTTGCTTTCGGATACGACGGAAGGGATCTTGGAGAGGGTCTTTGGGGGTGCGGCTTGGTTGGAGAAGAAGGCGCCTAGCTTCTCCTTGTGCTCGTCGGTTGTGGGTGGGTACCAGGAGATGTCGGCTGGGGATCCCTCGAAGAAGTCGGGCATGAAAACGCGGTATTTCTGATCCGCAGAAGTGGCGAGCAGGTCGGCACCTTGGATGGTTTGGTCGAAGAATCCGAAGATGTCTAGCAAAACATTGTAGTCAGCTTCGGTTCTGAGTTGCAGAGTGTATGTTGAACTGACCGTAAACGACCAGAATGGCCTTTGACGCATCCTCCGGACCGGTAACATCTAGGTTTTGTTAGAAAAATCCCAACTATAAGCTGATGAGTTAGACCAACAAGTCTTCAAGCCATTGATGGTCTTGTACTCTCCCTTAGGCTGGTAGCCCTTGGAGACGACTGGAGGGATTCTGTGAGAGTCAGCGCCACTCAATTGAGGCACCATAGCCGCTGGACCTACGAGCAACAAGCTTTGCTGATTCCGGACATGGTTGTAGGTGAGGTATAAGTCAAAGTGAAAAGGTGAAGTTGGAAAAGAGTGTGAGTACGGAGTAGTACGGAGGGGGATGTGCCCCGCCTGTGATGTCATATGGGGTAAAGCCGGATATCGAATTACCTACAGGTAGACTTCTGTATACTCTGGTAGCTGGGCGATTGAGCCTAATCTCTACCTTAGACCCGGATCATATCTTTCAGATGCTTCACGATTCATGATTCCGTTATTCGATTTGGCATACACGGTCGGGATGAGTGAGCAATTTTGCGCTGGTAATTCTGCAAGGATGCAACCGAAATAGCCGAATACAGTGCTCGATCGACAAACGTGATGAAGAGATGGATGAAGAATACTCCGCAGCTGCAAACGACTTCCGAGGCCCCTAAATGGCCAAGCAGTACTCCGTACTCCGTATGAGGGTTTGTTTAGAGCACCTGACTACCCAGGCCTGAGGCACCCCATATCACCTCAAATCCACACCACGGAGTACGGAGTACGGAGTACAGGGCCATAATATACCATCAAAGGCTTCTGTAGAAATGATGAGGAGTCGGGTTTTTGACAAATTCCCCCTTAAAGTCCCGAGGCATGAAATAATGTCAATACCTGCAGTACAGCGTACATAAGGTATCACAAACATCACTAGGTCGCAAGAAGATCACCTTATTTATGCATACAAGAGTTTCACAACAGAGACTGTCATACCAGACACTTGGCTTTGTGAGATTGACAAGAATTGCGAGAGCCAAGCAGAAAGATCCCTCGGTGGTCGGTGGCAGAGTTAATTGAACAAAGTGAAGACTATCTGGGTTTGGCCCCCAGAAAGAGGCTAAACAATAGCATGCAAATAGATCCACTGGGAAGACTGCTTCGTACCGAATCGTATATAGGTTTTGAATGTGTCATCTCGGAATCTTGCCGCAAGGGGGTAATCACAGCAATCAGTACTCGTGGGGCTGTTTATTTGGGTAAACGGTCTAAAGTCCAGAGCCGAGACAGATTAGGTACTCGTGATTGAAACGCTTAGACACCCAAGCGGCCCTAGGATCACTGTGATAAATCCAACTGTGAGGCCAAGACCCATACCCCGTACGAGTAGGGAGTAGGGAGTAGAGACCAACAAACAATCCTGGAGTTAGTCGACCCGTCTAACCCATTACAGGTTCGGTAAGACACAAGACTCGTACAAGAGAGTTTGCTTGAAGAGAGAGAAAAAAAACACAACAAACAATCAGGGTCGATACCCACCAGATTCTGCACGAAACTTATGGTCGCAGATCTCCCGGATGACAAGGCAGTCAACCTTCCACGCGCCATTCCCGGGGGACGATCTGAACGCCCAACAGCCTCTCCGAAGCCACACCGGCAAGAGCCGACGCAGGCGACACCAAGGCGTTCACGATCAGCCGGGTGGATCCTTGTGGGCTGTCACATCTGAGCAGCCTTGCATGAGAGTGACTAATCGGCTGCGAACCACACCATAGTGCGGTTCAGGGATCGCATCGAAGACTGTCGATCGACCGGGTAGCAGCGTTGGAGGGGCGATTGTCGACTGATCGTCGCTGATGTGAACCTTTTTCGGGTTGTGAGGCGTGCGGCTACAGACGCGGGTATCAGAACCTGACGACTTTATTTTGGGTCAAATTGAGATGTTAGTTTGACAGGGGAGGATGGAATGTTACGGACTGTTGGATTTCAAGCGATAGGTTCTCACACAAACATAACTGTATACATACTAGCTCTAGCGGTAGGGAGGTATGCATTTCCTAAGAATGTGACTTGGCTGCCTTCATGTCTGAGACCCCCTTTTTTTTTTTTTTTCCTTTCTTTTTTTTCCCATTTTCCATTTCCATTTTACGTATTTTTCTTTTTATTATTTCGAGACCATGTGAACTAGTAGCGCCGGACTGCTACCAAATACGGGGCAGCAATGCGGACCGGATCGTAATATTAAATTCCCAGTGGACATGTCGACCTCTTTTGCCAAGCAGGTTCAGCTGCCGGAGACTCCTTGACTTTTTCCCCCCTCTCTTCTCGGGAGATATTTCCAAACCATGTTCTTAGTTTGCGGCAGATCAGCTCTGTCAGATTTCATTTAGCCCATATTGCTATGGAGAAGAAATTCGATCAGAATCTTTTTAATATGTGCATCCGTACCAATACAGAGTATACAAGCATCCTGTCCGTGCAGGCTCACGGACCGTGATTGGAGGATAAGCCATTTGACACCGCGGGAGAGGTCCAGGGAGACTCGCGTGGAGTGCTCCAGGCCTGTGACAGGGAGCCCCGAGGAAGAGACCCGAGGGAGTGGATCGAGGCGATTGGCTTTGGAGGTGGCGAGTGTAGAATGTATACCGTCCTTTCTTTTGAGAATTACCCGGAGGAAATGGTCGAACCGGAGCAATGTGCACAATACTCCGTCTACTTCAATGCGACTCGTATTGGGGGCCAAATCGAAAATCATTATTTGGAAATAATGGCTCATAATCACACGGAGTACGGAGTACAAGAGTACGGAATAGAGTAATATGTAGAATATCCATGTTCCATCCTAACGAGTACGAGTAGAAGAAAGCAAAAAATAAGAAGAAAAAAAAACGAGAAAAAAAAAACTCCACAGGAGCAGATGACCCAGAACGAGGCTAAAGGAGCCAAAGAGCCTAGGAGCCAAAGGAGTTGCCGGGGCTAAAAAGACCCCAAAAGACCAAAAAGACCAAAAAAAAACGAGACTAACCAGAATTGCGCGATCCCCGGGACGAATGAAGTGTTTCGCTCGCTTGCCCGAGCCCTGTCGGTCTCTCGCCTGGGTCTTTTCACTGGGGTCTCGTATTCTAGCCATTCCGGTCTTGTCCGTGCGTGACCCCTAATTGGGTAGAAATCTCACCGCGATAGTAAAAAAAGAATAATTTATGGGGCATTGGGACTGAAATCAAATGGGAAATTTCTCAAGTCCCCTGGTCCATTCTTACTTCTCTCCGCTAGCCGGGTCTCAACGCAAGGAGTCTACTTGTACTTGGGCTCTACTTTGTACTCTTGTACTCTGTAACTCTAGATGTGAGAGTAAGTTCGAACAGAGAGTACTACGCAGTACTGAGTAAATACTAGTTCTAAAGTTGTAAGGAGTCCTTCGTGTTCGACAGCAAAGACAGCAAAACAGAGTAGACGAATGGACTAGATTAAACTGTCAACCACGTTCTGGAGCTGTTTCTGTAATATAATAATTTTATTTAGTATTTAGTACGAGTAGTTATTTAGTATTTAGTTATTTAGTGTATATAGAATATAATTATCCTGGCCCAGACTCCCGTCGACCGAAAATTCCCTTATTTACTTTCCTTTCTTCTTTCTCTCTTATATACCTTAGTACACTCCCCCGCGCTTGCTATCGCCTCCAACGCCACGGTGTTTTGCCCCCACATCTTTCGCTTTTCTCCCTTTTAACAATTTCTCTAAGATGTACTATTCGCGCCGTCGACCCTGATTCACTTCATCTGCTGTGCTCCTGTTGCCCCCTTCTCTAAAGTTCTTGTGCGATCGCGTCCATCCTGGATTCTACCAGCCCGTCCGGGGGCTCATTTGGTGATCGAGATTGGGCCCTGAACGGATCTTTTGGCCTGACAGCCAACATCCCAGCCGCCTTGAACGAACCTGAATTTTACGTAGGAGTACAAAACCCTACCGCAAACCTGGCGACGCTCGCTGCGCCAGGAATGGGCACAGCGTTGGACCCGTTGTCGGCCCCGTTGAATGTTCGCCGCCCAGCAGCGCCAACACTGCCGAGCTTCGAGCTCCCACCACCACCATTCAATTTGGCGGCCGCAGCCCCCAAATTCCCGGCACAGTCCAGCCATCCCCCAATCTCTCATCCGTCAAATGTGAGCGTGGGGAACTTGTTAACGCCACCCGCGACAATTCAATCGGGGGAACACGCCACACCTCAGCCCTTGGCGCCATCAACAGGCTCCGATCTACCACCAACCTATTGGCCGGCTAGCTCATACGGGCACGCCTGGGGATCAACCGTGAATGCCTATCCAGCTCGGACGTCCTTCTCACCGTCCTCGGGCATGCAAGTCCGCTCAACGGTCACATCACCACCCTCAACCGATGGACTGCCACACCCATACGAGGCCCCCTCAGTATCTTATCAATCATACCAAGCTCTCCCCGCACCTTCAACAATGCCTCCGTCCGCCTCACAGCCCGCCATGCCCATCTACCCCGGGGGACCCGCCACATCCCCAGCTCCACTTCCATCTAATGATCCATATGCCGCCAAAACCCAGCATATGTATGCCGCTTCTCCCCCGATGACAAGTCCCCACCAAGCGGGCTTCCCCATGTATGGATCTGCAGGTCTCGGGATTCACCCGCCATCTCGGATGCCCGTCCATAGTCCATCGGCAGGGCAACCCCCCCTCGGCTACCCGCGCCAGCCCTGGCCGTCCTATTCTCTTCCCGCCATGAACGGTCCCGTCATGACCAACGTGCACAGTCCCGGTGGCCCCATGTCCATGATGGGCGGCATGCAGCCTGGACTCTTACCTGGATTTAACAGCGGCCATGTCGCAAGCTCTCAGCATTTATACGGCAGCCATGCACCCCCGCATGGCATGTCCGCCCCGGCAGCCGACCGACCGTTTAAATGTGATCAGTGTCCACAGAGTTTCAACCGCAACCACGATCTCAAGCGTCATAAGCGCATTCATCTGGCTGTGAAGCCTTTCCCATGCGCGCATTGCGACAAGAGCTTTTCACGGAAAGATGCTCTTAAGGTATGTGTTCTAGCTAAACTCTTATATTTTTTTTCCATCTGCTCACGATTCTCGATAGCGACATATTCTTGTCAAAGGATGCGGAAAGGACGGCGACGATGCGGGCAGCAGCCAAACTGGGGTCGATATCAAGGGCGAAGGACGAAGTGAAGACGGCAGTCCTCTTCTCAACGGACGCTGAACAGCATCTACTCCAGTGATGCTAATATGTTTACTCCCCCGAACCTATCTTTCTGTATTTACTAAGGTGAGGGGGTCCTACAGAAGCATCGGGAGTCGGGGTTTCTTACCGGATTTTTTTGACATCTTTTCTTTTCTTTTCTATTTTTTTCCAGCCTTGGCGAAGGGTGTGTGATTTGGGCATCATGGGAAGGTGTGAACTCTGCTTTTTTGATTTTGATATCCGGTTTTTCTGTTTCCAATATGTGCTTATCGGACTCATGTGTGACGCTACCTATCCTACTTCTGTGTGATTTAAAGCGATTAAGCGAACTGTTAATTGGATGGGCAACGTCAGTATATAACATCATGAACTGCATGTTCAAGAAATGAACAAAAAAAAGAGAATATTAAACACATCTTACTCCTGTAATAGGCTGACATCTGCCTGCAGGCCAGTCCTGGGCGCTGCTCAGTACTTAAGTAGGACTCTCGAACCCCCCGAAACCATGGATGTAAGTATGGACTAGGGTTGCATGCGAGAAAACAATCCTGCGAACTGCAGTGTCTTATTATAATTAGACAGCCGTTATAGATGTGAGTCCAGGGGTCTATTGGGGTTTATTCACACCGGCTCAAATGACTTGAGTTTATTCAGCTCTGAACCCCCTCAATAAGATGCACACATGTTTGACAAACGAAACAATTAATTCCATAAGATCACCAGGGACTCGACTATTGAAATCAGAACCGAATAAGACATGATAAGCCAAGGAACCAAGAAATCATGCCTCCATACAAGTATATGATCGTCCTTTTTCTTTGAGCCCATTCAAACTATAAAATACTTTCCGAAAAACTCCTTGATCATACTTCAATTCCAGAAAATACCTCCTTTCCCCTCGAAGAGCCTGCCGATGTTCACCATGCTCTTGTTCCCATTGCTGCTCGTATGTGCCTTGCTGGCCAGTCAAGCCTCGGCGTTCCCAAAGCGGCATATGGTCAACCTCCCTCCATATCTCCAGAATATCAAGAGATCCGATACCGGAAACTACCAAATCCCCAGCGATGTGCACAATGGATCCAGCAAGGCTGTATTCGATATCGAAACAACAACATCAACCCTCGACACCAGCACCCTGCTGAGTTTGGACGCACCCAAACTGGACTCGATCAATGGATCCGTCTTCGACTGGTGGTATTTCGACGTCGTCTCCGAAGCAAACCCAGACGATTCCGTGACAATCACATTCTTCTCTTCGACAGTGGAAGCATTCCCATTCCTTGCTGCAAACCAATCGTCTATCCTGACAGCCTGGATCTGGGCTTCCTTCGCAAATGGCACTGTCGTCGCCGACTATGTTCCAGCAACTGTTGCGACTTTGACAGGCGTCGATGGTACACATACCGAAGGCTCGGGACATTGGTTCCCAACTGGCTTTGGGTGGGGTGCTTCCACTGCGCCTCAGACTAGATATGTGGTTTCCATTGCATCGGAGAAGATCCAGGTTCATGGACGGTTGACTTTGACTGCTGTGAGTATTCAATTTCCCTATGAGATATTGCTTGCTGATTTGTTTTGAAGACTGTGCCTTATCATCTGCCATGTGGTGTTCAAAAGGATAAGTCGATTCTTGAAATCGCGCCTCATATCGGATGGGTTAATGCTGTACCTGACGCCGAGGGCGTGGTGGACATGAATATTCGTGGCTCGTCATTGAAGTTCCAAGGTCCTGGGTATCATGATAAAGTAAGTATCTCAAGACCAGGACAGAAACAAGAAACTAACAGATCCCAGAACTGGTCAGATAGACCTTTCATGGAATCAGTCGAGAGTTGGTATTGGGGCCATGGTCGTCTGGGCCCATACTCGATTGTATGGTTCAGTTTCCTCGCTTTGAACGACACAACAAACTCTACATATGTGAGCAGTTATGTGGCCAAAGATGGCAATGTTCTCGTTTCGGCTTGCGGTGAGCTTCTCACTGTGCGTCCGATTGGGGCCCCTGGAACAACGGGAGGACGATACCCACCGAAGGTAGGGGATGTTCCTGAGGGGTTCCATCTGGATTATGATTTGGGAGAAGAAATCGGACTCCTCAAGGTGAATGTTTCGACTAGAGCGCTTGTTGCTGGTGATGGTGAATACTATGGGCGGTGGACGGGAGAGTTGGTCGGTGAAGTGGTCAAGCCTGGGAACGATACGCATGGGGCATGCTCTCCTGATTCAGAGAATGGCTCGGATACTGAGGAGATATCGTTGGTTGGGGTTGGGGTTTTCGAGCAGTTTGTGGTGGTGGAATAGAAGGCCTCGAGAAGAAAGGAGTATCAAAGGAAGTTGCATGTTTATTCAAAAATATTTACAACCCATTCGTAGGTGTGGGCATAGTTCGAAATTAAAGGAGTGCAGGCCAAATCAGAGACCAAAGCGGAGCCAACGGGGTATGGAGAGGAAATATGTAAAAGATAACGGAAAAGAGCAAGACATTTGGGCTCGGAGCTCCAGAGCTCGATGCTTTACCGAGTAAGTTGCTTGGATTTCCATTCATCCACCAAGCCTCGATAATCTTCTGTGCCGTAGGGTTGGAAGCAACGAGCTAGCAATCCTCGTTTCCGCTGTGTTGGCAGACCCAGTTCCCGTAACATCAGATCAACATATGGAATAGCATCGAAGACAAAGTCAGGGTTGCGTCGGCCAAACCCTGCCGGGTAGCGATATCTCCCAAATTCAGAATGCAGAGCTGTCTCCCAGACGAGGTCGATATCCGAAGAATCGTCCATCTTGAGATCGGATGCAGCTCGCACAGCAACAGGGCATCTCTCATGCGAGGTTGGTGTCAGATCACCGCGGAAATATGCCGAAATCCATAATGCCTGAGCTTGGGCAATCAGTGTAGTATTGATGGTCATGGTTACTCCCATGAAGGCCAGTGAGCGCTCTCTCACCAGCGAAAGCGGAACCATGAACTTGGCCAAACGGAATGGATGCGGCACAGCTGCTTCAGAGTGGCCGTTAAGTGGACGAAATTGAGGGTTAGGGCATGGCTGATCTCGCAATCGGGGGAATCGACGGAGGATTTCTTCATCGGCTGCTTTCACCATGCCTTCATTCAAAGGATCTGCGCTCCAGGGGAATCCTAATTCGCGATCAATACCCTCAGGAAGGAACTTGAGGTTTGGAGTAGAGCGCCAGCCCGTTGAGCAAATCAGTGCAGAGCTTGGTAAAGCAACACCCGATGAAAGATGGACTGTTCGATCTGAGACTCGTTCCAGATCTTCCACGTGGATTGTGATCGTGCCGTCTCTGACCAGGTCGAAGAAATCCGTGGGATAGTTGAGAATACTGAGTGAAGAAGCAATCCAAAATGGACTCACCCAAGGCTTCAACTTCTTCAGTTCCGTGTGGTTGTCATAACCGTTGAGTTGAATGACATCCGATGCGAGGATATTCCAGAAAGTGTCCACGACCTATATCGGAGCATTAGTGACATGTTCATTCTGAAATTCAATTGAGGAAGAGAGAGAAACAATACCTTTCGGCCCAGCCAGGTACCATGCAAGAAGCTACGAATGCCAGAGAAGCCATCGGCATGACCCCAAATACACGGACTGAACCAAGTCAAGAAGCGAGTAGTGACTAGTTTCTCTAGCCATTTCTTCAAAGGCGTCACGTAGGCTGGAGTCATCCAGACAGGCCCGTGTCCCGACTTCCGAATGATCCAGTCAACCTTCATGCCCGTTGTTGCGCACGCATAAGCCGCATCCCAGCCTGATTTGGTCCCACCAAAGACAGTAGCACGTTCTCCGGGCTGCAGGACGGCATCCTGATATTGTAGCAAATCACGACAGTGGAAGATTGGTGCATTGAACGACTCCTGGCCCTCAAAGGGGGGAAGGTAGGCCTGAGATGTGATTCCAGTGGCCACAATCATTTTTTTGGCCTCGATAATGGTTGTTTCAGCTCCATGTGAGACAGTCAACTTCCATGTCCCATTCAGGTTGTGGTGTGCGCTTTCCACGCGGTGCCCCAATCGAATATCTTGAGCGAAGCCGAAACGCTCTGAGTATGCTTCCAGGTATCGTTGAATGACATGGCCAGGAATGTGTTGACCGGACTTTACTCCGAATGTCGCTTCGTCCATTGGAAAATCACTGAACTCATAGGTGCCCAGCATATTGTTCGATTTGAGACCCTTGTACAGACGATGCTTGGCCCAGACACCACCCACCGAGTCGGCAGCCTCTAGTAGAAGTGCATTGTGGTCGGGGTTGACTTCACAATAGGTTTTAATGGCGGAAAGCCCACTCCAACCTAGGCAAGCGCGCAAAAGTCAATGGAATTCTTGATTCTGCGAAAGAGACTCAACTTACCTGCGCCGATTACCACAAGGTCCACGTCTTCCATCTTGGGAAAAGCCCTTACTTTAGGTTTCGCTGTGTGGGAGGGGTGGGAGGTGGGTTGATGCAGGAATTATGTACAAACGCAAACAAAAGATAAGATGGAAGATGGAAGGGCAAATCCGTACTGTTTAATTTCTTTTGACTTCCTCTAGGCTCCCCCACTAGGCTCGCGGGAGTAGGGGAGGGGGGCAAGGAAAGCTAAAGCAAGAATGTCGACGGCGTCGGCATGGTGTAGACCCTGCGGCGAATTCTGTCGCAATGCAAGGCAACTTCTCGACAAAGAGATTTCATGCCTTTTACCCATGTACTTATCAGTGAGCACGAACTATTTATTTCGTGCATCACATTCTTACCCCATTGGTAACGTATGTCTACATAAGACCAGTGTTACCCGCGTCCTCATGGCAAGAGAAATAAGTACGGAGTAGCTTTGGTTCCGTCGTTTGACTATATAGGCCCCGCCATCATAGCGTCCGAGCATAAACATCGAGGCTTGAATGGACCTTTTTTGGTCTTTTTTTTTGTCTCTCAGTCGAGCCATTAAGGGGCGAACGTGCAGCAACTGCTCCACCGGAGTTATGTACGAAGTCTTAGGGAACCCACAAGGGCCAAACCGGTTCGGAGCGTTTAATCAGAAAACTTAAGGTACGAAGTACGAGTACAGAATGGCAAAATGTGAAATCAAAAACAAAAACAAAAAGCAAAATCTCGGTGTTTGCGTCAGCTGAAATCTCAACCCTAACACCCCCCATTGATCAGATGGTTTGTCCTTGCATACAGGCTGTTTGAATTCTCTTAGAAATTGAGGAAATACGAGTAAAAATAAAACCCAGTAAATTCCAGAAGCAAAGCGGATGGCTCAACCCGCCCCCCCAAATTAAATGACCCGCTTAGGATCCACTGAGAGCGTTGGCAGCGGGATGCTACCGCTGTCACGGCTGTCTTTGACAGGGACGTGTAACGTTTTCTGGAGTAATGCACAAATTAACATGCAAACCATTCTTGAATGTTAATATTGATTGAGTTCAACACAAACTTGAATAGAGCTGAAGCTAGAGCCCTTCCAGCCTTCCAATTTTAGAAGGCTCAAGGCTCAAGGTACTTTTGCGCTGTCTAATTTAAGCAAAAAACGGTTGGTCATATCTAGCAGAGTCGGCAACTGTCCTCAGTTGCTATCCGGATAGTCGGGCTGATAGGCAACCAGACCAGTAACTTGTACGAGTAGGATTCGATTGCAATCCCTCCCCTGGTCTGCAGGGCTATACGGCAGTAGGTTAAGCAGTCCGTTTGCGCGTCATAAGATACTGGGGTTACAAAGAAACCCCTGCTTGGGTTGCGGTTCTTTGCTTCATCGAGATGTTGACCCGATCGAATTGCAAATGGTGTGTGCGTTGGTGCAACCGATCACCCTCTCCACTTAGGTCCTTTTGTCAAAAGACTGCACTGGCCCCAAGTCGATCCCTGGTCCAAAGTTGATCTCTCACTTCATTTCGTAAGAGCTGTGGACCAATTCTTCAGGAGCTTACTACTACTTGTTTAGGTTGGAAAAAAACGGTGGTTTCGACCTTAAAAGTGTCTCTTTGGCCCACTTGCAATGCTCATAACCAACCGGCAGGACATGGTGGATGCCGCTGGACCTGCTCATTCTTGCATGAAAAATCTCCGACCTGTCATAAATGGACTTTGGCAAGTTGGCAACCCCACGATTAAATAGGAAGATATCCCATAGATGAGAGGGTTTTACACGTGTGGCCGATCTCATTCATTTTTCTAGATTTTCTTTGTTCTTCTTGCCCGCTCCTTCGGCTTTCGCGATTGCGATGTTCATAAATCGCCTGCCCGGTCTCCAGATCTAGTTCCAATAAGAATACGACCAACGGAGATCACTGAGAGTTTACCGTTTGCCGCTGGCTTTCACCCTGAGTCCAATTGACTTTCCTCTTATCCCGAAGCTCACCCAGGTCTGAAAGGATCTTTTTTTTTTTGGCTTTCATTTCAATGTGGTAGAGTAAAAGGTTTCCTTCCTCGTCAACAATGGGCGACTTCAACACAGAGGCATTTACCTTATTGGCATTGTCCATTGTCATTATTGGCCTCAGAACCACTGCGCGATGGATTATGGTTGGACCTAAAAATTTCCAAGCGGATGATTATTTGATGTTGGTTGCATGCGTAAGTTTACTTATCCTAACCCCTATAAGCTCTGCACTCGTTCTTTACTCACATGAGACGCGTAGGTGGTCTATGGACTTGAAACTGGCGCTGCTTACATGGTCGGCGCATGGTTCATGGGTCTCGCAAACAATGCAATGACAGATGAACAACGTGTGAATCTTTCTCCCGACTCGGAAGAATATCGTCTTCGTGTGGGTGGCTCCAAGGTTCAAGTGGCTGGTTGGTCACTGTACACTCTTTTATTATGGCTTCTCAAAACGTGCATGGCCTTTTTCTATTCTCGATTAACGTGGGTGTTTATTCAAATCCTTGTGTCCTGCATCGCTGACCTATATGCAAATTTACAGCGCAGGGCTGATTAATATGCGAGCTCGAATCCATATCGCCTTCGGATTTATCGCTGCAACTTATATCGCCACAATTTGCTCCATTCTTTTCGGTTGCCATCCAATGCATAAAAATTGGCAAATCAACCCTGACCCTGGAAGTATGGAGTTCCGAAAATGTTGTTGATAACTGGGTTTCTAATTTGTTCTTCTAGATTACTGCCAGCCTGCAGTATCAAAAATCGACATCTACGTGACTGTTGTCTTGAATGTCATAACCGACATCTATCTCATTAGTATTCCAGCGCCGGTAAGCTATTCGCGTCGCCCTCCCATCTCACCATTGACTAACACCTTGTTTCAAGATGCTATTCAAAGCGCGTTTAAAGTGGCGCGAGAAACTCGAGCTTGTCATCCTTTTCAGCGGTGGTCTATTTGTCATGATGGCCGGTATACTGCGATGTGTTCTGATATTGACGGTGAGTTCTCTTGAAATCGATCGAAAAATCAAACGCTAATGCATCACCAGGCTGGCGCAAATGGCGCTCAACAGGCTGGCAGCTGGGCGTGTCGTGAAACCTTCGTCGCGGTGGTCATTGGCAACGTCCCGATGATCTACCCGATGTTCCGGCGCGTTGCTCGACGCGCTGGATTATACATTACCTCGAGGAGTGGATCGGAGAGCTATCCCGCCTACCCACTATCAGATGAGAATACTGATGGTGGATACGGGAGACGCAGACGCAAATTCCACCATCCCTTGAGTCTGCCTGAGACCCATTGGATCAATACGGTTAGTGATGAACAGATGATTTTGCCGACTTCACGACAGGCACCTCCTACTTGTACTGCTGGGGAAAGAGATTGGGATGCCAACAGTCAGGGTAGTCAGGGTATAAAGGTTGTTCATGAAACGATTGTTCATAGTGCTGAAAAAACACCTCGGCGATAACTTGGAATTATTTCTCAAGGTTTGCCCAGGTGTCAACAAAAAATTCAAATATATTCATTTGTTCTGGTCACTCGATCTCCTCAATTTAACCTAATCAGGGAGTCAGAGTGAATGGCGATCCAAGGGCTCCAGTTAAAAATCAGATTCTGAAACCCAACCCTCTAAACGTGCTCAATCTTGACTGTAGATGTGCCATTTTTGGCACAAGGTCTAGCGACAATCTTTCCCGTAGGAATCACTGGTTCGTCCGGATCTTGCAATTCCATTTTGAAACAGCAAACCATTGCCGCTACCATGGATCTGAGCTCCGCTTTAGCATATTCGGATCCAATACACCCTCGCTTTCCATGGAGGAATGTAGACATGGAGTAAGTGCTCTTTGAATAACCGTGACTACTAAAAGCCCCGGTGTCATGATTGATCCACTGATCCGGTGTAAACTTGTTGGCCACAGAGCCCCAGAGACGCGATGAGCGATTAAGAGCTCCGGGGGCAATCATGATACTAGTGTTCTTAGGTACGAATGTGTCCAATATCGAAGTATCACGGACTGCCACTCGAGGGGTGAGTGGGACGGATGGGTAAATTCGAATGGTCTCAGCGCAGACGGCATTCAATAATGGAAGACTCCGGAGTAACTCGGCCATTTTCTCGTCTTCAATGTCCATTTCCGTCACATCTACCGAGGATCTGATCTCGGCGCGAAGACGGTCTTGGATCGATTGGTGGGTAGCAAGGAGATAGATAGACCAAGAGAAAGTAGCTGCGACGGTTTCGTGTCTAGGATAGTTAGTTTGGACTTGTGAGTGGATGAAAAGTACAGCGGAGAGAGCTCACCCCGCCGCAAGGATACTAAGAAGTTGTTCGACCAGTTGGTCATCAGTGAGAGTCTCAGAAGCAATCAGCTTGGAGAGAAGATCAGGTGCTTTTGTATCCGTGGTAGCTGGGGTCGAGTGCAAACTGCGTCTCTTGTCTTGGATGGCATCCCGGCAAAACTTTCGTAGAAAAAGCGTAGCAGCTCCATCGCGACTGTCCAAATTCCAAGGAACATAGTCCATAATCCATTCCATCCGACAGTATGCAAGGAAAAACATCGCGGCTTTGCGCGGGGATTCCCGAAAAGCCTCATCATATGCGCTCTTCAGAGGATTATTTGGCTTTTGGATAATTCCAAGATCCCGACCAAGGGCAGCAATGGCAATCACATCTAAAGTCAGACATGTAGCCCAGTCATTCATGTCAATCATTGCATAACCAAATTCTGGGTTTGGATGTGTCAACTTCGCCATGTTGCGAACCATATCAAGGGCTTTATTCCACGAGATCGGCACGAGGCAGGCGCTTTGTGTTATCCAAAGTGAAACTTGGTATAACTTGTTTTCGTTGGAATTTGTGAATGTCGCTTTCTGCAGTGAGGAGCCCTGCTCCGATGATACGACTCGAGAAGGAGCGCATTTCGTGTGGCTTTTCGAAATCGTACGGCTTTTGGACTAATATATCGTTGATTGCTTCTGGAACGGTGACGAGTAATTGATCAAAGCCGAAGTAATCGCGAAGTAACATGATTCCTTCGTTCGGAACATCTTCCATCATTTGCCGATAGCTTTCTGCAATAGGCTCTTGGAAGCGACCGAGGAGATGACTACCTAGATAAGTGCCATTCTGTTGAGTCAAAGTACCAGGTCAGAGAGGGTGTAGTGACAAAAGTGGAAGAGGTGGTATATGTACTTTCGGCTGAGGGAGGAAACGCACAGGGCTGAAGAGTCGAGGGTATATAATGAATTTATATACACACCAAGCAAAGAGTATGTATAGCAAGATAAAGCGTAGGTGTGGAGCACGCTCGAGGAAATCTTGTGAAAGATCATAGTAGGTTGAGGGGCTGGAGCTATTGTCTTGGAGTGAGGCGCTTCTGTCCTGGTTACTGAACATTTTCTCAAAATACGAAGAAAAACAGAACAGCACACTCAAGTTTGTTTAAAGAAACCAGGTTGGCTTAGCTAGTACTTGTTGACCCCGAAGACTTACACCGCGTTATAAATCCTGGACTCATTGAATGACGCTAGACTACCCGATTTGTCCGGCACACCATTAGCTAAATTTCTAAGATAATCGCTTCTAGAATCCGTGAAAAACGTCTTGAGCTATCTCCAGCTAGTCCCAACGGAGATTATTGCCTGGCATATCAGATGAGGCTGAAGAGGAAAGTCATGACATCAATGTGGACATATTATGCCCCCAATTCTGTCACGTCAAATTCTCAATTTGAGTTCTAATTTGCTACCATCCACCGGGTACTGCGGAAGATTTGCAACCTAAAGAATCCCAATTCCATGGCTACATGATGCTTATTAAGGGTCTGTTTTCAATCTATGGGCTCGGATATTATATACAGGCGTTTCCACGTCCAGGTCTTCATATTGTCCAAACTTACTTCAGACAGCCTAAGTACCAAAACCGGACAAACTGAGAGCCCGTGGACAGTGATAATTAGGTAGTGATTCTGCAGAAACCACTTGGGTATCGATTGACTTTGAATCTTAACTCTGCTCCCTCTCATAGGATAATCTTACAATATTGGAAACTTAGAAGCACTCAAGCAAAGCCCGCCGTCGCCAGAGCAGCTCTGAAGCTTCAAAAGAACGTAATATATGACAATGAGATGATGAATTTCACCGAGGTCTCGAAGACGTAGGGTAAATTGCCATTTCTAGCTCCAAGATAGCTTAATTTCTAAAGTTACATCTGAACAGTAAGCCCAGTGGTAAGTAGCACCCACCAGCACTGAATATTTGTTTGCAGCTCCGCCTATTTCAGGTGATATTTTGCCAATAAAAATCAACGACCTTTGAGGACTCAAACAGAAGCTGCATTTGGCCGAATCCTCATGGAGCCTGAGCCTCAACGACCCGCGATGGAACCGCCCTCGTTCCTACCCTTCCAGTTGTCGCCGTTAGACCATTTGATGCCCTCGATATACGTAACTGGCTTCACTTCTTTCGCAACTTCAGACCAAGCAAGGGGCGTTTCTGCTCTACATGATAGCATCCATCGTCTGATCCAGCAACGTCCTCCTTTGGGCGGGGAAGTAGTGGTCTCCAACACCAAGACGAAGACCAACATCCGGAAGATACAGCCTGTTTCTTCTTCACAATGGCAGACCTCTCCAATAGTGCGTACAAAGTACGATTCTCTAAGAAGCATTTCCTCCATCGCTGATCCCGATGTATGCAATGCCGAGTTCAGAAATATACCTTGCAGCCAAGAGACATGCAGAGCTTTTCCAGTGATGAGATTCCAAGCCAATGTGATGAGTGATGGGATCATTCTTGCAACCACGTTCTTTCACCAGGCCATGGATGGCGGTGGCTACTTCAATATTCTGAGAGAATTAGCAACCTTGACCCAAGGGCTTGGCTATTCCGCCACGATTTCATCGCAGCAAGAAGAGCAGGCCCGTCGAAGTTTGTACCAACTCCAACTTCAAGATGGGCAACCACGGAGCACCGACTCTCTCAACAAATCTGTTGACATCCCGGTATCCCCAATAAACCGCCAATTTCTCCTATCAACCAACAGACTTCGCAAGTTGCACAAGATGTGCCAAAAGCAGATTGATTGCCAAGATGCACCGGAGAATGAACCGAGTCTCAAAGTCTCGTCAGGGGACGTTGAATGTGCTGCCATATGGCTTTGCGTGGCACGAGCACGAATCAAAACAGAGTTCTCGTCTGCAGAGAATCACACCACCTCTAAAAGATCGTCGTTTGCTACTGCAATCAACACTCGATCAACAGTGGTCCCGCAAATTCCTCAGTCATACCTAGGAAACGCGATCGTGTTTGCTACAGCGTCATACGCCGTGCCATCAATGATTAAAACAACGGGCTCTCGATGAATATCTTTGATGGCAGATCTTGCAATACGTGTTCAGCGGTCACGCCGAGGTGTAGATAAAAGTGAGGTTGACAAACTGGTCTCGTGCATTAACGAGACTCAAGATTGGGGAGAATTGGCCTTCCAAGTTCCCGAAGTTCTGGTGAGCAACATGCGTCATATGAAGGTGTATGAGTTGGACTTTGGAAAAACTCTTGGACTTGTGCATGGCTTTGAGATGCACAACACAGGCGTGAGAGGAGGATGTTGGATCATGCCTGATCTTCAGACAGACCACGGAGATATTGCACATCGCAAGCTTAGTCTTGGTATTGAACCTGAAGCAATGGTGCACTTTGAAGGGGATTCTATAATCCAGTGGTTGTTGGAGAAGAGAACCTCAAAGCTGTGATCTTGCCAAGTAGATATTGAGTTGGTGAACTGTTTTGTTTTGATTAATCTTCAGCTCAGTTGTCTATTCCACAGCCTACTACAAGGCGTTCGTTCTCTAGGGGCTGTACCTAAGCCATGTCAGTTCTCTTCTTTGACCTTGATGTATTGGATAAACCCAGGTGATGCTCATGTTGTATGAAACATGACTATAAGATAAAATCGATACTGTACATAACAAACTGTTTGAATTATTCTCGGCCGTTCAAAGCTTGGATTTCATGTTGACATGAATGGCCTTGGTATTGGAGTAGGCTGCCAGACCCGCCTCACCAAGCTCACGGCCAATACCAGACTGCTTGACACCACCGAAAGGAATACGCCAATCGCTATCATTGCTCGAGTTGATCCAAACCATACCAGCCTCAATCCTCTTCGCGACCCGATGCGCACGCGTCAGATTAGTGGTGAAAAGTGCACTTCCAAGGCCATAGGTCGAGTCATTAGCCATATCAATAGCCTGCTGCTCATCACTAAACCGCGCAATGACCACAAAAGGCCCAAATACCTCCTCTTGGTAAATGCGCATCTTAGGATCCACGTCGGTGAAAACGGTAGGCTCAACAAAGAATCCTTTTCCATCAGCCACGCGCGCTGGCTTTCCACCAGAGACAAGAGTTGCCTTCTCGGATTTGCCGACATCGATATATGACAGGATTCGGTCATATTGAGCCTGGGTAACCTGGGGACCCTGGAAGGTGGATTCCTCGAATGGATCGCCAACCTTGGAGACGTTCTTCACTTGAGCCTTGAATGCCTCGAGGAATCGATCGTAGATCTTATCTTGAACCAGGATGCGGGATGTCGCGGTACATATTTGGCCCTGATTGTACATGATGCCGATATGGGCCCATTCGACCGCCTGCTCGAGATCCGCATCGTTGAAGACGATGAGGGGACTCTTGCCGCCTGTTTCTAGGGTGATGTTCTTCAGGTTCACACTGGCCATTTTCATAATCTGCTTGGCAGTTGCTGTGCTGCCTGTAAAGGCAATCTTGTCAACATCCATGTGGGAGGCCAGGGCGGCACCTGCGACGGCACCGTGTCCGTTGACGATGTTGACCACGCCGGGCGGGAAACCAGCTTCCACGATGAGATTTGCGAGGAAAAGGATCGAAAGTGGGGTCTGCTCTGCTGGCTTCAGCACCACGGTGTTACCGCATGCGAGGGCAGGGCCGAGTTTCCAAGCCGCCATCGCAAGGGGGAAGTTCCATCTACGTGTTATTAGTCGTCGCCTTTTCATTAATGTGTCTTGGGATACTCACGGAATGATCTGTCCACAAACACCCACTGGCTCACGCACAGTGTAGGCAAACTTATCTGAAGTTGTGTCGATGACTTGACCGAAGATCTTGTCCGCAAAGCCGGCATAGTAGCGAATTGTCTCGGCCGTCTCTGTCAGGTCATCGTTGAATGAGACCGAGTACGGCTTGCCGTTATCAATGGTTTCAATCGTGGCAAGTGTTTTTCGGTTGTCTTCGATTAGCTGGGCAAGGCGGTTCATCAGCTTGCCACGATCGATACCGGGCAGATCTCTCCAGCACGGGTTGTTGAGAGCGGCACGAGCGGCCTTGACAGCCTTATCAACATCTTGCGCCGAGGCTGCATGAATAGATGTAATTTCCTTTGCGGTTCTTATGGAGAATTAGACCAGTCTTTCGAACATTGCGATCTCGCTCACATACGCTGGATTAATAGTAGCAATTTTCTCGCCGTTCGAGCTCTTCACCCATTGGTTGTTGATGAAAAGACCCGTTGGCTGGGCCCAACTATGGCCGTTGGGGGCTGTGAGTTGAACAGATGTATTGGCCATTGTGAGACTGGGGTATGTGTAGAAGAGAGAGGGATAAATCGCGTAGCTCTTAAGACATCCGAGCAACAGCTACCACCGAGCAAGCTGCGTCGGATGGACATGCCCAAGAGATGTCATGTCATGTCTCCACAGCAGATCCCCTCCAGATTTCCAGATTTCCAGTGCAAAGAAGAGAGTCGAGAGGCGGAAGACCCTGGCCGAATCACGGCGCTTCGTATGTACGCTAGTCCCAAACGGGAAAGTCCAAGCATTCCTGTTTAAACGGCGGCATTCCGACCTCTTTAATCTGTACTTGATATTTATTACCTGATACTTTTATCTTCTATAGTCTATGATACTCAACATTATGGATAATTACTGGACTGGTAATGCAATTATGTTGAGTACCTAGTATTTACCTAGGTACGAGTAAGTAATCAGGTAATCGAAATAAGCTTAGAATTAAGGCCTTGGCGCAGTAAGACACAACCTCCAATGTCAGCTATTGTCGATTTAGGGCAGGTCGTGCCTATGCGTGTCACAGATAAGACTTGCCCTATTAGGGCGAACACTAGCAGAAGCATTGACAGTTCATATCTGCCCGAACTGTTGCGACGCGATTGGCTCAGGGGCCGATTAAACTGACTGATATCGAGTGGAGATCAGTCATGCAGTCCAGGCAGACGCTTGTTTCTCCATGCTTTACCCTAACTTGAACAACAACGGGAGACCCGCACTCGGAGTCAATCGCAAACCGATGCCTCCCCCGGGTTTTTCATGGCGATGGAGATCCCGATTGCCCGATTGGGAAGGTACATGCGGAACATCTCAACTGTGGACGTTGGACATCCACTGGTATAGAAGAATCTATATAAGATCCATGGCCACTTGGGGGTTTGGAGATTCACTCAAGTCTCACTCTCTCTATCTTCGCACATCTTCATCATGGCTTCTGCCCCAGATACTGAGTCTATTCCCGGCTACACAATCTTCCGTGAGGGAGATTATGATAGTGTTGCCGCCGCCGCTATGTTGCCACAGGGCACCACTCACCCATTAGGTATGAAAACATCACGAAAATCACCTTCACAATGCTAATGGTTCTAGATCAACTTTCCATCAAGGAAATCCCCGAGGCTGCAAAGATCATTCGTGACTATGCCAGCCCTAAGTCTATCAAGTTCAACTGCCTCACTCTCCGGGAACCCAAGAAGGCCGAGTACCAGGCATTCCGTGCTGGCGCTGTGCCAGCCCCGGATCGTCGCGCCTTTGCCATCGTCATCGTGGCTCAGAGCCACCAAGTCGCAGAGGTGGTGGCCAATCTCACCACAGGCAAGGTTGAGGAATGGAAGGAAGTCTCTGAAGTGATGCCCACTCTGACCCTCGAGGATCTCGATGTCATGGAGCGTATTGCCCGCAAGGATGCCCGTGTGATCCGCGCCTGCAAGGATATTGGTATCACCGACATGGACAAGGTTTTCCTCGACGCCTGGGCTATTGGTATCGACGAGCGTTGGGGCTTCGAGCGTCGTCTCCAGCAGGGTCTGGCTTACTACCGAAACTCCGAATTCGACAACCAGTACGCCCACCCTCTGGATTTCACTGTTGTTGCAGATACCGAGACGGAGGAAGTTCTCAGCGTTGACGTGCGCTACGTCAATGGTGAGCGTACCGCCGCTCCTCTGCAGGAGCACAACTATCTCCCCGAGTTCATTGGCGACAAGTACAACCACGACCGCCTCAAGCCTATTGATATCACCCAGCCTCAGGGTGTGTCTTTCAAGGTCCGCGGCAACGAACTCACTTGGGCCAACTTCAAAATGCACATTGGATTCAATTACCGCGAAGGTATTGTCATCTCTGACGTCCGCACCCACGACATGTACGAAGAACGCGAGCGTACTCTTTTCAACCGTATCTCCGTTGTTGAGATGGTTGTCCCCTATGGTTGCCCCGAGAAGCCTCACCACAAGAAGCACGCTTTCGATGTTGGCGAGTACGGAACCGGTCTGATGACCAACTCCCTGAAGTTAGGTTGTGACTGCAAGGGTGCTATTCACTACATGGACGGTGTGATGTCCACCTCCAAGGGTGAAGCCGCCGTGGTCAAGAATGCCATCTGTATTCACGAAGAGGACAACGGTCTTCTCTATAAGCACACCGACTACCGCGATGGTACTGTCATCTCCGCTCGTGACCGCAAGCTCATCGTGTCTCAAATCATCACTGCCGCCAACTACGAGTACGGCTTCTACCACACCTTCACTCTGGATGGTACCTATAAGCTCGAAATGAAGCTCACTGGTATGCTCAACACCTACTGCATGCACCCCACAGAGACAGCTGCACCCTACGGCACAGAAGTGGCCCCCTCAATCAACGCCCACAACCACCAGCACCTGTTCTCCCTGCGCATCGATCCCGAGATCGACGGCACCAACAACTCCATCATCCAAAGCGACGCCGTCTCCGCCGAAGCAGCCGTCGGCTCCCCAGAGAACCCCTACGGCAACGCCTTCTACAGCAAAAAGACCCCCCTCCGCACAGCCCTCCAGGGCGCCGCAGACTACTGCCACGAAACCAACCGCAGCTGGGACATCATCAACCCCAACCGCATGAATGCCATTGCCAAGAAGCCCGTCGCCTACAAGATCCTCAACAACAACTGTCCCCCAATGCTCGCCAAGCCTGGCTCAACAGTCTGGAAGCGCGCTGCTTTCGCCCGCCACCCTCTCTGGGTCACTCCATACAAGGATTACGAGCTCTTCCCTGCCGGTGATTATGTCTGTCAATCCAACGGTGTCGAAGGACACCCCCATAACTCGACCATTGCCGACTGGGCCGCCCGCAATGAGAATATCGAGAACACCGATATCGTCTGCTACTTGCAGTTTGGTCTGACGCATTTCCCGCGCACAGAGGACTTCCCTATCATGCCTGCTGAGCCGGTTAGCATCATGCTGCGTGCTTCGAACTTCTTCGAGAAGAACCCTGCTCTCTGGGTGCCTCCTTCTGCTATCTGTGTTGATACGCAGAGCAAAAATGCTTTCCCTTCGTCTTGCTGTGCGACGAGTAAATCGCGCATGTAAACGTTGGTTATGAATGGGATGAATTTTGTACATAGTAAATAGTAAATAGTTTTCAATTTTTTTTTATTTTTCAGAACTACTTAAGTACTTCCAAGGTTGTAGTCCATGCATTCTCAACTATTTCCAACCGCATGAATGTCCAAGCCCTGGATTATCGGTCACGAAATGCCTTCTTCTAAACTTGTACAGCTTCAGACCACAGCCATCAGATGCTTTACATACGCCGAAATCAATAAAATGCAAACCCTCATCCAATCCTTAGAACATAAATAATCTCAAATGTATGTATTCCATCTATCTATATACATAATGGCATCCAACCTACCAATAACTAAATCTAGATAATATTCTTCAACTCCTGCCCAGCAAGCAAGCGTCTAAGGTTATACCCAATCAACGCCTCCGCCTCACGAGGCCGACCACCCGCAGCATGAGGCGAAAGAATCAAATTAGGCGCAGCATAAAGCTTCGACTCCGCAGGCAGTGGCTCAGTGGAGAAAACATCCAACGCAGCACCACCAATAGAACCACTCTCCAAAGCCTGCAGCAAAGCATCCTCATCAACAGAAGTGCCCCGACCAACATTAACAACCCAAGCATGTTTAGGCAACAACTTCAACCTCTCAGCACTCAATGCCCCATTCGTACTTTCAGAACCAGGCAGAATCATAACCAATGCATCCGTGCTCGACAAAACATCAGGAAGTGAATCCTCCCCAACAACAGTATATCCGTTGCGGACGCCATTTGAGCGCGCGACGCCAGTAACGTTCGCACCAAGAGCAGTCAGGACAGGAGCGAGTTTCTTTGCGATATTGCCAAAGCCCCAGATGGTGATGTTTGCAGATTTGAGGGTCTTGAAGGACCCTGGTTCGCGATCGGACTGGGGACCGCCTAGATGGGCAGGCCAGACATTGCGGTTTTGATAGTCGCGCATTTCGTAGAAGCGGCGGGCTGCATTTAGGAGGAGGCCGAGGGTGTGTTCTGCGACTGTTTCGTCGTGGAGGCCTGAGCCTGTTGTTATGGCTATGCGGGAGGCGTCGAAGCCGGCGTTTAGGACGTCATTGGGGCCTGCAGCTAGGGATTGGATCCAGCGGAGGTTTTTCATGCGGGAGGCTGCATCTTGAAGATTGCTGGCTTTGTTGCTCCATGTTACGAGGAAGTCGGCGTCAATGAGGGATTCGGGGATCGGTACGGTGACGTCGTAGGGGTGCAGGGAGACGGAGAAGCCCTCGAGGGACTTGGTGTCAAGGTGGAGGGAGGTGGGGTAGAGGAGCTTCATTTTGGGAGTGAGTTGTTTAGAGAATTGGGCAAGGCGAGCGAGAGGGGACATTGTGAAGAGGTGTCGGGTTCTTATGCGAGAGTCAAACGCCGCGGGGTCGTGTTCGGGCGGAGCTCCGCCGGGTCGGTTATCAACTACGTGGGGGTGCGAGGGGGGGATTATGGGGGGAATTGGGGGGTATTGGGGATGATCATTTTCAATGTATTTATTAGAATTGAAGTGTGATCGCGAGGCTAGTTGCTTTCAATGTGTATGGGTATCGCGCATCGCCTATATAAACATGACATATGTAAAAAAAAAAGAAGTACAGAATATGTATAAGAATAAAGAAGTATGCGGAAACTTATCTCCGAGGTTTTTCCACCTATGAAGTGGCGTCTTTCTCATCATCAACGGCACCAGTGCCGGTCAAGAAGAAGTCCAACTCACTGGGCCCGCCTTGAGAGTGTTCGTTCTCGGCGAGCTGTTCTAGCAAACTAAGGAAGGGATCTTTCTCGAGAGACCCACCTTCGCTGCCGTTGGTGGTGTGAGTACCACTAGTCTGAGACTGGGCGCCTGGAGTAAGAGCAGTGGAGCCTTGCGTCATGCCATTCATATTGGCGTGAGCAGTGTCGAAGGGGAATGTGGCGTATTGGGGGTTGGAGGGCGGTGTTGGGGCAATGTGTAGGGATGTCTCGGCTAGAAATGCGGGCGGGGAGAGACCAAAGGCAGAGGGCGAAAACCCAACTGGGAGATTGAGATTGTGTTCAGAGAGGTCTCCCGTCTGGAGAGAGAAGATGGACGGGAGAGGGGATTGTTGGGATTGGAATTGGAGGTTTGGGGAGAGAGGGGGCGGTTTTTGAGAAATTGACTGGCGTCGATGCTCACTATCTGAGCTCTGAGCTGGTGCCAGTGGAGTGGAAGGTGCCGCTCTTGAATTCGAGTAGAAGGAAGATGGGGTTTGGTATGAAGGTGTTGCTACCGGGCGTTGGTAGTAGTGATCTTGACGGTCAATGAGGTTTGCGGTGGATCTGGATGGTCAGCAAAAGTCCATTTCAAAGCGTAGGTGCTCGAACTCACCCGGGACTCGAGTCATCTCCAGTGTCTACAAGCCGCACGTGTGATCCATCCAAGGTCAATCCGGGATATCGGTCGAGGAAGTCCTCGAGATGGAACACCGGCGAGAAGCGCATGGGACTGCTAGCCAAATTGCGCACCAGCTCAGAATGACAAGTGTATATTGTTTGGAGCAATTCACGCTGATGCTGTACACCACTCCAGATCCCCCGGAGCCATGCTAGCTGGTGCATCTCCCGGGTCAAAAATTCCGCACTGGAAGAGAAGACCTCTCCTTCTCGGCCCTTGTAATGCACGCCATGGACATGTACTGTACCAGCAGTGCACACACAATAACCCACAAATGCAGGCCACTCCACCAGTGGTGAATTGCGACCCAATTCAACCAACTCAGCGATGGCATTGGAATGTGAGAAACACAGATTCGTAGCCTCAATCTGCCACGACTGGTGCTGACCGGTTCCGCGCAGCTCTACCAAATCAATTGGTAGGAAAGGGCGATAAATCAGACAATGCACCAGGTGGTAGATCAGTTTGCTCAACAAAAGGGTCGTACTCTCTGGGTGACCAAATAACGCATCTACCGACGCAAAAACATCCTGCGTACCGGCCGCCCAGATATCCAACTCCTGTCGGATTTTAGACAGATTCGAAAGTGCGTGCCATGGGAAATGGGAGTCACCCTTGACTCCGCCGGCAGCAAGGTACTTGTTGGTTACCCCGAGGATCCTTGTTATATCAATCAGCAAAGAAGCCGCGCTCGGCGACTTACGACGAGAGTCCGCCGAGTATTGAATGTTAGGTCCGACATGGAAAAGCTCGCCGTCCATGTTCAGGCCAGCCGCATGGGGCGACCAGGAAGGCAAGCGCAGGACCACCGAGTGATCCGAAATGAGACATGGACGTCGGGATCCGCAATTGATGAAGCGATCCATCAGGTAGACAGACCAGAATAACCGCCGCCTCATTTCACGTTCGACAGGCGCCACGTTCATTTTTGAAGGGGCTTCACGATATAAATCCAGCGCGACTATCATGGCCACACAATTCGCTGGTTCTTGTCAGTCAAATTGCCTTCGCATACCCAAATGGCAACCTACAAAACGTCATATAGGCTTTCTTTCCAAGTCCGTAAGCAAAGAAAGTCTGAGACAGCAACAGTAACGTCTGCAGGCCTTCGATTGTGGGATTGTCCACATCTATCAGACGTCTTGCCTGAAGCGCTGCATCAAGCCCAGAGCGGTATGACTGCTCGACTTGCCCGGGCGAAGTAGTGTACCTAGGCATCATTAGTGAATGCGCGCATCCAGGCTATCTCGGCGGCCTTACCGGGATGCAATTGCCAAAATTGCCATGGCTAAATAGTTAGGCAACTGATTCAGCTGATGGCGCTGTCGCGTTGTCGCCTCATCCAAAATGTAAAACGGCTTCCCGTGCAAGCGCACAAAGTACAAGTCCAAGAGCGCATCTGGGAGAACTCCATGATGCGTTGGTGAGTGTTGAATGTTGGCTGGGGCGCTTGGCCTGGGAAAAGGATCGGCCGGTGCCAACGAGGCTGGCGCGGGTCGCTCCGAGTAAATGAAGGAGGTATCGATGGTATTGCGACGGGTGGGGAAACTCGGAGGGTCGTCCGGGGTGTCGGGAGAAGTAGGCGAGATGGGATTCTTTTCATCGTGCAGTCTCTTCTCCAGGCCATCCACTCGCTTCAACAGTGCCTCCAGCACATCGGTCTTGGGCCCCCGCTTTTTTGGAACCGCGTCTGCCATTCATTAGTCGGCGATCGTACGATTTTGGTCGATCGATTCACCATAAACACATGGACACTGGAAGACCTTGCATGCCTCACAACTCGGTCGCAGGCGGTTGCACTTGATCTGTGAATGATTAATTGGAGGCTATGTGGGATGTCAGATTGAGACTGACCTTGCGCTTGCGACAAGACTTGCAGTTCATTGTCTCACGCGGCTCGACCGTCGCACGGCGAGGCGTGAGACGGTCGATGCTGACCTGGGGACGAGACATTGCACATGGGGAATTAAGAAGTCAGGGAGGGGGAGGAATAAAAGAAGAGGGCCAAGAGAGACAAGGAGACAAGCGCATGGTTGTGGCGTACGGTCTATACCAGATCAGTTTGCGGAGGAGGAAATGCGGAGAAGTGTGATGTGCCGCCGGACTTCCCGTTTTTGGGTTTACCGTACGTCTTTGGTTACGAATATTTAGTACATACAGTAGCAATGGGCGGTATTGATCATATTTGGAAGCAGATTTCAATAGGTTCGTTGAATAGTTATTGTTGAGTACTTAAGTATGTGTATGGTTAATTTTTTATGATGGTCCTTTAGTACAGTCTGAGTGCCGAGGGAATACTCCTTAATATAATATAATACCCTTGTATATGTATTGTAGTTTAGAATCAAAATACAACATCCGGGGAATTGCCTAATTGCACCCCCTCCGTTAGGGCTTCCACGCTAACATCCGAGACGATTAGCGTCTTTGCGTAGTTAACTACGAGTATGGACGAGTACGGGCACGGGGCCCGCTTGGACCCTGTCCTAATGGCCCTAATGGCCCTAATGTCGCCCTACAAATTGCCCTTGCACCAAGACTTCAGAACATTTAGTCAAGCGCCTCCGTTTTGAGTACGGAACGTGGCCTGTCTGCTTCTGACATCTCCATTCTATACGTAGCTGCATAGGAATCTGTATCAAACTAATGCACACTACCTCTAATTTCGCCTGCAGAACCCAGCAAATAGACCAAAACAACCTTGGAAGACCCCAAAAAATCAAGGCAGGACTTTACCCCGACGAACGAATTCCGCCATATTCCTCGCTGTCGTTCCCATTCCCTGCAAACCCTCCACAACCCCACTCCGATCCCCAGCTCCTTTTTCCTGACTAACCTTAAACCGGCCCTCAATGCGCGTAATTTCAATCTGCACCCCGATGATATTCTTCAACAGCGCTGCAATATACTCCAATGGCGCGTCGCCAATTTCCCAAGGTTTCGGCGACGCCGCATTAGCGCCCCCCTGACTCGCTTCAATGCATTGCGAACTCGACGTCGACCTAGACCCGGATTCGGAATCCTGATATCCCATGATCCCCTCCTCGCCCAGTCGGGCTAGGTCGCCTAACTGCCGTCGAAGAAATGACTCGGTATGTAGGCCGTCGTGGTAGATGGTTGCACGGCCGTAGACTTGGACAGCGGCGTAGTTCCAGGTTGGCGCGACGCGCCCGGCCGGTCTGGAGTCTGTGTACAGATTCGGGGAGATGTAGTGGTCGACTGGGCTGGTGAAGACAATTAAGACTTCTTCGGATAGAGTGTGGCCGGTGCTTTGTGGGGAAGGCTTGTCTGTTGGGAATGACCCTGGGATGTGTGTGAGTTTGCTATGTGAGGCTTCGATGATTGCTTTTGCTTGTGAATTTTGACGGGCAATATGGCCGCGTAAAATGCCCAGGGATGGCTCAGATACGCCATGGCTGGTGTCGGACTCTGGGGCTGAAACTTCGTCTAGGATCCATGGGATGTGGCTGCATTGGAGGGTTGGGTGGTTTTGGGAGGGAAGGGAGGTGGTCAAGACACCGAGTGGATGCTGCTGGATGAATGCATGAAGGGTTGGTAAGTCCCGCACTGCGTGGTTTGGGGGGAGGTGCATTGTTGATTGTCAAGATGAATGAGCCGACTTCCAAGGTTCCGGGTTGACCCCGGATTTTGGCGATAAGCTTCTTATCGGTGCCTCGGCTAAACTAAAAAGATTTGCGGAGTAGACGCAATAGACAGTACTCTTTAGATTAATTAGAGCTCAATGCCGGCTCTAGGGCTGTAAAGCCAAGCTCAGAGGCCTAGTGGCCAGCGGTTCATCAATGAATGCAGCGCGGAATGAATGGGGAAGGGCCTTGGTCTGCGTCAAACGCATATAACTTCGAAACAAATGAACTGGAAAGAACCCCGAGAACGAAAACCTCAAGCCCTGAAATCATAATAAGCCTGACCAAGCTACACAAGGCAAAGAATGCAGTGAATTTCTACCAGACGAAACCACAAAAAAAAAAAAAAAACTCCCATTCCGAACTCCAGTCCGCATCTTGATCTACAGACAAGTAAAGATAGCTAAAACAAAGGTCTCCCAGACGCCATACGCACAAAGTCAAAAGGCACATTCTGGCCAACCAGAAGCCTGAGCGTCTCAACCGTCGTCCAAGCACTAACATCCTCAGCCCCGTATGCCGTCCACCCAGCCCGACTAGCAACAGCAAGGGGATCACCCTTCCGCGGCCCACTAGCCAGGTCAAGATAAACCTTTCCCCGGGACTTCGGTGACGAGCGACCGTTTGCACCATAATGTCTCAGCAATGGTTGGACGAGCAGAGACTTCTCGGGTGGCAATGCCGAGACAATCACGAACGGCTGCTCGACCAGCTTGACGGACTGGATTGAAGTGAATGGTTCCAGGCCTGTGGATAAGGGGCCGGAGGCTTTGAAGCCAACTGTGTAGATGGTGCCGACGTCTAGAGAACGCAGAGCGAAAATGACAGGGGAGGCATCGGCCTCTGAGCCGGCGAGAATAATTGCCGCCCTAGTACTATAGGCCGACGGGACATACTCGCGCGTTAAAGTGGCACGGATGCCCTTCCAAGCGGCGTTTTCGCCGATGAAGCGTGTTGCGCTTTTGGAATCGCCCACCATTGCGATGGTGTCGACGAGACCAATTGCGCGCGCTGCTTCGCTCACTGCTGGTATATAGGAGGTTGAGCCTGCGATTGGGGGATTCACGTACGCGCCGCCGAAGTGCGGCTGAGAGAGGATGGATTCGATAGAGCCTTTGAGGCCGCGGTCGATTGAGGTCAGATTGTGCGGTAGGCCGAGTTCATTGAAGCATTTTTCCATGAACATCGAGTGTGGCGTTGGTCTGAATGAGCCGATTGCGTAGATGTCACGTTTGGGAAGCTGGCCCATTATATGCATTGCTTCATTGATCTCGGCTGCGCTGAGTTGACCTGGTGCAGCAATCATGGGGAGGAGTGGGTGTGTTATAGGCGAGAAAACGGTATTGAGGGCACGAGATAACTGACCCATTTGGCCCATGTTGACTGCTGAAAGGAGAGGACCGGAGCCACGACTCTTGATGGTTGAGCGGAAGTATTCTAGCTCGTAATTCTCCTCGATTGTGTGAACCATTGCGATCATCTTGACAATGTCGGCGTATTTGGCACTTTCGGTGAAAATGCGATGCGCCTCTTCGGATGTCCATTTCCAGGTTCCGGAAAAATCGTGGAAGGCAGAGAGGATCATGCTGTGTCCCTTTTTCTCAAATAGATTCTGTCTGATTTCTTCCGGCAGCCACACTTCCACATCGATATACTCAACTCCCCACTGAATAGCCCGTCGCAGGTACTTATAGAACAGCATAGGATCATCAACAGGGAACTTCCCGTTCTCCCTTATACATCTCGTAGTAAAGATAATGGGTAGTTCAGTATGCTGCCTCAAAAGCATCAACTGCTGACCAACATACTTCAAGCTCGGAACAGGCGCAACACCCTCAGCCGGCTCGACGAGCAAATCGACACGAATTTCAACAGCATCCGAGCCAACCGACAAAATATCCAAATTCGGCAAAGCAGCACGCACATCAGGGAAAGTCGTCGAAATGAAATTCGTCCTCGTCTTCGTCCCCAAATCATCATGCGGCCTGGTCTGACCCAGAATCAAAGACAGAAAGCGCGACAGATCCCGTCGCAAAAACGGACTCTGCGAATACAAAAATTCATAATCACAACTCTCTGTCAATGCATCGTCTGGTGCCGTCCCATCGCCCACACAGTGCGTATTCACCACAACCAGAGCCGATCGCTCCGGCAAGCTCGCGACATCATGCGCCAAAATGCCCAGCACTGCATTGCGCGCGCGCACCTCCGTCGTCCATGGTTTGCCCAATACCTCTGCGGCCAGCTGTGCGATATGGCCCTGGTTCTCGGCGTGGACGATAACGACAGTGCCCCCGGGAGCGGGGACCTGTGGGACGGGGTCTTCCTTTGGCGCGGTGGACGGCAGAGTCGGAAGGACAGTGATTGGAATAGCGATTTCTGGATCAGCTTTGAGAGCTGGGACGGAATCGAGTAACGGCGGCGCCATGTGCGGTAAAGCAGTGGGAATCATCGCACAACAGTCGCAAGTGTTTTCATACTTGACGAGAATGGTGGAGACAGACGAAAGTCAAAGGGGGTTTTCAACAGGTATCCGTGAGCCGGATATTTAGAGAAAGTCGGAAAAGGACCAAGGGAGACTAGCTTGCTATGGGGTAAGAGACAGCGAATTGGGTCTCAGGCTGGCAGGAGACAGCCAAATGAAATGCATCTGCGGCGATGGAAGAACTGCCTTTGCGCAGCGAAATGGATCCCGAAAAGACGCGGGGAAGAGTGGCGGCGTTGGGTTTCTCCGCCAATCACGTTCGGGCTGATCTATACGAATTTGTCCGTTTGGCCATCGGGGATATTGGGATATTGAGTTACTGGTCTATTATATTAGTATTATATGAGTATCTGACAGAAGCCACAGAATTGGACCCTGATTGCTGATGGCGACTTATACAGTGACTCGAACAGTAAGTGCAGTGGCTACAGCTACAGCCTATATCACCTTGGAAAACAACATGATCCGATACGAGGGAAAAAGGTTGGAACCCCGGAGATGATTGGCGCAGACAATGCTACCTAATGTGTCATGGCACTAATTCTAGGGCTATCAAAGAGCCAGCGGGACATTAGCTACATCTCACTACAGGGGTTAAGTGGTTGAGTAGTTTCGAGATATGGCTCCATACCCAGCATATGGAAATCTATGTCTGGCGCAATTAGTTATCAAGATACAACAAGTCACAGCCCTATAGGCATACATGTGATAGGAGGGTAAAAAAAAGAGAGAAAAGAAAAAAGATCTGCCCAATTTATTTCAAACAGATAAGGAGTGAGAAAGATACCAGCCAAATCAGGGTATTAGGCAAAGGCAAGCAAGAGAAGATGAGAACCAGGACAGGGAATCGCTTTTCTGTTCACGGTTCCGAGCATCAAGCCGGAGTCAAAACGCTATGTACGACAGACACGAGGGACTGTTTGACTTTTGAACCATCAGCAAATTCAAAATGGGAAGCTGTATCTGCAGCGTTGGAAAGGAGATCAGATCCCGCGTAGTCGGGTGAGAAGTCGCCGAGCCAGCGGCGAGATGCTCGCCCGAAACAGACCTCAAACACGCGCAGTTGGCGGGAGGAGGCCATTACGGGTCGAGGCCGAGCCGGCCCGCAAGAAGGGTTTCAGGTTCAGGGAGAGAGACGTAAGTCTAAGGGACGAGTGGGACCCCACCGCGCAGATGGCGATGGAAAGAAGACACTGGATTTGCACCAATTAACTCGGGGGAGAGATAGCGAGGCCATTCATGAGGCTGGGCAGGGGCTTTCGGCGGGCAGTATTGGCTGTTTTAGAGACCCGTGGGGCGCCGTGGATCATGCGGGGCTCGGTCATCAGGCTGGTGTCTAGTTTTGCCGGTGCTGCGAGATAGTTAGTGAGAGCAATTAGGCTGAATGATTCTTTGCATACCTCGGGTGACGACTCTGCCGTAGTCGGTGGACATATTTTGCTGACTGCGGCTGCTTGGAGGGAAGAAGGTGGCGTTGGCTGTGCGCCATAGATGGTTGGAAGTGTCTGATAGGAAGTCTGTGGTCGAGCGGCCAGAAAAGATGGATGAACGGCCACGGTTACGCTTTGAGAGCACAATTTCATCGAACAAGGCCATTCGAGGGTCCTTGGACTTAGGGCTCGTGCGCTCACGGTCACTGATGAACTCATTGAAGCCTAAAACGGGTGAGTGCTGGGTGGCATGATCAGCAATGGAAATAAAACATACTTTGAGTTTGTTGCAATATCGCAATGTAGTCAGCATGTTCGCTGGGAAGGCTCTTCATGAAAGCCTCGGCGTTGAAAGTGTAATACAATCCTTGCTTCTTCTTATCGCTACTAGCGGGAGCAAGGAACTTTTTGTATGTGTAGAACAAGCTGGCGAAGCACCGGACAAATGCAGCACGAACCTGATCGGGGTGGAAGGCAGCATCACAGGGCAGACACACCATGGATGCACAGCGATTGTGGACTGTCAATCTACACGACGAGCACTTGTACATGCCGTCCTCGGCCTGCTCGTCACAAATCGCACAGATCAACTTCTCATCCCACATCTGGACCTGGAAGAAGTGACCCTCAACCCAGCAAGTGCCCTCATTATTTCCAAAGGGCTGCACAAACGACTGTGGCACGATTGTAGATGCAGCAATAGTAGACTGCGCATACACAGACGGGGCGTAGGTGGACCCACCACCGTATTCCGTGTTCAGTGTAGTTACTGAAAGGTTGGATGTGTGGCCCAAGAATGGTGCACTTGGTCGACGACTCATTCCGAAGGACGAGCTTCGGCGCGACGCAGCATCGAAATGTCCAGAGCGCTTTTCACGCAGGGATGCCTGCAGCGCCATTCCAGAATCATTGCGCGATGAGGGAGTGGGCGGGGGTGGAGGGAAGAAGCCCGAGGTAGGGGAGCTCTCCCGTGGGGATGGTGGAGATGCACTTGCTCTGAGAGTGGAGCTAGTACCTGGGCGCTCGTTTCCGCGAGATGAATACCCGCGAGATGGGCCGGCTTCATTGCGGGCATGCGCGAATACATTGAAGATTGGGGGCGAGTAAGAGCCCGGGACAACGGCGGTCGAGCCAAAGGCGCTGGAGTTCAAACCAACATATTTGGCAAGATTGGTCGCAGGCGCCTTTGAAGTGAAAGTTGCCTTGCTCTCAGACATAAAAGCGTCCCAAGGGTATGTCTCTACTGCATACGCAGGAGGCCCAATGGGAACATGGCATCGGCCGTGCTGAGGAGCAGCTAGTTGCAGCAATGACAAGAGCTTCCTGCGCTGATGGCGTGGGAGAGGGGTCGGCTGGAAAGTACTCTCAATCATATTGTTATCCAGATCAATTAGAACGAAATCATCGGTCGGCAATTCCACTTTCTCGTATCGACGCTCGATACCCACAATATAGGGGCAAGGTGCTTCAAGTGCTTGAATCAAGCGGGCAGGAAGAACGGGAATAAGAACTCCAGTCCATTCCAAGGGAAACAAGAGGTCAACCAATGCCCGTGTAGCAAGATACAGCATCGAGGTATGGGAAGACAGGAAGATGATGCGGGCTTCGGTCAGAGCGTACTAAATCCTATTAGCAAATTCTCAATCAGACTGGAGAAATCCAAGACCTACCTCGAATAAAATGAGGATGTTCGGCACCGACAACGTTCGGAACAGAGAATATAGGTCAGTCTGAAGATCGGTTAGTATGAATTTCGGCCAAGGAACTCAAACAAGATTGCAATGCACATACATTCCGAGAGCCCGGGATTTCGTTTGGAGCCTCCTTCCGCGCAAATAATCGCAGTTCACGGATCGCAAGCTCCACCTGGGTCTTTGAGGATATTGGCGCAAATGCTTCTGTGCAAAGATTCATCACGTATTGCTCTAGCGGTTGCCAAAGTCCCATCCTGGGTGAGGGCGGAGGCACATGCTGCACGCCGCCTTCGATCATGGGCACCACGATAGCCTTGAGCCATTCCTTCCAAAAGCTGGTCATGGTACTCTCCCGACCCAGAATTCCGTACGAACGGGGAATCCAGAATCCAGTGTCACCGTCGGTCAAACCTTCGATCTTCGAGGCTGCGCCATGGCGGACCGGGCGTAAAAGGTCGGTCATTAATCCGATCTTCTCTTCTACCGCACTGATCTCATCTTCGAGCTGTTCGCGGGACTCGGATCCAGATGGGACTGTCGGGAGCTGGGCTAGCAATCTGGATAGCTTTGCCCTCTCCGATGCCAATCGCTCACCCAAGCTTGCAGCAAGTTCACGTTCTTCATCGGTCATGTTATCCTTCCGCCATTCCTCGCAGCGCTTCTCGAGCTCTTCCGCGGCATTTTGATTCAGCGGTATCCAGACGGTGACGCAAATGGCGTGTAGCCTCGATCCATTGTCCGTTGTCATGGCAAATCCGTGCCAAGTCGATCGCGGTCGCTGGTCCGAGGATACAATATTGATATCGTTGGGGAATGCGAACATGGGAACATAATCGGGGAAGTTGCCGCGCTGCTTCAGCTCGTCCGGCATGGTTCGTGTGGGGTATCGGTCAAGGAGCACGGGTTCAAATCGCCTTTTCAGCGGGTGCATCGTGGGGGAGATTTCGAGGGGTTGCGGAACGGGGATCACTGAATTGTAGTTGCTCAATCGTCGGGAGGTTCGCACGGAAGCTGGTAAATCGTTCCAAGTCAGCAAAAAAAGAGTCCCATATACAGATCTGTATCGGGCCACAACGTGGATTGTTCTCACCTTGACGGGCAACAGACGGTTGTCGCTTCATACTGTTCATGTCCCGGAAGGCCATGTGTCGTCGCACGCTGCCAATGCCTGATCGCAACAAGTTCCCACCGGGGGAGGGCGAACCCTCCGATACAATCTTCTGTGTGCGGACTCGGGATCGCGGGCGGGTGTTTGGGGTAATAGCGCCAGCACTGAGACTCAAGTCGGTCAGAAAGGAGTCGCGCTCGTTGGCAAACTTGTACAAGGCGGAGTCGAAATCAAAGTCCTCTGTGAACATGGCAGAGGCGCGCAGGGGTGAGGAGCCACCCTTGACGGTCATGCTGCTGCGGTTGCTATTGCTTCCCCCATTTGTGCCTTCGGAAGTCTTGGAGAGTGTGGAGAGTCGTTGGACGGAGCTCCGGCGACTGACGCCCGTGAAGAGCATGGAGTTTGGGCGTGAGGCATCGGGATTGTATTCCTCTTCGGCGTCGGCATCTTCTTGGATTGTGTCTGCCAAAGCAGGTCCTGGTGAAGCAGCGCCATTGGTACGGTAGTCTTCCCCCAATCTTTTAAAGGTGTCCAGGATCTCCGTCCCATCCACACCGGCGATCCAAAAGTAGTCGGCGAGGGGGGCGCCCTCCGAGGAGCTGGAGCTGGAGCTTGAGGGCATTGTGAGAGTCGCAGCGGACTTTCAATTAATGGCCCAATTCGTCACCACATCAGAGAGTGCAAAGGAGAGGTCGAAATGGGGGAACGGGGGGAGGGAGGGGCAGAGAGTGAAGATCCGGGAACTTCCAACGTTGTATTGAAAAAGGAGTGTTTTGCGCCTTTGCCCACTTTCTTTTCGACTTCGACTTATTCAATTAACAGAAGTACTTCTTTTTCTTTTTCTTTTCTGGCTTTCTTTTCTTTTGTTTTTATTTGTTTTCGGATAGCTGCGTTAAGTACAACTTCTCCGTATCAGGATATTGGACATTCTAATTTTTACTACGGAATACTTCTTTAGTTCTCCTAGGACCCTGCCAACCATAACCCTAGCCTTGCACAAGAGTCTGACACCGTAGCGACCTGCAGGCCCTCTGCAGGGTGGCTGGACTGCTAGGGGCTCTATTCTCCATCGAATCATAAGCCCCAAATGCTTTATACCAGAGGACACCATTAGTTAGTTACTCCGTACGCAGTACGGAGTACAGAACACAGAGTAGTTATACTCTTCCTAGTATAGCGAGCAGAGCTCCATATATCAAACCAAGGTTCAAGCACAGTTCTGTTCTTTCGGATAATCCGTCGCCAAATGGTCCACGGTTAACGAACTACACTAAAGGGAACTTCGGAAAAGGCACGCGGGCGGGGCCTAGAGTTCGTCTTGACATTGCGCTTTGATCCTCGGCACTTCACGAGTACTTAAGTACAGAGTACAGAGTACGGAGTACGGAGTAAAGGCTACTACAAAGTACCTGGGGATTTAGTGAGACATACGAGTAGCGTCTGGTAAAGATAGGAATGGAAAACGCCACAATGTCATTCTTTTATAGATTTGGACGGTTTGCCGCATTTTCAAGACATCTTTTTTAACTTTCAGGGGCTGAGTTGAGTAAGCCTCCGTAATGCTACGAAGTACAGAGCACGGAGTACTTAGTATGTAACGGAGTATACAGTATAGTTCTCTACCTCGATACCTAATTAAAGAGCCCTATTGATTCCTCTACAACTCGCAGTACATAGCCATTACACCTACGGAGTATCATGAGTATTGAATTTCCCAGAGTGGAGTACCCCCCGGGGAGACGATCAATACTGCAGTGGGAGGAAGTGGAGAGAACCAAAATTGCCCGTATCAGTTCCATCCTTAGTTTGCGCGTCGGAATAGGGAGTTTAAGTATTTATGAAGATGATCATGGCATTCAATTTATGACAGTACTTCTAAGTTGGGTACACTGTAACTTGTACGAGTAAATTGAACAAACATACTCTGTAGATCACCAGAATTACCGTCAAACGCCGGCTGACGCTTACGCGGAACAGATAGTCCTCTAACAAGGATACCAAGACTATTCCAACCCGTGAGAAAACCCTGCCTAAGGACGGAGTACTCGTGCGTAAGGCCAATGTAGCTAAGAGCTAGCTACCGCACTAGCCACCCTCTAAACAAGCGGAGTCTTAACTGTCCCAACCTCAGCCCGAACTCGGATTGCAAGCAAAGGACAAAAAAGCAATTCTTGATCTACCGAAGGTTCTTTAGATACTCAGAGCCTGGTGCCGAGTCAGGTATAGAATTAAAGAAACTCCCATATTTCTATGAAACTTGAGAATCGGACAAAATCCATTGAACAGAGTCTAGACTCTCCGATTCCACAGTTGCAAAGTCTGGACTCTCAGAGACTCTCCAAGTGTCTGTATACATGCCCAAAATACCATTTGGATCTGTGAGTTCCCGTGCACTACGTGGCCCTAAGGCTTGGACAGGAAATTCTTTCAACTTCAGGTCTTGAAAGAAATAATAAAAATAAAAAAGAATCATACCTCGGCTTCGGGCACTGTGCGACAGACTTAAGCATTAGCTGCATCGTGCCCCCTAGTGGCGGCAGGCCATGTGCGGCTCGGCTGAAGAGCCTCAGGATAGTAGAAGTGGAAAACTACGGATTGTACGCTCATTTCTGATCCTCTATACACAGACTTGGTACACCCAACCCAGGTAGGAAGCTGCTGCGATATCGTGTGTCCCCCAGTGGGTCCCTACAACATTCGCCCTTGCCGCAAGCCCTGCAACCCGCCGAATCAACACTTGTACTGGTAGCACAGCAGCGGGATAAGCAACCCGCGCACACCGCGTTTCGCGTTTCAAGTGCGTTTCCGGCTCATCAAGTTGCCCGTCGTCAGGAATCCTTTGTCCCCCATTGCGCCTCGCCATTCTATCGATAACTGACCCAGCGTGGCACGGCCATCTCGCCGGAGGTCCTTTTGAAGGGTCTCCAGGCCCTCGTTCTGGCCTTCCTCTTGTTCCACCAGGTATGCCACTTGGAGGACATCCCGTGGGTTAAGGGTGGGCAATGACGGCATGTCAGGGTTCATGGTATCCCAGTTCAGCGATTTGGATTGGAACGGGGGCTTGGCATTGAGTTTCGTTTGCTTTCCATCCCCTGTTAGCATCGCGCCCGGTCTGGTTGGGCTCTCACCCGGGACAATTCTCACCTTGACCACCACGGCACCTTCGCCCACGTTTTCTAGCTGCGCTTCTAGCGCATATCGGAGTAATCTCGTTTTCCCATACGGACCGAGCGATTTATTGTCGACTTCCAGGGGCGGAAGTTCGGAAGCCTTGGTCCGAACGCTCAAACATGGTTGTGCCACAAATTGGTATAATTTGCGAAAGGTTCGCACCCGGCCACTAGCCGCCTGCGAGTCGGATCCTATTTTCGTCTCGGTATAGCTGACGCTGACGGCGAGCACGTGATTCCCTTCTTCTTTCAGATCGAATCGCACGATCTTCTGTAACGACTCGCCAATTTTGAGTCCTTCTGTTGATGCCCTGTCACTGGGCGGGTCAAGTTCCAAGGCAGCAACCGATGAGGGTGTTGTCATCTCCGCGACAATGCGCACGGAGGTGAGGATTCGTTCGTCGTCACTGTCGTCATCGTCTATCTCATTATTCGCGCTAAGTGTGCATCCGAAGGTCTCTCCGACGTAGACGGATCCGAAGGATGGAGGTAAAGTAAGCTATCACGGTGAGCTTGTGCCGATGCAAGTGATTGTATCGAGGCTCACAAGAGGTGACAGAATGAATTTATCATCGGAAGCTCCTGATGGGTAGCTTAGAGATGCTTTCGCTGAAATAGGTGCGTTGGATATCGGGAGGGGGTTTTGATAAGAGAGTGATGGTCGCGCGAGCCTATGGAGAGTCAGGACCTGTATTCAGTGTGACTATGGTCTCCATACCGCAAGACTAATCAACATATGATCAGCATGTGACTCCGGCTCTGGCTTGTGTCGGCGTACCTTTCAGAGATACAGCGTGAGGCTCCTTGGGAGTATCGGCACCTGATAGCGCACGTGGGCGAGCCATAATGATTCTTGAATGTGGCAGCAGTTGGTCTCCAGACTGTGCTCCGTGTATACCTAAGTACCTAGGTAGGTATGAAGTCATGAAGGTCAGATAGCGATAGGGGAGTTAGGCAAATAGTGCAAACGGTGCAAACAGAACTATATGATATCACCGTCACTGGGACTATGAGTATCACATCAGCCATTGCATCAGCCGTCTCATCGCATTACTCCCCTGATAAATTTGAGATTTGGTCTGAGGCAAGGAAAGGCAATTCTCAAACGATACCAAAGTGACCTATAGGCTATACAGGATCTTTTAAGCTCCCATCCTTTTAGGTAACATTGCTCACTTTCAATATGCAACCCATGGATTATGCTATGACTGCAGGATGATACTTTTTATAGGAATCGTGTCTTGATCTAGAGGTTTGGATTTGGATCGCACCTTCCTACACAACCTTTGGCCTGTTGTAGCTTCCCTGGAAAACCTTTCGAAGCGTTTGACACGCACCTTCGCTCTTTTGCTCTTTTGCTCTGTTCCTCTTTCCACCCTTTCCACGCTTCTCACTTTGCCCTCTCTTTGGATCTTTATTAGCAATGGCTTCGCTTAATGAGGTCAATGCCGATGAGGCCAAGTCTCCTGGCACGCCTACTCCCTCCAAAGTCACTCGAAAGAGATCTGCTGCGAAGCAATCTTCGACCCCAAAGCTGCCTGAAGACAAATCCTCTATCACCCCCAAGAGGCCACGAACTCAGGAACGAGTATCAAAACAGCCCTCGAGCTCTCAGACGCTTTCAGACCCCGTTACTCCGACCCCCACCAAGCGAGCAGCTAAGGGAACCCCAAAGAAGGCCACACGAAAGACTGCAGGGAGCGCGATTTCACAGAGACTCTCCCGAGCTCATACTGAGCGGTACGTCAACCAAATTGATTATCTCAAATGCCATTGATTGTCTAATCAATGCGAGTAGGATGATCATAATTGATCACGCCATCGTTGAAGATACTGGGAATGGTGCTCAAATCTCATTTGATATTGTTGGCAGTGTCGGCAATATCTACAAAGTATGGATAAAGGCCTCTCCAAGCTGCACTTGCCCGGACCACATGTACCGACGCAACAGGTGCAAGCATATTGCATACGGTATGGCTGATAGTCCCCGACTGTGCTCCGTCTTGTCCTAATAGTCTCGCAGTGATGTTGAATGCGCTCTCGGGCACCGATGAACAGATTGCTCAGCGCTTTTTCTACAGAGAAGTGAGTGTCTTCAAGTTTCAAACATGTGAATTATCATCTGACCCTCGACCAGGATCTCAATCATATGCGTGGATCGCCAGCATTGAAACGATTTGAAGCAGCCAAAGCAGCACAAAACCCACAGGGAACTCGCAGGCCCGTTGAAGGAGAATGTGCCATTTGCTTCATGGGGATGGAAGAGACGGAGGAAATTGTCTGGTGCCAGTATGGATGTGGCAACAATCTCCACGGCTTCTGCATGAACAAGTGGTCAAAGTCTTCAGGGGGCAACGTCCGCTGTGTGTACTGGTAAGTACCAATGCTTGGAATGTGTGAACATGCTAACATTACATAGCCGTGCTTTGTGGGATGCTGAGAAGAAAAATCCCCAAGCCGATGCTATCCGTAATGCCGGGGTGCGTCGAGGCATGTATGTGAACGTCGCTGAACAGTTTGGGATGACCAGTTCTTCGGGTATGTATCCGTCGATATTCATTGTGTCCGGAGCCATCACTTACACGCTATATCTTCCAGAACGGAAGGTCTCCCCTGGTAAGCTTAGGGCCACCGGGAGTCGTGAGGCTGACTCCAACGAGGAGTTAGATGGAGATGCCATGTAAAAGGGTTTTGGCTATTGCGACTCTCTTGCGCAGCATTCCCACAGGCGTTCCATGCTATCCTTGACATACGGATCTATTATCAGTTTGTGATTGGGGACTATTTGACAACCCTGGGATCTCGACCATATCATTTAGTCGAATGAATCCCCGTTATTGAGATTCGAGATCTGGATCTTACAGCTGAAATGTCACTAATCTCAGACTATCCTTTCTCGAGGCGTTCTAGGAGCTGATGTCATCTGGGAATTGTCGTAGACTCGTAGACAACGAAGCTATCAATATATGTCAGGCTGCCAAGGTTTTTACTCTCATTCAATCCTCAAGCAGTCTCTCTCTCTCTCTCTCTCTCTCTCTCTACGGGAAACAAACAAAAAGTATCTTTCAATGACCAGATATAATCCAACAAAAATGCAAACATTTCATTCTCAGAATATGGGTATATCGCAAACTCCCGAAACCAAGGAACCATATGGAAAGCCTATAACGCAGTGCTTTAATCAAAGCAACCCAAACAAAATCTACACATCCTTCTTCAGCCGCCGGCCATCCCTGACAGTCGCGACACTCACACCCTCCTCACCCGTCATCCAAGACGGTATGCGCTCCGGGTCAACAACACCCAATTCAGCAAGCTTCCGAAGCCCACCAATAACATTCGAACCAGAAAATGTAAGCGAAACAGCAGGCAATGCATCCTCATCACCATCCCCACCAGGCCGATCAAGAAGTCGAACATCAAGACGATCCAATGGCGCCGGCGCAAGCGCAGATCCCGTCCCAAATCGGGACTGAATCGCCATATGGCGTTTTTTCGATATAGGCGACAGAGCAACGCTCTCCGCAAGTTTGCGCTTCGAGCTTTCGCGATCTGAATCTCCCTTTCCAGAGTCAAGTCCAATATGCTCTTCTGGTGTGACGGTGTTAGATGGGCGAGGATCAAGCGGACTCCCTTCGAGTGCTGCATCTGCGAATATACTGAAAGCGCCATTTGAGGCTGTTGAACGGCCTGGACCACGGAGGGCGAGGAGTGTGGGGAGATTCTTTGCTGCGAGGGAAGTCGCGTTTAGTGTGAATCTTGCCTGTGGACGTGAAAGGGCTTTGGGAATTGCATCGCGGACTAAGCGCTGCAATGTCCGTGTGTCTGTTGCCACGGAGCTGGTGGAGGGTGCTGTCTTCGAGGCAGATGTGGTGATGGATGTGTAGATGAAGGGGCAGCTATCAGGGAAGGCTACGTAGATGACGCGCGAAGAATCAGCGAAGACCTCTGCTGATTGGGCGGGGAGTTGGTAGGGTGAATCGACGACGAAGATGCGTAGGAATGTTAATGGGAGAGTTGTGGAGCGGGCGAGGTGGTAGTGGGCTTTGACGAGAGGGGAGATTTCATGCTGGAGAGCTTGGACGAATGTTGCTGCTTGTATGCGCGGTACGGAGCTGGACCAGTCGGGGGATTGGGGTTGCTTTCCGATGCGACTTAGTTCTAGTGCTGTCCATCGTAGACTGGCGGGGTGGTCGTCCATGTAGCGGAGGTCTGCCATTGCTAGTTGGCGTAGGGTAATTCCATTGCGCCAGTCTCCTTCTAGGATTCTTTCGAGGACTTCTCGCTTGCCGCCTTTCCGGTCCTGGAGGTCCTCGTAGGCTTGTCGGACTTCCTCGATTGTTTCGGCTGCGGGGTAAGGTAGGGTTTCGTCGTCGCGTCCTTCAATGTCATCTTGTTGCAGAAATGGTGGGAAGGATGAGATATTTTGATCGTCCAGCCAGAAGAAAGCAAGGTCCAATAGGGCTTGCCTTGAGAGCTTGCTTAACGTCTTGGTGAGGGATGGTGTCGATGAGGGAATGCGAAAATTGTTCGGTAGACTGGCTGTAGTCGGGGCGCGGACTGACTTTTGACGCGCCATGTTGAAAGATCAGAATCGCGCAGATTATTCCGTTGCTCGCATTCTCACTAACACCCATTGTCATTGATCCCAAGTCTGTATCAACACAGCTATCACGTGGTGATAAGATAAAGATAAAGTCGATGCCTGATATACTAGGCCACCAGCTCTGCAGGGTCTTTTTCGTACTCGTACGGCGAGTACTTCTGGCGAACTGTTGGCCCCCTACTTTTTGACTGGAGCCAATTGCCAACAGATAATTCGTTAAGCTTAAAATCCAATATACAAAATAGCATCCAATCAAATACAGACATTCAAAATCATAAAATGCTCCGAACTATAGATTTTCACGCCCAAAGTTGCATGAAGCCGAGGCAGGGCTAACAGGCTTCGATGTGGGTCTATTTTTCTGTGATATCCCAATAGTAAAAAAAGGGTCTATCGATTTCTGCAGGTCAGTCAATTTGACAAACATATGCCCCTAGGAATGCAATTTGGACAGTGTTCATCCGATATCATCCACAAATATTCACCATGACCTCACCACACCAGCAGGTGGCCGTCATTGGCACAGGGATGGCAGGACTGGTGATCGCATACATCCTCAGGAACGATCCGAGGGGGAGATTCGACGTCCAAGTCTTTGAAAAGGTACACCTCATCAAGTTCTCCAGTATAGTCCCATACCGCACTCCGGTGGCTAACCCTAATGGCTTGTTCAGCAAGACAAACTCTCCCTGGATTCGGCGTCCCATACCCTCACAGACTCGAAGACCGGCGAAAAATCCGAACGCCTCGACCTGCCCATGCGCGCATTCGCTGACGGATATTATGAGAGCTTACGGCGCATGTATGACTACTTCGGTATCACATATGGCTCTCCGCGATTCATTTATGCCCTATCTACATTATCGAACGCCCAAGCCGATCCCTATTTCATCCACTCCTCGAATAACCACCAATTACCCCCACTCCGCCCGAATGGTCTCTCTTGGATTAGCTGGCTGATCGAGGTGTGCTATCTGGCTGTCTGCTACTATTGGTTCACGGCTTGTTGTTTCTTCGTGACTCCTCACACTGCGGAATCGGCCGGCACGGAGGAAACCCTTCGCCAATACGTCGACAGAATAAGACTACCCCAATATTATGTGGCGAACTACTTGCTGCCACTCATGTCGAGTGTGACTACCTGCTCACATGAGGCGCTGATGGATTTCCCGGCTGTTGATCTGGTCGATTACGAGAGAAGGACTTTCCGCCAGAAACACTACACTGTCCTCGGTGGCGTCCACAGGGTTCAGGCAAAACTATCCGAGAACTTGACACATACACTCGGAGCGAAAGTCACGGCTGTGGAAAATGTCGGCACAAAAGTCCAAGTAAGCTGGACCAACACCGATGGACAAAGTAATTCTCGACTCTTTGATCATGTCATCCTGGGCGTAACACCCGATGTGGTTGGGGCAATCTTCCAACCTCTCCGGAGTGCCATGGCTGCCGTTCCCACGGCCAAGGTCCAATCAGTCGTTCACAGGGACTTCTCCAGGATTCTAAATGCTAGCCAATCTATCTGGAAGCAGATGTCTTGGGGCTCTGGCGAGTCAGCCCCGCAGCCTATTCACATGTGCTCGAAGGATGGTGCTACAGAGTCAATCCATGAACATCCTTCATCGGCATTGATCACCACGTATCCCATTGCCCCGATTGATCCCGAGAAGGTCGAGTATACCGCCACATTCACCCGGGTCCTGCGATCAGCTGCCAGCAGACAGATTGTGAACCGAATCTTTGGGCGGAGAAGTGCCGATGAAAAGAGCCAGCTTTGGCGAAATGGTGACGGCAATGTCTGGCTGGTTGGTGGGTGGTGCTGGGATGGAATGGTAATGTTGGAAGGGTGTCTTGCCTCAGCAACGAGAGTCGCAAATGCCCTGGATGTCGAGGTGCCATGGATGAAGAGTTCATGACCACCTAGGCACCAGTCACGATTATGAGTTTTGTATATACTTTCGGACCTTGACTTGTTGATGAATGCATGCATAGCACACTGCGTTAATAATGGAATCTCATACATGTTCAATTCTGCATGTTCTACCTACCAATCTGCCCTCCGTTGACTTTTCTCAGATGATTCCTACACGATCATTCCCCCTCATGCCTTTGAAGTCATACCCACCTGGAGGTAAAGGTCTGCTCAGAATCCCACGCAAACAAGATGAACGATGAACAGACTACATGGGAGTGGACACTGCTAATGGTCAGCAAGGTGAACAGAGAGCTTTTCAATCAACTTACACAAATAGGGTCACCTAGATGGTTAGAAGCAGGAGCACATGTATTCAACGGCCCGCAGCATCCAGGAAGCGGACCGCTATTGATACACGTGAATCCCGGCGAACACTTAATCGGTCAGCGGGCAATCCAATATGCAATGCAAAGAACTTACGCATGTTTTCGATGCCGCACAGTACGGTTGACTCGCAGGACAAGCAATACATTGACCCGCAATACAAGCACCACCACCCGGCCCGAAGTTGCACTGTCAAAGCAAATTAGCATCATCCAGGAACCGACTCAGATCAATAGAAAAACAGGTCCATACAGCCTTGTTACACGATCCACAATGATTGACATCATTCGTCAAATCCGAACACGTCCCACTACAACAAGCCGGCAACACCCCCGTACAAGGGCCCGAATTACAAGAACCACAATGCTGCACACTCGATGCCAAATCCGTGCATCTACCATCACAACATCCAGGCTGAACTCCCGTGCATGCTAGGGCCAGACATGATCCGCAGTGATTAGCGTCCGAATTCAAGTCCACGCACGTGCCCTGACAACACGCCGGATTAACGCCGACGCACGGCGCACCACAAGCACCGCAGTTGTTCACACTTGTCGAGAGATCTGTGCAGGCGCCGTTGCAGCATGATGGATTCAGACCTAGACATGGGAGACTTGTGCAGGAGCCGCAGTGGGCTATGTCTGTGCTGAGATCTGTGCATATGCCGTTACAGCATGCTGGTACTTTGCCGTGGCATTGGCTGGTGCAGCCGCCGCAGTGGTTGGGGTCTGTGAGGATGTTGGCGCAGGCTCCGTTGCAGCAGGCTGCGCCGAGGCCGAGACATGGTGCTGCGGTGCAGGAGCCGCAGTGGAGGATGTCTGCGCTTAGATCTGTGCAAATACCTGTGCAGCAGGCTGGGGTTAGCCCTGTGCATTTTCTGCCGCAGAGTGCGCAGTTGTTTGGGTCTGTGAGGGTATTTGCGCAGGTGCCTGAACAGCAGGTTGGGCTGGCTCCTTGGCACTGGGGATGTTAGAAGGGTTAGCCGTTAATATGGGGTGGGTCGACTTACTATGTTATTGCAGGTTCCGCAGTTCGAGGTACTGACTGCGAGGTCGGTGCATGATCCAGAGCAGCAGCCTGGTCGTATTCCGACGCATGGTAAGCCGAGACATGCACCACAGTGGTTTGGATCAGAGTCTAGATCGGAGCAAGTTCCACTGCAGCATGCTGGCCTGACCCCTGTGCACTATGAAAGGTGTCGTTAGATTAAGCTGAGCTATAAAACAGGCTAGACTTACACCTTGTCCGCAGGCTCCACAGCTGGTGATGCTAGTGGCGAGATCAGTGCATCTTCCAGAGCAACAACCGGGTCTCAGTCCAAGACAGGGAAGGGCACCGCAGGCACCACAGTTTAAGGGATCACTGCTTAGATCTCTGCAAGTTCCTCCACAGCAAGCTGCAGAGCTTCCGGTGCACTATGATAAAAATTAGCAATCCTGATCCTCCAAGTTTATCATGGGCTTGGAATACCCTATTATTGCAATATCCGCAGTTTGCATTCGAGGAAGAGAAGTCTGTGCAGACTCCCGAGCAACAGCCAGGCTGCTGTCCAGGGCAGGGGAATGCGCTGCAAGAGCCACAGTGCCTGGCATCAAAGGCAAGATCGGAGCAGGTGCCTGAGCAGCAAGCCGGGGCTAAACCAGTACACTTCATAGTGAGGTGAAAATGTCAGATTCATTTCGTCCATCGATCTGGAGCAAAATCTGTGACTTACAGTCTTGTTGCAACTACCACAGTTATTGAGGTTGTTGTTGAGATCGGTACACGAGCTCGAGCAGCAAGCAGGTCTGACTCCATTGCACTGAAGATAATTGTCAGACCAGTCATCAGTCCCCCATACATCCAGGGCCTTGGGTATAAGACATACCGGCGTTGAATCACACGCTCCACAATTATTGACGTCGGAGGTCAAATCTGCACATACTCCACTACAACAGGCTGGAGAAGCACCGACCAGGCACTGCCAACACATTAGAGATGAAAACGTGGAAGATCTCTCTGCTTACGGCTGCACCGCAGGCCCCGCAATTCCCAGTATTCGACGATGTATCTGTACACGTTAGGAAACAGCATTGTTGTCCCTGTGCACACTATCCAACGGTATAATGTTAGAACTTATCATATTAATTGACAGTCCTCGACGTGGTCTCCCTGTCCACTTACATTTGGAATCCAAGGAACGCAAAAAGTCGCATTAGAGTCATGCTGGGAGCTGTGAACATCCAGCGAGGTAACATTGGTAGTGTTCACTGGGTTAGAGTAGACATGCTGACATAGATAGAGAAGGGTCCCTGGTATGAGATGAGAACCTTGTTGCAGTCATGATCAATGAGAGGTATCTGACCTAGCAGAAGCATTGGGAACAGCTGCACAGATGGCGACATTGGCACAATCAGCGTGTCTCTGCTTCGGATAGATGGAGTCACAGGAGATAGACAGCATGAAGACAATAGGCCTTATATCGCGCAATCGATGCGGGTGGATCATTTACTTCATGAATTGGTGTGTTCGAGACTCGGTATAGTCTACTTTTATTCTGCGTGGTGTTACCCGAGGTCATGCAAAGGTTTACATCGTTCGTTGAGTACTTTAGTACATTTTGTTATTGATTTCGCATGTGCAAGGTATAGCATAGCTCTAGAGATCAAGAGCCTTGAACAGACTACTTCAGTATGCTATAAACTCATACTGGTCTGTATCCCCCAAGGTTGGTCAGTACAATTTCGAATCATCCGACAGGGGGCCTTGGGCCCTGGAAAGAATTATTCTGGCGTTGGTCCGCCTTTTGAGATGGGTTCATTGCCAAAAGTCTGTTAGAATGTCACAGTAGCAGGGAACTGTGGGTGTGTAACCAGGCCGAAGACCGAGAACACTGCCGCTCACGCCGGGGTTACGCATTAGATCTTGGCTCTATCGAGATGAATCAAGGTTCTTCCCCGGGCCATAAACTTTCAAGGTTGTGTGCCCAGGTGGGTGTGCTAGCTGGGGCGATTGGATCTTTAGATTAACTACCCTCGGGCATATCAACATTGATGGGCATCAAGATTAAGCCAACTGGGCAGTCATTAAGCATAAGACACATCATATTAATAGCCGCTAAATGTTCACTTTTAAAGATTATGTATCCCTAGTGGGAATAATACTACATACAAACGTATACTCCGCAGCGTGTGCCGGATTGCTTCGAGATTTTAGCGCTGTGGCTCACCCACAGTCTCCTCGGCTCTAGCCTCATCTTCGCCAGAGTGCCCTTCCTGGACAGCTTCATAGAAAGGAGCAAACTTGCTCCTCATTCTCAGCCTCCTTCCAAAGAAGTAAAACCCAATGGGAATAGGAACCAGAACAGCCGCCAGGCAGCCGAGAAGTGTAGAAGCCCATTGAATGCCCATATGTTGGAACATCTGGCGGGAGAATAGTGGGAAACTGGCTGCGACCATGGATCGGCAGAATGTGTTTGCAGCAATGGCTGATGCGGCACTGGAAGTATGTTAGCTAGAATTCACGGTGTTGTGAGTGACGTCATAACTTACAACATGAGGTATGTGTCAATTAAGTAGTTGAACAACTGGATGAAAATGATCAAAAGACCAAAGCCTGTGAAGAGACCGCTGAGAGTCGGGACAATCCAATGGATAGTACCGTTGAAGCCTGTCCAACCAAACCAGAACAGTCCAGCAGCAAAGAGGGCACCACCGACTATCACGGGGGGAAGGCGCCATTCGGGGATTGGGACACCACCATTAGCCTCGAGTTTCTTGATGTACCATCTGTTCGAGATGATGATGTATGTTGCGGCAATCATCAGACCCACGACCATACCAAACAGTGGAAGACCTCCAACACCGGCATTCATACCATACACCTGCTGGAAAACCAGGGTGTAGGCGGTCAGGAAGCAGTAAAGCAAGCCGTAGATGAAACTCAGGTAGAGGGTGACAGCAAGGATCAGGGGTTCGTTGAACAGCAACTTGAGGGGACGAGAGAAGTTGTTCACGATCAATTCCCGGAGATCAACTTCGATTTCCTCCTGCTTGGCGTGGATGCCCCAATTCTTCGTCCGGCGACGAAGCTCTGAAGCCTTAGCCACGAGAACTACAGGGGGGTAAGACTCTTGCAAGAAGAAAACATTCAAGGCGAAAGCACCGAATCCCATGAATGCAGGAATGTAGGCGGTCCAACGCCAGCCAAGGTATGACATATTGATGAAGCCACCGATGAAGGGCGCAAGAAGGGGACCGAGGAAAACAGTGCCAGAGAAGCATGCAATGGCTGTACCACGGGTTCGGTTGTCCCAGATATCAGAGAAAACAGCAGCCACCACGGCGAGCGGACAACTACCAAAGATACCACAGAAGAAACGGCAGATCAAGAGAGTCTGCAAGTCCTTGGAGACTGCGACTGCGATATTGAAAATGCCGAAACCAAACATGGCAATAATGATAGGAATGCGACGTCCTTGAAGTTCGGAGAGGGGGGCCCAAATCAATGGACCAGATGCATAACCTACGATGTACAGCGAGCTCGAGAGAATTGCGACCTCGAGACCGACACCGAAATGGCTTGCGACATGGCTGGAAGATGAGCTGAAGACGGCAGAGTCGAAAGTAGAACAAATACTGGTAAATGCAAGGATGGCACTAATATATACTCTGGGGTCTATGTTAGCGTTTGTATGCATGAGTGAATTTCACATGACACCTACTTTCTCTGCACTGGCCAGTTCAACGGATATAAAGGATCATCGGGACCATCAAATTCTACCACATAGTCCTCGCGCGCGGGCAACAGTGGAGGGTACTCCTTACCACCACCAAAAGGCGGGAGAGGTTTCTTCGATGGCCTGGATGTGAGACTTTCACCAACAGTCAGTGCATGCTGAGCTCGTTGTGTCTCTGTCCTGCTTAAAGCGCGTGAGGCACTAGTTTGACGTCGCTCCAGGTCAAGCTCGGTGTTTCGCGACTGGAGTCGGTGCACTTGAGGATCATATTCGAAGGAACTGCTGGAGGAGGAGATTGTCGAACCCGACGTAGTTGGTCGCTCGGGTTCGACCGAATTCCGGGGTTTTTCGCTATCGGCCATTATGCCCGAGACCGCTTTGGCAGATCGTGCAGTGTAGATCTTTGGCGCTCTGTGCAACGTCAAGGACACGGATCAAAAGCTGGTCAAAAAGCGGGGAGATGTCAGTAAGGAGATGAATGCAGAGGGGAAAAGACTTTTTTTCTCATGAGAATCGGGCTTACAGAAAAAGGAGGGCCGAAAGCAACATGATCCGACTAGCCGTTTTAGACCCACTACATAGCGGCTTCAGCGTTGGGTGCCGAACTGCCGAACTGAGTCAACATGGACTTTGACGAGGACCAGGATATATGTGTGATCAGCTTGTAAGTATAGATTACAGCTGTAAATGAAAGGTATTGGCATTGACAGAGAGTACTGAGAGTACTAAGAGTACAGAGCCAAAAGAAGAGAGACGAGAATGCATCTTCGACGACACCTCAGGCAGCCATTACGTCACCATGATTCAGCATCAAATTCAGGTGCCTGGGCCTTTTTCTTCTTTTTCTTCTTTTTCTTCCCTCTTTTGTCGCCTTTTCTCTAGATATTTTGAGCTCTATCCTGTTTTCCTTGTTTTCCTACTTTCAATGCGGGGCTGGGATATGCAGGCATAGAATCAAGACGTCAATTGTCTCCGAGTCCTCGTATTGGGCTTCAAGTATACAACTTGGCGTTATGGGAACTCCACCAAGGGAGTCGGGAACACTCCACAGGTCTACCAGGAAAATGGCAAGTGGGTCATCTGGAGTCCGGTTTGCTTTAGTAGAGAGTATAGATGATATAAATGTGAATTTTGGATAGTAACACTTTTTGACTTGTAATAAATCCCTCCCACATCGGGCCGTTCCAAGCTCCCACTATGTTCAGGAATAGTTCGTAATTTTTCAGCGTCAGCGCATTGTTTGGTGGAGCGACCTTCCAGAGTCTGGTTGCTGGCAGGAGGGACAAATCGAATTTGGCATTCTTGCGAGCGGCGACGATGGTTTGAGTCACAGCATTTGCATCGTCAGGGTGGCAAAAGGGCCGCCCTCGAGGTTAGGAGCAAGTGGTGTGACCTCACCCAGCTCATTGTGGCCATCGCCTCCTTCCAGGGCGCGCTTGGTGGTCCGAACCTTCTTTTGGGCTCGCTCGGCTTCCGTTGAGCTTTTGAGCTTCGGCCTTTTGTTGGACTCTCGCGCCTATCAGATTGCGCTCTGGCTTCTTCGATCGTCTTGGCGTGGATGGATGGGATGGTGGGATTTTGTTAATCGGTAGTCGGTCAGGAGTCGGCCCTTGTCTTCTTTGGTTGTCTTCGCGTGGTTGGATGGGATGGTTGGATCTTGTTAACGGTAGTCGGTCAGGAGTCGGCCCTTGTCTTCTTTGTAGGGGTGGTGTTAGCAGACTTCTGTGTAATTTTTTGGGTGTTTTCCTTGGCAGCGTCGGCCTTCTTGGGTAGAAGCCCTATATTGCTCAAGTCTGGTTGATCGTACTTGCAGGAGTAAGATAAAAAGATGGATGTAGGCCGGATAGCAGTAATAGGGATATTGAGGGTTGGGAAGGGGTGAATATTTCTGGACTCACTGTCATCACGCTAATCATGTACATTTTACATCTTGGTTGCTACTTTCACCCCTAAGGTTTTTTGTAGATGAGAGCGTTGGCCTGGGGAAAATCCGGGGTTCCCGTCGCGCACGTGTACACCATGCACGCCAAGCCAGTGGTTTATGTGTCCACAAACGGAAACAGTTGTCCTAATCCACAGCAGAAGGTTTTGAGCAAATTCCTTGGTCAAATTCAGCATCTCAGAAGGCGGTGTTTACTCTCTGGCCGAATGGATAAAACTTTGAACGTATCATGGTATGCTCGGACACCTGTGCATTATCGAATTCGGAATGGAATTCGGAATCCTTGCTATCTTCGTATTATATGGATGGATATAGTACTATCAATCAGACACGCATGATTCCAACACGAGCGACTTTCGACATCCCCTCACGCCTCCATCTGACGAGCAACTCTAGCCCGATAAGCTATCTTACCCAGCAGCGGTGCCAACCCAGCATGATCACAATGAGGCGATTCTTCTTCCAGCAACACCTCTTCACCATCACGCTTAGAGAAATTGAATCCAGGCTTTGGTTTGACGCAATTGAATTGCGCGTCTGCAGCACGGAGACTACAAATCTCCGTGGTCGCACAGTCGCCATCACATGCTTTGACATTGTATCCGCGGACACGCCTAGCCCAGAAGTCTTGGAAAATAGACGAATCTCCCTCCATTGCAACCGTAACATTATGCCAGAATGCAGGGGTTAGTTCGGTTTTCGGGTCTGTGACAGGAGGAGAAAGTTTCGATCCGTAATCCGCTTTGGCGGAATAGTATGGAAGCCATTGTGGTTTTTCTTGATATCCCGGGTCGCTGATGTTGGCGATATATTGAGTATAGTCTAGAACGGCGAAGGTCTCAGGGTCGATTTCATAGACGCGGAACGAAGGGGGTCCCTCGGTCGGGGTCATTGCTGGTGCGATGTATCCCATTGCGGTTGCAGTTTTGTAACTGCGGTCCTTGTAGTTTGAGTATGCGATTTGGAACTCATCCATGTGTGTATGACCATAGAATAACCCGGCAATGGTAGCTTCGTACCGCTGTACAATTTGATCGAAGTACTGCGAGTAGTCGTGGAAATGGTCTGCGACTCCAGGTGGGATGTGCGAGATCAACCAGGCGCGCTGGCCTGCATCTTCAGCTGCCTGGAGTTCCTTGATGAGCCATTTGAATTGACCATTCGGGTCTTTTTCCATTGGCTCTTGGTACATGTAAAAGTTGAACTTGTAGTAGAAAATACTGTTGTAAGAGATGATGCGCAGGTTGCTGTTAGGGTGAACCGCCGAGTATGATCCGTAGTCATCTGCAGATTGCACGGACGAAACACCGGCCAGAGCATGCCAGTCTTCGGCGAGAGCATTATATGCCCATTGGATGTGCCCATTGGGAACATTCTTCGAAGGGAAGAGGTTCAGCGGTGCAGTGTCGTGGTTTCCTATGGCAGCGTATACCACACCAAGTGTCTTTTCCATCTGGCCGAATGTGTTATTGAAACTTTCCAGAGCCTCGGCCTGGTTGACTAGCCAGACATCATGTGCCACGACATCACCGGTGTATATAGAGAACTCGGGATTGATTTCTGCGATCGCGACGTTCATGCTCTCCTGTAGCACCTGAGGTGGATCACATTTCGGATTTCCAAACGGTCCACATGGAGTCTTCGTGATTCCTGGGGCATATTTGTCCTCGAAGACCCTGCAGCAGATGGGCTTGGAGCACTCATAGCTTGAGCCAGGCTCGTAGTAAAGATCCACGTGTGTATCGCTGAAATGAACGACTTTGATTGGTGGCTTATCGCTAGACTGTGGTCTCACTTGCTTCGGCTTGGGGGAAGGGAACGAAAGCGCGTAGGTTCGGACTTCAGGATACTGACACAGTCCAATCAGGTTGGCGCACATCGTCTGGGTCGAATGCGATCCTATGAGCAGGGCCTGGAAGGCATCATGAAGTGCAGGGCCCTCTTTCTTGATGATTCCTTCACAGACATCCGAATCTTCAGCCTAGCCCAAGGTCAACGATTTAATCAGGAGCTTGGGAGGGCATCCCAATACCTTGCTGATGTCACACAGTCCAGTTAGAACATCAATCATGAAGTCCTCCCCAATTCCTGAGACAAGCTTCAGACCACCAAGTAGAGCCTGTAGAGACACGGTGAGTCAACATCTGGGAGTTGGAATCCAATGCCCAGCTCTTTCAGGGTTCCTACCTGGCAACTGCCGCAATCCACGGCATTCTTGAAATCTTCCCATATGGATGCAATGGACTTTTCAAGGGATACTTCGGCTTGAGTGCCTGAAAGCAACGCTAGAATGCCACAAGCTGCAAACCGGGCGTCAATCCTCATTTTGGTGGAACGTTGGGAGGCAGTGGATGTATATATGTATATATTTGGATAAAAAACAATGAAGCCTCGCACCTTTCCAACTTAGAAGCCGACCTCAGGTGTTGCCCGTAGGTTTCTTTCTGGGTAAGACAAGCTCCATCTTATACGTGAGTACCACTGGCCAAGTCATGTACAAAGCTTCAACTAGAGGTAGTCTCGCACCTCGCTTAGGACTGGGCCTACCCGCATAGTGAAGATCCCCTCCAGCTCGGCCTGCACAATGGTCTATCATGTGAAAGGGATATGCTAGGTATAAGTACTTTTCTTCATGGCGGTGCCTTCAGCATGTCCACTCATGTTGCATCTACTAGCAGACGCAGAGGCCGACTGTGCAAACACCCGTGAACCGAACGGGATTTAGTAGCCGCCGGTCGGACTACCGAGAGGGGTTATCGCCAATGGATACTGGAAGTAGAGCAGCCAAGCAAGCAGAGAGCCGTTTTCTGCAACCCTGCATGACAAGAACGATGATCACGGGGGTTGATTATATGCCGGAGATGTTCACTGTCTTCAAGAGTCTAGTGCAAGTCTTGGCATGTTCGCATAGCCTCGGAGGGTTTCGGGTAGATACAGCTGAACAATGTCCCAATGAAAGAAAAGGTCGAGGAATCCAAAGCTTATGCAGACCATGTCTATCTGGTCCACGGGTGTGTGTAGATCACCTTCTGCCCTTGTCAATCTAGTATGCCAAGGTCGGTCCCTGCAGGGTCAGGGTTCGGAGTGGAGTCTCCAGATCCCCAGAGCTCTCTTAGGCTAGATCTACGGAATATTGCCCGAGATATCAGGCTCATAGTTTGAGATCATGGAGTATCTAATAGTGAAACGCCCAAAGGTCCCAGATTTGTGCATGCAAATTTGGCGGGGAAATACACCGCGTCTTTTAGAACCCCGTAGAGTAGACTTTTGGTGATCAACAGATGTTGAGGTTTTTTTGGTTCACGATGGACAATATTCGACTCGATTTGCCGGATCCAAGTGGAGGGAGATCGCGAGGGAATGGACCAAAATTGGAAGACCAGGGGTTGGTTAATTGCCACACATGGTCCCCAATTGGGGTGCAGCCAACAATGCAGCAGCTAGTGGCGATGAATGCCAAGATGGGAACGGTACCAGACCGAACCACGCACAATGACATGGATCTCAGAAAAGTTACCAGATCTCAGGGGCGCTTCGAACTGGTCATTGTGGCGGCGCCCCCATCTGCTGTCCCATATTCATTGGCGAGCCAGGGGTATTGGATTCTGTACGCCGCGAGGGGGTACAAGTCAGTGAGTCCTTCGTAAGTACTCTGTAGTAACTCCTGTAGTTCTCAAGTGTAGGATTGACGGGATAGCATTGCGGTGTAGTATGTACGAGTCAGAAGTGTCATTTAGCGGGGATCCCGAGCAAAAAAAATAGGAAACCGGGGTAAAACGGCCTCAAAATTTCTTCCCCTCTCAACCACCTCAAATCTGCAGATCTCACTTCTTTCCATTTTTTCCTTTTCTTCCCTCGACTCTCCGCTCCCTCCGCTCCCTCCGCGTCCGATTTTGCCCACTCTTATACGGAACGACGATGGAACTTCGCACGCGCCTCTACAGCCCACCGCCAACCGCGAGACACTAGGAACCGACAGGAACTGAACCCCGTAATAACACTGGACTGTCCATAGGGCAGTCCCATCCGCGATGGAGGGTCGACGATCAGCGACGCTGGGCGTCTCAATTACCTTCTTCGCCCTTGCCACCATTTTCGTCCTGCTCCGCTTCATCTCGAGAATATTCGTGGTCAGGAAAATTGGGTTACACGACTGGTTGATGTTGGTCGCATGGGTATGTAGGATCCTTCGGCTTGATCCCTGCATGTGCCCCCGGGGTTGGAGAGACAATGGACTCGATCGGGTCATCCTCCGATCTTGATTGGGAGCTCTGGAGCTCGGAGGCTAATGGATATGCAGATGATCGATTTCGGATTTTCCTTCTCACTTTTCTTTTCCGTGCAAAAGGGTCTTGGCCTTCATTCGAGCGACATCAAACCGGAAGATGAACTCGCTTTTAATAAGGCCAATTATGCCTTCACCGTGCTATACGTCAGTAATGAGACAACCTTTCCCCGCGCGACACGAGCTAACAGCCACTCAGAACCCGGCATTGATGGCCGTCAAGACCTCAATCCTGATCTTCTACCTGACCTTGACTCGAAATCAGAAAGTCTTCCGTTTCGCGAATTATGTCACCTTGTTTGTCGTGAATGCTGCGGGCCTTGCATTGACATTGGTCAATGTCTTCCAATGCAGCCCCCTCGGCGCAGTCTTTCTCTCCGACATTCCGTCGTATGCGCATTGTACGGATATTGTCACTCTATACTTGTCGTCCTCTCCGGTGAATATTATCACCGATCTCGCCATCCTCATCCTTCCGATGCCGCTCCTGACGAAAATGCGCCTGCCCTTCAAACAAAAGATCATTTTGGTGATCACATTTTCCTTCGGCTTCTTCGTGGCCGTAGTCGATGTTATCCGAATCGCATTTCTCCAACAAGCCGCCATCTCTCGGTCGCTAGAGGTCAAGTCGATTCACATTCAAAATATTGGAGGGGTGGACTTTAGCTGTACGACCCCATCTTTCCCATTCCGGAAGTTGAGTTGTAAATTGAACTGACATGGTCTTGGCAGGGTATGCGTCACTTTCTTTTATGTGGTCTGTCGTCGAAGTCAACGTTTCAATTATTTGTGGCTGTGTTCCAAGTCTCAAGCCCCTGGTCACTCGGCTTGTCCCCAAACTCATTAGAGATACCAACGACACAACAACTTCATCGCCAAACGGAGGCTATGCGTATCCCACGGGGGAAATCCCCGTTCCAGCTACCCCTGCGGCCGCAGCATTGGGATTCCAATCCGCTTTACCAGGCACCGAAGGCGACAAAAGCCTGCAAAATCATGTTGGAAGTGTCTCAGCTGGACGACATAGCTCTCGCGAGTCGGAGCCGATAGACCTGTTGGAATTCCTGGGCCATCCTGCGACGGCTCCTCTTGATACCGAGACAATGACACACACGAGCACGAGCTATCCGCCTGATATCACATTCTTTGACTTCGTCAACATGAAGAATCCAGAGAGTATGCTCAAGTTAAATACTAGGGAGTCGATCGCACCAATCGCGCTGACCACGCTCCTGTTCTTTCTTTGGGGGTTCGCGTACGGTCTACTCGATATATTAAACTCTCAGTTCCAGACCATTGTTCACCTTGGCCCGTGGCACTCGCTGGGTCTGCATGGTGCCTACTTTGGTGGCTACGTGCTAGGGCCTTTATGCGTCGGTGGTCCCGTCTTGAAAATCTGGGGCTTCAAGGCCACATTTATGACAGGACTTTGCATCTACGCTTGCGGGACACTCATCTTCTGGCCTTCGGCTGTGCTCACGTCGACCCCTGCGTTCATCTTATCTAATTTTATTGTTGGTTTCGGCCTAGCTGTTTTGGAAACTGCGGCAAACCCTTTCATCGCCCTCTGTGGCCCACTCGAGAATTCAGAAATCAGACTGAATATCTCGCAGGGTGTACAAGCAGTCGGAAGTGTCTTGTCACCCCTTCTGGCCAAACGTGTTCTCTTCAAAAGCGTCCAGGATGTCGCAAGTCTGGTTGACGTACAGTGGGCATATCTTGGAATTGCCCTGTTTGACGTCCTATTGGCAGTAGCATTCTACTACCTACCCGTCCCCGAGGCCTCAGACGAGGACCTGGAAGAGCTAGCAAACCGCCGTCGCGAGGACAACATGACTAAAGTGGTCGGCATTCCAGTTGTATGGCTTACCCTTGGCTTGGGAGTTTGGTCTCAATTCTTTTACTGTGCCGGCCAAGAAGTCCTCGCGACAAGCCTCAACCGTTACGTCCTCGCTGCTCATTCCACAACATCCCTCCAACCATTCGATATTCTTACGGTCGGCCACAGTGTCTTTGCTGTAGGTCGCTTCCTTGCCGCATTTGCCCAGTGGTTCCTCAAGCCCCGCTGGATTTTGATGGTCAACTACATTGGCATGATTGTATGTGGAGTCCTTGCAATGTACACAAGCGGCTCCGCAGCAATTGCCATGGTAATGCTTCTCTACCTCTTTGAGAGTGGTACTTTCAGCATCATCTTCGCCATCTCCCTTCGCGGCACAGCGCAACATACCAAAAATGCTGCCATTCTCCTAACCATGGCTATCAGTGGTGGTACCTACTTCCCATTCGCCGAATATGCAGCATATCTAGCCCGCGGGGAAAACTATTCCTTCTCCGTCCTCGTTGCCCTCTTCTGCGCTGGTGCCATCTTCCCAATCTACCTCAACTTCGTCCCCGCCGTCAAAAAGCAAGTCGACCCTGTCCCCAACGAGTATCTCCGCCGCCACCGAAAGAGGACTCGAACACACATCGACACCATACAACGCGATAAAGAGAACCCCTCTCTCGGCGGTGTCCTCTCTCGTCCTCGCAGTCTGGTCTCAAATCCAGACCATCTCCCCGACCTTCCCCTCCCAGAAGAAATCCACCGCTCCTCCCTGGCCCACGACCTCCCTGGTCAAAAATCGAGTTCAAGCTCCAGTCGGAATTCGATCTATTCAAGGGATTCGACTTCCCAGCGCTTCTCACGCAGGAATAATGATTCATGACCACTTGGCTATCTCCTTTTTGCTGTGATTGCCTCATCGCTTTTGCGATAAATTATACCCTTTCTCTTCTTGAACTTGAATTATATGCTGCCAATGTTCTTTGCATATTTGGTGGCTCTTGCTATTTTGCATTTCAGCGATGGTGTTACGTCGAAATTTACGGGGGCCTTTTTTCTCTTGTTTACTTATTGCTCACATAATTAATGGAATTTGCTATACTCTCATCAACTCTTCTTCTTCACAAATTTGCGATGCATACGGAGAACTCGTTTGGTCACTTGACTGGGCTATATTGGCCAATCACCAATAGCCTGACTTGGCCCCCTGGTTGCCAACACATCGCAAGCTGGCACAGCGCTTACTACCTGGGCAGTGCCGCCCAGGTGGAAGGCATCAACGCGCAACCCCGCTTGCTTCACTCAAACCTTTTGCCACATCTCCTTGGGTTCGACATAGCACATTCCTTATTCCACATCTCCCAATATCGCAAACCATGGACGGTGGTGATGATGACCGTCTCTATAAACCTCCAACTGGAAATCCAGAGGATTCCAGCAAGAATCCAGGTTCTAAACCCACCTCATCCGAGATCTTGCAACGAGATGTTTCCAATATCGGGGGATGGATTTCACAGTCAAGACTGGTATGTCAAGTCATCCCTCTCAGGCATTTACCTTCTAGGCTCGGACTAACTAGCCTCCCCAAAGAGCGAGGTGCCCGCATATCAAATTCACGATCCAGTCAATAAAATCCTAGCTTCCAATTTCAGGGCGGCCATTATAAATGGAGATGCTGGTCAGGTCCTGAAGTGTATCAACGGTGGCGCTATTGTGAATCCATCCGATTCTCCCCCGCCTCTCTACCTTGCTGTTGAATCTGGATTCTTTGATATCGTCCAAATCCTCCTTCGCCATGGGGCTGATGTCAACACGCAAGTTGAGGGAAGTCAATTTGGCAGTTCCCTTGCTGTTGCTGTTGCTGCTACTGCTACATCCAGAGACGATGCTATGGAGCTTCTCCTCAAAGCGGGAGCTGATGTTAACATGCAGCTCAGATACGGACGTTACGGGAGTGCGCTCGCTGCTGCCACTACTACACCCAACGGCAATGCTGTACGGCGTCTCCTGCACGCGGGTGCTGGTGTCAACATGCGGCTCAGATACGGACATTACGGGAGTGCGCTCGCTGCTGCCGCTGCTACACCCAAAGGAAATGCCGTACGGCGTCTCCTGCACGCGGGTGCTAAGGTCAACATGCAACTTACGCACGGGTATTATGGGAGTGCACTCGCTACTGCTGCTGCTGCTACTACATCCAACGGCAATGCTGTACGGCTTCTCCTTGAAGCGGGTGCTGATATCAATATGCAGCTCAGATACGGACGTTACGGGAGTGCGCTCGCTGCTGCCGCTGCTGTATCCAATAGCAATGGCATAGAGCTCCTCCTCAAAGCGGGTGCCGATGTCAACATGCAGCTCCAGAATGGAGACTGTGGCAGTGCTCTCGCTCATTACACCTCGACTGGCAGGGAGGGATCCGGGGTGCTTCGTATGCTCATTGACGCAGGGGCTAATGTCAATCTGGACCTTTCTCACGGAAGCTTTGGAAACGCACTTTCTGCGGCAATCTATACTGTAAGGAATACTTCAGATCTTGTGAAGGCAGGAGCAAAGATCGGTCCACTCTCCTCGATGTTGATCACAGGCCAAAAGCAATCTCATAAAGTCATCAAACATACGTTCAATTGGGAATTGCCTTGCATCTTAGGCACTGATGACATCCTAACATACCTTTTCAACATGGGGACATTGACGCGCGGGATAGATACAGTAGCATTGGCTACATGTCATGACTTTCTTATCGGATTGTATGACAGTTGTGGCGTGGTCCTTTTGAAAGGTATCGCCAGGGCCCTCAAAAGCTCAATCCAATGCTATCGTGAGTTTACCAATACTCGGGTGTTTTGTGTGCTAAACCTAAAAAACGTCGTTAGAGGATGGCAATCTGCAGATCAAAACATCCCCGTCCGAAATTTCATTGATGACGACCGATGCAACTCCGGACGTGCGTCCGATGCTTGAATAGATCTGCCTCACTTTTCGAAAGCCAATTTTACGTACGCTTTGCATTTCTAGGTTGAATAGATCCGGGGAAAACTCTCAATTGGAGAGCTTGGCTCCATTTGACGACATGGGCGACGCTGAATGTTGGAAAACCCTGTTCGAATCTGGAGTTATTGCCCTGCAATTACCAGATGACCAAATAGTCCCGTGTCGAGGACTAGAGCTGGACTTCAAGCGACTAGTCGGGCTTGCGGCCGTTGAGTATCCAGTTCTTGTGGAATCCGGTCTCATTCTTATGGGATACTCAACTGCTCTGATTCCCGTTGAGACAACTGAGGATGGAAGGATCATGTGGCATTTGGAGGTTGCTGCGGATGACTTTCAGCTGCAAATTTCTGATCTCAGGGCAACGAAGAAACAATGGATGCAGAACACAAGCTTCGAGCTATTGCAAAGCAAAACCGCGGTGTTGGGCTGGTGCTCTGAGGCAGAGGTTCTTCTAGGCACAGATCGTTTGAAACCAACTGTCAGATTATCGAATTCATCCACTAAGCCTGTCAGTTGGCGCTGGGGTGGTGCAAATCTGCAACTTGTTGCGCAATCTGCGTCACCACTGGTTTTGGGTGGTCAGTTAGGATTCACATTTGACCGATGCGTCAACACGATACATTTCGACCCCTCCAAGAATTATCTCAAATGCTTGTCAAACAGTGCTCGGCAACAAATTGTTCTCTATGATGTGGAGTCAAAGAGAGCCTGGCTGGTGTCGTTGCTTTCTGTGTTTCACCACATGTTACTAACCTGGTCGGAGCAAATTCCTGAAGCTTTTCGAAAAGCCTCTCCGCCTTTAGCTTTACCTGGATCGGATTGTGGTCGGGCCTCTTTAGATGCTCTGCGGGATCAGGGGGCGCTCATCCTTGACAGCTCCGGGGACGATGCAACAACGGTTCGGGATCTTGTGATGGGATTCTCGGTCAATTTGTCCAAGGCTGCGTTGCAAGCACCTAAGGGATCCAAGATCTATGGATATGAATTCATGGATATTGCCCTAGACTCTCCGGTGAGTGAGCTTAAGAAGACGAAGCTCCAAAAGGAAGGACTCGGTTGGATATCCTTGCTGAATGAGACGAAATGCCTTTTCTGTGCCAATCTGGGTGGTGCCATCGTCGGCAAAAGATCATCAATGCCTGTATCACCCTGCAACAACCTCATTGAGGGGTACGATTTGATGGCCGCATCAGTCCAAATCATCGAGACCTTATCCAAAAGGTACGGAAACAGAGACGACGGATCTTCCCGCCGATTATCCCAGAACAACTTCTGGCAGCTGGCAGGCTCGCCATTTCAGAAGTGTCAACATGACAACCAAGGATCCTGCTGGACCCGACCCGAAGCCCTTGGACAAATCGTCCAAGAAATCCAAGACCGACAGTCCGAATACGCGAATGCCAAACCCGGTGAATTCTTCGAGAACGGAGCGCTGGTGTTCGGTAAACAGGCTCGATCCAGGACGTTCTTCAACCGTGTACAATCGGCCGAGAATCACACCGTCATTCTACAGATGGGAACGAGTCGCGCTTGAGACCGGAGTAATATCCCAAAAGAGAAAGACGCCAGAATTGGGGCCGATCTAATGATCTTCTACTCGTAGGTCATCCGCTAGCTTGGATTATTTCTGCACAATCTTCAGGGCTGCAGGTCGATCCATCCACTTCAGTTCCTTGATTGTATCCAAGCCCCGTCTTTCTTACAGAGGATTTGTACGGAGTACTTGAAGTAAGGGCACTGTGTTCATGGGTACGAGTACAAGTAGATAGCAGTCCTGACACAGATGTATCACATCACGACATCAGGGAAATACAATGGAATGAGTCCCACTCGTCCATCCATTGCAGCCACCCGCTCTCAAATCCTTCAATTTTTTTCAGGAACAGGAACTGCACAAACCACACATCCATGGTTACATCACGTCAATCAAAACGCCTAACGATCGGCCACCCCAAATTAGGGCCACGCTTCAATTTTCCGAACCAAAGCCGGGGCGATCACAAGTGAAAAACCGTTGATTTAGCACGACCCAAGATTCCGACCGCTGTGGTGCCGACTTTGATCCACTTGGTTTGTCGGTGTGTTCGTCTTGGCTACGCGAGAACGAGTTAAGAAATGCTCTGTGCGTCTCATTCAATATGCCTGGTCTTCTGATAACAATGACTTTTTTCAAAGGTAGGGAGTGCTATGTATGGAGTGCAAGTGTACAATGTGTTCTACACTAAGGTTTGCCCGCAAGGATCGTCTCCAGGCTAAACGTCCATTCGCCAAGGCTCCATACAAGTTCGGATATCCGAAAACTCCATAGGTTCGGAGATCCGGAGACGGAGGAGTACTCGAAATAGGATCGAGTAACTTAGAAGGATCGCGTCAACCCGCTGATATACCAGTGTACTACCCTGACGTGCCGAGGGTTGGTACAGTTGGTTTCAGGCACAAAGTCACCCACGGATTTGATTTCCGGTGCTTTGGGAGACTAACGAAGGTACTATTATTTATTTATTATAATTGCTTTTTTTGTCCCAGGGAAACTCCAAGCCTTGAAAAGCCACGCGGTAAAGCGGAAAAGACAGCCCTGTGGAATGGCCAATACAAGAATCCAAACCCAGAGCCTCGATGTCGATCAGATGCGATCAAGGGAAATTTTTTTGATTTTTTTTCCCCTAAACGATGATCTCGGAGAATTCTTTTCTGATAGACGCCAATCACGGGGGAAAGCCATCTCCGCAGAGAACAGCAGGGCCAATCCGAGGCTAAAAGCCCTAAGTCAAAGGCTAAGCAGCTCGCCCTAGGGAGTGGACTAGCGTCCCCGTCCAGCTACGCCACGCCACGGCCACTTGGATTGCTACTCGTATTGAGACTTCAGGAGAACTTGTACTCGTTTCTTGCTCCAGACTTTCTTTCAGACTTTCAGACTTTCAGACAAACTTTCTCTCTACCATCGCCGGATTAGCTCTAGTTCTCGTGATGCTTTTCGGAGTAGATCGGTGATGCGGCGATCCTTTCCGATCCTCATATTTTTGAGGCCGATTGACATTCCACAGGTAAGGAGTAAAAAGGAGATATACTCCGTGTTCGATCTCGATCGTATTCTTCTAGGTAAAGGGTCGGAAGACACCGCCAAACCTTCTAATTCTCAAGTCAAAGTGGAAACTTCGACGGATTCTACTCGTACCAAGATACGAGTATGCATTTTTGTTTTTTTCTTATATAACAAGTTCCACTATAATACTTTGCAATAATTCTAGGATGTGCATATCGCGATTGCCGGGCCTTGAGCCATGGACGAGTTCTTGGCGACAAGTACCGAAGAGTGAACCTTGGAATTGACTGGATTTAACTGAAATTGACTGAAATTGACTGGATATCCAACTCCTTGAGAGGGCAAACTAGTGGGGGTCACTGGATTCATGGTTCGATTGACGGCACGGTTCATGTATGGGTACGTGATTCGGATCAATGAAGTATGCTTGTTGCCCAGATCAGCGCTAATATTTCCATAATTGCTTTTTTTATTGCGATTGTTCTCCGTAACACTCGGCCGGAGAAAAGTGACGCGCAAGATCTCGTACTCCGGATTACCTTGAGTTATCGGCTTTACTCCGGCTTTAACTTTGCCTTTTTTCTCCATTTCCATTTCCATGTTTTTACTTTTTTCCCCTGTCCTCGTCCCGAGGGTCGCGGCCCGGTGTAGGGATTCCCGGTGATGGTTCCCAGATGGCTTCAACTTGAAAATGTTATATGATATGATATGCATCTAATGAAATCTCCGTAAATGCAGTGACCAAATGAAGTCGCTAGACAAAAAACATGAAAAACAAGAAAATAGATCCGCTAGAAAAATGAAGTGGCTTCAAGACGCCATGTCGCCAACCCAAAATCCACAATCCACCATAAAAACCGCTTAACCACGAGCACTGCGAGGCCTGGAATTCAGCGAAGAGGAATCCTGCAGAACATCCGGCGCCCGCGGGCCAACCATCCAATCCTCCATAGCGAGCCATTCACTCCAGCTGCGTTCTGCGGCCTCGATCTCCGCATCAAGGGGACCCTGCAGGGGCCGCAAGAATGGGATTGTTTCCAGAGGGGGCATATCGTAGTCTTTCTTGACGGAAGCCCAGCCACCACTTTTCGCAGCGAAGAGGTAGTTGCGACGTTCTTGTTCGTGGAGGGGACCGATGCCGCTGCCTCAGTCGTCGCCGAAGAAGCCGTGTAGAACGCCCGGGAAGTCCATGCCGGTTGCGACGAGGCGGCGGATGTAGGGAAGTAGCGAGACGGAGGGGGGACCTGTGGGAGCTGTGGGGGATGGAGAGGAGGTTGAGATTGAGGGTTGGCGCTGGAAGGGGAGGCGGATGTTCAAGAATGCGGAGAGGGCTTGGACGGGGACGCTGTGTTGGGCGTGATCGAGGAAATATCGTTGACAGCTTTGATACCGGGGGTACCATTCGAAGATATCGAAGTTGTCGTCTGTTCTCCCTAGACCCATGGCTGGGTCGAATTGGGGATGGGCGTTCATCGGAGAATTTGGTGAAGATGAGGCTTCTACCAATCTGCTAATTTTTTTTCCCGGCTTAGTTTCGTTGTTCTGTTGAGACTTTGGGGGGTTTCCCAGGGAATTTTTTCTTATAATCCGGTATAATTTGGGGGGAGACCTCGTATTCCCGTTGGGAGGGGGATCCCGTGGGGTCAAAATAGCAATTGGGATGAACTCGAGGGGGAGATGTACTTGGAAAAGAGATTCCTACCTCGACGGACCAGAAGAGATACTCCGCGCCGTGGAGAGGGTGGGGGTCCAGAGCGGAACAGATCCCTAATGGTCCCTAGTCCGCGAGATTGGGGCTTGTTGGACATCTGTTAGGCCATTGAGGGAAGGCAGGATGTGGGGATATGATCAAGGAATACCCATTGGAGGTGAAGCAAAAGGACCTTTAAACATACATGTGACTGGGTCCAGATAACAGAAGAGCAGAAGATATAGCTCCCAAACAGAGAGAGAAAGAGAGAGAAAAGAAGAAACAGAAGAAAAGAGACGAACAGAGAGTAATAAAGAAAGAATTAGAGATTAGAAATGAGGTTAGAAGGAAAGTTTATTCTGGAACGTTCATAGAAGTATAATAAGTATAATAAATCTGTTTTATACGGAGCTTTTTCTTTTCTTTTCCCTTTTTTTTCTCTTTTCCTTGTTCATGAATCGGATCCATCACGACGGGTCTATCCGGTCAGGCCAATCACTATGAGATCTATACTTGACCACGGGTGGGTGGTGGATACAAATCGATCTAGGCAAAAGGCCCGTTATATGTGCATTATGTGATTTTACTTTGTCTCCTTTGGTATTAAATTATCTTTAATAGATTAAAATCTGAAAATGGCTCTTCAGAGATCTCATTTATCGTCTCTTATTGGCTAAATGCCCATGTCGATGCTAATAATACCTTTTTGCCGTGCCTTAACCGCCTCATGTTATATGACAATAAGGGGGGCCTTGACTGTGCAGAGAGACCCCTACTCCATAGCCAATCTTAAGGGCCCGAATTGGCCCCCTCGCTGCAAGGTGCCTAGTCATGATTGGAATCTTAGACCACGAGGTCTAGTGTCAACTGCTCCAAGACGGGTCAGCGAGACTGAAAGCCGGTTTTTGGTGCGTATATGGACTCTAGGTCTCTGCAGTACGATAATTGAAAGCTGATGAGTCGTCTATGGCGGTAGCTGACGATATTATGGCGCTTTGATACCTACTTAGTGGGTTTGGCATTGAAATTTCGCGAATCCCCAGGTGATATGTATAACTCTGTTCCGCGCCAAGCTCCCCCCTACCGGGGTCTCCAGATCGCGTGCAGCCCCGAGCAGATCCGAGATTTGACCATCTGATATCATTCTTCAGGAGAAGTTGGAAGATGGAGTACGAGTACGGAGTAACTACGGAATATTCAGGAAGTATGGAGTAGTGAAACTTTTTTAAGTAGAAGCGCTGGGGCCACTTACCGCCCTGTTGAGCACTTAAGCTGGCACTAACTCCCCCTTTAGCGGGTTAAACCCCCGATCTTTTGCTTATACTCTCATCTCCCCGATACTCTACTCCGTACTTCGTACTCCCCCTGAAATTAATGATCTGACTCCTTTTCAAGACTCAACCTGTCAATTGCATAAGCGAATCAAACCCGAGTCCGATCCCCGTTCCTGCTCGCGAATTCGCCACATGCATATGGAGTACGAGTAGTCCTCAGCTGATCAGCCTATTCATAAAGATACATAGGGCCTGTGCCGCCATGTCTCCCGAGCCTGCAGCTCCAACTAACCAGTGAAGACACATTTCTCGATCCCATCCGAGTCAACACCCCCCTCCCAGACCCAAAGTCGAAAGTCGACACCCGTACAACCCTTGGCTTAGCCTATATGATTGGAGCGGGCTCCAAAAAGCACAATTACACGGCGTCCCCGCGACTCCGCGACTGAGACAACAGTGGTACCCGCGTGCACGTCAATCGAACCCGGTCCCTGGCCGTCTCGCTCAATACGTCATAATCGGCATCGACATGCCCCTGGCTGCGAATTGGTGCGACACTGAACCCGTGCGCTGGCAGGTGAGCCCTCACCATCCAATCATGTCCAGATACATGTGACATACGATGTGCGACGTGCGACGTGAAACCGATCGGTTGTCATGGTGATCTCGTTTGCTGTATGACGCCGTGCACGGATGGGCCAGTTGGAATTGCAGATGGGATGGTCGGATCGGGTGTAACGGATCAACCCTCGCTTTCGGCGGGGAGAAGAACCATTGTGTCGGGATATGGGCCTGATCGCATTCAGCCAATGATCTGGTGCTGGGCGCAATGTGCGTTTGTTCAGACCGCCATGTCGCTGTACGAGGACGGGTACCGAAGGCTGTTCGGGTCGCGAAACCCCTTGTTGCGATTGATCATCGGCCGCTCGTTCGGTGTTCGGCCCCCTCTGTAAACATTGCACCTGCTGCGAGGACCCAACATGTCTCACAACTAAGGCCATGGGTATCCAATGCGTTGGACTTGACCTTGAGCATAGAGAGAACGGGTGAAACTTCCAAGTGATCGCCATGATGGAATCTCGGTTAGAGAATTTCCACGCGATCTATCAACCCAACGGCTGCCAGAATTGCCGAGCTACATGACAGCTCCAGCGCATCCCATACACAGTTTCGCGACGCCCGACGATCGTGTTGGCGCATATTCTGAATAGGGAAAGTGTTCACGCGCATCGTCGGGTCTGTATATCCTTCGAGTCACTGGCGGCGAAGGATTTGGATGGATCGTTTAGGTCTTCTGTGAGGTTCGCCCGCCAGATACCCAGCTGAGTACCGCGAGACTGGACAGTCGTTAACACACGGAATAATGAAACTCATACTTAAAGTACGGAGTACCTCATCACAACCTGCGATTGTCACATTTCACCCATGGGTGCTACCCTGCGATCCTGCGATCCATAACCTGGGACAGACACATCACGCTTCTCGCCCTGGGACTGCAATATCTGGTCAATTTGACAAGATCTCGACTCTGTTACTCGCAGCACGGGGTACACGAACTGCCTCGCGCATTAACCTTGAGGGCATTTGTGCCATAGGCAGAGCACTAGTGGCATATCCGGCTGGCTGATAATCAGATTCGAACACAAGGTGTGTACGGAGCACTCCATACTCTGTGAATACGTAGGTAGTTTCGGGTCTCACAACTGCGCATCCGATCCTCTACATCATCTCGAAAAATGTACGGAGTGCTCCATACCCCATACACGACCCTTATCCTCCAGTTCGACGGGCCCACGAAGTATAACCTCCGGGTTGCCACCTATACATAGCCCACTTGAACCCATCGATGTACATCCAAATCGCGATCAAATGCGTTCTATCGAGCATCAGCTAAATTGAGGAGTTATTCAAAGAAACCCGAAGTCGGCCCCGGGGACGTAGACTGATTACCATACCCCCCAAAGCAAGCCAAACACACCACAGCAGAGCATGATCTTGACACATCAAAAACTGCAAATATTATTTCCTCAAACAGAAATGAAAACGAAAACGAGAATAAACAACCCATTCCCTCTTCAATTCGCCACGCAAATAAACCGGAGCTCATAAGACCCGATCACATCCGGAACCATCAGGCCACAAACAACCAAGTAGTTTAATGAGTCACCCCAGACATGCATCTCGATAGGAAAACAGAAACCTGGAGTGACAGCGGCCCCGTTCTCCGCGCATTGCGGAGTCCGCCGATGCCCTGGTGATCTCCACTTTTGCGCGGGGGAAGTATGGGGTCCGTTCTCCGAGTCATGATCGTTTGACTTTGGTGTTTAGACTCAGAACCGGGGTCTGTGTGGGTTAGATCTGTGGCATGTAGTAATTTTGGGGGAAATTCTTGAGTGGAGTCTGGCGTTCTGGGATTGGCTTGTGGGCTTGAGGCTCTTACCTACGGTAGGTATTGGTATCTATATGTGCTTAAGTAGAGTAGAGTCATACTTAAGTAGGTACCTGGGATATAATATCGAGGACTAAGGATTGATGGTTGGTTTAATCAGAAGCTACCTGCTTGCCTAGGTATATGATTATTTACTTATAGATATTGCTTTGGAGACATGCTACAGATTGCAACATCTCTGCGCCTTCCTAATTGGGCTGACGAGCGAACAGACAGTCGAAGAAGGCACTTCAAGGTCATCCATGGATGCTTGAATGTCATTGCATTGACACCTTTGAGGGTTAGTGCGGCTCTCATCTAAATTTCCTGGGAAGCATGCTTTGTTCTGCTTCTGAAGTCGGGATCAATCAAGGTCGCGTGACAACCCCAGCTTCAACCCATTCGACCATATCCCGAGTGATATCTTCAAAAAACAAGACTATGGAATCTGTGTTGAATCAACATAAGAGAAACAGTATGTCCCAAGTCACCTGATCTTGATAACCACTTCTTTGGATCCTATGGACTTTCAGTAAAGTGAGTATATCGACAGTCGGTCAAGTCGAAATAAGGTCACGCCGAGTGGGCCCTAAAAGTCGTACATATGTACACATCACGTCATAGCTGGAGTGTTCACGATGCTCATACTCCGCACACTTATAGGTACCTGGGGACTTAAGTACTTGGCAGAGCCTCGATGCTTATATCCGCACCCAAGGTCATCCAATCGGAGAAGAGTGGACGTCCAACACCGATGGATGCGAGTCGAGTAAGAACAAAAGCAGTGAAACAACCACGTTTATAACAGCTATGCCACTTCGTGAGGATAAACACTTAACCCCAAGTGCACAACTAAGTAAAAAAAAAAGGTTCCAAAATTCCAGAACAAAATAAGCTTCCGCGCCGATCCCCGTGCACGATAGTGAATAATAGCATAATGTCAACCCTTTCAACCTTAGATATCGCACGGAACATGGACCGTGTTGACTCTGGATCCGGATCCCCGGTGAACCCCAGGAAGCTCAAGCCAAGCCCGCAAGGAGTGGAGTTGCATCTGAAAATTGGCTGCCCCGGATTCGTGCCTCTGGGGCCCCAAATATGGGGTGTGGCGATTTCTACCTGCATAGCCCTCTTACGTGGACTGATTTACACTACGAGTAGAAGTACGATTACTCGTATACTCGAGGTGTGTTTGGTGATGTTCAGATGATATTCAGATGATCTTCCTATATATGAGGTGGGCCTTGCCACCTGTACTACGAGTAATCGTCGAGCCGATATTAATCCGTACAGCTAAGCGCGGAGATAGGCAGACGGTGAGCAAAAGGACACCTCTCGTACAAGCGGCCGCTCTGCATTGCATATGCAACGGACCTCCAGGGCTCCGATCATCGGCCAAAGTCAAATGCAGTTAACCGCTCTTGGCAGACCACGGCATTGGTGACCCGGGGAAGAAACCCTGGGGCTGAGTCCACTTCGATGACTATTTGATGGACGGCGACTGGGCGATCTATGTAGTACTACCTGGGCATCTGGGCATCTGGGCAGTCCACTTTATTCCAGTAGAATTAGGCAGAGTATACAGGTACAAGTACTTAAGTACATAGTACTGAGAATACGTTCATGTACTTCTCTATAAATCGTAAGATTGAGATTGTCAAAGTACAAGTCTACTACGAGTATATTGTACCCCTCACCCCTCAGTGGGGTCTGATAAAGATGAAGATGAATAAAACGATGTGAAGAGGAAACAGGGCGATCAGATAAGGTCTCCACTTCGCACGTGACTTATGCAGCCGAGTCAAATTGCCGAAGGTGGCAGCTAGTGGCGGATCCCTGGGTCTTTAGGTTTTTTTTCTAGTTGCATACTGTTCGCATCATACATTAGTTCTTCTTTATGTTCGATTCTTGTAAAGTTCTGTTAGTGTTTGATATTAAATATTTTAGCCTCTATGAAACATAAGATCAATGACACTTGACTACTTTTTTTCTTCTCTAGAGTATGTTACGTCGGAGGCCACCGATCCGCGACGAATTAAAGTCGGAAGCTGCAGACCAGACAAGGAAGAATTAGGGATCTGCGATAATGAATGATAAGTGTCGGTCGAGTAATAAGAATGGAATTCAGGGACGATGAGTGGACAGGAAATCGAGAGCGAGTGGCCAGTGGGGGGAAGTGCCGCCACCCAAGGACAGTCAGCAGATAAGGTGAATCTGTGACCTTAAAGCATAAGATAACATTGTCCGGGCCCCGGTCTTCGGACGTTTCCTAGGGGCTCATCCTGTCCCGTGATTGGTTGGTTCCCGACTCCTCCGCTCCTCCCAAATGCGTACAACCTGAGAGTCTTGGTATACGCTCTTCTCCGGAGTACAGACTGCCCAGCTGCCTTTTTCTTTTTCCCGTTGTTCTTCCGGTAACCTCTCGTCCGACTCCGGCCCACCCTCTCTGTTCTATATAATTTCCCAACTTCCCTTCCAATTCTTCCTTCACTCTTACTTCCAATTGTCATTCACTCGGGGCCCTTACCTACACCTGGATCATTGCCATTGATCTATACCCTCGACCCCCCAAAAGCATATAATTCATAACCTCGACAAAATGTCCAACCTTCCCTACGAGCCCGAGTTCGAGCAGGCCTACAAGGGTATGTGCCCCTCCAATGCCGATTGAGTCGGTTTCGGCATCTTCGGCCCCATTTTATTTTTTTTCGGCGTCAAACTAATCCCGAAAACAGAACTCGCCTCCACTCTTGAGAACTCCACTCTTTTCCAGAAGAAGCCTGAGTACCGCAAGGCCCTCCAGGTCGTCTCTGTGCCCGAGCGCGTTGTTCAATTCCGCGTTGTCTGGGAAGATGACAACCAGCAGGTGAGTTTCCAATGGACAACACAAAAAAGTCGCCACGCAAAAATCTAACCTCATCAGGTCCAAATCAACCGTGGTTACCGTGTTCAGTTCAACTCCGCTCTCGGCCCCTACAAGGGTGGTCTCCGTTTCCACCCCTCTGTGAACCTGTCCATCCTCAAGTTCCTCGGTTTCGAGCAGATCTTCAAGAATGCCTTGACCGGTCTCAACATGGGTGGTGGTAAGGGTGGTTCTGACTTCGACCCCAAGGGCAAGTCTGACAACGAGATCCGCCGCTTCTGTGTCTCCTTCATGACTGAGCTCTGCAAGCACATCGGTGCCGACACTGATGTTCCCGCTGGTGACATCGGTGTCACTGGTCGCGAGGTCGGTTTCATGTTCGGTCAATACAAGAAGATCCGCAACGCCTGGGAGGGTGTCCTCACTGGCAAGGGCGGTACCTGGGGTGGTTCTCTCATCCGCCCCGAGGCCACTGGTTACGGTGTCGTCTACTACGTCGAGCACATGATCAAGTACGCCACCCAGGGCAAGGAGTCCTTCGCTGGCAAGCGCGTCGCCATCTCCGGCTCCGGCAACGTCGCCCAGTACGCTGCCCTGAAGGTCATTGAGCTCGGCGGCTCCGTCGTCTCTCTCTCCGACTCCCAGGGTGCTCTCGTCCTCCAGGGTGAGGAGGGTTCTTTCACCCCCGAGGAAATCAACACCATCGCCGCCATCAAGGTCGAGCGCAAGCAGATCTCCGAGCTCGCCACCACCGAGGCCTTCAGCTCCAAGTTCAAGTACATCCCCGGTGCCCGCCCCTGGACCAACATCACCGGCCGCATCGACGTCGCTCTCCCCTCCGCCACCCAGAACGAGGTCTCCGGCGACGAGGCCAAGGCCCTCATTGCCGCTGGCTGCAAGTTCATCGCCGAGGGTTCCAACATGGGTTCCACTCAGGATGCCATCGATGTCTTCGAGGCTCACCGTGACACCAACAAGTCCGAGGCTATCTGGTACGCCCCCGGTAAGGCCGCCAACGCCGGTGGTGTTGCTGTCTCCGGTCTCGAGATGGCCCAGAACTCCGCCCGCATCAACTGGACTCGCGAGGAAGTCGACAACCGTCTCAAGAACATCATGGAGGACTGCTTCAACAACGGTCTTGCTACCGCCAAGGAGTACGCTACCCCCTCCGAGGGTGCTCTGCCTTCTCTCGTTGCTGGTTCCAACATTGCTGGCTTCACCAAGGTTGCTGAGGCCATGAAGGACCACGGTGACTGGTGGTAAATCACTCGCCCCTTGGGCTTGTGAATGATTCCGTGCTTCGGCCGGCTTTGATGCATTTTCTTCTTGTTAAATACCTTATTTACCCTTTTTGAGCGGGTTCTTTTTTTATTTGGATAGAGGCGCTGGTTTTCTGCATTTGATTGATATCCCCACCTGAGCACTATTGTTTTGTCTGCTGCTGGGATTTTTATGACAATGAGAATGAATGAATGATTTTAATAATCTATCTTTTCCTACTTCGTAAGATAGCCTTAGCCCTTCGTAGATATTCTAGTCTTCTATAAAGTGAGACCTAATTCTAATTTTGAAAGCTGCGCCCGACAAGTTATGATCTCAATTAGTTCATCCTTCCCACATAAATCTCATAAACCAATTCAAATCTCGTTCTCTGTGAATTTTGAAGCTATACTTAAGTACGAAGTTGTGACAGGACGACAGTTGCGCCTGAGGCAAACTCACGTGATCTGAGTTGCAGCCCGCTTATGTCATCTATTTCGGTCGCGCTTAGGAGCAACCCCAGCCTTAAAGACAAGGACAAAGATTTAAAGACGCGCAAGTCGGTGTCTAACAATCGACGCACCTGAATCCATATATTCCCCTAAGAACCCGGGTGTATCAATCAAAGGTGGCATGTCGTGATGCTGACGGAGGCACCCGAGCAATGGAGGACCTTCCTCCACCAATGTCTAACCAATCGCATTGACATTGACGAATTCACCGAGCTATCAGGTCTCCTCCTGACTCGAGCCCCAGTCAAAGAGCATGAACTGCTAGACTACTTGCTCCAAGCCCGTGCAGACTCAAGCATCACCTGGGACCCGCTGCTGCCGCTGTACGTTGACGGGCTATGCAGGGTTGGACGGGTGAAGAGCTCTGCGGCGCTGGCGGGTCTGCTGCGACACTCTTCTATTCGGGGTGATGGGCCTTCTACGCTCATGACTGATATTAAGGTTGTGCAGGATGTTATGATGTTTGTTTCTACGGGGTCTATTCCTAAGACTGCGACTGAGGCGGCGGAGATTTATGAAGTGACGGTTGATTGGATTGTTGCTGTTGTTGCTTGGCATCAGAGGGATGGGGCGACGGGTCTCATGGATGAGCCGGATGCTGTTTCGTTGTTTGAGTCGTTGGGGATTCTGTTGGCTGCTTTGTCCGGGACTAATAAGGGGTTGGAGGTTCTGTCCAGTGATTTTAACCAAGGTGAGTTGTCTTTTGATCCTGTGGATTGAGATTCATGGGTGATTTTGATCTTGTGCTGATGGGATTTCAGGATTGAAAGCAAAGCTGGGCCAGGCTTTGTCGTCTTATTTGCCGCTTTGCTTGGATGTTTCTCTGCCGTTGAGACATCGGCTTGAGGAGCTGCAGAAGATGTTTAATCTGTATCCTGACCAGCCATCTAAAGGTTTGGACGATCCGATCAACGGGGTGAATGTCAACGCACTTCAGTTTGAGTCCTCTGTCATGGACGGCCCTGTTGTTAATACTAGAGCTGGACTCTATGTTTATATCAACTCGATGGTATGTGTTGTCTCTCCATTTGATATCACCTGTGGCTAAAATGTTGAAGCTTGTCGGTCGTCCTTTGGTTGATGACACTATTTTGATTAATTACCTCACCAATCGATACCAGGTAAGTGCCATATCCGTCGCTCATGACTTTGCTCGGCCTGTCTTCGAGTAGCTTACATTCTCCAGGGCCACAACGATGTGCTCATCGAGGAAGTTATCACGGCTACCTTTGATGTGTTGTCCAACGGTGTCTACCGCAATGAGTCCCCTAGGACAATGTTCTTGTTCCGGTCCTTCTTGGTAAACAAGCTCCCTGCATTCTTTGCCGCCATCTCAGCGGCATCCATGGTCCCAATATCCATGGAGATGTGCATCAGTCAGGCTTTGAGTCGCCTGGACCCCAATGCATTCCCTTCATTCTCACAGATGTTCTCAATGCAGGGCAGTAGTGTTTTGTCCGACGCTCGCCAGGAATTCCTTTTCGCTTGTGCTTCACACAAGCTCATTGAGGAGTCCAGCATCGAACAACTGTTGGGAGAAAATCCTATGCAGACATTGCCTGGTGGCGGTCCCTATATCAAAGACGACATAATCTCACAGATCAATAACAATCATGAGCGGGCTGAGCAGCTCATTGGGGAGATCGAGTCGATGGAGGGCAATGCTGGCGCAATCGTTGGCGCGGTGGTCGAGGTATGTACGAAACAATCATACTTCAAACAAACCCGCTAATTTGAACAAGGTCATGCACAGTCTGTGTCATCAGAAAGAGACAATGACGCTGAAAAACATTTGCAACTCTCTGTCGCGTCGCCCACAGACCCTCGATGTCATCTTGTTATTCCGGAGCGCAAAACAGGTTCTGCAGCCCCTTTGCTCTGTTATTGACTCCTGGAAATGGGATGAGGATCAGGGTGAGAATCAGCCTGTCTATGATGAATTCGGTAGTATCCTGCTACTTGTACTTGCGTTCAAGTATCGTTATGACTTGAGTCCGTCCGACCTGGGTATCTCGAGCAATGATTCCTTCTTGCTCAAACTCCTGGACCGCGGCGCTTGCCGTCAAAAACTGACTGGCCTGAGTGAGAAGCAGAATAAGGACCTTGGTGCATGGATCGGTGCTCTTTTCATTGCCGAGGGCATCAGTGAAGAGATTATGTCTTCTTGCAGTCCACATGAGTTCTACTTGCTCGTTGCGACATTGTTCGATCAAAGTCTCGGCGCATGCGAGTCTGGGAAACTAGAATTCGAGACTCTGAAAGGCGGATTTGAATGTAAGAAGAAAGTCAAAAAAAAACCACTCGGGCGCACCATAGCTAACACCCACAGATCTCCTCGAGCCCTTCCTTCTTCCATCCCTAGTCGTCGCCTTGACCTGGCTTGGAAACCACATCTGGGAATCGGAAACCGACCCAACCATCCCGCTGAAAGCCCTCTACTCCCTTATCAAACCAAGCTCGATCTCCGGCGAAGCTCAAGCCATTCACCAAACAGTCCTCAACATCACGGCTCGTCCACTAGAGGAACAACTCAAGAACGTGCGCACAAGACACCAATCACGCACCGATATCAAACCCAGTCTAGACGCTCTGGATCCATACCTCTCCTTCCGCCGAGTAGGCAGCTGCCACCGCACCGAACTAGACACCTGGACCAACCAAGCAACCGGCGGACTCCTAACCAGCATCCGCACAACCCTCCAAACCCTAGTCCTCTGGTCCTCAAACCCAGAAATCAACATGGCCCCCCAAACATACACCCACCGCCAACTCCTAACCAGCATCAGAATGCTCGGCGCTCCCCGCGTCCTCTCATCTCTAATCGAAGAAATAAAACGCCACACCGAATCAGGCACCAGCCACATCGCCCTCGACATCGCAACAACCATGATCTGCGCCCCAATGCCCGAATCCTTCGCCGTAGACCAAAACAACTACCACCCCGAGAAACCAGTCCCACGCTGCTCAATCCTCACACTCCGCGACGCCCTGGCCCTATCCCACGATAACGTCCCCAAGATCTCAGAATCGGACCCCATCCGCGCGGAAATCATCGTCCGTCTCGCAAGACGCGTCAACGTCCTCACAGCGCCCCCTTCCCAAGTCTCAAATATAGACGTGAGCAATATAATCCAGAACCTGGCTCTAGGCGTCGAAGGCGAGCGAATGGATCTCGAACCATCTGCCGCTGACGTGGAGGGCAATACAGTTGGAGACGATGATCCAGAGAATATCAACCGCATGCTCGATAAGGCTGCTGCGGCTGCTGCTGCGGTTGGTATGGATGGTGGTATGGACTCGGGTATAGGGTCTGGTATGGATGGTGGCATGCCTGGGATGGATAGTGATATGGATGGTGGCATGGGTCAGGATATGGGTCTTGATGCTGGTGCTGGCATGGATGCTATTGATGATGTGCTTAATGCGGCTGATATGGCTGTTGGCAATCCTGAGTTTTTGGATTTGGATATGGAGGGGATGTTCTAACTGCGCTTGAAATTATTTAAGTATTTATATGGATCGTTTTCGCTGGTGTTGGGGTTGCTGGTTTGTTCTGTCTGCTGGCTCTATTGGATTTTATACATACTCTGCATTTGAAGCACTTTGTTGAATCGCATTGAAATACCTACTTACATTGCGAGCCGTGTACGAACCTCTCTTGGCCTGGCAGGTTCAAATGTTGCGCTATTCCACGGCTGAACACGCCGAAATAGCATTTCCATGAACCTACTGCAAGTCCTGGAGGGAATATATAAAGCCACCTGGGCACGAAATGGGAGAACAGAGACTGAGGAAGCAACGTACCTCACAACGGACAAACACTATAGATTTGGTCTCTCAAAAACCATCCCAGCCCTCAACAATTTCCATAGGTACAACCTTGGAACTGGTACTCAATAGGGTACACAGTATCGATACTTCCAAGTTGATCTCGGGCTCTGCAGCGTGTAACAAAGCCCGAGAGCTGGCCTGGGATTACGTACAAGTTTGGAAAGTTTTACATATAAGGAGAACTTCCAGGGTTGTTTATCAGCTAGCCACGATCTCTAACACCTTATTATTGTACTCCGTATACGTGAGGACCTACCATACTGGTACAGTATAATCGATGAGCCTGGAACTCTAGAAGGAAAATTCCCGTAATCAACCAGCAGAGATCTGCTCAAGTGTGGATCATGCAAAGTCTGACAGAGCATGGCAAGGACAAAGATCTACTTGAACTTCAAGCATACTACTCCATACGGAGTAGGTAGTTCTCCGTGAGTGCAGGGATACTGCACTCCGGGGTGCCTTCAACGAGTGAAGCGCAGTCATTGCAGATATCAAATCATACAGTAGCCACTCCCCGGGGCCGTACGGTGCAAAGTGGCTGCAGGTACGAAGTGTTCGTACTTTGTTGGATCCACACTGTGATGAGAATGCAGCCCTGGAGCACCACTAGGAGCAACATTGAGCCCTTTAGCCACTGAGGACTTGCATAAGGTCAATCAGATCGGTCTGGAGAAAGTCTCCAGGGGCGAGTTGCACAGGCCTGCTTGACCTTCCTGATCGGGAATCCAGGACGCAGTGACTCTCGCTTCATCGGAGAAGACCCGTGAGCGTAGCCTCTGCTTAGGTCTATAGCCACCGTACACCGTACCTTTATGGAGTATATGGAGTCCTGGTATGGTTATTGAAACAAGACCTGAAGAACAAGATGCAGATCGTCAAGTGCTCGTATACGAGTAATCGATCAGCTCTTCCATTGAAAATGACAACCCGATCCTTTGTAATGGGCCGAGCCGGGCCAACCTTTTGCTTTTTCTGGACATTCCTCAACGACCATCATTGCCTAACTTCAGCAAGCTCGGCACCGGCAGCGTGGAATCTTCGCGACTGTTTCCACTTGGTGAGTGTAGCTGAAACTCAAAAACCTGCCCTGAGATGAGAGCAGAGGAGCATTCAGAGTAAGCAGTGAAATTGGAAGGGAATTGATCCACTTCACTGCACGAGGCGATGTTCGAATATGCAAAAGGGTGGGAACCAGCCCCCGTCTGACATACGAGTAGTTCCGCTTGATCTGACAGTATCAGAACCATATTCGGCACGGTGAACAAGGCACGAGCGCATATCTGCAAGAATGCGCACATTATTTCTTGTACTTTTCCCGTCGAAGCTTGACTTTCACAGGTTCGGCCTGAGGTTTCTCGTCACCATGCAGGATCGCTGATCGCTGGGAAAATATCCGCTTCAGGACACTTAAGTGGGGAGGGCGTTCGAAAGGACTCCAGATCGAATCCTCGCGTCGGGAGTCACATTGCCATTCTGATTGGAAATTTTGGAGGAATCATACGGCTGAAGAGTTTTTTTTTCTTTCCCTTTGTGTGTGACTCTGTATCGTCAACTGTTGCCCGGCCTCCACCTTGATCCTTTCACGGTAACTCAATCCTCCAATATGACCCGAGAAACTCGGCCAAGAAGAGATCGGCAATATGAGTGGGGTTTGTAGGCACGTTCTCCCAGTTTTGTCCAAAGGAGAAAAGCTCAAGCCCCCTCTGAATTAATATATGCTCGTGTAGTTGTCGAACTTCAAATAATTGGGTCATTTGATCGCCGTTGGGGTGCTCCACTGCAACTTTTGCATCCATTTTCTGAGCTGAGTGGGAGGTTATTTCATACACGCCAGTAACGGAGTAACTTTGAAGCTTGTACTTGGAAGCTCAAGCTGAGTTTGGTTGGATGAAGTTAGCTTGACTTGAACCAAAAGTGATACAGTATCAAGCTGACCTGAATCCTCACGAAACAATCGTATGCTACATACTCCATACTCCATACACATACTATGAACAGCAGAGGCTGGTAATTTCGGACAATCGGAAGCAGTGGAGTTAGCAAGATCTGTACTGTGGAGTGTGACGCTGCAGCTTCAAAATTCAGACTGAGGTACGAGTAGCTTGACATCAAGTATTGTAGAAACCAATGATAATTGCAACAATACAGAATAAGTAAACATTCTTAATTACCCGTACAGCTGTCAATGCTAAGCCCACGTGACACATATGTCTTTTCCCGTCAGGAACAAATCGTCAATAGTGTGCTTAAGTGCTCAAGTATACCTCATTCTCAAAAAAAGGGACTCGGTAAAATCCAAATTAATTGAGAAACGCCTCTATCACGGTAGACTGCCGACCCGTGCTCAAGTCCCAAACCTGTCAGATTTCCCCCTTTCATCCCGTCCCAAAGCGCGGGATAGGTGGAGAGTTCATTAATGGCTTTACACTTTGGGCGTCAACTCAAAAACTATTGATCCTTTCAACGGCCGGAAGCACGCGATATAACAAGGTTCCCAATAGTCTACCGTCAGCACCTTCGATAGATCTACCGTTTTGACCTGTTCTCGTTGTCCCGCTTCCAATAGACCGTCTGAGCACGTTCTAGTTCCCTGGTCCCCGTACCCCGTAAGTCATCGGGGATCATTTGCTATTGCCTTTTCTCATAGGCCAGGCTATGTTTCTACTATTCCTCTCCACCCGTCCAACCCCCTGCTCGCGACTAGATTAGGTCAACGACAGGGGTGACAGGGCATGCATTAGTCCATAGATTTTGAGCACGTGAATCCTAGAACAAAGAAATCTGAATCAAATGTTGCGCATACAAAGTGGTTCCCGTTCAAAGATCTAGAGCGTTCACCAAACCGGTATATTCTCGCCTGGAGAACTCACCCGAAACTCTGCGACTGCGGCACAGCCCCTCGGCATAGACAAGAGCCGCTGTGAAATTGTCCAAAGCATAACTATCATAACCTTGAAAATATCCCAAAGTTACATGGACACTGTATTGTAACAGGAAAATAATAAAAATCAAGGGCTCCAGACGAAATAGATTCAATACTCGATCTTGATCTCAGCTATGGAGTATACTCCGTAAAGACGATGACCACATATTGCATCAAGCTCCCCTACGCGTTGTAGATCTTTCATTTGGTTGGAACTACTTAACTACAAATTAACTAATCCACTCCTCTAACCCAGCCCTTTGTCTCTGGGACCGGAATCCTTTCCGCCTACCCTATACTTAATTAAGCTATGGAGTACTCCGTCCTCCGTAAAATCAACCAATTTTGGGCCGGATCCAGCCGCCACACTCGAGAATTGCCCTAATTTGGGATCCCAGACCCCGAATAAAGATATGACAAAGAAAATGCTTCGCGCGTGGCGCCGGACCCCGGTCGGCCTTGCATAGGCTATCCAACACGGGTGTATACAACCGGCGAGGTTTCCAAGGTTCCGTGTCGCTCATTCGAGCCCCGGAATTCGTGACAGGTAGCAATCGTATAACTTGTGGCGTCGTGATACTCGTAGTTACTTAGAAATGGATCAAGGGGCTTGGAGGAGTCTAATCTCTTCACAGATCCTTCCCGCTAACTGCCAGCTAGACCGTTGCGCAGGAACGTGCTAGCCAATTCAGCCGTCTGGATTTACCTTCTGGTGGCTTTCTAGACATTTCGCGGATGCTGTCCCGGGGAGATTCTAAAGTTACCCGTACGAATACCGTTTAGGGCGTGAATTTGCACGAGATTTTCGTTCCTGATGCTAGTTTATTGGGGCTAGAGGGATTGTGGGGACACCTTGTGGATAGGAGTACAGTTCTTTGTTCAGTTGCCCCATATCATAGCCGAGAGCTCCTACTCGCACGTCGATTTTTACACGGTAGCCTAGTGGTTTAGTATTGAATATGTGAAAGTGTAATTGATTTACTTGACTGGCAAATCTCATAGTTCAATCCTGCACTAAGTATGCCATTGACTAAGTTCTGGAAATTGATACATATTTTGGTGGTACTCCCCCTGGAGCCCCTGTAAATGCCAACCTTAAAACTGTACTTAAGTATACGGAGCAGCATATCAGCCCTGAGCCATGGGAGCAAAATCGAGATGCTCAGAACTTCTAAAAGTTGTGCAATTGTCTCACAAATAGTTTATGTTTTGATATTCACAGCTATAGATATTGAACCTTGGAACGAACCTGGAATAACCCCTGGGACCTACTACAGGGCGATTATTCGCTGCTGTTGAGCTTATGTAGAAAGCCACGGGTACGAACCATGGATGACTTTTTCTTTAATTCAATGCTCAAAATCCAGGGTCTCATTGGTTCTCTGGCACTAGTGAACCCTTAATCATTGGAGTCGTGTATACCATTCTCGTACTCCTCGTAGCGTCGGACATTCTGTTGCCGGGAAACCCCCTCCTTGCTCCCTATGACATCATCGTGTCATGAATCCTCCAGCCGAAGCATTAAAAGAGATCTTGGTAGTTGAGATTAGCAGGGGTGTATGGCTTACGGTGTAAAAAGTATAATAAATAAGGTCCACACAGCCAATTATCAAGGTATGATTTCAGCTGAGTACTGATATGTGGCCAATTCGAGATGGGCAAATTAAGTTCACACTAAGTAGAACTAAGCAGAACTATATCGCCCAGTGACCATGGTTGTTGCTCACATCGCGAACATATTGAATAGAAACACCAGTATTGATCCTACTAAAACTCGGTGAGCAAAATTACCAGGCATTACAGCAATCCGTGTGCATATGGAACTGCAGGACAGAGCAACAGACCGACTTATCGAGATCCAGCCCAGAGTTTCTAGTTTTAGGGCGCGATCTTGCAGTTGATGCAGGTACCTGTCTTGGAGGAATATGATTGGAGCTAGCATATGCACCTAATCCTAGTATATCAGCCTCAGCCATCCTTCTCGCCAGAGCTCAAATTCAAGGAGACGACGTTACACGACGTGAACTGAAGACTTGGCTGGCGCGTGTGATAATTGTCGCATTTTCTTTCGCTTTCTAGTAGGGATCTTTACATGCTGCATACACTATAGGATACTTTAAGTACTGGCGGGTGATCGACTAGTGTTGGACCTTATGAGATCTGCTACATAAATATATCCGAGGTCTCAAGTCGCGTGAGTCGCTCGTAGCCCTGGAGCATTTCGTGTACGGTTCCAACCTCCAGGGCCTGGAACCTCTTAAGTTTAGAATCTTTGTAGTTTTGATCTGAATCAACGCCGAGCCTTCGACCTCGGGATAAATCCATGAGTGTCCGTGCCGGAATATGTTCTTTTTTGTAAAAAAAAATGAAAAATGTATCAGTGCTGCCAACGCTAGATACTCTGTACGTATATATTCATGAGATATACTTAGTACTTAAGTACTTAAGTAGTTATTAGCACCTGCTGAAGTCCTTGCCCAGCCCTGGACTTCAGGAGGTCTACTGGTGGCAGCATCAGGGCCCAATCAACAAGATTCTCATATATCAATCCTCAGCTTGTAAAATTCACCTGCACAAAAAAGACTAAATCACTTGCCACGTTCCACTAACTTTCGGAAAGCAACATTGGGTTTGAGCCCAGACTGAATATCCAAGACATCGACTCAGATTTCTAAAGTTCCAGCTTCTTCCCCTGTCTTGTGCCAACTGAAGCTACCAAGAGGCTGAATAAAATGTCTCATCCATGTAAAATGGTTCCCGCCTAGCTAGGTAGTACTTGTTAAGTTTCTACTTTCCTATTACGCACGGAGCTGCAAGCGCCCCTATACTGTAGGAATATGTCGGAGAAAACGTCTGGATAAGTTTCCGAGGATTACTCTCTCACCCTCCAGACTCCTGAAGTCCCTGACACCAGTGTAATTCACAGAAACATAGCCCGTGGGTATCGCGCTATCGCCATAACCGATCCAGGCCAAGTTTCGTCGACTCCTACCAAATCAGGAACTTGGCCGTACTTGTCGACATGAGTGGATCATGAAGTACGAGTATCCGTGACGAGCTGTAGACTTCCAAGGTCAAGTGTTTCTGACGATCTCTTGTCAAACTGACCGAGCCTGCAGCACAATGGATCTTGCACAAAGTCCTTTGGGAGAATGGCCGTGCATGCCCCACTACTTGGGCACGAGCGCGGGACGTGATCTGCTTGTGTGCCATGCAGCTCACTTGAGCACGAGTCAACTGAAGTTGATAGGCAGGGCAAGGCGCTAAATTAGCTTATATGTACTCCGTACTGATATCCCGAGTCCAAGCAAACACTTGGATGATCTTACTCCGTCAAGTTATCGCATAGCTTACGGTCTTTACTCCAGAGTCCACAATTGCACGGGATATCAAAGCGTTTCAAGTTTGAACCCCACTACACTAATATTTGAGCTCGAATCCAGCTATATACTCCACACGACCGTAATAAATTCCATCAGATAGAGTGATATGAAACCTGGCCCAAGCACCTGTCGCCCACGGTTCGAATATACCCGGCACGGACATTCTGCCAATTCAAGATTTAGCTTGCAGATCCTATTTAGCACTTTATGGATGCTCACCCGCTCCGATGTGATAAGGCGGAGGGGGCTTGCATTGAATCTCACAACAACCATTGGACCAGGGCGTTCATGGTTTTTATTTTATTGATTGCCTTACGAGCTGGGGCTCGGCATTGGTCAATTGAAGCTGGTTTGGCTGACATACATTAGTTACCCACTAGCACTGGACTAAGTAGTTTTAAGGCAACAGTTCCAGAACATGTGACGGCTGAGCAATGCACGCGTAGGAGAAATAAGTATGCGTTTTTTTGCATTGAAATCCCGACCGGAAACTGCAGAATCTCACTCAGGCGATGCATTTCTGCGAGACTGTTGGTTGATGGAGAACGTGCGAATGACGAGAATAGCTACTATGGAGTCCGTTGTTTGTAATACGTTGCATGCATTCTGGGCATATTCATCTCTAAATTGGTACTCCGTACTGGCCTCTAGTCTAGACTGCGATCGTGGGAGTAACCCCAATATCCACAAGCTTCATTTTTGCGCCATGATCCAGTATGGCCTCGCCACCAAAGATTTCTAAGGTTACAAATTGATATTGTTTTTTTTTTTTTGGAGACAGTTTGAAAATTTTATAGAGTACTATACGAGTAGTACCGACTGAATCCTCGTAGATGTATGCAATACTCGTAGGCCATTGAGCCAAGATTCTAATCTGGTTCCTGGGCAAAAGTACATAAAAATTTTCATCCGGTAAGACACACCCGCGTTTCCCCTTGCTATTATTACTTCAGACCTTGCGAAGTACGTGCTCCGTACTTCGTAGGTCCCATTCAAACCTGCATTCCGGACATCAATGCCTCACTATGCAGGCCTCGTGTCTGTGTTTGCGTTGAAATGACAGTTTTGACGCGTTTGTGGATCCTGTTTGCCAACGCGAACCTGTTCCCTTGGCTGCCCCACGCGGGAAAAAAAAGGAACGAAATGGAGGGGAACTCGGTACAGGTCAGTCTGGTTGACAATGGAGACCGGGGGGTAGGACAGGGGGGAAATCCCGAAGTAACTTGGGAAATGGTAATCTACCCTACTGTAGGTACCGAGGAAGAGTGTGAATCACAGGACGATCAGCCCGAACGGCCATTAAAAAGACCAAGACGTCGGGCTGTCATCTAACCCGGCTACTGGTTACTGCGGCGTCGATCCCCGTCGCATTCATGACAGGTGAAAAAAAAGACCGTTTTATCTTCTATGGAGTTCGGAGTATGATGGATCGAGTCCCCGTATGGGCTTTGGCACACGGTCAATGCATTAAGACATGGCCTGATTAACCCCACAGAATGTATTTCGGCGTAATGATATGATTGGTCTGAAGGCAGAAGTGGTTTTCAAATATTAACAAATTAGAATAGAGCATTTTCATGCGTTTAGACAGTTTTAGTGAGAGGTCTGGAACGAAGAGCGTTCGGCAGATGCAAGGTGGGTGTGCTAGAACCAAGGAAGTACTTGAAATTCGTGTACCTTTTAGCCTTGTCAATGGTACCGAGGGTACCTTCTTGGTCAGTACTAGTGGTAGGTGCGTTTAGCCTGTATGATGGCACACAGGCCAATTGCTCGGGAGATGGCATTTTCCTCCCCCCCTTTCCGTTTATCTTGTTTCTCCATTTCTTTTTTTTTTTCGGCTCTTAACTTATGACTCCAAATAACATGTGTGCCATAAGAAACAGATGATCTACGGGGTAGAATGAGGAGCAATGAAGTATAAGGCCTAGTGAGCAATTAAAGTAGTTAGACCCCAAAAGCAAAAAGAAAAAGAAAAGAAAAAGAAAATAAAGGCCTCAAAATAATAAATATCAATAAGTACAAAAAAGGGAATCTAATAAAATAAAAAGAATAATCCGTATTGAACCCGTCACATTAGATCATAAGTACCCATACAGGCCCAGTACACAGTGGAGCTTGGATCGTCCCCGATCGAGTCCCCCAAGGATTTGGAGCTATTATTATTCCTTGAGAATCCCTCTTTCTCCTCTTCAGTTTACTTATTCTCTTTGCTCTTTGCTTTTCTAGACGAGTGTACGAGTATATCATACTACGGATTATATTGCTGCCGGTGGCAATTGTGCAAAACAAAAAGCTATACTTAACATTTCTTACTATCCCTTCGGCCCTTGCGTGTGTCCAAGGAACTTTCTTTTCGTCACTGTCATTTCGCGGACCTTTACACAGTCCTTGCTGCGATCTTCGATAGCGCACACCTGTTTCCAATCTCCAAAGCACCGTGACATTGGGAGATTGCCCCCAAGACGCACGTTGATACCTCCTCATCCCTATATTGGTTTAGGGTTAATCTGCGACTCATCCCTCCGGCTGGACCTTGGATGCACTCAACTCCTCGAAAGGAAGTTTGTTTGGACTTGTTTATAGTTTGATTACTCTTGATTACTCGATGTGGTCGTGTATGTGTCTCTTAATCGCCCCTCTCCTGGCATTCCAAGTCACCCCCGGTCTCCTTGGAACCTGCGCATTCCAATCCCTATACGCTCTATACTGTCCTTTAGCCCTTGAGAGCCCCCAATTGACCTAGATTTTGTAGGATCAACCCCAGCCTTCGGTGATCTGTTCCCCTCCTTCATTCAACGACACACTCGCTCTTTCGATATCGACTTGGATTCAATCATGACCATTGCATCCATCGAATAAACATCTACGCCCAATGACCTCAGTGGCTTACAACATATACCCATCAACTATACACACGAGAGATGGAATCAATGAAGCGACATATTCCCCCGTTAAACATATCGAAATCCAACTCCAATCTACAGGAATCCACCGATCACAGCAACCTACAGAGCCGATTCTATTCCACCTGGGGCTCGTCTGAGATGACGCCTCCGTTAACACCACAAACACAAGAGACAAATATGGATCAACTGGAAGCACCGAGGCCTGTCTTCCACAACTACTTGCGAGCGTTCTATCCTTTTCACCCGGCCGGCAATGTCTCTCCGTCCACCGTTACTCTGCCCCTGGACCAGGGCGACATCATCTTGGTCCACTCCGTTCACACCAATGGCTGGGCCGATGGTACCTTATTAGATTCCGGGAATCGAGGCTGGCTCCCCACCAATTACTGCGAAGCATACGACCAATTGCCTATGCGTCCCTTGTTGAAGGCCTTGACCGATTTCTGGGACATCATTCGAGGAGGATGCGGGTCATCATTAAAAGATTTTGGAAACCAGGACCTCATGAGAGGTCCCATCGCTGGCGTCCGTTTCCTGCTGGTAAGTGTGAATGACCAGAGAAATATACCACAGGGCTTATAATTGCACAGGAAAAATCCGAATGCCTGACAAGGGAGTCTCTCCTGGTCAGGAAATACGATGGACTGCGCAGAATCCGCAAAGCTTTGCTGTCTGATCTTTCTTCGTTGGTGAAAACCGCGAAGAAGTTCCAAGAAGTGGCTAATGGCAACCCGTCGGAAGACGAGGTCGAGCACATCTTGGATGAGATGCTGCTCAAGGCTTTCAAAATTGTTACTCGTGGAGTTCGGTTCCTCGACGTATGGAACGAAGAGGTGGGCCTTAGCAGGACTATTGCCGGGATGGATGGGCCAGCCGACAGCCAGTATGATCTGCCGCCGACTCCTGCATCCGAGACCTTCAACATTGGCGAGAACGACTGCCCCGAACGAAACGAGTCCCGTATGTTGGAATCACGACAGATGGAATCGAGGCAAACAACCCGGAGCCGCATGGATATGAGCCGATTATCGATGCGCACCGATATGATGGACCAACCGCCCAGACCGGTCTCTGTCTCCGCCAAGAGAATATCTGTCTCGCATCGCATGTCTGTGTCTGGTCCCTCGGCTGCTATCTGTGCCCAGAACTTGGCATCCGAGCGTCTTGGCACAACATATGATGGGTTCTTGGGCGTGCTCGGCTCGTTCATTGGGCTTCACATGCAGTCTCGGTCCTCGACTGAGCTCGTTGTCACCACCAAACAGGCTGTTGAGTCTTGCAAAGCTTTCCTGAATGTTGTCGAGGCTGTATGCGAGCATGACACTCATCGTAGCGTGCTGCTAGACCAGGCTCGTGAGTCGATGTGCGAGAGGCTGTCGGACCTCGTTCACGCCGCACGCGACGTGTTCCGACCTGCCCACCTCCCAGAAGATGATATGGTATTCATGCCGGATGAGGGCAAGCAACTTGTCGAAGCTGCGACACACTGTGTTCGCGCTGCTGGCAACTGTTTGGCGAAGGCACGTTTGGTGTTGGAGCAAATTGGAGACATGGAGCTTGAGCCTGAGAATGAAAATGAGGGAGATCAAGAACCTCCTTCGGATCAGTCCGAGACTCCAGTCGCAGAATATGAACGTCGACTTCCCCCTCCTCCCCTCCAAATTCCTAGCACCACCTACTCCCCGCCAACCCCCGCCCTCACCGATGCCACAACACCTTCTTCCTTCCAATCTCACATCGCCAACTCTCCCGCCAACCTTTCTGCCATTTCATCTCTTCCCAATTCTGCTGTTCTTCCTACCCACCTGGAGAACGTTTCGTCCTTCTCTTCCACCGAAAGTGGTTACCGCGAATCTCACAAATCCGACATGGGTGAGTCCTTTGGACGTGGCATCACCTCCAACGGTAGCAGCTTCACCTATCACAGCCACACCCGCGACTCGGAGATGAGCGGTCTTTCGCAAACCTCGACCCGGGCTACCTCCCCTGATATCGGGGGTAGCTTCCAGGGTAGCTATAATGTTCCCTCGTTGAAGGAGAGTGTCAGCTACTCAACCCTTGCAGAGGAGAATGAAGAGACGGAGGCCAACATTCTGGAGAAGACATACGCACATGAGCTGATCTACAAGGAGGGCGCGGTGATGGGTGGTAGCCTCCGTGCTCTCATCGAGAAATTGACTGCTCATCAGTCGACACCGGACGCCATGTTTGTGTCAACCTTTTACCTCACTTTCCGCCTCTTCGCCAGCCCCCTCGAGTTCGCCGAAGCCCTTGCTGCTCGGTTCGAGTACATCGGCGATACCCCTCACGCCGCTGGCCCCGTCCGTCTCCGTGTCTACAACATCTTCAAGGGTTGGCTGGAGTCTCACTGGCGCCATGATAGGGACAACATCGCCCTGGAGTTCATTGTCACCTTTGCCAAGACGAAGCTCGCAGCGGATCTTCCCACTGCTGGTAAGCGGCTGCTTGACTTGGCAGACAAGGTGTCAGCTGTGGGTGGTCCCGTCGTCCCTCGGTTGGTCTCTTCAATGGGCAAGACCAATACTTCCATCGCCCAATACATCCACCCTGATACCCCTCTACCTCCTCCAATCCTTGGCAAGAAGGAGCACAACCTGCTGAAGCAATGGAAGAACAACGAGGCATCCATCACCATCCTGGACTTCGACCCACTTGAGCTCGCCCGTCAGCTGACAATCAAGGAGTCGCGTATTTTCTGCGCCATCCTACCGGAAGAGCTCCTTGACACTGAATGGAACCGGAAGACCGGCTCCTTGGCTGTGAATGTCCGCGCCATGTCGACTCTCTCAACAGACCTTTCCCACCTCGTTGCTGACTCAATATTGTATCTTGAGGAGCCTAAGAAGCGTGCGACCACCATCAAGCACTGGGTCAAGATCGCCAGCAAGTGTCTGGAGTTGAACAACTATGACTCCCTCATGGCCATCATTTGTTCCTTGAACCTGTCGATGATCTCCCGCTTGAAGAAGACCTGGGACATTGTCTCTCAAAAGACCAAGGTTGCTCTCGAGCACCTTCGTGGTATCGTTGATGTCTCTCGCAACTACGCGGTCCTCCGTCAGCGCTTGCAAAACCACGTGCCCCCTTGCCTTCCCTTCGTTGGCACATACCTTACCGATCTTACATTTGTCGACCACGGCAACCAGTCTCTGCGCACCCTCTGCACCGACGAGAGTGAGATGGACGTGATCAACTTCGACAAACACATGAAGACAGCACGCATCATCAGCGAACTCCAGCGGTTCCAGATCCCCTACCGTCTCACCGAAGTTCCCGAGCTCCAAGCATGGATGCAGAACGAACTTGTGCGCGTGCGCTCAAATGGCGACGATACCACCACCCAACTCTTCTACCGCCGCTCCTTGGTTCTCGAACCCAGAGAGCAATCCCGCAGTGCAACCACCTTGCAATCCCAAGACTCCAACCCTCCCTCTATTCTCGACAACGCAAAGGATAAATTTGACTTCCTTTCCTGGACCAACCAAGGCAAAGTAAAGTCTGTTCCTACACATGGTTAAACCACGACAGTGCCTCCATCACTCAATTTATGACTCACGACTTCATCTCACATCATTACCACCTACTTTCCAACCATGTTCTACTATGCTCTTCTTCTCATTTGCGTGTGAATATCCCACTTTTACCATCTTACCTATTTACCTCTTCACCTCTTCACCTCTATCTCTTTTATTCCTGGGCGGCGCCTTTTATCTTTTTTTATTACGCCATATCTCATTCGAAAAAGCGTTCGAGAAAGCGTTCGAAAAGCGGCTACGTTTGAAATGAGGTGCTTCGGATACATGGAGTTTACCAATGGCCTTGCTTTATTTTTGTGTTTAATATTTTGCCTGGTTTTACGGTGGGTTGGGGAAACGGACTGGGAAAACGGTTATTCCCTATTATCTGGCTCATGTAATTAGACAGGATTCGTTGCCTCAAGGCTTCTGTACAGGCGTGGCTTTTCAAGCTGCTTGCAATGCAATGCATTTTGACTTCAATTTATCCTTCCCTCCTAGTAACTTGCCTTCAATATCGGCATTATGATGGGTCTGAGCAAAATCATTCTGGATTAAAGGTTAGATCTAGAGATATCGATTACAGATTTTGCCTATATGGAAAAGAGTACTCAAGAGAGTATTCAAAAGACCGAAAAATGAGTAGAAAAAAACTAACTCCATACACAGAACCTAGAAGTATTAAAAAAGTCAACCAGTCAAAAAGCCCATTGCTCTCTCAAATCCCGATCGAGCTCAAGATCAACACACCACAGACAAGCCTCATTCACAGGAATCAACTGCCCGGTTATCCAGCGCGAAGTATCAGACACCAAAAACGCAATAACAGGCACAAGATCAGTCTCAGCATTTCCAAAATTGCCCTCCAGACAAACACGATCATTCATATAATGATCATGCCCAGCAACACTCTCTTCCTGAAGACCCCTGGGATAATCCTCAATCATTGGCGTCCAAACAGCAGGCAGCACAGCATGAGCACGAACCCCATATTCCCCCCACTCCCGCGCAATAGACCTTACAAAACTCTGCACAGCACCCGTCGAAGCAGCATAGTGCGCAAGCAAAAGCAACGGCTCAGCCGCAACATCTGAGCCGAATTGGATAATCGTCCCGCCCCTTGTCTTCATGTATGGAAAGACAGCCTGGCTCATGAAAATAGCACTTTTGATATTAACAAGCATACGGTCTAGTCCAACCTCGCTGATATCCTCCGCTACATCTTGGTGAATATGGCCCGCGGCATGACTCAGACTATCCAGTCCCCCCCAGGAACCGGACGCCTGCCTCAACGCCAGCAATGCATTCTTCCTTGGAGCTGACGTCGAGGTAGAGATACATGATTCGGGAATTAGGGTTGGAGGAGATTCGTGAGACTAGACTTTGGCCTACTTCGTCTTGGATATCGCTTGGTACTAGGTTCACGCCGTGGCGAATACTTCGGCTGTTGCTCTGCCGATTCCTGAGGCGCAGCCGGTTATCAGGACGCGTTTACCGGCTATTGAGGGGATGATGTGATATCCTGTCTCTTGGGATAGAGATTCCCCGTGTAGTGTTTTGGGACACGGTTTTATCTTGGGATTGTGGATGGGCTATGAATTGGAAGCTTGAAGTATGCCGTTCTCCCGCTTATTGAACCGCTTTCTATAGAGATTCTACGGAAATATGAGTACAACATGGCATTCACTCACTCATGGCAGTTTGAAATCTGTTTGGATCATGCCCCGAATCTGGGCTGCATCAAGTGTAGCCATGGGAGCGCTGAAATGCTCGACCAGGATGTTGGACTTAAATACCACGCTCCATTTACAAGTCCAATATGACTCAAACAGTATTCTTGAGCAAACCCACACTTCCAATCCCAGCACTCTGTTATCCGCAGTCGATTCATGGATGTAGGACAATTTACCACCTGGGCAACGCCATACGGAGTACTCCGTAGAGTGACACTAGTTTCTACTCGTAGATGTATCATCTTACCAATGCTAGATATTTGCATTAAAGTTTCCCATAAGAAAGGTATGTGCACATACTCGTATCTGGCAAGATCAGCATGGTTTGGTGATATAGATAATCGAATCATGTTACAAGCTCCCGTCAGCTAAGGTTAAACTGTTAGCCAAAGTGTCAATTCGTTCACTATTTCTCTTAGTGGCCGATCCCTGCATAAGCCACTTTCTGCCTTGTGAACGATCTGATGTACAAGCTTCCATAGGCAAGGGATGAATTCATCAATTACAATTCCTAAATGCAAATAAGTTCATATATACGGGTTACTCTGTATACGAGTAATATACGAAGAGACAGACCGCCGTGAGCAAACTGTTATATTAGAGAAATGCAGCTGCCTTTGGGCGTCAAACTTATGCAGGCTGTAAAGTAGTTGTAATACGCCGTGCATGATCTGTTTTAATACAAGCTTATGCAGTCTAAGGAACCACTTTTATATGCAAAGCAACCCTGGAATACGCTAGAGATGCATCTCGCTACAGGAAACCTGATCATGTCGGCTGTCATGCTCGCCTTTGTATTGAATTTCTCCACTGTCCTCCGTTCTCCGTATTGGTGCTGCAGTTATAACTCCGTTCCATGTAAGATCGGTGGGGTGGAGATGATGCATCACATTGCAAATTCAAAACTGGGTCTTCGATCCTCGATCGAGAATGCGGCAGTGCACAGCGGCCCAACTTCATTTATAATTTTTACTATAGATATTTGTCGCTTTGCTTGTCTACATACAATAATTCTGGATTAAAGGTTAGATCTAGAGATGTTGATTATAGAATTTGCCTATATCGAAGAGGGCATTCAAAAGAGTATTTGAACGACAGAGAAAAAGAGAAGAAAAAGAATTTACACAGAACCTAGAAGTATTAAACCTGGCAAGGTCATATCTTAGAAAGCAGTAAGATTCGAGAAAGAGTCTACCCGGTAAAGTCGTGGATTTCATCTGGAAAGAGGTACATGAATCAAGACCAATAGACCCTTCGACGAGCCGAATAATGGTCCGAGTCATGGGACCAGGCACAGACATCCCCCTATAGCCATCGAATGTTCCTGCATTATGCAATAGACCATGTGCAAGCTCCATTTATGTATATGATATCCAATTTATGCGATATAGCTGGCGCGAAACGCCTCCATGTAATCCAATTCGTGATCGTCCGCAGATTCCAAGCCTTCCAGATCCAATGGTAATGAAACATGGGTGTCAGGAACAGACCGCAAGTCGAGGATAGGAACCATGGAGGGACGTCCGTGGGCACACTGGAACGGAAATGCACAACGGGCGAGACGAGAAAGCAGAGCCCGGCATTCCCCAATGTCCAATGAATCATTAAACATGATGGCAGTGCGACATGCACGAGAATTAAGAAGGTCAACAATGCCCTGGGGACATCCGTTCATTTTTTGAACCCAGGAGTGCGAGGCAGATGTGTTTGTGGGCTGTCTGTCTGCTGAATCAATGTCAAGGGATTCAAATGTTCGATCTTCGCTCTCAGACCCAAGACTTGGCTTTGCCTGGAATGAGGACCCTCCAACTTCTTCGCTCGACCATATCTCTCGCCTCATCAAATCAACCAACACTTGTGGTTCAGTCCGACATCGCTCAGCTATGAGCACGGGTAGCGTGTGGAAGGTGACCAAAGTGTACGAATTCTTGGCCTCCGTATCGTAGTGAACTCCCCAGGATGCGAATTTGGCTGTATATCTGTTGAAGAGACGGCCCTCTGTCCCAGAAACTTGGAACTCGAGAAAGACTTGTACAGTTCGGACTCTGCCTTCCGGGGTAATCGTCTCATCAGGTGGCAGGAACATCTCTTCGAAGAGTTGCTCGATTCTACATCGCTCATCAGCGGCATGCTGATCAATAAAAAGCAAGAGGCTTTCAGAAGTTCCATTTTCGCAAACCTTCATGGCAGTTGTGGGAACCTTGGCTAGTATAAACTTCTTGTCGACTTGAGCAATGACTTCAGCAGCCTCAAGTCCACGACGTTGAAGCTTACCCCGGTATTTAGCGACCTGTGCCGCGTCTAAAGATCCAATTCCCTTGAAGCAGTCATGGGAAGGCGCCAAATCATGTTGAGGTACAGTCTCGGTGCCTAGATTCAATATCGGAGCTTCCATTCGGCTGAACGAAGGGTTGCTCCATGATTCCAGTAAGCTTTGTATCCAGAGGCCGTGGGCCGAATCCTGAGCAGTATCATCTGGGGTGTTCAAATGAGAGCTTCGTGTAGCCAGTGATTTCCTGGAGTTCATTGTTTGGCCAGTCCGGGGGTTAATGAGATAGGCCAATTTCGTGTGCGGGTCTATCCAGGTAATCATTTCACCAGGTGATAGTGCAGAACCTGTATCTCCAGACAGATTTGCAGTTTTGGTTTCAGTGCCGTCGAGATTTGATGTATTGGATGGTACGGGTGCGGACCTGGGTTCTGGGTGGTGATTTAGGACCCCGGGGCCGCTCTGAGTACGGGTAGGCAGGGAGACTTCACCCTGGATTTGATTACCAGGGCTAGTGACCGACCGCCGAGGGCGATGGATGACTGGCTGTGCTTCTGGCGGTTTGGCTGCCTTGACCCTGGACCAATTTGTGAAATCCTGACCATGGTCGATAGCCTGTAACCTGGCAAAGGATGGGATTTTGAAATGACCACTGAGAGCCTCATCGGCACTTGAAGCAGAACGGCACTGCTTTGGATTGACCCCAAGGCTTTGAATTGAACATGAACCCTTGGAACGTATGCTCCGACTTCGATCTGATGATAGGGTTTGCTGCTTGCCGCTGCGAGGACGCATATCATGTTGCTTTAGAAATTCACGAATCATGACCCCAAGCACGTCAAGGATTCGTTGAATTGACTTGTCTGATTCTGGCAAATGTCCACTGTCATCATTCCCACTAAGCCGCAGAGCATCGCTTGTGTCAATGCGAATGTAGAACATTGGCCATTTGTTGATGGGCTTTGTCCAGCTTCGGACACTTTCATTACTTTGCGCTTTGTTTGTATCAACTGGGTGGTTTATGTGACGAGAAGAGGCGTCCGAGGGGAGTATGTCAAAACTCCCAAAATCAGACAAGGAAAAGAGACGGTTGATCTCATTGTATACAATGTTCGAACCATTGCGCGACACCAATGGTTCTTTTCCCAACGAAATAAATTGCATCTTTCGACTCGGACTAGCTTGTAGTGATACTGCAGCCCGCACTGTGAGATCAGGGACTGATGCCGATAGTTCGTGCCAGTATTTCCAGGCATGAGGACCGATGAGCCCGCATTGGTTGAGAATTGACCCAATGCGCCTGAAATCGAAGGCATCGCCACCAATAGTTGGGTTTGCTGGCGGAGAAGACGTACTAGGCCGAATGGATATTCGTTTACTCTTCTCCGTGTCCAAGAGTACCAGCCTTGAGACTTGGGAGTTGGCTAAAACGAGGGACACGAGAATGTTTCTCAAATTATCCCACTCCCGGTCTATCTCACCTGCCTTCCGAAGACTGATTGCGCGGTTTTTGACTCGAACCGGCATATTTCCAAAAAGGTCATTCACGGTCACTGCAGTGCCATGGCTGGCAGATCGAAGTGCATGGTGTGGCGGTGCAGGGATCAGTCGTGCTATTGGCTGTGAATGATGAAAAATCATGGAATTTGTAGCCTCATGTGCAGCGTGATGGGATGTCAGAGTAAGTAGAGACAAGGCGGCCAAAGATGCCAAGAACAAGCCACGATGGCCATACGAGTCTTTGTGCTCGAATTTGGATGTATCTGGTGCAGATGTTAGCAGGTAAATAGAAAGCTCCTGAATCTCCAATACTCACGGTGAGGCTTTCCAAGTCCTCCCGTTGTCTCAAACTCATTCGGGGCAATGCCATCGCCATCATCCTCGACTATACAACCACCCCGTCGAAAATCGACAGTGACAAAAACCGTATGTGCATTTCCATCCAAAGCATTTTTAACCAACTCCACAATCACACCGGCTAAATCAATGACAGATGTGGAGGACTTCAGCTTTGCAATCACATCAGATGGTAGCGCTTGTATTGATTGAGCAAGAGGCATGGATGAAAGTAGTGTCAGACATAGACAAGTCAAAAGTGCTAGGCAGCATCCAGCGACGCATGTAGGATCATTTTTCAAACAATTTTCACAATCACAGTTGAAATCATCGCATCAAAAGAAGCAAGTTGAAGTAAAAGAGGCAAGCACATGACGTGCACGGATAAATAGTGGCGCCGTCCCTCGGCGCGCATCTCAACCGCTTTGATCCCTTGTCTTTAACCTTTCGCAAGCCAGAGTGGGTTGTAACGCCTCTTCAAATGGCTACCACTCAGGGTCCTGCTGGGGTGCATGGTAAGTGCAGTTCACAACCCCCGCTTCACTTGTGAACCCGACCGCTAACACATGTAAACACAGACCGCAATGGAAGACGCCGTCCATTTTCGAGTTGGATGAGGCGACTAGCAAGCCTAAAGAACTCTGACTCAACTTCAAATCGATGGTCTCATAAGCGCTCTACCGGTACCAAGGGTAAGAAAGGCGACCAGGCCAATAACCCATATCCACTATCGGGCACGATCAATCGTCACACAGGAAGTCAGACACCGACCGAGTCATACACAGATGATCATTATGGTGATGACTCCCACTCGAGAAGTGATCCATCTCTGGTATCTTCGGGATATGAAAACCCCACCCCCTTGACAAATGCAAAGTCCGCCGCGCCGACCATCTCCACGAACGGTGATGCCGGGTATTCTGAGGCCACATATTCCAAGGCAGGGACCCTGACAACTGGCACAGAGGGATTCAGCACACACGGAGGAGGAGAAGGCAGCACATTTTCGTCGCCCGCACCTTCGGTTCGTTCGTTGGCCACTACCCTGACGACCGTGCACTCAGCAGCACCCTCAACCCAGTTGTACAATGCACAGAACGGCCATGGACACCACGGGAACTCCAACCAGACCTCTACAAACCAAGCCGTTCATTTCAGCCATCAATTTCCTCCAAACTCGTCTCCGGCCACCGCAGTCCCCCAACACCTAGTCTCTCAGACCCACGGCATGACCTACAGCACAGCGACCGCCAACAACGCCTTGAACGATAACGCTTCTGTGCTGACTCTGGCAAGTTCATCTAAACGTCGTCGCCGCAATTCCTTGGACACCAATGCATCAGTCCGCGGCCTGGCCCCGTCCTCGGTATTCGGTGGCAGCCGTGAGAGTTTACCACTGAGTGTGTTGAGTGGAAATACAAATGAACAATCCAACGCCTCTATCTTCAACGCGCCTGGTGTATTGAATCGACCCAGCATCGTCGGTCTTGCTAGCGCCGAGCGCATTAGCGTCTACTCGTCTACCGGAGCAACACCTCTCACAACCACCAATGCAGAGCGGGGCAGCTTGTACGCCAAACAAACCACTGGGGACACAGCAAGCATCCGCAGTGGAGTACAATCCCACAATCGAAACGATAGCTCCGCCGCAAGTGTTGCAGGGGTGGTGACCAGTCCTCTAGCCATGACCGGTCGCATGAGCCGGAGGAGCTCTGGTTGGGGAGAAATCACTGGCGAGGAAGACGAAGACAACACTGATGACAAGCTCGGCGAGAAGATAGAAGAAGGCGAAGAGATGAACAAGCACGAAGCCAGTTCTCTCAATGAGACGCCGAAGAAATAATTGCGCCTGGCACCTTGCAGATATTCGAGTGAATAGCAAGGTTGGCGAGGTGTGAATGAAGTTACGCATGGAATTTGGAAGTATGAGCGAAATAACAGCGATTCTCTTTACATAATGACTTGATGCATGGAACCCGTGGACTTGAGGTTGTTATTCTTAATGGTATGGTGGCGTTTTCTAGGCTGGGACTTGATACCCTATGTGGTATGGACAAACTTGTTTTTACTTCACGAATACATCTTTTCTGCTTATACCTGGGCATTTTCAGTCTGTTCTTTATGCCATGCATTCATGGATGTATCTGCTCTGGGCCATCGTGATATTTGCATGCCGGCCTCGACCCAGATATAGCATATCATCGGCGTCGAATAATCTTCGGCATATCATACTGCTTTGGCATATCATACTGATGTACTTCGTACAAACCAGGAGTTATGGTCCACCCATGACACTGGTCTAGAACTGAATATACGTTGGACATCAGTAACGGCTTGCAAATTTCATGCTGAGAATCTAGCCCTAAGCTGTGTCAAAAGCGCCATGTGACTGTTGCAAGACAGGAGAGTGTAATTGGGATGCTGGACCAAATACCCCTAGACAATCTACCCTGGTAAATGAGACCAGGCTATTATGATGACAGAGATAACAATTGTACATGGACATTAGGAGAGATGCTCAGACCTTTGCAAAGATCTTAACTTTACCCGATTGTCGGCATGTCACCCCGCAGTTTCCTCTTAGCTTTCACCTCACCATCATGCTGAATGTTCGCACTGACTCCCTGTCGTCGGATCGCGATATCGCAGTCAAAGGTAGGTTTTTCTGCCATTCATATCCCGGCTTCATCTCAATATTCCAGACTGTTGCCAGTGCACCAAGCGACGCATCAAATGTGACCGGAGTATCCCGAGTTGTCGAAAATGCACCATCAGAGGATTCCAGTGTCCTGGGTACAATGATTTTCAGCTCAAATGGACTCACGGCAGATCATCCAGAGGACCAAAATCCAAAGCCCTGAGAAACCATGATCAACCACAATCGGCTGCATCCAAGCACGAGCGTGACTCCTCGATTACAGAATCCCGCCTGGAAGACGATTGCCAATTGACGGGCAGATCTCAGCCTGGATCTATATCATCGATCGAAGATCCAGCCACAGATCGCTGTCTAGTAGATGGCTATACATGGACTACTCTGTCTGACACGCTTTTGATCCATTTCAGCTGCCATGTCGCTCCTCGATTGACCTGGGTTGACCGACCGGATCATCCATGGCGAACGGTCATTTCGCCACTTGCAAGTCAGAATAATTGCTTACGCCTCTCAGTTCTGAGCCTTGCCGCTGCTCATTTAGCGGTCACATCACCAACCGGCTCTACGTCAGACAATGTTCAAGTCCTCAGTCGTCGCCTTCGGGATTCAAGTGTCCATATACTCAACAGAAAGATTGGCCTTGAACTAGCAGGTTATTCTTCAGCTACCGAAAATCCTCTGCACAATCTGATGGAGATAATGGCAACGGCGCTTGTGCTATGCTATGGAGAAATGATGATACCTAACTCCACTGACTGGGGCATCCATCTTTATGCCTGTCGGACCCTGATCAGAAGATCTATCTGGAGCACCCAACCTGAAAAGCATTCACCAAGAAAGCACTCCGATGCCATAGACTTTGTTGTGAAAGAAGTCGCAGATATAGAAGTCTTCCGCAACATGGGTGCTTTTGCAAGTGACCAGATATTTATCGCCAATACGTTGCACCCTGAAACAGCCATTGATGGCTACTTCAAAACATTCATGGGTGTCTTTCGTGAGATCACGTCCGAGGAAAGACGCAGACAGCATCTACGGCGAATAGGCCAGCGCATTCCCACGATCGATATGGCCGTCTGGTTGACAAAGGCTAGTGATGCCTACACACGCGCTTATTATGACACGGCGTGGCTCTCGGCTATACACGAAGATGATTCTCGCAGGTACATGGAAGCCACCATCCGGGCTGTCTATCATGCTGTATGCATTTACAGTCACCAAGCCTTAGCATCGGATTCCGGGAATCGAGCGCAAATCGAACGCTCTGTCTCATTACTAGAGCTAGAGATTGAGTTCCTAACCACGGGGTCAGCTCATATGTTCTCACATGATATATTCGTGCCTCTGTTCATCCTAGGCACAGAGTGCCGGGGGAATCAGATGAAACAGGATCAAATCGAATGGCAGTTTAGAAAGCTTTTGTCGTCAACTGGGATTTGGTGCAATTCGACTGCACTTCAATTTCTCGGGGGGTTTTGGGCAGCCTCTGGCCTTCAATATGTCAATTGGATTCAATATGCTCGGGAAAATGAACAGCACAACGGGCCATTTTTGGTTTTTTGAATCATCTCTTTGGATATGCATCCATGGATGCTCTTGCAGGCCTGGCTATACCGATTCAGCCAGACAATTATTCTGGCTCATACGAGTCTGTGTATTTAGCTTATTATAATGTGTCGGTTTTGGGGACTCATATTTGAAGGACTTATGCGCATTCTGACTAAGCGTATAATTCAGCCCGGAGGAACCGATGGAGAGTCTGGGGTTGTCTCGGGCGTAAACTCAACCTCTCCTCTACCTTCAAAAGAAAAGCCCCCAAGTGGGAAGTGTTCAGATTGGCAGCTTTTGACACTTCCATTACTAGAAAGGGATATCTTGCATTCTATAAGATGTGCATGCACTCTTTTCGGACTAGGCAACCGAGTTGATCCTATCAATTGATGACCCAGCTTTCCACCGGGACAAGTTCATTCCGCGCTGTGACCCGCAGGCCCCATTGTGGCTGCCAGAGTACTTAGGTATTTCGGTGGAAATTTGAAAAATGGTGTATGGGGGCAAGCCGAGCACCGGATGTTACCTTTGTCGTAAGCGGAAGATCAAGGTAAGTTCTTCAATTTTAGTCTAGCCCTGCTCTATTCCTGAAGTCGTTGATCTGCTTGCTTCTTCTTTTCTTTTCCTTTTCCTATGTTCTTTTGTTGTTCTTGGTAATTGCGTTCTCACAGAGACAATGCTGAAATACCCTTCAGTGCGATGAAGCGCACCCCGAGTGTCGGAATTGCAAAATATATGGCCGACCATGTCCAGGCTACCGACCTGATGCAGTCTTCCGCAATGAAACCCAGAAGGTAGAGCGACTAGTGAAGAACAGTGGAAGTGCGAGCAGTGCAAGTGGGAGTGCACAAAGCACACCTACTTCGGCTACTTCGGCTGCTTCGACTATTGCCGTTGTCGCTCCCCAGCGCAAAAGCACTCAATTTCATACGAATGACCCATTAAATTTATATTCGCCTACCGACTCAACCTGGGAAGAGCGCGCTTTGTGCTATTTCTTTGATCAATATACCATCCAAGCGGATGAGGATGGCGGTCATTTGGACTACATTCCTCCGCTATATGCGCGAGAGATAGGACAGACCAGCGACTCAACACCATCTTGCCTGAAGTGGGCAGTTGATGCCACAGCGTTGATGACCCTCGCCAACGCTAAGAATGCGCCTGTTCTCATGAATAAGGCTCGACAAGGCTATGGTAAAGCTTTGCGGGGCTTGCAGGAGGCTTTGAATTCGCCAATCCATGCAGTCAAGGATGAGACATTCGCATCAGTTGTTCTGCTCTCATTGTATGAAGATATCTCTGGCGAGCGGAATGGGTTATTCAGCTCGCACACAGCGGGCTTTGAGTTCTTGATGAAGCTTCGGGGCGCAGGGCAGATGGGCCACCAGCGTGGTCGCGATATGTTCAACTTTGCTTACACGCACACTGTATGTCCAAGGCATTCGAAAATCTCGCAGAAGATCACTAACCACAGGACAGTATGTCGAGATCCTTGCATTGGGAGACAATCCCCGCTTCGACCTTGATTGGGTTAGTGGAATGCTGAACAGCGATTGTCCCGTCGAACAACTCATGCTGTCGGCATCTAAGTTAACACGGCTCTTCCTTTTAATGCGATCCACTCCCCAACCCCCAGATCAGGCGACCGTGGAATCATGGATCACCGCTGGCCGAGAATGCGACGCCGAACTTTCTCAGTGGACTCAAACTCTGCCCGACCGATGGCTTCCACTCGTGGTGTATTCAGCCCACGGCGAATCCCTCTTAACCTATAACCGCATTTCCAACGCCATCATCTGGTACTATTACCGCGCAGTGCGAGTGATGTTGCAACAGTTGCTTCTCGGCTTGAATCGGACTCTTACTACCATCAAAACAGCCAACAAGCAGTGGTCGAGCTCCGGAACAAGCGGCTCCGGGATGGATTTCGAGCCCCTCGATGAAGCAAACTTGCTTGCTGTCATTTGTGAAATGACCACGGATACTTGTCGCAGTATTCCCTTCTCGTTGGCTGATGTTGACTCTCTCGGCCGTCCCAATCAAGCACACAGTCCACTACAGATCCGTGCAGCTCAAGGGTACGGTCTCCTCTGGCCCCTTTGGTACGTGCTCTCCTGTGGCATGCCCACCGAGGCACAGGTACAACAAATTCGAACGGCATTATGGCGAGTTGGGTCCAAACTGGGTATCAAACTGGCTTTGATTCTTGCTCGCGAGGCAGAAACGATACGTGGGACGCAGACCGACATCACTGCGGGTATGAATCAGCGATTCTGACATTCTCGCAAGAGTTTTCAAGGAATATGCATAACCCGTTATGCCGTGGCATATCGACTAATCGGGAAGTGGATAACTCGGCTTGGCTTTGCCGGTAATCATGACGTCACCTTATCTAGTCGTGCTCGTTCTCTATACAAGTAGGCCAGCTATATAGTATGTGTTCAATAAGAAAAACAATACATTACTTAAGTAGTTAAATGACAATCCAATAATCTCATAACCTAAGAACTACTTAAGTATTTTCACAAGTATAGAATAATGGCCAGGTACGAAGTACGGAGTACTTAAGTACAGAGCTGAACCTGATAAGCCGGGGTAGCCGTTCGCAGGCCACTGACGACATAAGAGCTTAGCATTGCCCAGGCCCAAGTTCTCTAAAGTTACATATTTCACATCTCTCCAGGGCTGTTTCTTTTTTTTTTTCTCTTTTTCTTCCAAGGTTGTCTGCTTTCTCTCTTCTATCTCTCTCCCCTCTTCCCCTCCCCTCATATCCTCTTAGCTCGCCATGGCTACTCAAGACCGCAAGCTGCCTTTGGGCAAGATTGAGCCCAACTCGCTCAAGTATTTCCTCAGCTGTGGTGCTGGAGGTATCATCGGTATGTATACTTCATCTATCTCACTCGAACTATACGAACTATACTAATAACTCCAATCCAGCTTGTGGTATGTGATATCTCTCCGGAACTAGCTACAACCCGATTGACACTTCCAAGGACCCACCCACACAGCAGTAACACCTCTCGATCTCGTAAAATGTCGTCGTCAAGTCGACCCTAAGATCTACACCTCCAACGTCCAAGCATGGCGCACTATCTTCTCCAAGGAAGGTCTCCGCGGCGTCTTCTTCGGCTGGTCCCCCACCTTCCTGGGCTACTCATTCCAAGGTGCCGGTAAATACGGTCTCTACGAATACTTCAAGCACCTGTATGGCAACCAGCTATTCCCTGAAACAAACCGCACCCTGGTCTTCCTAGGCGCTAGTGCTTCGGCCGAGTTCTTCGCCGATATGGCACTGTGTCCGATGGAAGCGATCAAGGTTCGCATGCAAACTACCCTCCCGCCATATGCTTCGGGGCTACGAGAGGGATGGGGTAAGATTGTTGCAAAGGAAGGCTTTGGGGGTCTGTATAAGGGTCTGTACCCTCTGTGGGCGAGACAGATTCCCTACACTATGACCAAGTTTGCAACCTTTGAGGAAACGGTTAAGCTCATTTACTCCAAGATGGGGAAGCCTAAGGAGGAGTATGGCCAATTGACACAAACTGGTGTCAGTTTCCTTGGTGGTTACATTGCTGGTATCTTCTGTGCTGTTGTCAGCCATCCGGCAGATGTAATGGTTAGCAAGCTTAATGCCGATCGCAAAGGTATGTACTTGATTTTGTTTTTTTTTTTTTTTGGTCTGATTTGATTTGCCTGGACCCATGTACTGATTGTTGCTTTTTTAGCTGGTGAGGGTGCCATGACAGCTGTATCCCGCATCTACGGAAACATCGGTTTCTCTGGTCTCTGGAACGGCTTGCCTGTTCGTATTGTGATGCTTGGAACCTTGACTGGTTTCCAATGGCTCATGTAAGTGCTGCTTAGCTCTCAAGGCTGGTCAAGTTCAAAGCTAACGTATATCTTAGTTACGACTCTTTCAAGGTCTTCCTTGGTCTACCCACTACTGGAGGACACTAGCTAGCATCTGGGGAATATTCTGTCTTTATTTTTTTATTCTATTTGTATGTAGCAGGGAGTCAATGGATAATTTCAATCACTTCTTTCAGTCTTACCGCCTTTCAATAGTATTGAGTGGCAGAATAATGTTGGAGATCGTCACATCCCGTCTGATTGTACTTATCTTCACGGGTTGAACAGCACGACTCAGCACGACAAATCACCCCTTCTTTCCCAAAAGCGAGCACAATATTATATACAGATTCAATCATCTGACCCGGACCTCGTTTGTACGTTTATAATTCACATCCACCTCGCATCACGTCAAACCCCCAATCAACGAACCCCGAGCTACATCGCGACAACCACTCCGGTCCCAACATCGTCAATTACGTGTATTCAAATTGAAACAGCCCATCAAAATGGAAGCCTCCCGCCCACACACCTCCATCCCACCAGCCAATCCCCCCAGCGTTGAAATCGCCTACAAGCGCAAGTGCATAGCCCTCAAGAGACGTCTCGCCGAAGTCGAAGCCGAAAATGAAATCATGCGCACCCGCAACCGCCGCGGAACCCAATACATCCAAAAAATGCGCCTGGAATCATGCATGCTACTAGAGCGCCTCAAAACCGTAACCGTCATGGCCGACGAAGCCAAAGCAGGCGCCGTGGACCCGGAATTGCGCGCCCGCGCCGCGGCAATGTTGTCCCATGGAGAGGCACGTCTTGAAGACGATACTGAAGGTAGCTCTGATGAGCAGCCTCGCACGGTACGTTTCGAACCATTGATGCACTTGCATTGAACTGACTGTTTACTGCTTTAGCCTGATGAACGTCCCTTGCGCGTTAAGCGCTCTCGCAAGTCTGCTGCTGCTGGTCTTGAGGGGGATGAGGAGGTTCAGCCTGAAGGACAGTCGGAATCGGTGGATGCTGCAGGTGCTTTGCCTCGTCTTGCTCCAGCCCCGACGCAGGAGTCGCTTACACACTCTTTCCGGGTGCAGACTGGTAGTGGGGGCTCGGCGGAGCAGACTCCTGTTGCTGCTGATGGTCCTGTTGAGGCTGAGGCTGGCCATGAGACTGGGACTACGCCTATGGATATGGATAAGGAGGAGGTTAAGGAGGAGCCTAAGGTTGAGCAGCCTTGATTGTTGTTTGATTGGGTTTGCTGTCTGCTTTCTTAATGTTCTTTTCTTTTCTATGGTTTATGGGTTAAGCATCTGGCTTGAACGGTGCTGTTATGGTTATTGTGCCTTTGATTGGGCTTTTTTTTCTCCCTCTTCTCTCGGTTTCGTGGAGTTTGTCGGTGCGGATTCATCAGAAATGTATGCCATAGGCATGATTGAATTGACTTCCTCTCATAATCTTGATCATCAAACATCATACATCAAACAGTTTGCTCAAAGTAAAGGATGGATTGGTGAGACACTCTGAACAAGGAAGCAGGCTCCTAGGTGATTCACAGCCATATAGTTACCTCTGAGGTACAGTGCGCTTCATAGGAGCCCAGAGACAAGATACTTCATTTGATTGGGCAGATTTCAGTATATTTTTGGGTAATGACTGAGATGTCATGTCTGATTTTGAGTATCACTAAGCATATCCCATTGAAATGCCTTTTCCCAAGTCAACCACAAACCATACTAACTCCGATATTAGGGGAAGGAAAAGCCATACTCATGTAAACAAAGAAGGGATATGACGGTCTGGAACATCTTTTTTCATGTACAGAAAAGACGAAGCCAGGCAAAGTAGTAAAATAATACAGATGGTGGCGGGGAGGATGTGTTTTCGTTGGATTTGGGCAGACAAATTGGACTCGGTCCTTTGGTACGTCTGAAGTGCTGAAAGGCTGCAATTGAGTTGGGTGTAAACCCGGTGGTACTGGCCCTATGCGCACACAGCGTAAATATCATGCACCAGAAAGTAAGGCTGCAAAGTTCGTCGAAATAGATATGTCAGGAATGACGAGCATATCCTTAGCCATCTAGTCCACTCCAGCGTAGAGATCGACAACGATATTGATGGCGGCCACGAGAATCTCTGCGGCAATAAGGACAATGACTGTGATGTTGGTTAGTTTGATTTTCATCTTGAAACGAGGAGACTTACCAATCCACTCAAGATATTCACCATGGCGATGGGTCAATTGGTCTTTCAGAACCGCGAGAAGATCAGCAATTACATCCAGTCGCTCTGTCAACAGACTGACGCGCTGGTCCATTTCTAAATAGCTTCGGACGGCCTGGTAGACAGGTTCCAACTGTGGCTCTGCCCAGAAGAGTTCCGGACTATCAAGGACAGATCCCTGCAGATGGATGTTGATGCGCAGAATGAAGAGCTCTCCAATTTGCATGTTGATTTGTCGGCGAGTGAGGTTGACACTACCCGTCTGCGCAATTTGAGCAGGTAGCGGCGCAGTATCGGTGATGGTCTCAGAGACAAGATCTTCGAAGAGCGAGGTCTTCACAGACTGAGCCAGCGCATGAGAAATCGCCAGCTTGATCATATGGTTGCGAGGGTCGCGCAGTGAGATGAAGTCGTTATATATGCGGGCCTGGTACTCGCGCGCATAGTAGAAATTGAAGTTTTCGATCTGCGTGTCATCGGGACTGAGGATTGAGGTTGCAAATTTCGAAATGTCGGATAAGAACCTTGATTCCTGTGCCGGTGACATGCCCCATATTACAACAGTTCCATAGTCAAAGAGGAACACCTCGGGTGTGTGGATTGTGGTGTCAATGTCGGGGGTGGATTGCACAACTGCCTGCTCGGTATGATCGAGTGAGTGTCCAGCCTCCTCGTGCAGATCAATCAAGTCGTCCCTGCGGCTCTTTTTATTGTCTTCCACCTCAACTACGCTATCCGAGTAGCGTCTCTCACTGGGTCTCCTTTCGTGATGCCCATTACCGCTGGGGTCTTGGAAGAATCGGACACCATTATGCTTCTCTTCATACTGGTAATCAAAAGTCGAGTAAACACATTCGTCATAGAGTTTGGGATTGGCTCCACGAGTCTTGCTCCGTGATTTCAGGAATTTGATAACGCCTTCGAGGCGATAAGAATTGGCTGTGCAGTAAGCCGTCACTCGAGGTATGCGATCACGGTCAGCCTTGCCAAGTCTTGCAGCGTGACTTCTTGCCGCAGGATCCTTGATTCTGGTAATTTGTGAATAGACATCCCGAGGGAAATCTCCATCAGACCCTTCCTCCTCTTCCGTCACCGGATCCGGCAGCAATTTCAGCTTTTGCGCTTTCTTGGTTGTTCGCTGCGGTCCAATTTTGGCCGCTGGGTGTGCAGGGTTCGACAGATTGTTAAAGGGGGCTCCATGGCTATTGCGACGGCGAAGTTTGCTGTTCAGTGCCGAGAGCATGGGCTGGCTGCCCGGGCGCTGGCCCTGGGCATTGACATTTTGCACGGGAGGTGAGGCCGCTTGCAAAGGCCGGAACGTAGGATCGGAGGCAGCTGTTGTGCCGCCGTAGGTGCTAATTTGCGTGAGGGGATTGAACGATACCGATCGCGGTTGTCGGTTCGCCCGTGGTGACGTATTCGTCGGGTCCTGATGCTGGGGCAGCAGAGGAGAAGTCTCTGCGGGCGACATTGCGAAAGAAATTGGAGTTGTATTAGACGACAAGCGCCATTGGTTTTCCAGAGAGAAAAAGCAAAGACCTGAGGTTGAAAGAAAAGTTGAAGGAGCTTGAGCTCGGCCTTTGCACGTGTCCACCTTAATAATCGGATTCTGCCCTTTCCAAGGTTGGAAGTCCTTGGCATTTGCGTATAGTTTCTACTACTACTACTACTACTACTACTACTACTACTACTACATATTACTACTACATCTGCTTACAGTGTTCTCTTTACTGTGGGCAATTTACAGGTAATTGGAGTACAAATGATTCTCCAAGGCTCTCAAGACCCTTTTTTATTGTTCTTGGACTCTGGACCCCGTCATTGTATGTACACGACTAGTTGCAAACCAGGTTTCACTCCGAACGCCATGCAACCCTAGTAATATGCCATAATAACACTCAAATCAAAATCTCCATGTAAGTTCCCATTGACTGATCACATTATGGTTGCAGCAAATGCGGGGTTGCGTGATGGACACCGACTTTCGATTTGCGCCAATGGAAGCGACCCTCAAGTGAGAGATTATTCAATTCGAGTGTGTCGCCCGCTTGCCATTGACAGATCAAGTTGCAAGGCTATGATTGGTGATTGTTGGAAATAGATGACACAGAAATGACCGCCTTGAACGGTAATACAGAAAGGTATTGCTCACCGGCGAACGAAACCTCCAGGACCACTGGCTTTCTTCTGAAGTCCATTCCTCCGGGCTGTGTTACGAGTCTTCTGGAGAAGGCTACTCTTGACGTTACGTCCGACCTTGGAAACCCTGGGGGGTAACGCAGGCTTGGAGGACTTCCGCGAAGATGGGGCATCGAGCACGCGAATGTTGACATCCCCCATGTTGACATCCTTGGGAATCTTGTCCGTCTTGTCCAAAAATCGGAGCTTATTTGACTTTTTGGGCATGGCAAACATGTCTTCAAGTGGGGGTGTGGGAGGGCGAAGGACAGGCTCAGCGTTCAGAATATCATCGGGAAGCAGAGCGGGGAGGGCGGCGCGACGTGCATCCTGGGTGGGTTCTCCTTGGAGAGTTGTTGTGCTCTCGGACGTAATATCATCGACTGGGACCTCTTTGGTCTTGGCTTGCAACTTGCGACGCTCGTCGAGCTTCCGTCGCTTCTCTCTCTTTGCCTTTTCTTCTCTGAAGATATAGTTAGTAAAATCGACTGAGCAAGTACAGATCTTGAAACGTACAATTGCCTCGCTGCTTCCTGCTTCTTTGCCTGCTCCTTCATTTTTGATAGCTGGGCAGAGTTGTCGATGGTCTCTGGCGCATCGTCGTCGCTATCCTCATCTTCATCATCCTGTGGTGCTTCTGGGGTCTCTTCCGGCTCGGTCTCAATTGGCTCAGGCTCTTCACTGCCGAATCGAATCTTCTTTCCCGCAGGCGCAGGCGCACTCGCCGCATTTACATTGGGTGTCTCTGTGTCAGATGAGGTATCTGCGGGTGGGTTGGCACCCTGGGGGTCGCTCTTTTGGCGCTTAGTTTCCTGGCTATCGGGCTTTCCAGCGCTCGTAGGCCGAGACTTCCGCTTCGAAATATTGGGAGTAACGTCCCCACGACGGGTAGATGTCACCATGTTGGAATTGGCTGGTTCAACAGGGGCGGAATGTTCTTCGGGGTGTCGCGCAAATAGGCCCTTAGCAGCAGTGACTATGTGATTGAACATAGAGTGAACAAAAGAATTGAGAGAGAAAGCCCTGTGGGGTAATGTTCCTCAAATGATGAGGTTGAAGCAAAAATAAAAAAATCTCTCGGCGAGGATTTCCCGAGGGCGGAGACGATAAGAACTTTGATAGCACTATCGACAGTGTTTGTCGTGTTTGCATGGTCCTATATGCTTCTACAGCTGCGTGTCTTTTTTTTATTTTATCCTCTACTCTCCAAGGGTATGAAGACCCTATATCAGTGTGTCTTAAAAAGATGGAAAGAAATATAGGAGGTAATAAAGCAGAAAAGAGAGGAGAAAAGAGACTTCAGGAGGAAAAACCTTAGGAAGAGAGATCAAAACACAAACGAGCCCCGGAGAAGAACTATTGAAAAAAATAGTTATAAAATAAAGAAGCGTATTATTTGATGCAGACTATCGCAATTGTAGTTCAAGGCAGTCTACGTAGCAAAAACTATGATTCGGATATCACCATCTTCTTCGGTAGGGAAGATGGCCCCTACATTGATCTATAGCCCTGGAGATGACATGTACTACTGAGGTTGTTTTGATAAAATCACCCACTTGACAGTCGGCCTTCCTTTTATAAACTCGAAAATGATCGGAGGCGATCGGAATGACCAGCCACGCGATCCGTCATTGGTGCAAAACAGTCACAACTTAACCTTGGAAGTCACGAGGGTTTCCAAGAAGCCCTAACCCAGGTCTTTAGCCTCACATGGCCCCGATCAGCTTTTGTTTTCTTATTGTGCCCTTGGATGATCGACACCATGTGGAATGCTGGAAACGCGAAAGTATCACCCTGGCGGGATCAGCGGTCGTGCCTGCATGACCGACATTACTTGCAAAGCACCTGCATCCGCCAAACCAGAAGGATAAATAAGAACGGACTTGATAGTGTATTGCTTCGTATCAGCCTTGCCTACCCAAGTCCATATTCAGAACGCAAATCTTTGCAAATAAAATGGCCTGCCGTCGGGGAGTGACGCGAGCAGTGCTGAGCGTCATCTTCCTTCTCCAGCCTGTCCTGGCAGTATCCGGAACAACTACACTGGTGTCACGAACATCCAGCTCGCCAGTATCAGCGCCTTCAGATTCTAGGTCGAGTTCTACTCCATCAACCTGCAATGGCCACTCCGAATACTGTACACGATCCTACTCGAATATCACATTCGTAGGTTCCCACGACTCTCCATTCGTCGGACCTCTACCCCAGCAGAATCAAAATATCGATATCAAAGCTCAACTGGATATGGGAATCAGATATCTGCAGGCACAGACACACCACTCCGTCTTGGACAAAAAGACCTTGGAGCTATGCCACACATCATGCTTCCTTGAGGATGCAGGAACTTTGAAAAAATTCCTCACGACTATCAAGAAATGGCTTGATGCACATCCGAACGAGGTCGTGACGCTCCTTTTAACAAATGGCGACTCTATTTCTATCTCCGAATTCGGAGATACATTCTCCAGCAGTGGGATCACCAAATATGCATATGTTCCCCCTTCAAGTCCATTAGCAATCTCGGACTGGCCGACCATGGGTGATTTGATATCCAGTGGAAAGAGGCTAGTCGTCTTCCTAGGTATGATCCATCCCAATTTGTCTCTTGACAGTGCCTAGACAGATCACTTACCCGATGACAGACTATGGTGCCAACACCTCTCAAGTGAACTACATTCACGACGAATTCGCCTACTACTTCGAAACAGCATACGATGTCACAGATGCCTCATTCTCGAGTTGCAGCATTGATCGACCCCCTGGCGCTTCGGCGACGGGCCGCATGGGTCTAGTGAACCATTTCTTGGATATTGATATATTTGGTGTGAAGGTTCCGGCTCGAGACAAGGCAGGCACTACGAATGCTGCGTCTGGCAAGGGCAGTATTGGTGCTCAGGCAAGTTTGTGTGCGGGATTGTATGGGCGTGTGCCAAATGTGATTTTAGCGGATTTTGTGGATAAGGGGGAGGTTATCAAGGCGCAAAACAATGTAAATGGGCTGTAGAAAGGCGAGTACTATATCGTGTCAGCTTACTTATGTTTTCTGTGAATCTTGAGGTCTTTTTCGACCTCTTCCGGGTTCTTTTTTTGAGCTGTAGACTACATTGATTGGCTATATTTGGATTCATTGAAAGAACTACTAAGTACCTGTTTTTGGTATCTCTGGATTGAGCCTATTTAAATGGCTGCTTAGATACAGTATTGTTAGGAAAATGGTACACAATTATGATGCCAGTTTCATTCTCTTCAACTTGGGTAGAAACCAAAGGCAGACCAAAGGGTATCAAAAACACATCCAAAGCCACGCACAAAACAAGTGCAAAGAGGTCGGTTGCATAAGTACTCCGCAATTGTACGTCGAGAGAGAGACTGGTCAATTACTTCTGACAGTGATGATTGTGGGGACTGGCATTGGGATCAACTTGAGGGGGCCACGCCTCGAGATCAGAGTAGTGGGAGAAGAGGATTTCCAAGACGGCATCCGGGTCCATTGCTACGCATGCATTCTGGAAGCAGTCCCCGTTTCGAACGGTGTCGGAGACATTGTCGTAGATGAGTGCGAGGGCACAACTGCGCATGCGGTTGTACCAGACAATGAGAGGGTGAGATTGAGGCAGGGGCTTGGCCTCCCTAGTCATGACCTCCCATATACCGTGCTGCTGGAAAAGGAGCTGCATGGAGACCAGCCATTCACGCCAGTTCTCTCTCCCGATCAGGGGATTGACCTGGATTTCAATGAAGTGCTTGTCACTTGTATTATCTTTGAAGAATCTCACGAGTTTCTCGGTTTTAATATGTTGGGCCGTGAGGTCGACATGCAGGGGAGCTGCGAGCTCTGGATCGTCCGATTCACCCACGAGTGGATACATATAACGTTCCATCTCACTGGCGGTAAATTCTGGTCCGTTGGGCTTCTTCTTTGTATCAGATTTGGCGTTGGACTGTGCCCTTCGGGCCTGGCTGCGTGCCATTCTGGTGGGCAATGTCCAGGCTGGCAAGTCTCCCTTGGATTCTGTGATCATGTTAGAGCGAGTGAAACACCACTCAAAGAGCCCATTTTGTGAGATGTAGGGGAATCGACTACTCGGGTCACTGTTAAAGTACACCGTCGTGTCCGCTTGAGAGGAAGGGTATTGGTGGATTGGTAGAGATCGGTCCATATATAACTCACTTCCATATTTGCTGATGGATTCGGCAAGAGCAGCTTTGATCTCTGTAGTCAACAAGTCAGACGGAACATAATACCAATCCCAGATGCCATTCTCGGAGACAAAGATGGGGCAGCCATCGGTGGTGGGATATTGGCGTAGAGTCAGATCACTCTTTGTATATGGGAAGGTGACCAATTCCGCGTGGAGGATATGGCTCATGGGGAGATTGTCTGAGTCAGGTTGAGGCAGGGAGGGATATGCATCCCAAAGTGAGGGTATCTCATGACCAGTATTAAGATGGAACATGCACTCACTCTCTTTTTGTTCGGCCGTGGCGGTATCACCGAGGATATAGGAAGTGTAGGCAGCGAAGATGGCTGCTAGATCAAATGAGAGATTAGTATAGGAGCAATAGCATTCATTTAAGTAGTCGGGAATGGAATGATCGCAGGATGCTCCATAAATGTATTGAGGCAATCGAAGCTCGGAGTCGTGGAACTTACCCTCCACTGGCATCATGGGCGATTGGGTAGCTGGAGCCGGAGCTGACACTGAAGCTGGAGCCGACACTGAAGCTGGAGCCGACACTGAAGCTGGAGCTGGCACTGAAGCTGGAGCTGGCACTGAAGCTGGAGCTGGCACTGAAGCTGGAGCTGGCACTGAAGCTGGAGCTGGCACTGAAGCTGGAGCTAGTACTGCTGCTGCTGGCTCTGGCGATGGAGGCGGTGCTGGTGTTGAAGCTGGAACTGATGCTGGCGTCGATGCTGGAGGCCTGGGTTTCGCAGCTGATGAAATGTCAACTCGTGTTTTGACTGATCTCTGATGTTTTTTGATTCCTGAGAATGAAGGATGCATCGGGTCAGACCTACTCTTCTTGGTGTCTTTGCGTGAGGGAGCCATCTTGAAGATGGGAGTTGTGGAGAGAAGAATGGTGTTTGGGGAAGAAGAAGAAGAAGGGAGAAAAGTGAAAGATCAGAGGGGCCCTTTTATACGTCCCATCTTGGGTCGGGCAGGTACTCTCCCTCTTCTAAACAAACAGCCTTGAGAGCCACAAAGGCCTTGATATTGAATCTCATTGTGTGTAAGACATTTCTGGAAGTGCCCGTGGGCGCGTATGTACAGTCGATAGCAGTCTGTCTACAATTCCACGATTCTCTCATGCTCAAGGATTGTAGTCCACAACAGGTACTACCGTGTCATCCAAACTGACAGAGCCATTTGACCCAGAGTAGTGGTTGAGCCATCCCAAAACCTGCTGGTGCCAAACGAGGCTGTTCTCCTTGTTGATGACCCTACACATTGCCACTGAGTTAGCATCTGAAAAAAAAAGTAAAAAGAAAGTAAAAAGAGAAGGTTACTGAACATACCAGTGGTTCTCATCGGGGAAAGTCAGGAATCGGCTGGGAACACCACGCTCCTGCAAGACATTGAACAGTGAGAGACCCTCGGCAACGGAAAGACGGTAATCCTTTTCGCTGTGGATGATCAACTGGGGCGTATCGAACTGGAGGATGTGCTCTGGGGCAGATGGGTCCCAACGACGGTAGTTCTCACGGTTATCCCAGAAGGTGCCATTGAACTTGAAGCAAGGTCAGTATCGCAAGAGAGTCCACATTGACATTGAGTACTCACATCATGCTCAATGAACCAGAGCTCTTCGGTGGAGATCTTTGCATCGGCAACGAAGGTTCCATCGTGGCTCACCAATGCCTTGAATTTACGACCCAGAGGGTTACCTTGGATCCAGTTGACCATGAACCCACCATAACTGGCGCCCGCTGCCACACCGCGATCGGTATCAATGAAGTCGAAGTTATCGCGGACGTATTCCCAACCCTTGACCAAGTCGTCGTAAGGATAGCTACCTATTGTATTGTTAGAAAAGGGAGTGAGAGCAATGCCAAGCTGCACATACCCCAGTTGTTCGCAATAGCGTCGGTCAGTTCATCGCCAAATCCGGTGCTACCGGTAGGGTTCGGCGCAACAACCACATATCCTTGATCTGCGAAGACCTTGTAGTTCCACCGAGTGCTCCAGGAGTCAGCCCAGGCACCCTGGGGACCACCGTGGATATAGTACAGAAGTGGGTATTTCTTCGACTTGTCGAAGTTTGGGGGGTAGATAATCCAGGATTGGATCTAAAAAGGTGAGCATGGTATGGAACGAGCGAGAATAATAAACCTACATCAGTCCAATTACCCTTGTAGTAGAACTCACTGATGTCAGAGGAGCTCAAGGACTTCAACGCAGGGTCAACCGTATTAGCGGAGAAAATAAGGCCAGTGACGCCCTTTCCTGGCTTCGCTGTGTAGATCGTTCGGCTGCTCCAGATTGCAGAGCCGGAAACCAAGAATTCACCGTTAGGAAGGCTGTAATAGGCAGCCACGGCACCGCTATCGGTGAAGTTCTGGGGCTTGAAATCGTCCCCAGCGTTAGCGGGCAGCAGGAAGAGTCGAGAGCGCGCATAGTCCTCGGTATTCAGAACGAGGTTCTTGCCATCCGAGGTCCACTTGAGAGCACTTGGTGACCGGTCCCAGTCCTTAGCCAATGTGCGGATTGTCTCCTTAGACTCAACAGTGTAGATGTAAACAGTGCGGCGGTCTGATTCGTAGGCAACGTCTTCCATTTGGAGGTAGGCAATGCGGCGACCATCCGGAGAGAAGACAGGGCTGCTAGAATCTCCCTTGATATCCTTAGGAGTGCCAGGGCTATCAGGGCCATTGATGGCAACCGCTTTCTTGGATCCATCGTGGGGAGCGAGATAGATATACGAGGCAGTGTTGTTCGCGCGTGGGAGCTCAGGGGCCTTGCTCTTGAATGTGACCCACTTACCATTGGGAGAAATATCGTAGTCGGATGAGTCGCCGAATGGAGGGGATGGTGACTCGAGATTCTTGACACCTGCGACGAGGTTCTTGAGAGATCCACTAGAAGTGTAACTGGTTGCGGCTCCCTGTCCGGCTCTTTTCCTGTGAAGAGTTCCTGAGAAAATGGCATTGAACCGGGTGGTGAGCCAATAGTCCCAGTGTCTGGTATAAATGCTGTCATAAATGCGTGCTGAGCTCAGGGGTGTGGCAGCAAGATTTTCGTTGTAGGCAGTTCCATTAGCATATGATTCTCCATACACCAAGAAGTTGATGTCACCAGACTTGGTGATTGCTGTCTTGAGACCAGACAGTGGTGCTGGAAGGGAAGCTGCCTTGTACGCACTGAGGAGATCAGTAAAGTTTCTCACCAGGAGACAAAGATACTTACGATTTAGAGAAGCTGGAAGTATCTGAAGCCCAGATCTCGACACCACCTGGGATTTCCGCGTTGGTGCCATTGATGTACAGAAGACCCGAGTCGCTAGACCCTGACCAGATCAACTCCGAGACATTGCTGTCGTTGGTAAGTTGAGTGATCTTTCCAGTCTTCAGGTCCAGCAGACTCCACCACGAAGATGTTGCATGGGTTTCCCAGGAGTACTCGGACGTGGAAAACAGCGCAACTTCCTGTATTCTGGTTAAAAACCTGGAAAATCACACCGTAATCTGAGAGTACTGACTCCTGATGGGTTAGGAACGGCTTCACTTCGCCTTGGGGCTGCGATGAGTTCTCTACAGAAGGAATCAGCAAATCAATAAAGCAAATGTAGGATCGCGACCAACTTGGGGGTAAGAGCCACCGCCGACACAACCATCGACCCAAAGGCCGACCATTGAAAGGTACGCATCTTGAGAAATTAGAAGCACAAACTCAGTAAAGATGTGCAAGAAGCTTGTTCAATTGGAGGGGTTTTCCGAATATATAACCCCATGGAGCTGCAGGGGAGCTATCGCACCGATTTGCCGATGAAGGGGGGCATGTTACATTCTTCGATGCCAAGACAGGATATGCATGATGTTATTTCTCGGCAATTCTGGTTATCGGTCAATTCGGAGACACTAAGAAGGCGTGCTGTGGACTAAGAAAGGTAGCCTCAGGGTCCGGTTGGTTGGCCTGCAGCGCCAAGCATCGCGGAGTCCGCTGATAACCCCGTTGATATCCGGTCTTGGGGGGCGCCCCTCAGCATTGGCATTGTCTTCGAAACGGGAAGGTCATGGTACAGTACGGACTAATATCATAAGGGTCGGTACCCCCCGGTGCTTCGGGGTCTGTACTCCAGGGCTGGCATTGGGGATGGGCGGGGCTTCTTAAGGGTGGCACCACGGCAAGCCCAATAAGCCCTAATGATGCACCCCATCCGGGCAATGGTGCAATGTTAGGTGAGATGGCCGAGACATGATGACAGACACCCAATGAATTAAATTGCACGCTATAATGACGGAATCGCTTCAATACTCAAAATCATCATCTACACCTCCTTTGCCGCTAGTCTCTTTCGTGACCGCTTCTTGCTTCCGATACATCTCGGCCACTGCACGAGTGGTGGTGGCCTCGTCTGGCTTTTTGTCATCGCGAGACTTGATATATCGTGGGAAGCGCAGAGAGACACCCTTCCCACTATCACTTGTTCCTTGGAATTCATCGACAGCGGCCTGGTAGCGAGGGCTAAGGGTCAGATCGGCGGTTTTGACCTCCCATACCAGTCTTGGTTCAAACCAAACATCGGGTTGGTCCTTGGGGACGGTCGAATGGGTATAGAACGGTTTGGGGCGGTCAATCACCAGGGGAACCAATGTCTGGTGGAGCTCCTCGAGGACCGCCTCGGAGAATCCAGTGCCGATGTTACAAATGGTCTCATAAGTATCATTGTTTGGGTTGTAGGCAGCGAGGAGGAAAGCACCATAGACAGAGGTGCGTTTTCCTCGTCCGTAGTATGCACCCAGGACGACCAAATCGAGAGAGTCACCAACGCCAGCCAAGTAATCCTTTTTGACCTATTTCAAAGATTAGTATGATCCAACACTTTCTCAACCAGACAGAATTTACCTTAAGCCAGTTGCGACTGCGCTTGCTAGGCTCATATCCACTCTCGTCTGTGTCCAACATTTTCACCATGAGACCCTCGCAGGAAGCTTTGACACTAGCCTCGAGCAACTCCTGGATCTCGTCGAGAACGTTCGAGTTGCCGTATTGGGCGAACTGGAACTCGCCTTCAACCGGTTGGAAACATTCGTGCATAAGCTCTCGACGTTCCCGAAGGGACTTCTTCACACATGCCTATTGGGAGGTCAGGTAAAGCGACTCGACATAGGAACGGGGATACTCACCTCTCCATTGAAGAACAGTAAATCAAAGGCATACACGCAGACCTTGACCTTGACATCCTCGGCCTTGACATCCTTCCGCTTACGGGTCATCAGCTGCTGGAAGGGGAGGACCTTCTTGTTCTCTGTATCCCAGGCAACAGTCTCGCAGTCCAATACAAAGCTCTTCACGTCATTCTTGACCCAGGTGTCAAGCTTGCCCAGGACGTCAGGGTATTTCTTTGAAAGATCCTCAGAGTTTCGTGAGAAAATCGAGGAAAGTCCCTTGCTGTCCTTCTGCAAAGTGGCCAGAGCTCCAGGGTATTGGTCAACCGAATCTGGAGACACAAAATGGATCTGCGCTCTTTCTCCGTCGTACTTGTACTCGCACGTAAATTCTTTCCCTTCGAAGCGATCGAGGACTTCGGTAATGGACTTGGTTGGCTTGGCAAGCATAGGCTTCAGAGGGATTCCAGGCTGAAGTTTGCACACATCCGGTAGCTTAGAGAGACCATGCTTGAGCATCGCAGGGATAATGACCTCGTACGCGGGCAGCTCACTGTAGACAGACTTGAAGATGTTCTCGCCTGCAACCATCTGCTCTGTAGTTGGCATCTTGCCACCGCTTGATTCGGCTTCGTGAGCCTGAATGGCCCGAGAGACAGCAACAAGAACCGTCTTCTCAGCAAGTCCCAATCTAAGCTTGCCTTCCAAAAAGCGAACAATGTACTTGGCCTCGCTTGGGCCGCCCTTGTCCTTGGTGATATCGATTCCTTTGCTGCCCTTTCCGGCAGCATCGGCATCCGCTGCGGAGAGGAGCTTTTTAATTCCTGAAATCTTTTTGTCTTGGGATCCATGACCCTGCACCTGGGCAATTCCCAGCAAGCCTGCATGTACACCACGAACAGTCAAAGCCTTCGGTTTGAACATAGTCGGCTGGTTTGATCTGCTCTTGGCAGCTACAAGTCCCAGATCTCCGATTTCTCGTTGATCGGCCTTGATAATAGCAAGGCTGCGGCCAGTACACTCACCAATAGCTTTCATGATCAGAGACTCTCCAATACCTAGTTCGATTCCAGCATAATCGGCGGCCAGCTTGTTGATCATGAGTTGGACAGTAGGCAGGAAGTCGTCCGGAGTAAGGCGGAGAACTTGACGAAGGAAGAGTGAACAGTGATCGGTGATTTCCAGCCGCTTTCTCGTCATCTCAACCAGGGAGAAAGTGGTACATAGCGCGGCATAGGGCACAGCATCGCCTGCCTTCCAGTCCGGATAAGGGTCTTTGCCAGTACCTTGTAATTTGGCTTGGAACTTCTCGATCGATTTTTTCTTCGCTTCCGGCTCAAGGTCTTCTTCCTCTTCGCTTTCAGACAGCCCCTGCTCTTCCTCGGCTGATGGTGATTTCTCCTCTGGCTTCACGTCTGCAGCTTCCTTCACGATTGGCTTGGGCAATGGCGATTCAACCTTTGGTTTTGTTGCCTTTGGCTTTTTCGGGGACGGTGTTGATTTTTTGGCGGCCGGTGATGAGGTGGGCGATGCCCTCTTACGACGCTTAGAAACAGGCTGGATATCAGATCCGTCGCTTTCTTCGGCATCGGCACTCTTCTCCCGCTTCAAGCCTTTCGTGGGAGATTCGCCGTTGGAGGTAGCAGCTGGGGCTGGTTCGGCGGGTTTCGATTCCGTCTTTACATCAACTGCCGTATCTTTGGCCTCTGTATCAGGGGCATCACTGCTAGCACCCTGTCGTTTCCCACCGAATGCTAATGTCGTCTGCTTTTTTGGTGCCTGGTTGGCATTCGAACCGAAGAATCTTCTGCAGGATGAACAGCACAATTAGCACGGTAAATTCTTAAACATGACGGGTAATTCCAGAGTGGCAGGGCGCATGCGCCGTTAAGAGTCGCCGACGCACCCGATGGTCTGCTGTCCATCTTTTACATACCCCAAGGTAGCTTGCTTCCCGCTCTTGTCGTCCGCCATAATTCGTGGAATGGATGAGATCAAGGTGCTGAATTTGGAGCTTTGTCGAGTTGTAGATATGCTGGATCGTAGAGTATGCGGCTGCGATGCTGGCGTAGTTGGTACCGTTGGATCTTGTCCCAATCCAATGCAGATGCTCGGTGTCGATCGCGAGAGCGATAAAGGCGCAATTCTTGTGAATCGCACAACCCGCATAGAAATGTACTCGAATGCCAACAGATCGCGAGAATTGGCCGATTAAATAAGATCGTGAGACGATAATGCGACTAAACCCAGGCAACAGGGCAGGCAGTTGCGCCGAAACGCGCGCGTTGTGACGCGCTGGCTGATAAGATCACGTGGAGATAAGCTTGAGTATAGCGCAGTGTGTGGAGGTCTCGATTTATATGCTGAACACTGTTGGAGAGGTTGTTTTCTGAGAGATCCCCATTTATACACCTCCAAGCCCAGAGATACGACCGAGAATCCATCTAATGTATACCTTATCAACTGCAAAGCCTCGAAGCCTTTGGTGAACTGCGTTGCTTCACCCGTGAACCTACCGCTTTAATATGCGGGCAGAATACTGCCCCATCACTGATCGCTCTGCACATTTGATGCTGTTGAGCATTGATCGATTGCAATGGAGAACCACCGGCAGGAATCTTTCAAGCAGGTATGAATCGACTGGTCTGGCTGCCGGCCGACAGAATGCTGACATAGTATTAGCTTCGCGCGCCATGTGTCGAACTAAGCTCGGCAGGGCTTCGTTTTCGAGGGAATCAAGCAACCGCCGCGGAGGTGTACCGAACCCTTGAACCTGTGCATAACTGCCTGAAAGAGCTTGCGGATAAAAATATTCTCGATGAAAAGCTAGCCGAATACGCCTTCTTCCCGCTAACACACATCTTCAACGAAACCCAAAGGATATCGGCGCGATGCTTGGAAGCTGCCGTGGACTGCCTGCGCATATTGGTTGCGAGTGGGTGGCGGCAACGGCTGTCTACTGCAATGGGCAAGCAACTCATAATCTTACTAACGCTGATTGTGGGTGGATCTCCGGGCCAGGCGGAAGAGAAGCAACTGCCTAAGCCTAAGGTGTCGGAAGAGCTATGCATTGCCGGGTTTGACTGCCTCACTGCTATATTTGATGTCTTGGAAGGCCCCACCGCAGAGCGCACAATATACCATGAGATCGGCACAGCGACGGTCGTTGACCAAACGGTATATATCCTGCTCGAGGGAATAAGCGATGACAGATCGGATGATCTGTGCCTGGCAGCTGCGAAGGCTTTACAAGCTCTTTACCGGAGGGTAACGGACCGCGTGATTCTCGCCAGTATCATGCCGCGGACGGTATCGGCACTGGCCAAGCTTCTGAGACCCACGACGCAAACTCGCAGATCCTGGAAGCTGCTCCAAGTCTCTTTGCAGATTCTCACAGAGCTTCTTAGGACGGTTCTCAATGACCGTGTCGTATCGGAGACCAGTCCGCCTGATTTGGGCAGTGACAAAATGGCATTGGATGAATCCTGGTTGAAAGCCACCACTACACAGATAAAGCTGGCTCTGGCTAATGTGATTCAAATTCGCCGCCATCAGAGACCGGACGTACAGTCTGCCATCCTGGAACTATGTCTGATGGTTATAGAAGATTGCCAAGCCACGCTATCTGAATCACTTCCAATGATGGTCGAAACGGTGATTGTTCTTGCGGAGAAAGAGGATGAAGGGGCCAATGAAGCTTATCAGAATGCGACACATCTTGCCACAACATATCCTTCAGTCCTCGACTCATTGAAAGAATCGCTGCACACATGGCTCTCTTCTTTCCCTCGCATAATGCAAGGCAACGACGAAACTGCCAAACAGTGGGGACTTCGCCAAATATCCACCGTCTTCCAGGTATTGTCCCAGGTGCAATCGGGATCCGATCTCCTCACCAACGGCCTTGCGTCTGGTTTATGTGATAGTGTTGGTGCCATCGTCAAACAAAGTACCAATTCTCTGCAGCCACTTGCTTCAATGGATGGCAATTTCAGTTGGGAAGTGTTGAGCACAGATGCTCGATCCAAAGCATTCCCACCAATAATCCTAGAGCACCAAAGTCAACAGGAAACTCTCAAAGATCTGGGATTAATGATCACCAGATTGAATCTGTCAGATTCCGGCGATGAGATCACTCGATCTATCGTGAATCGTATGCACGCCACATCGAGTGACTCTGCGATTGCACCTTTCTGGCTGGCCATGGCTTTCCTCAGGGATAGCACGACGGCCACAATTAGCTTTGATGATTTTATCTCACTCGATCAAATTGAGGGTTCCATATCATCATCTGCTCGCAGTGGAATGATCGAAGAGCTATACTATATCTCATTGAACATCTTGAACGAGTTACCAATGGATGGGTCCGGTGATTGGCGCACATCGGCACTTGCGTTGGAATCTGTGGCATTGCAGGCTCAACAATTAGGAGAATCTTTCCGGCCTGAGCTCATGGATGCACTCTACCCAACCCTGCAGCTATTGGCATCTCAGAATCCCAATCTTCAGCGACATGCCATGACCTGCCTCAATATCCTGACCAGTGCTTGCAATTACACAGACACCAGCTCTATGATCATAGAGAATGTGGACTACCTCGTGAACTCAGTGGCCCTGAAACTCAACACCTTCGATGTATCACCGTATCCCCCACAGGTCTTGTTCATGATGGTCAAGCTTTGTGGTGCACGCTTGATTCCATACCTTGACGATCTCGTGGACTCGGTATTCGGCATCTTGGATCTATACCACGGCTACCCAAAGCTCGTCGAAATGATGTTCAAGACTCTAGCTGCCATCGTCGAAGAGGGAGCTAAGAAGCCATCATTGCTCACTATCGACGATGGCAAACAGCACGGCTCTCACGATACCCGCAAATCACAATATCAACACCTCTCTATCTCTAACATCGCCGCGGATATCGCCAATCGGAGACTCAAGCGCCCTCAGCAGGAAGAAGAAGACGAGGTAATTTCTCACCCCAAGAAACCGTGGTCAGAAACCTACGAAAAGCCACCACCAGAGCCCTCCATCGAGGAACTCCTCAACGAAGCCGAATCAGACGAGCCCCTCCCACCACCAAAGGAGCCAGACGACGCCGAAAAACCACTCAGCAAAACCCACAACCTCCTCCTCCACATCGTCAAATCCATCCCATCACACCTAACTTCACCATCTCCTTACCTGCGGCGCTCCCTCCTCTCAATCCTAATCGACATCCTGCCCGCCCTCTCCCAAAACGAAAACAGCTTCCTCCCTCTCATAAACGACCTCTGGCCCACAGTCGCAAGCCGCATCGTATTCCCCTCTTCAATGGAAACCTCATCTTCCAAATCCCTCATCACATCCACCTCCACCTCCGAACCAAACAACCCAACAGACTACCAAGAAGAAACCTTCGTAACAGTTACCGCCTGCGAAGCCATCGAAGCAATGTGCAAAGGAGCCGGCGACTTCATGGCAACAAGAGTCGAAACAGACTTCCCACGCTGGGACAAGCTGTACCGTCGCGTATGGGAGAAAGTGCGGAACGACGCCGAAGCTGCGAACGAGCGACGTGCGAGATCTCATCCTGGCGATTCAGATCCTGCATCAAGCTTACAGGCAGTTTCCTTGTCTTTGGCTTTATCGTCTTCCACGCCTGGCTCGAAGTTCTTCACTTCACATCATCGTCTGTGGCGAGCGTTGGTTTCGCTGTTCTTGACGGTTTTGTCGCATGTGCGGCTGCCTTTGGATGTTGGTGATCGGATCTGTGAGGTGCTTGGGGGGTGGATTGCGCTGTTTGTTGGTGCTGGGTATTACTTCCGGGCTGATAGGGCATCTGTTGGAGATGAAGTTGTTCGGTCTGTTGAGCGGGCTATCCGGGCTATGGAGGCTTGGAATGCGGACTTGACGTGGTTTATCTTTATGCGACATCGCGTCAAGGTTGAGCCGAAGCCTGCTGTTAGTTGCGGTGTAGCTGCTGGTGGCGAGGACATGAGACTCGCTGAAGTTGTCTTCTAGTTGGAGTTTGTTTGAGCATTACATGGCAGATGTGTGCATTTTGCTCTACATTTGGAGTGTACAGTAGCGTTGGTTGCAAGGTTATGAATGCGAATGAGATATGACTACGGCAGCCATGTTGGCGCCACCCATGACCTACTCCGTTCAGAACCGATGTACAGGTAGTTTAATTTGGTGTACTCTCACTTCATGTGCAGATATTCAGTGCTTTATTCGTCTCTCAAGTTTGGGACTAGGGATATTTCTTATTGTTTCTGCATCTCTCTGGAAATATTGACAAATACGATAAGCATAGTATTATTCCAAATGAGTGGCGACTGGTAGGCTACTAAACAGAAAACAAACAGAGCGAATCTATCCTAACTCGACAGATTGAAGCAATTCAGGGTCTGCGGGAGGGTCCAATTCGAGAGCATGTGATAGATGTCCATCTAATCACTCTCTTCCTCGCTGCCGCTCTCCTCATCACTCTCGGCAGTCTCGAGCCACTCGATGAAAGGCTTGGCGGCCTTGTGAATCTTCTTGCTGGTCGAGACGTCGACGTATTTCTTGCTGGTCTTGGCACCCCAGGCCTTGAGGGTTTCCTCAGACACGAGATCGTTCTGGTAGTAAGCAAGCAGGATTGCGGGGACCTGAGCAACCAGAGCGGGGTGATCCTGACCGACAAAGCGCTCGGTGCCACCAAGGAAGGCCTTCTCGTGACGCTCGGAGCTGATCATCTTCTTGAGCAAGCCGGCACGAGCCTCAACCTGCTTGGCGATCTTCTCGTCGAAGATGCTCTGGGCCAACACAGCACAGGTCTTGTGCTTGGTCTCGATGCCGAATTCCTTGGCCTTCATATAGATGTCGACATCGCTGACATTGGTGACACCACCCTTCTCAGCGGCAGTCTCAACGATCCAGCTACCCAGCTGCTCGTACGAGGAGGTGCCGTCAGCACCCTCGTCATCACCGTTCTCGATGACGAGAGCGCGCTTGAGATCGTCGGGGAGATCCTTGGCACGGGCCTTCACGGCAGCCTCGGAAACGTCGACGGCCCAATCATCGTCCTCGATCTCAGCCTCAGCCTCAATGGCCTGGGCCTGACGGGTCATCTCGTCGTCGCTGTGAGCCTCAGGGGCCTCGTCACCATCCTCGCCGTTCTCGGAGTTGTTGCTGTCGCCGGGGCTGGCGTCCTCTCCGTTGGCAGCACGCTCCTTCTCACGCTCACGGCGGGACTTCTTCTTGTCCTTCTTACCGCCCTTGGGGTTGTTGCGGACAATGAAAGTGCTCAGCTTGAGGCGAGGGTCAACGTCGGAGCGCTGACCACAGGCCTTGCAATCCAGGGTGATGATCTCCTTGTTGATGTTGACATCAGTCTCGGGGTTCTTGCACTTCTTGCAAAGCACAAACTTGGAGATGAATCCATCGAGGTAGTCCTGGAGCTTAGGAGCGTCGTGGGAGCCGTTGATGATCCAGCGATCATCGGAAGGCTTAGCATTGGCCTGAGCGCCAAGCTCGAATCCGAAGTACTTGATGAGGAAGGCAGGAGGGCGGCTCAGAGACTGGGCAACTGAGTTGAGGTTGACGACAACGGTCTTGATACCGTTGCCCTTGCCCTCGACCTTGGCTTGGAGCTTCTCCATCTTGTAACGGTAGAAGGGATCGGTGACATCCCGGCGAATGTTGACGGTGGCCATGATGATGGTTTAGTTGAGCGAGTAGTTTTCACGAAAATGAAACGGTATGGGTGGAAAGTATCGAGGGGGTGTCTGAATGAAGATTTTTACTGTAACAAGACATGCGTGTCGAGTTGGATTTTTTTATGTTTGGAGGCGATCTTTGTGATTTTCTTGGGAGATGGTCACAATTAAGGTCAAAGATCCAGTTCAGCCACAGGATCTGAGGTGTATGCTGCAAGGTTTCGGCGCGCGAAACGTTTGCAGCTTGGGCGGCAGGTGATGTTCGAAATTTTGGACGGAGGACGAATACATAGACAAGTTCGCAGTAAACTTCTCAAAGTGGTTTCTGAGACCGAATTTGGTTCTTTGGGGAAACCGAGTCAGAGGTCGGAGACCCTTGGATTGACGAAGAAAAGTGATGGTGGCGAAGCCGACTAACCAAGTGAAAAGCGTAGATGGTACCACGCAGGGAGATGAAGGCTTCGTTGAAATCGATGCCTGAAGAGAGTTGTTTAGAGAAGAAGAGAGAAGGTGCGAAAGGGAAGGATTTTTTGACCGGGCTTATGTCAGCGGGCACGTGCCGGAGATAACTCGGACTATATCCGACGTATTTAACAATACCTAAGTAGGTCGAACAATGTAGTTATACTTAAGTAGTTGATGTTTTGTGTTACAGTCGTAAGCCAAAGTCTCGGTTTACTCATATCTCTACTTAAGTACCACTATGTGGTGTATATTGTGTGATGTATTATGTGTGTAGTACTTTATAGATCCTTTTGCACTCCCGAAACCTAACTTGGAACCCCACCACGCTCGGCTGCAATCTTCGTCACGTTGTACGAATCAATTTCGGCTTGTTTTTGAGGCAATTGGTATTCAGCTCAGACCCCATTCTCACAGCATGTCGGTAGATCTATCTTTATACCTGGTTACGGACTCGACTCCGGCCATCCTCAAAGGCAGAGACCTGTGCACGGTAGTAGAGCAGGCCATCCAAGGAGGTAAGCAGGCCAAAATGGAGACCTTTGGCACTTGGCTGACCCCGCACCAGGCGTAACGGTAGTGCAATACCGGGATAAATCCAATGACACCGGGGCCTTGGTGGAAACCGCCCGGAAATTGCACCAAGTGACCAAAAAGTACAATGTGCCTCTCTTGATCAATGATCGAGTGGATGTGGCTCTCGCCATTGGAGCCGAGGGTGTGCACCTGGGTCAAGATGATATGAGTGCGTCGCCATACTCCCAGGCAAGGTCTTTGTGCTGATGGAATCAGAATTCGAGCAAGCAAAGCAGCTACTACCTAAGGATGCCATCATCGGAATCAGCACATCCACCGTCGAGGAGGCTAAAAAGGCCGTTGCGGATGGCGCTGACTACCTCGGAATTGGGACTATGTTTGCGACCCCCACGTAAGTCTCTCGGTCCTTTGCCCAAAGGCACAGGCTGACCGATTTTAGGAAAACGAACACCAAGTCAGTCATCGGCACAGCGGGTACTCAGATTATCCTGGATGCCATCAAATATTCTTCAGTGGGCACTGTTTCCATCGGTGGCATTAACCACTCCAATGTGCAGAGGGTGATCTACCAGTCCAAGTCCCCTCAGAAATCATTGGACGGTGTGGCCATTGTCAGCGCAATCGTGGCAGCCGATGACCCCAAAGCATCTGCCCAAAAGTTCGCTGAACTCATCAATAATGCCCCTCGCTTTGCGTTGGCCTCCAACCCTTCTCGCGCTAATGAGACAGAGGCGTTGATCAACGATGTTCCCCAAGTCATCCGCAAGATGGTCGAGGTGCATCCTTTAGTACACAACATGATTAACTTCGTCGTGTCAAACTTTGTGGCCAATGTTGCGCTCTCAATGTGAGTATCCTTCAGAGCCCCTTTCTGATTCCATACTGATGAATATGCAGTGGCGCATCTCCCATCATGTCGCCATACGGAGACGAAGCCACAGACTTGTGCAAATTTGACGGTGCTCTTCTCATCAACATGGGCACCTTGACCAGCGAGAGTGTCTCTAATTACCTCAAGGCCATCAAGGCATACAACGAGCGTGGTAACCCGGTAATCTACGACCCCGTGGGCGCAGCCGCGACCCAAATTCGTCGTAGCGCAGTCACCCAACTCATGGCCGGAGGTTACTTTGATCTGATCAAGGGCAACGAAGGTGAAATCCGACAGGCTTGGGGCAGTGGTGCCGTCCAGCAGCGCGGTGTCGACAGTGGACCGAGCACTCTAGACGGTAACCAGAAGGCTACATTGGCACGAGACCTGGCTCGTAGGGAACGTAAGTATAGCTCATCACATTGTATCGACATCTTCTAACACGTTCCAGGAAACGTTGTTCTCATGACTGGTGCCACAGACTACCTGAGCGACGGCGAACGCGTCATTGCCGTCGAGAATGGCCACCCATTCTTGGGCCAAGTAACCGGAGTAAGTTTTACTGTTTCCCGTCCCTTCAGAACTTGGCTAATCGCATTCTCAGACCGGCTGCGCCATTGGCACAATCTCGGGTTGCTTCCTCACTGCCCACCGCTCGGACAGACTTCTCGCCGTGCTGTCTGGCATTCTCATGTACGAGATTGCAGCTGAGAATGCTGCGTCTAAAGAGTATGTTCGCGGCCCGGGTAGCTTTGTGCCCGCCTTTCTCGATGAGCTCTATGCCATCCGCACTGCCGCCGCACAAGGCGACGATAGTTGGTTCGTTGGCCGGGCCAAAGTACACGAGGTAAAGTTGTAAGAATAGCTCTAGAGGTGCCATCTAATTTGACATATGTGATGCATATACAAAAACGCTGTAGACAAAAATGCTGTAGACCGCGGTTGTATGTAAAAAGTTCCCCGATTCCCCGCAGCTCCGATTCCCCGCGTCGGCCACCACCGCTTCTCCCCGTCTCTTTTTATACTCGTTCAACTCCTCTCTATCTTTTTCCAATTGCAAACTTTAGAAGAAGCACACCCTCACTATACTATCATCATGTCGATAATGCGTGCCTCTCGAATCCGTAAGATCCTACTCCCCAATCCAATCGCAAGAAACTAACACCTATCCAGGCAATCCCGCGCTTTTGTACAGACCCCAATTCCCCTCCAATCAAGCCCCAACTAACAACCCCAGCATCTGCGACGTGCAAGAAAAGTTCCGCGGGATCTACGAGTTCCCAAAACTGTACACACCTCAAACCCACCATCCACTTCCATCCTAACCCGAACAGGATCTCAACAACGGACAAAATGCTCCGCGCAGCAAACACCCTCAACATACCCGTCTACATAACCACCCAAAGCCGCGCCAAACTAGGCCCCACCGTCTCCGAGCTCTCACCCCAAATAACAGGCCCAAACATCCGCGCCGACATAGACAAAACCCTCTTCTCAATGGTGACTCCCGAAATCGAGAAATTGCTTCCGCCCTCGTTGGATGTGATTATCGTTGGCATCGAGACTCATATCTGTGTTACGCAGACGACGCTGGATTTGTTAGAGCGGGGACATAGAGTTTATGTTCTGGTTGATGGGGTCAGTAGTATGAATGCCGAGGAGAGGGGGATTGCGCTTGCGCGGTTGAGGGATGCTGGGGCCATTGTTACGAGTAGTGAGAGTATTTTGTTTGAGATTATTGGGGATGCGAGTCATGAGGGGTTTAAGGCTGTGAGTGGGATTGTGAAGGAGACGAAGGAGAGTACGAAGGGGGCTTTGGGGGCTTTTTCTAAGATTTAGATTGAATGGCCTGTGTTGGGGAATGGGTGATTGCTGAGAATCCTCCGGTGGAAAGGCGGCTGTTTCGGGGTGCCATTGGAGAAGCAGCCATTTTCGTCGATGTCCCAGGTCCTTATGTTTTACATGTATTTTCTACATTGGCAAGAGATTGATCGGGAATTTCATCTTTGTTTTTGTTGTTTTTAGTTATTTTTTTTTTCCTGTCATACTGCTACCGATCCCATCCGAGCCGGTTGAAAATGAGCGCGATGTCATTTCCCCTTCTGTGGTCTCCTTTCCATGTTTCAGTTCCTTATCGTTCCAGAATCAGGATAATCGAACATAGGCGAATGATGCTAGTATATTTCATCTAGAATTAGACGCCACGAGTGACCGGGTTGAGGGCCGGGTTAAGCCATCCAAATGCCGACGCGCCACCAACAGGATTAAGGCCCTTGCCAGGAGACGTTGTTGGGTGTGGGGTGGCGGGTGGAGATTTGGCGTTTTCAAAACTGGGACCAGCGGAAGTCGAGGTCGAGGTGCTTGAATACGCGCGGTTGGTTAACTTGGCAGGTCGGAAGACTTTCATCTCGCGCTTGTCGGGCTTCGGAGCTGTGTATGTTCTCTTGGCTTCGCGACGCCAGCTACTCCAAGTGGGTATGTCTTCTTTGGTCTCGGAAGTCGGGGCACTGGTAGTGACAGGGCGATTTTCCGAAGTTGGTGCTTTGACCGGGCTTGGTTGGGCGGTTTGGCTAGGCTTGGAGTTGCTATCAATTCCACCAGAAGGGGTTTTGGAAGACGGGGCTGGCTCTTCCTGGGAATTAATGGGGCGGCCAATAACACCGACAGGGGTGTTACCATTGTCAGAAGAGGACTGTGAGGTCACAGACCCAGACAGAGACCCAGAGGTGCATGGAGCAGTGTACAGATTCTTGAAAACCGTGTCGTTCTCTGGGCGCACAAGAGGAACCGAGATTCGGTAGTGCTCACTGTCGACCATGATGAGCTTATCCTGGGAGAACAAAATGTCTGCATTTTGAGCACGTAGCACATCACTTCCAATAATTATTTGAATGGACTGGTCGGTAGGCTCTCCTTCACGAATCACGAAGCGCACGGGCACCGCGGGAACTTGGTGGGTAGGTGTTTCGGGGCGTGAGGAACAAGGATGGATGACAGCCTCAGGGAGGTAAAGCGGGAGCTTGATGTAATGCACATCGTCCTCGCGCACAATCAAGTCCTCCATCCCAAGATTGCGGATCATGGAAAGACTTACGCTTGAGAAGTAAGAGCCGGTGCAAACGGCAGCATAGAGAAGTGAGCCATTTGTGAAATCCTCAGTCAACCAGCAACGAATGATTGAGGGCACTGGACCTAGCAAGAAAAGTCCAGGTGGTGGAATCAGAGGCGACTCGATTGGCGTAGACCCCGAAAGCCGGGCAGTATTCAAACGTAGGCTGTTGGTTCGGGCGGACTGGTGTGAGTAGCCGGAAGAACTGAGTCTTCCATCGGATTGGTGAGAGAAGGTGCGCTCAAGAAGCGGATGTGAGCTCAGTCCACTACCGGTCCGAGAAGGTAGGTCGCTGCTATTACGGTTTGTATGACCGTATCCATGGAGGGCGCTTTCATCAAAACGCACGCTGTTGGCGCGGGAAGCACCCCGTCGGGGCTCGTCATCGCCATCAAATCCGACCGCGGAGTTAGTCATTGTGGAAGGATGAGCCTGGTCAAAGCCTTTGAAAGCGTCTGGTGGGGAGTGGAAGGCGGGGTCTATGATGATGGGCTTGTTCAGTGGTGAACTGATTCCGGAGGGTAGAACTGGGCTACCTGGTGTGATCGCTCCAACGGATGTGGGAAAAGGCGATGCAGATGCCCATGGACTTCTCAGTCGGGCATCCTCGTCGCGACGTCGCTCCAGCTGGGCGAGGCGCTCTCCTTGCTCAAATTGGGTGAGGTGGAGCTCCTTCAACTCGTCAAAGACACGCCAGATATCGTCTCGGGAGGCAAAGGGATACTGCGCGTCCATAGCCAAAGGTTTGTTTCGATTGCCGGGGGGAGGAGAAATGGGATAGGAAATGTAGCGATCGTCAATCGGTATTGCTCGTCACTTCTCGCCCCTCCGCCCGAAGAGCCCGGATTGACTTGGGGGTCTCACGCCGTCGCCGTCGGCTGTCGGCTCTTGGTTCTCGTTCTTAGACTCGTCACTTGTAACTTCTGTCCTCCTTCAATTTGTGAGACGGCCCACCGGCCGTCCACACTGTCTGCGAAAGGCAAGTATCAAATAGCGTAGTCAACACATGCGGCGAATTTGGAGTAGACGATAACGGGCGGAGCGGAATAAGTGTGGAGGAGAGAAGATTAAGGGGGAGAGTTCCAATCTCATTCAAAATTTCACAAGTTAGGCGAGGTTCGAGTAATGCAGAATGTCGGAAAATTGGGCAAGTCAATGGGAAGTGAAGGTGCCTGGGAAATTGATGCGGAGAGGGACGATCACAGGCTAGACCGCTTTGCTCCACTACACATATTTCCCCGGGATTTTTGATTCCCTTTTTTTTTATTTGCTTCTAAACTGATTCTGCTTGCAGATGGCATTTCTCATCTATCTGAACTGTAGCTATTTGCATATATTCTCATTTGGGGGCATCCACCCATGAGGGGAACACCATCGGAAGCACCTCCGGGCTCTGATCTGGCCAATTGCCTTCAATGACTTTCATAACCTCTTCGTAAACAAGGCGGTTGCCAGCAGAAGACAGATGCAGACCTGTATGACATGTAAGCATAAGAGAAAATGAAAAACAGTCCAACCGGAGTTTATCACGCACCGTCTGTGAAAAGGCTGGCAAATGTTTCATTGCTCGGAGCATCGCGAGACCCAATCAACGGCTGACCCTCGTGCCAGCCAGTGGGTTTCATAAAGGCTGACCACAAATCCACAGCTGGAACCTTCAGGGATGCAGCAACTTCCAATGCAGCAGCTGCATATAGCTTGGTGAAGTGAGCCGTTCGGCTTGGGTGTGGGGTGTCCTTTGCAGCATCAAAGCCCTCCAATTGATATTCATTGACTGGAGGGGGACTGATCAGAATGATGCGGGGGTTTTGTGCGACTGTTGCTGGGTGCTGAATGATTGCTTTCAGGTTTTCCTTGTATTGGTCTACAGGCACATGCTGGCTGTGGCCTGGAACGCATGCATCATTGGCGCCGAAGAAGATGGTCTGTCCGACTTGGGTTAATGGGTTTGAATTTGGGCTTTCAAATGGCTGTGCTTACCATGAACTGCACATTGGCAATCTGTGGTGGTGGGAAGCACTTGTCAAAGACCTTGATGGCATGGGCGGTTGAATATCCACTGCTGTCTTTAGCACATCTCGGTCTAGCCCAGTGGTCAAGTGGTTTTGTAATCTTACGCTAGACCGCGGTTGACCACATCTAATCTCCGACTGTAGGCTGATGTTTCATAAGCATCGAGAAAGACGACTTGAGAGCTGAATTTACCTTCTTGAAGAGCCGCATGAAAGCCGAATCCTATCTCTTGGTTGCAACCCATCTGTGTGATGGAATCCCCAAACAGAATGAACTGGTCATAGGGTTGGTACCCATCTTGATTTTGGCTCATCTTGTATTTCAAGGTTGTTCAGAAGAAGATGGGGGGGTTAAGCCTTATAAAAGATAAGCTAAGTGCGGAAGTGGGGTTTGGTCCGTGGACAAAAAGGAAAGGCTTTTTTTAGTTGATACTTAAGTAGAGCAAAGTCACATCTACTTACTTAAGTAGAATACTAGAATAAGTTGACGGAAAATTTGACAAATGGTTGAATATTGCATTTACAGGTAAGATCCATGGAAAAATCCAAGTGCTGGCTGTTACTGTTCGACTCAGTACGGAGTCTGGATTGGGTATTGAATGCTAGGTACGGAGTAAACGTGTAGAGCTGCATGTTTGATCAACGGGAGTTCTGGAAATGTGAGATTTATTCAAATGCTCAATCTGCCTATTTTTCCGATCATAGAACATTGGAAGATGATTGTTTATCAGATACTCCGTACATCCACCGTATGTAGTATGTACACAGCGGCCTCCCTTACCAACTTTACTTAAGTCCTGCTTCTAAAGTTTTGACTTGAGTAGTATATGTATCCCAGGGCTTATTTAAAGAGTAGTCTCATCTTTCCTAATAACCTTTTTCATCTCCAGGATTCTTTTCCATACCGTTTCCAAGGCTTCCATCTCTTTTCCTCTTGTCTTTTCTCTCCTTGCTTGAACAGGAAAAATTTCAAGTCAAGGTTTTGAAATCTAATTCATCTCAAATTATTGATAAGAGCATAAGGGCTGAGCAAATCAGGTCTAAAGGTCGGGCTGCTCTGTACTGCCGTACTCTACACCCTCGCAACCAGCCAGCAACTATGATACTAACCCATCCAAAAGCTCAAACGCAGATGCACCGGAACATCCCGATCTCAGGGCGATCTATGCACGCCCTAACGCTCGACAGTAAAAGCTTATCACCTTAGGGGCCTCGAGACAGCCCTGTACGGTATACCGTGAGGTGAATCGCAACCGATGGAAGCTCAAAGGGCCAAAGGGGACCAACACCGGTCAGTTAATATATCCCCTCAAGTCCCGACCCCTCACGCGGTGGCGTTGAACTCACGAGGAATGCCAAGAGATCAGCATCAGTTGACCGTTGGATTGGATGAAGTGGATGAAGCTGATACAAACATCCCCCTTCGTTTGGGGCTCATGCACCCCGAGTGTCGAGGATGTTAGACATTCTAACCTCCTTCGGCATACCAAGGGAAAGTATTTCATGGGTTCTTTGCCTCCAGTGTCGATTTTGATTGTTTCGCAGCATCGCCCCGCATTCATCTCCAGAAACAGTGTGTAAGCTAGTCAGACGAGCCCCGGCATGTGCTAGATGGGGTGATGCCGCTGTCATGTCTTGATGTCCCCTATCTGAGCGCAAGCGTAGACAAGGTTGCCGAGTCTGGAGCCTTTCCATCTCGTCGAATCATGTATACAGATCAGAACGTTGAGTCCAAGCTCAAGGGCCTCGCTGCTTTGAACCGTTTCGGCCGGAGAGATCGGCAAAACGCGGGGGCGTGGAATGTGACCACTGTGCAGTGATCAAATCACCAGCGATGTGTTTAGGAGCATTGATGGAATAAATTAAGGATGTGCAAAAATAAGAAGTCTGTTGCTGATCGGTGGGTGAATGGCGGGCAACCTGACGCGTTATCCGTTGATCATCTGGGTCACATCATCCGAGTTCCTCTTTTCTTCCACAACTCCCCTTCTCTTTTTCCTTTGTGTGTATCTGGTATATGGTCCAGAAGCATATGAGGATAGAGAGATGCAATTCAGCATCTAGGTACGGTACCTTGCTTTGTTTCGCGTGAGCTACTCCACTTGGCACATGTGGATCTCCGCATAACTCCAAATACTGACCGCTGCAAGCCCCGCCGTATCACCTTGAAGGGTAACACTTCTCGACATGCCCAGGTCTCTACCCAAGTCCGCCTCACGCGAAGAGGAAGAGGCCGATGCCCACCCTATCGCCCGAACAGCTCCTGCGTCCCCGGCTGCCTACCGACGATCTCAAAGCTACCTCTCCGAAACACATACAGAATACCAATCTCTTGATCTCCCTCCAGCGGTCACTGAAACTACCAGTCTGCTAGCCCCCGTGCCCGATCCTCGACGGCGAGCTCCCCAGCGTTCATATACCAATACTTCCGGGCTGTCGGGTGGAGCCCCAGCCCCAGACTCGTTCAGGCACCTACTGGCGGCCGGCAGCCTGCGTCGAACACGAAACCACAGTCGCACCAACTCGGTGGGTAAGAGACTCAGCCGACGAGGAAGCATAGACGGAGATAGTGGGCCAGCCAGCATTCCGCCCTCGACAAAAGACAACCTCACCGCCTCCTCGTTCTTGGATGAGCGGACTTGGTACGACCAGTTCACTTCGACAGACTGGGTGCATGACAGTATCGCAGATGGAACTCGTTTGCGGTTGCTGCGCCAGCGCAAAGATGTCCGAGGTCGACTTTTGGCTGCATTTGACGGCGCACAGGGGTGGATCTTAGTCGCTCTTATTGGTTGCATAACTGCAGCTATTGCATACTTTGTTGATGTCACAGAAGGCGCTATATTTGACATCAAGGAAGGCTTCTGCACGACTCAGTTCTTCCGCAGTCGACGAACCTGCTGCCAGGGGCAGGCGATTTGCAATTCATGGCAGTCTTGGTCGAATATATTCCAGTCCTCCAGCGAAGAGAACATGTGGATTGACTATTTCATGTTTGTATTCTGGGTTGTGGCTTTAGCACTCATATCATGTGCTCTGACCTTGCTCACCAAGACTGTCGTCCCCTCGTCGATTTCTCTGGCCACTCTTGACGAGAATCTCGGCGCAGACTCCCGAGGCACTCGATCTGGAAATGGGTTCAGTGCTTTGGCCTCGCCTCTCTCGGAGTCAGAGTCGGACCCACCACCGCATGGAAGTCTGCCTAACAATCCATCACGCCCTGCAATGATATACTACTCTGCTGCTGGCAGCGGAGTTGCAGAGGTCAAGGTAATCAATAGCGGTTTCGTCCTACATGGATATATGGGACTGAAGACGCTTGTTATAAAAACCATCGGATTAATCTTCAGTGTTTCCTCGGGTCTGAGCTTGGGTAAAGAAGGCCCATACGTTCACATTGCTACCTGTGTGGGCAACATCTGCTGTCGTCTATTTGCCAAGTACAACCAAAACGACGGTAAAAGACGAGAAGTGCTGAGTGCCAGTGCTGCCAGCGGCGTTGCTGTTGCTTTTGGAGCCCCGATCGGAGGTGTTCTCTTCAGCTTAGAAGAAGTCAGCTATTATTTCCCACCCAAGACCCTCTTCCGAACATTCTTTTGCTGCATCGCAGCCACTCTTTCCCTCAAATTCCTCAATCCATATGGAACAGGCAAGATTGTCTTGTTCGAAGTGCGATACCTGTCTGACTGGGAGATATTTGAGATCTTCATTTTCATCGCCCTTGGTATCATGGGAGGTGCAGCTGGTGCACTATTTATCAAAGCCTCGAGCTGGTGGGCCCGGAACTTCCGTCGCATTCCCGTAATTAAGAAGTGGCCTATGCTCGAGGTCTTCCTTGTTGCACTTCTTACAGGTGTTGTCAGCTTCTGGAACCGATACACCAAAATCCCAGTCACAGAACTTCTCTTTGAGCTGGCCACTCCTTGTGAGACCGATGTGGAAAGCACGGGGCTATGCCCTAGAGCAGATGGTATTATGGAAATCATCAAGTATCTGATGGTAGCTTTTGTCATCAAGAGTTTCCTTACCATTGTCACGTTTGGCATCAAAGTCCCCGCAGGCATATACGTGCCATCCATGGTGGTCGGTGGATTGATGGGACGAATTGTCGGACATTTGATCCAATATTGGGCTCTCAAACACCCCTCATTCTTTTTGTTCGACTCTTGTCCTGCTGGTACCGGAATCGAGACGTGTGTGACTCCGGGTGTCTATGCGTTGATTGCCGCTGGAGCAACCATGTGTGGTGTGACCCGATTGTCAGTCACTCTGGCGGTCATTCTGTTTGAATTGACGGGGAGTCTTAACCATGTTCTCCCATTCTCCCTGTCGGTACTCTGTGCCAAATGGACTGCAGATGCCATCGAGCCTCGCAGCATCTACGTAAGCTAATCCGTCAGCTCTGATTCCGAGACAATACTAACCATTTCCAGGACCTTTTGACTGATATGAACTCATACCCCTTCTTGGACAGCAAACTCCAGCCCACATCCGATGCCGTACTGGGGGACATTGTTCGACCATTCAGAAAGAACCGCATCATAGATATCTCCGACTCACCGTTTGTATCTGCTACAGATCTACGATCAAGATTGGAGCATTTGCTCATGGCTGGTGAACTGGACAGCGGACTACCAATCTTGCGCAACGGCGTCTTGAACGGTCTCATTCCGGCACCTGATCTTGAATACGCTCTGGACAACATGGTTGACAACGAAGACAATACCGTTTGTCTTATGTCCATTGATTCTTCCGTTGCTGTCTATGACAGTGATTTAGAGGATGCTGAGCAGGTAGATTTCAGTCCCTTCATTGACGTGGTAAGTCGAACAAACGCATTGATACTGCGACCCTGCTAATGATTCAACTAGGCTCCAATTGCTCTTGATGTCCACTCATCCATCGATTTAGTCTACCAGTGCTTTGCCAAACTCGGTCTTCGGTACCTGTGTGTTACCCTCGACGGCAAATATACCGGCCTGGTACACAAGAAGTCATTCGTCAAATTTATGAAGGAGAATAGCGACTAGGTGGTCGTTGTTTCCTGCCGCGATATTAATCGCATTTCTAGATTTTTGCTATTCCGAGCGCTTGATTTGAATGTTTTGCATAGCCTTGCATGTCCTCTCACTTACTACCCAGTCTTTTTTTGATCAATCTCTGTGGCGTTGATCCAATATTGGCATTATGCATATCTTGTTGTATATAAATTTGTTGGAAGACTGCACTGAGTACAAACCCATCATTGCACAAGTTGCACATTGCAATCCATTCCCACTCTAGATCTTCTCGAAGCCAACCATCTGAACCTCAACATCACCCTCAGACTTCCACTCGCCATCAACCTCTTCTCCAACCCACTCAGAAACTTCCGTGGGACTAGCAGTCCGCCACCCATTGCCTTCATCCAACTTATCCAGCGGGAAGAAAGTATCACACTCAAAAGGCTCCCCATCCTTCCTCACAACATTCGTCATGACAACCCTCAACCCCCTCCCCTGCAATTCCTCCCTCTTCATATTCAAACTGGCATTATAAATCTCCGCCCCACCAATAACATAAACCTTGCCCAACTCCTCACGAGCCCCCAACTCCCGAATCGCAGCATCCAAACTATGCACCACAAACGCATCCGTCTCAGGATCCGCAACAACCTCAGAAGGCGCCTTAGTCTTAGCCTCAGCAGCCTTAGCCGCTAACTTCTCCTTCCTCTTCTCAAGCTCCTTCCGAACACCCTCCTGAACAGAACCCGTAGTGTCACGCGAGATGATAATGCTAGTCCGCTTGGCGAGCGGACGCAACGATGCAGGAACAGAATCGTAGGTCTTGCGGCCCATGATCATTGCATTGGTTTTGCCTGCTGTAGGTGGGCGGGATGTCACGCGCGCAAAAAATGACATGTCGGTCTTGATGCGTGGCCAGGGAAGTGTTCCTTTCAGTCCGATGCCGAGACGGGTTACTTCTTCTGAGACGCGGATTGGGGTCGTTGCCACGATTAGGGTCAATGAGGGTAGTGGATTGTGTGGTTGCATTTTGGATTATATGTTGGAATGCGTACTGGGAGGATTGTACGGAGTAACACGAAGTTGAATTCGAAGTCGCGTCGCGCAAATTGTTTATCGGGCTTATCGCCCCGCACTCTTCGGCTTCGCGGGCACCCAGTATTTCGCTGATTGTCAGGCTTTTATAGGAACTGAATATATGAACACGTTGCTCGAGGTAAAAAAAAGCTTGAGAAAAAACATTACTTTCAATTTCTGTAACTTCTTGTAAGAGACAATGAAGAAGTTCTAGCTGTAAAAATCAACATGGACATAGAAGATACCGCGCCTGTCAACGCCAGACGCATTCAATAGCAGATATAAAACGCCAGGAGCTCGGAAAGCTCTATGCAAAAGATTCCATGACCGAGGTATCCCAGGCGATCCTCATTTCTGTGATGAGGGCATCAACAATCCACCATCGATGGCCTTCTTGACTGCCTGCACATCCTCCTCCAGCTTCTCTCTCCGCTGGACATCGCGCTCGTTCTCACCCAAGGTGTCGAGCCTGCCAAATAGCCAAGTCTCTTTCATTGTGCGGGTGAGTCCGAGGATATCCTCCGCGGCACGGATCTGGAGTGCATTGTCAGATTTGCAAGCGGCAGAGGCTCGGAAGATAGTCGTGTGTCAATGATACACCATACTCCTGGCTAGAGCAGTCATCCAAGTAGGCTTCGAATGAACTTACCAGCGCAGTTGACTCCACGTCTAGTTGGTAAGTTTCCACTGATGTGGAGGTGTAACTCGGGTTGTTGACCTTGGTATGTGTCAGACGATGCCAAACTCAAGAATCTGTCATTGGAGTAAGTCTCACTGTGGCTGTGGCCATGATGTTCTCGAACCGCTGCAATAGCTGGGAGACATCGGCGTTGATGCGATCTGCCGAATGGCCGTGTTAACAGACAGCGCCCGAATGGCTGGGCCCGCGGTCGAACGGTTCAAAGCCCGGGCCATAGCTCCATATAGGGAGACTCACTATGCAGGGCCTTCGCTGAAGGTTGGGAATCCATTTTGTTGGCGATGTTCAGCGTTCAATTCTCGTTTGATATTAGATCTGGTTGGTTGATGTCGTGAGGGCGGTGAAGTTACCCTATCGAGATTGCTTAAGTTTTGTTCGCATACTCCGGACTACACAAGCAATTGCTTTCTTGAATATCTTAAAATGGTTTCTAAATTGGAATAATGGAAAGGAATTGATTCGCTAAACTGAAAATCTGAGGCATCTGACATCAAGAAATTTACCGCACGTATTTGCCCTTGGATAAGTTAGCATTTCTACATTAGAACCAATATGGGACCGAGTACATACCATGAACCTCTTGTGGAAATCGGAACGAAGGAGATCCTAAATAACGTTAGTTCGATACGCCAAGGATCAGTAAAAGCGATTGTGGGCATACGTTGACGAATTCTTTGCCGTCCCTGTTCTCTGTTCCACGGGCCTGGTTCTTGAAGACAACATCGTCGTCCCAGCGACGTTTCATGTTGAAGTCTTGAGAATTGAGCAAAGGGTTGCCAAGCGCGATATCGACTTCACGTTTCTCTTCTTCCTCTGCTGCCCGCTCACGTTCCTAGTAGCAGTTAGCCACTGTCACATCTCTAGTCAGAGATTGCATACCTCTTTTTCCTTTTGCGCCAATCGCTCCTTTTTGATTTTTTCAAGCTCGCGCATCAACTCAGCAGCTTCGTCCTCGTCATCACTTCGTTATGTCAGAACGATCATCCGTGGAAAAGCTCCCGGTTGAACTCACCTGTCCTCGTCGCTGCTCTCTTCTTCTGAGCCATCTGAGTCGGCATCTATATCTCGAGATTCCTCCAATATGCGCCGGCGCTTAGCCTCGGGATCTTCTTTGATTTCTGCGTCTGTTCCTTCCGGTGCAGCCTCGAGTTCACGCTTGATGGCCGGTGATTCGCTGATTGTAGGCTGTTCGGCAGGAACACCGTTCTTTTTGGCAAAGTGAGCGGCCTCAGCTGCGAGGAGCTCTGCGCGGAGGTCACGGGGACCTGCGTCGGCGTCGGCGTCGCCTCCTTGTCCGGGTTGGCTTGAAAATGATCAGCGATGCGCGCCTCCCAGGCTGAGAGCTTATCACATACCGGACTTTCAGGTGAGTGTGAGCGGGGAGGAGTCGCTGGTGGTAGGCCGGGCCGCGAAGGGCCTCTTTTCCTTGCGCCTGTTGGAATCAGTCATTGCTCTGAGGTGGAGTTGGAAATAGTTGACGTACCGGATCGAACGTAGGTCGGTGGGCTAGAAAAGATCAGGCTATGTTAGTTATGGCCTTTCAATCAATCCACTGTGGCATACCTGTTGTCATTTTGTAGAAATGGTTGGAAGGTGAAGTGGTGTGGTAGCAACGATTTCCAGCTTTCGATAGATGTTGTTGCCTTAGGCGCCAACTTTCTCTTCACCTTCACCGCCTCGTCTTCGATTGGTCCAAACCTCGGATCAATAATTATACGGTTCTCAAAATGCGACCCACTCGGGTGGCAGAATGGCCGTGGAACAAGAAAAGAGAAAGGCTCGCTGATCCCCGCGACGGGGCCAGACATAAACCAACCATGTCAAAGGAAGCGCAGCTTTCAGTCGCTGAGCGCGATTTCATTCTTGAGGCCCTCCGTCAGGATGTGCGCCTTGACGGCCGTAAGCCTGATGAATACCGTCCTCTTGACATTTCTTTTGGTGAAGAATACGGACATGTGAATCTGCAGCTTGGAAAGACACAGTGAGCTTCAACTCTACACCACCAATGCCTTACAATTGCTTACATTCTCTAGTGTCATTGTGCGCATTTCAGCAGAGGTCACCAAGCCCCGCGATGATCGGCCTTTTGATGGTTTGTTTAACATTAACATGGAGTTAACCAACATGGGCTCACCTGCTTGGGAGTCTGGACGGTATGGACTACTCTCTACTATATATGTCCATAGTATATGCTGACGACTTTTCCTCTAGCTCCAATGACCTCGAAGCGGCCGTTACTCATACCCTTGACCGTGTCATTCGTCATTCTAACGCTCTGGACACCGAATCTCTCTGCATCCTGAAGGGTGTCAGCTGCTGGAGTATCCGTGCTGATTTGCATGTACTTGACTACGATGGAAACCTCACCGATGCCGCCTGCATTGCGACCATGGCTGGACTCCAACACTTCCGCCGGCCGGATGCTGTGGTTAGAAACGGCCAGGTTATCGTCTACGGCGTGGAGCAGCGGGTTCCTGTCGCCCTGAACATTACCCACAAACCTCTATCAGTCACCTTCCACACATACAACGACAGCAAGCACATCATTCTCGATGCCACTCTCAAGGAGGAGCAGGCCGCCGAGGGCGATCTTGTCATTGGCATCAACAACGCCGGTGATCTTTGCTATGTCTCTAAAATCCAAGGTGCTCCGGTGGATGCCATGGCTATTGTGACTAAGACGAGTGTCGCGTGGGAGAAAGTCAAGGCACTCAACGCTACTATGGACAAGGTCTTGCAGGCGGATCTGGCCAAACGTGCAAAGGTCGGCATGGCTGATGAGTCTCGTGCGACGAATGACCGGGAAGTTCAACCTGAGTAAAAAATATGTACAACTACTACTTTGATGATCATCACGATCTTGGGACTGGAGTTTTGCATTGCTTTTATCAGTGATATCATGGGCATTCCAAAAGCGACAGCTCGTATAAATAAGAAACCCTTTAGTTTTCAATTCTGGATTACATCCATCCTAGGTAGTACTCTGTAAACAGTAGTACTGTGATGTAAATCCCATAGGGATAAACGACGAAGCAGTACTTAAGTACTTAAATAAATATCTATAGATGCATCTGATGTATGGGATGTGAGCCAGTACTTAAGTATAGACTAAGTGGACCGTGTTGGCGCGTACAACGTTAGAAGTGTTTAATATATTTCCGGCCGCCAAGGAGTCCCCTATTCTTAGTCGATGTCGACCAAATAATTGAATTTACTACACTTCTATAAAGATAAATAATTAAATTCAAAGAATAATCCCAGGATTCGAGTGCAATAAATAGTATTGGACTTCATTGTTGTGAAGCGCTTACCAAATCAGCATAGCTTAATTCCGTTGCCTTCACCCGCTAAGCCACCTCCCTCTCATTCTCCCACCTTTACAGTCCAAAACCAGTCGGTTTCGCGAGTTATTTACTGTTCCATCGCCAAGATACATAGCTCCAGCAGATCTAGGAGCGCACTATCCTTCGACCACGCCTTCCGATCAATGCCTCAGGGGCATCACGACTGCGCTACAACAGTGAGGGTGTCAGCTTCCCCGCGGCATCATGGCCAGCGGTAGGCCTCCCGGGTCGCATCCAACCGCTGGTCGCGATGACGACCTGCTGTTGGATTCCGGACCAACGTACAACAGTGGCCAAGGCCCCCCGGTGAATGACGAACACCTGTTAGAGCAATTCAACATCGACGATTCCGAACAACCGTACGAGCAAACGCACCCGCGCCCTTCCGTATCCTACGATAACTTTGTCGGTTCTCGCGCACCACAGCATGCACAACAACATGCTGCTTCTGGACTGTCGCATCCCCCGGTCAATCCCGGAATCCCCCAAAACGACCCCTACTCCGCCGGAATGAGAGATCGCAGCTATTCCCAAACGTCGGGGTTAGACAACTATCGACGCTACTCGTTGGACGATTTTGACGATGGGCATTCGGGCTATTATGATCTTGACGCGGACGAGGACCGCATTGCCAGCTCTCACCATGTTCGCAAGGCAAATGAGCGCAACAGCGTCCTCGGACTTGGAGGCGGTATTATGGGCAAGGCGAAATACATGTTTGGCATGGGGTCAAATCAATATTCGGAGATGGATCTCCCATTGACAGAGGCAGGCGCAAGAAGAGCAACAGTCGACAGCAGTGCATCTCCAGCGCCACCTCGCAAGGAACGCAAGAAGTTCAGCGCGTCTGACTTGAACATTTTTGGGCGGCGCAAGGTCGATCCCAAGAGCCTGGGTCCGCGCATGATCCAGCTCAACAACCCACCTGCCAATGCCAGCCACAAGTTCTTCAGCAACCATGTTTCGACGTCCAAATACAACGTCATCACCTTCATTCCGAAATTCATTTTCGAACAGTTCTCCAAATACGCCAACCTGTTCTTCTTGTTTACCGCGGTTTTGCAGCAAATTCCCAATGTGTCGCCAACCAACAGGTTTACGACAATCGTTCCACTGGGTATTGTTCTGGCGGTATCAGCTGTTAAAGAGTTGGTGGAGGATTACAAACGCCGAAATTCCGACAAAGGCCTTAACCACTCGAAAACCCAAGTCCTCAAGGGATCCTCGTTCCATGAAGCGAAATGGGTCGATGTTCACGTGGGCGATATCGTGCGAGTCGAATCCGAGCAGCCCTTCCCCGCCGACTTGGTCTTGCTGGCATCTTCTGAGCCAGAAGGATTATGTTACATCGAAACTGCAAACCTGGACGGCGAGACAAATCTCAAAATCAAGCAAGCCATCCCGGAGACTGCGCATCTTGTCAGTCCTAGTGATTTGAGTCGTTTGAGCGGACGTGTTCGCTCGGAACAGCCAAACAGCAGCCTGTACACCTACGAAGCAACTCTGACCATGAACGCCGGAGGCGGCGAGAAAGAGTTGCCTCTGGCTCCAGATCAGCTTCTGCTTCGTGGTGCTACTCTGCGCAATACTCCTTGGGTTCATGGAATTGTGGTCTTTACCGGCCACGAGACCAAGCTAATGAGGAATGCGACTGCAACACCCATCAAGCGGACAGCCGTGGAGCGAACTGTGAACATGCAGATTTTGATGCTTGTGACCATTCTCATTGTTCTGAGTGTGATCAGTTCTGTTGGCGACCTCGCAATTCGGAAAACCAAATCCAACCAGCTTGCGTACCTCGATTATGGTGATGTTCACATGGTGAAGCAGTTCTTCATGGATATTTTCACATACTGGGTGCTCTACTCAAATTTGGTTCCGATCTCTCTCTTCGTCACGATCGAAATTGTCAAATACTTCCAGGCTTTCCTCATCAATTCCGACCTCGACATCTACTATGACAAAACTGATACCCCGGCTACCTGCCGTACATCATCGCTTGTTGAAGAGCTCGGTCAGATTGAGTACATTTTCTCTGACAAGACAGGTACTCTAACATGCAACATGATGGAGTTCAAACAAGTCAGTATTGCAGGTATTCAATACGGTGATGATGTTCCGGAAGATCGCCGCGCGGCAATGGAGGATGATGGCTCTGAAGTTGGCATTCACACATTCAAAACACTCCGGGAGAATTTGAGCTCGCATCCATCCCAGAAAGCCATTCGTGAATTCCTCACACTTCTCGCAACTTGCCACACAGTTATCCCGGAGCGAAACACAAGCGATCCAGACGTTATCAAATATCAAGCCGCATCACCCGACGAAGGAGCACTGGTAGATGGAGCAGCTTCGCTCGGTTTCAGATTCACCAATCGACGACCGAGATCCGTGCTCTTTGAACATGGTGGACAGGAGTTAGAATACGAGCTGCTGGCAGTGTGCGAGTTCAACTCTACCCGAAAGCGAATGTCAACTATCTTCCGGTGCCCCGATGGAAAGGTTCGCATCTATTGTAAGGGTGCCGACACAGTTATTCTTGAACGTTTACATCCCGACAATCCCACCGTTGAGGCTACCCTCCAGCATTTGGAAGAGTACGCATCGGATGGTCTGCGCACACTTTGTTTGGCCATGCGTGAAATCCCTGAAGACGAATATCAGCAATGGAACCAGATCTTCGACAAGGCCAACACCACTGTGGGTGGCAATCGTGGAGATGAACTGGACAAGGCTGCCGAGTTGATCGAAAGGGACTTCTATCTTCTTGGTGCCACCGCTATTGAGGATCGTTTACAAGATGGCGTTCCGGATACTATTCACACACTTCAGACCGCAGGTATCAAAATCTGGGTACTGACTGGTGATCGACAAGAAACTGCAATCAACATCGGCATGTCCTGCAAGCTCATCTCGGAAGATATGACGCTCCTCATTATCAACGAGGAGTCCGCAGATGCCACTCGAGATAGTTTGCAGAAGAAGCTAGATGCGGTCAAGAGTCAGATCTCCTCCGGGGATGCAGAGCCTTTGGCCTTGGTCATCGATGGTCGGTCCCTGACTTTTGCTCTGGAAAAGGATATGGAGAAGCTGTTTTTGGATCTGGCAGTTATGTGCAAGGCTGTCGTTTGCTGGTAAGTCTTTTGTGGATTTTCCTAATCTTTTTGGGTTCTGATTTCTCTGCAGTCGTGTCTCTCCCCTTCAGAAGGCTTTGGTCGTGAAACTTGTCAAGCGTCACAAGAAGGCTCTTCTACTGGCCATCGGTGACGGTGCCAATGATGTGTCCATGATCCAAGCCGCTCATGTTGGTGTTGGTATCAGCGGCGTCGAAGGTCTTCAAGCCGCTCGATCCGCTGATGTGGCGATTGGTCAGTTTCGATTCCTGCGAAAGCTCCTTTTGGTTCACGGGGCGTGGAGTTATTCTCGCATCAGTCGAGTTATCCTATACTCTTACTACAAGAACATTACGCTTTACATGACTCAATTCTGGGTAAGTTTGCTCTCTGATCCTACTTTGGCGATGGCTGACCTTTTCCAGTACTCTTTCCAAAACGCATTCTCCGGTGAAGTCATCTACGAGTCCTGGACACTCTCCTTCTACAACGTGCTGTTCACTGTATTGCCTCCATTCGCGATGGGAATCTTTGACCAGTACATTTCCGCTCGATTGCTTGATCGCTACCCGCAACTATACCAACTAGGCCAGAAGGGAATCTTCTTTAAGAAGCACAGCTTCTGGGCCTGGATTTTGAATGGATTCTTCCATTCTCTGATCCTCTACATCGTGTCCCAGCTGATCTTCTTCTGGGATCTCCCTATGGCCGATGGTAAAGTCGCCGGTCATTGGGTCTGGGGAGAAGCACTTTATACCGCTGTGCTCGCTACGGTCCTGGGCAAAGCCGCCTTGATCACCAACATTTGGACAAAGTACACTTTCATCGCCATTCCAGGATCAATGTTCCTTTGGCTTGTCTTCCTCCCCGCGTATGGTTATGCGGCCCCGGCCATTGGCTTCTCTCGTGAATACTACGGCACTATTCCTGTTCTCTTCAAATCCCCCATTTTCTACCTGATGGCCGTCGTCTTGCCTTGTGTGTGTCTTCTTCGTGACTATGCCTGGAAGTACGCCAAGCGCATGTACTACCCACAGCATTACCACCACGTTCAAGAGATCCAGAAGTACAACGTGCAAGATTATCGCCCCCGGATGGAGCAGTTCCAAAAAGCCATCCGGAAGGTGCGGCAGGTCCAGCGCATGCGCAAACAGCGTGGCTACGCCTTCTCCCAGGCCGACGATGGTGGTCAGATGCGTGTTCTCAACGCTTACGACACCACTCGTAGCCGTGGTCGGTATGGTGAGATGGCTAGTTCAAGACCTATGGCGTGATGATTGGTTCGCCAGAGGTTGCATGCAATTGCGGTGGTTTTTTGCTTTTCGCTATGCATACATACCAACCGTTTGGTATATCTGTATCTCTTGTACCTTATGCTTTTCCTTTCCCCTCTGGTGTGTTTTTATAGCCATGCATGGCGTGAAGGCTGTCACATATTCCGTTTCCCTCTTCACTCCATGTTGCTGTAGCTGAATGTAGCGAACTTGAACATTTTTTCTACTTTTTTACAAGTAATCACCATGTGTTAGTTATTATGGGACCTTGGAACTGGGAATTTGCCAGTAGATCAACCCCAGGTGTAAGTACATTCATGTATAGGCTTCAAGATTCAAGACAGTTGAATTTGGAACTCCATAAATCTTGAAACCTCGCACTCCACCCTGCCCTTTGATGTTCCTGGGCCGGCTTGTTGATAGTTCGCCAGACGACGAACACAGGAGAATTCGGTAGCTGTGTGGCTAGCTGGGTCGCTCATTTTGCCTTGGCTCTGAAATCGAACAGCTAGTGCTTCGCTAGTTCGACCCAGCCCAATGCACACAGTCCGCCGGTTTCCTTCTCCCTCCGCCACAGAGCTAGTGAACTGATCGTTCCCGTCCGCTTCTTCTCTCGCCAGTAAGCCCGGATTTTCAATACCTTTAGTTCTTCCTCGGCTTTCCGCAAAGAGTAGCGATAGCCTCATCCAGCCTCGATCTTCTGCTCGCCAGGTCTTCCTGGTGAAATTTGTATCGCTTCATCATGGCCTCCGTCGACGCCCACTTTTCATCCAAGGCAAACTGTTCAGCCACGTGTGGTCCAGATGTACGCCACGGTGTGCCTGTGCCTGAGTTCTGGCGCTCGTCAAATCGTTTGGATTTCTCGACAGTGCTCTGGAATTCACGTATAATATCATTGGGTGACAAGGGTTGACTCTCCGGTTCACTGAAAATAGTGTAGATATCCAGGATTTCCTTGTAACGAGCAGTCCCTCACACTTCGTTCCCAAATTGGGTTTCATTTTGGCCGGATCGTGGGCTGAAATCTCTGTATTCGTTCGACGAAATGGTTTGTCTGTACGTCGGGATTCCTGAACACACACGCTGATGTATTTCCCCGCGTCTGAGTAGTTTACTAGGCTTTTGGGCCAGCGTCAAATCACTCAGCGCCTTTTCCCGCTTTCTCGTCCTCTCTCGATTCGGTTTCGGACGGCATAACGGCTGTACAAGCGAAGGGCCGACTCAGTCGGAGTTGATCAGGTCTTCAGTTGGAGCTGTTTGTTGAGAGGAAGAATCATGAAACGTATCTCAGAGCGAATGGAGAATCGATTGGAAAGAGTAGGATGTTTGAAGGGGTAGTTGGACGAAGTAGGTGAGAATATAACACGTCCACCAAGACCTGCGCCGCTCGTTGTCTTCCTCGAATTGACAGAGTTGTTTTTGACATTCGGCGAGGTTTTTTGCCGGGAGCCATTCGTCGTCGGTCGGTTCTCGACCACTCCAGCGGACGAGATACTTCGTGCGTTCGAGGTATCGAGAGCGCAGGAAGGAATCAAGCGAAGTGTATTCCTACTGCTAAGACTGAGGAAAGGAGAAGGAGAGAGAGAGGAGCGAAGCAGACATCTACTTAAGTACTTATCTACACTAGCTGGTCTGAACCTTGAGATGCCCAGGTGGGCATCTGTACTTAAGTAATTCCTCTGTGGTGTGAAGACACTTGAGCAGGAGGGACTCCGCTTAAGTAACGAAGATCTTTGGGATGTACTTATGAGGGAAAAGAGAGGAAATGAGGCAAGAGCCTTGAAAGTCCCGAACATACTTAAGTACTTAAGTAGCTACCTAAAGATCGCAAACCAATCCTGGAAAATCAATCCCAAATCATCTATAGATACTTTCAAGCTCTCCGGGGCTGCAAGTACAAGGTTTCCTTTTGCACTGGGGCTACCCTGGAGCTCTATATATATAAATCACATACCTGCGAAATCCCACCCACAAAGGCCTTCCAGAGCCCTGGAGGTACAATTCCAGTGGAAGAGATCAAAAGAAAATGTCACACAGACGATTAAACCACGAACCAGCCCACAATTCCATGTGAAACAATGTTGGACAATTGGTATCTTCAACATGGACACCTGGGCAAGAATACTGGCCCTATTTTGGCATTTCCTTTATATAGCACTATTTTTTGCGATTTCTCAACAGCCTTTCGCCGGGCTAGCTCAATCGGTAGAGCGTAAGACTCTTAATCTTAAGGCTGCGGGTTCGACCCCCGCGTTCGGCTCTTCCTAAAAACCAACATGGTCTTTAAGATTTCTTTTTTGCAAAAATCTCTGCTGTCAAAGGGTTGATGTGAGTGGGTGGCAGAGCCCTAATGGAGCCGCTGACGCGGTGTGCCGATTGGTGGATGGGTACTTTTTGCCCCACTTTGGGCTGAGGTTGTATGAGGAAAACAGAAACATGAGAAAGCAAAGGAATAATTTCATTTGAATGAAGAGAGAATACTAGTCAGTGGTCTAAGGTGCAAAGAAATGTTGGAATTATGTCCATGCAGATCCTGATAAAGAGGTAGTAAATTATTGGTGAAGTACAATTGCAGGCTGTGAAGTCAAATGTATAACCTCTAAAGATAGATACACATGAGCTGTATAGATATGATTCATAAGTTTGCATCCATGGATATGGGTGAAATTGGTCAAGTGGCCAGTTATCACTTGGACAGGATGGAATGAGGGTGTGTCATCTTGTGCATCGCTCCTCTGGTGGTCTCCAGCCGACTCCCAATCGCTCCATGACTAGTCTTTCTCTTTCCTCCCAGGTCTCTCCTCCAGATTCCAGGTCCAAGACCTGTCCTGAGTTTTGGTCGCGTACACCACTTGAATCAAACTTCCATGAGTGAGCCTTCTTTGCATGCCTCCGCAAGTCCCGCTGGAAGGTTGTATCGCCAGTCCAACCAAGCACAGCACAGCCAACGGTGCGCCACGGGGATACAATGATATCAACACGACGATGTATGTTCGGGTTCTTCTTCTTATGGCTGTTGGTATCGCCCGTGGGACTGGAAATGAAATTTGGATCTTGCCACACAACCAGTGCTTTGTCGAGGGTGTCGAAGCCTCTTCCCGTCTCGTCGCTATGATAAGGGAGGGTCTGCTGTTCTCGCATTGAGGATGTCAAATGCAAAGAGAGGGTATGAGTGATATACATTTCTTTCTCCAGGCTTGCAACAATATCCACAACGATGTTACGAGTGACCGCCTCGTCGCGATGGGTCAAGATAATGTCGACATCACCAGCCATTTCCTTCCCACGTCGGTATCCTCCAACGATAATATATTCGACTCCACCACATTCGGGACGAACGCGATTCGCATGATCTTGGATAATAGCAGCAATATACCTCGCCTCAGTCCGAGAAATACCCTGTTGAAACTCCTCATAATACTTGAGCCCGATCTGCTGTACACGCGACAATGTACCCCACCCATGCTCAACGATATCGTCGAGATGGCGCCAGCCACGATGGTAATAGAAATCCCTCGCTGTCTTTGCGCCAACACCCCAAATATCATAGAAAGAATTCAATATGCGGAAGACGGAATCCGAATCCAAGGCATTCGCAGCCGCAACATTTCCGTCATCGTCGGTATGGCGGCATCCGCCATCCTCGTGGTATTGCGTGAATAGATTTGCAATCTTAACGTCACATCCCGGCAAGGCAAGAATTTCACTTGGGCGACGTATCAAATAGGGATATGAGGCCAACGATGCAATCGAAGTGCTATAAGCGCGAACCCCAATTTGATCGAGAGTGAGTTCACGAATGCGTCGGATCTTGATGAGTTGGGATATGAACTCTTCATTCGGTGGGTGCAAGGGCGTGGAACGCATACATGCAAGCAGAACTTGGTCACGGACCCAATCTGGTTGAGGTGGCAGTGGATTGTTTTCATCATTTTCGGAAGTGGTCTGTCGATGCAATATTGGAATGGGCCGTTGACTGGAATCCACGGGCTCTTTTGAGCGCCGTTTATTGACTTGACTCGGAAAGATTGGCGATGGCTGACTAGCGTCTTGTTTTGCACGTTGAATGATTTGGTTTGGCTTTTGATCAAGCTGAATTATCTCAGCCTTTGTTGTGGTAGGCGCGGGGATCCTGCGGCCTTTATAAACAACGAAGGGACTCATAGGTAAGCATTGTCCTGCTTTAATCGATTCTTCCAGCCATTCAAGCTTGAGGATGGTGATCAAATCGTCAGGCGGATTTTCCTTTACCAGGTGTTTTGAAGGGTCATGACAGCTTCTGACACCATCTTCCTCACTCTCAGACTCTGTACTGAGATCAATTACTTCAGTTGGGACATTTTCGATCTCAGTGGAGAGCGTGGTTCGCCTACGCTTGGTAGGCTGTGAGGTACTCGTATGTGTTCGTGGAGCCGAAACGGGTGGCGGAGCATATTCTTCTGTCCAGATACCGCGCGAGCGTAGCTCCAGCGCAGCACGTTTGGCTCGACTGACCTTCCCGAGAACCAATCTGGCTTCAGCGATATCGTAGGTCAGATTTCCGCCACATTCCAGCAGTTGACCCTCAACTTCGTCCAAAGCTTCTAGAGATAGATGGGTTGGCAGAACAAAGATAGGGGGCTGGGATGAGAAGATGTCGACAGGCATTGACTGATTTAAGTCTCCGTAGAGCCTTGGAATCCAGGGCTTTGCATGATACGTGGAAGTGGAGAAAAGTTCCCCCAGTTGGAGTCCGAGGTCAAATGCATCGATGACGTCATCCGACAGGACCTGACTAAGACGTCAATATCTCAACATTTGAACCCTAAGGTCTATGAGAAGAATGTATATGAGTATAGTAGCAACATTAAAGACGAACACAGCAATCATGCAAACCATGCAATGCACCAATATCCATAAATATCGTGGTGTACACATACATAGACCAGCATTTTAAGCCCGGATCATACAAAGAGCCATCTATTTCGGTTGCTGGTTAGTGTGAGGCACGCCTGCAGATTCGCCGCCGGGACCATAGAAACAAAATGCACCAAAATATCATTTTACTGAGAGGCAATCATTAACTCAAGGAGTTTCTTGAGACCTATTTATTTCCTCAGTAGTTACCCCGTTCTCAGCTGGTTACCGATATCTAAAATTGATTGAAGCCCTCATCACCAGGCACTCGGACAGGGAGGAAGGTTCAGAGTACCGATTTGAAGACGATCATTTCAACCCAACAGTACGGCTTTGTAAAGAAGCCGGGCGGAAGTCAGACAATGTGCTCTTCAAGCGTCGGCTCCCGACCCTCTTGCACATTGACCCGAGTTGAGTCCCCCTTCCCGACATTCCCAGCAGTGGACCCATACTGACCCCCAGTGTGGGTAACAATGCCACCATCCGGAGTATCATCTTCATCCCGATATCCCTCCTCATTTTGAACAACATTCTTTCCATGTTTCTGGTCCATCCACCTGCGCCAAGGCTTGTAAACCAGAACACTGAGCCCACCGAACACGATGAAGCAGCCACAGATACCACCACCGATAGCATCATAGTAGTCACCAGCGACCTGAACGCCATCCCAGAACCTGCCCTCGGCATCGGTGACATTCAGAACAAGGGTGAGTAGCTGGATTACACCGATGACAATTGCCACGATGACAGTTAGTGTCGTGAGTACGATGGAATAGTACAAGAAAGCCACTGGGTCACGGTGGTTGTTGTGTGACTGTGGTAGCTCGTCTGGGTCACTTGCTATAGAAGCAGTCTCTGCGTCTGGCTTCGATGGGAGGAAGTTGGCGGCTGGTTGGATGTAAAGAGAGAACATCAGAGCTCCGTCGATTGTGTCAAGCAGACACATTCCGGCTTGGGAAGGTCAGCTCAGTGAATCTAATCGGCTCCTTAGGGAAACAAACCGGTGAACAATGCAGGCAGGATAAGAATAACCCAGAAAGAAGTTCCCTTGGCTGCCTCGATAGACGAAATGCCGAGGAGTGCAATCTCGGAAGAGGTATCGAAACCGAGACCGAAAAGGATTCCGAGTGGGTACATTTTCCACGGTCTGAAAATAAGCAACAGGCCATGCTTATACTTCTGGAGAATAACTCACCGGTCAATCAGTTTGAACATCTTCTTCAAAACAGAGAACAAAATGCCTCCACCCTCAATCTTCCATGCTTCGTCCTCTGCACCTTCGGGAAGATTAAACACCTTCTGCATCTGCTTGATGAGTTTATATAAAATGTATGCATTCATAACACCGAGTAGAATCAAGAACGCGGCACTGACACCGCTTCCGATGATTCCACCGATTGTGCTGAACTTGTCAAAGCGCGAGGAAACAGCTGCAGCTGTTGCCGCCACAACAATAGATGTGATGATCACGATTCTGACCTGTGTCAGAATCTTGCTGGTATACATTTGAGAAAAACTTACGTTGAGTGACCCAAGGAAAAGAATGTGCCTACTGTCACTGGCTTTTGCCCAGTTGCTAGCAGTCTTCTTGTCATCAGATCGATAGCCTGTGACGGAGTTAATATCCTGATCCTAGAGATGACAAGGAGAACAAACCGAGATGTGATCGGCATCGAATGCATGTCTCAGCCCAAGCGAATAAGCCAGAGCAGCCGTCGAGACCAGAGATCTGAATTTTGAGAATCAAAATCGTGAGTCGAGGGAGAGTTCCTCCAGATCGAAAACTTACGGATGGTAGCTCTATCGAAACGTTAGTATAAAACCCATGAATAGCCCAGAGAAGAACATACCAACACAATACCCGCCGCAACCCACACGATGATATTCAACAGCGCAATAAAGGCAATGATTCCAATTGCCCGGAGCGGAATTTTTCTAATTCCCGGCATTTTGCTGTGGGAGCGTTCTGCCTTGCGAAGTAGAGGTTGAAAACTCCATCTCCCGTCATGATCGAGGCTATGCGAGTCCATAGACATAGCAACATTGGAAGAAGTCATGAAAAAAATCACGCACAAGCGTTAAGAAGAAATAGCTGATGTCCCCGAATCAAAGTAGTAACATAGTCAAAAAGAGGGGTTGCAATGAGCTTGGTGCCGTTAACCTTTCACCGCCAAGGCTTATACATTTGAAGGCCTATAGGTTGCGGGGAGTCCCGATAGATAGGAAATTATTCACATTCAAGATTCCTGTGTGCTAATTCCTCCACTTTTTGTTCATTGTGTCTCCACCAGGCTCCCTTTGTCAAGGATGTGATTGGTTGGTCTTCGTATGTCTTCGCCGGTCGCCTCTGTCTTCGCCGGTCGCCTCTGTCCGGCGAAATATGCGGTGTTCTCTCAAAGAATGCAGGTCAGTACAAATACCAGTTGTCAACAAATACATCCTATGTACTGTGTACATAAATCACCACAGATATCGTGTAAGTTTCCGAAGTTTTGTGTATTTCGTGACTGCCCGAGACCGAAGCAACTTTAGAAAGAAATGACAGAGCCAAAGGCGGAAGCTTTTCAAAGGAGACACCCGGACAACTAGAACACTACACCGCACCAATTACAAACAGCTTCCCTACTCTATACACCTATGGATATGTGGACAATAAGCAACTTTTTGAAGAGATTAGAAAACGAAATCATAAATTTTAAAAAAAAGTGAAATCCAGACACGACAATTGTGACGAAAGATATTGAGACACTGAAAATCTCCTGGTGTGTGGCTGTAATGGATAACGCTCCATACAAGACCCTGACTGAGAGAGGGAGAGAAGGAATAGTTAGATTGCGTAAGGAACAGAAGATCTGAGGGAGAGGACGAGAGAAGATATAGACGTCTTTCATGAGGACTGTGAGTAAAATGGGTCTAATCTGTAAAATGCAATATAACTGACTTCCTTATGGTGTAATGTGATATCCTGCGGCTGCAAGTCCGGCCCGGGGTCAAATAGTGATGACTAAGCAAACTAAAAAAAAAATCAAAAAGACCCCTTCCTGGGGTGTAATTTGGAAAGCCCAACGCGGGGGTCGAACCCGCAGCCTCAAGATCGCTGTCGCAGAACTTCCTCTGAAAATTCTGCAGCGCTTACGCAGCTTGCGGAATTTCCAGAGGATCCCTAGAAGTCTTGCGCGCTACCATTGCGCCAGCCGGGCCTCGGATGGAAAACGTATGAGTCTTTGTGTTTCACTCCTCGCAGATAAACCCACCCACCTGAGAACATAAATCACTCTTCACTTTTCACCCTGGGGCCTTAGCTTTCTTTTTTCTTTCTTCCCCCCCCCCCCCCCCCCCCCAAAAATAATAAAATATAACCACCAACACTTTATCAAAAAACAAAGAAAAAAGAAAAAAAAAAACAAAATATATATACTCATCAAAAAATCCAAAAG